TTTTTACCTTTTTCTATTTGATTTGGTTTCCGATGACAATCTTTTCCCTTCCTTATCTTTTCACCTCCAATTAATTGACTACCGCTATAGATTCCGGTAGAGATTTGGATTTTTCAATGCGATTATTAGACTTCCGCAGCGACAAACCAAGAGATACCATAATCTTGAAGAGAACAAAAATTCTCGCAGTTCGCAGGGGTCACCCCAACTATGGATAGCGGGCAGATCATCGAAACTTCGCTGTGCTTCAACTGAGATGACATGAGATGACTTCATTCAAGTAGAGCTTACTCAAATTCAGGCACCCCTGATACACCGGTGCGATATGGTGGGAGCGAGGGGTGTCATTACTTGGCATGTGCCGGGGACTTGGAGCAAGAGTGGAGTAAAGTTGAAAGCAAATGGAATTTGTCATGGATATTCAATCTTATCTATTTGTTCTCTTCTTCATATCAGATTCTATGCCAATTCAAACCATGTGTCTGGGGTAATCATTATTATTTGTCGTGATTTCATTATTATGGATTGTGGCTGTTCAGGCACCAAGTGGGGGTTATTAATAGACTATACACAGGCTATCATCTCCAGAGTGGGACAGTGTCAAGTTAGGTACTTACCTAGTTTAACAACATCAAGTTTACCATAACCCAAATCATGATCCATGCATGCGCGCGTAGGAGATCTGCATTTCTCAACTACCTTAGGTATTATTCACGACGCTAAATCTATGTTTGAATATTACCGACAATTAGCAGTGATATATCGCTCTAAACACCCTCATTTGCTCAGCCTTGATACCAAGCTTGGGGCAAGAGCTTAGCTACCGGTTCCTTCACCTTTACGTGAGCTGAAACATCATTACTAGTTAACAGGAACCAAACGGCATATGAAATCGGTAATTTGTTCCTCAATCAGCTCACTTGTTGTGCCTAAACAGCTCGAACGGCCTCCGGCTGCCCAAAGCCTCCAAGGTGGAAATAATTTAGTTGGTCAATTAGTTCTTGACTGGAGCAAAACTACTACCTAGCTAAACAGCACAAGTACGGTAGCTAAAGGTAAGACCAAAGCATTGACCAAGCTGTCACTTCATCTACATGACTGCGCCAATGTTTCACCATCTCATTTCCCCTCTGCAGTCTCAGTGGGCGAAGGCTTTCCTTTTTTTAAATCGCTCAGAGGGATGAGTCTAATTGTGTCCGAAAAGAAATTCCAAGTGCTTCGCTAATCTGGATTTATTTTTGGGTTAGAGTTCGCGGGCCGTTCCTGCGGCGCGAAATACGGTGGTATACCAACAAAGCCAAGGATGTTCACCGAAGAGGCTACAACATACGGAGTTACAGTACGGCACAATGAGTCCTAATTGAACAGCCAGGGCTCAATTTGATGATGAGGATGAGGACGACGACGCCGATTACCAGGTTGGTTCTTTTTACTAAAAGGGCAAAGAACATAGCTTAAGCAATTCAGTTGTGCCGCTGATGACGATGCTGATGAAGATGTTGGCGACCACAATAATCATGATAATGGCAGTGTTAATTTCCCGATATGCAAGGTAATGGAGAGACATGATCATTGTCCGGTTGGTTGTCGAGTGAAAATGCCTCTACCTGTAATACTGACAGTGACAAGGAAGACCAAATCCACCTTGTACCACGTCGTGTTCCAACACGATCCACTCGGTACTTGGCAGCCTTTGAGCTCTCATTTCCAATTGAATCAATCACATCCCACTGTGGCTCAAGTCCCCAAGACGAGTTCCGAGCCCAGGCTCCCACGAACAGGTTTTGGTTGATTCATTCTTACTTTTTCTTCCTTTCCTCGCTGGGAGCGATGCCTTCAAGACACTCGTTTCTTTTCGGTTCTCAACTCACGCACCCAGCCAACATAGCAACAGACCTCGTATTGCAGCCCCAGCGTCAATTCCCTCTTTGAACAAATTCGGTTTCAATTTCATCGTGACTGATCGGAGTGGCTCTCTTTTGGTTTCTCCACGCTCGCGAATTGCTCTCGATACCGCTACTGCTGCGCCTCACCCCTCATTCGACATTGACGTCTTCATGGTCACCAACGTCCGACAGCATAAACAAGGCCTGCGACAAGAAGCGGAGCTTTAGAAAAGGGAAAAAATGGGTCTTCGGCAAGCTCGGTTTCGATCGATCTTCCGGTGTCACTTAGAAGGGAAAATGGTAGAGAAGGCCCCCAAAATCTCCAGGGTTGTTTCTACGCTACAAGGCACTACAGAACCGCGCCCGTCGCGGTTCGGGTCATCACCCGTGGACTGAGCCCCCCTCTGGTCCGCTATACGGTCATGCTAGCGCCCCATAGAGGCCGCTGACGTTAGGTGGTGACTTTGTGCTAGAGTGAAGTTTACTCGCCGCTGACAGACGGTCAGAAGGAAGAGGACCCAAGAAACCAGATCGTAGGTCGCTCTCCTTACTTTCCAAGGTTTGTCCACCCCACTATGGAGTCCCCATCGGGTTTGCTAATCGGCCAAGCGGCCAATTTCCGACGCCATCCTTGTCGCAGATTTGCGTTCCCCTGTTCGTGTGTGCTTAGTACCAACCTTCCCACGAGCGCCGAATTTCGTTTCGTTCCTGGTGGTTCGTCTGCGCCTTCATGCACGGCTCCTTCCCATGTTGGAAGCAACAACTGCTCTCGTTAGCGTATCGTGAACCATCAACAATCACCATCATCAGCAAACATCATCCGGCATCAGGCACCAGTCATCAGCAATGTAGTAATCATCACTCTTTCCCGCCAACATGTCCCGTCATCAACGCAGAAATATTTGGCCGATTGTCTTTTATTACTCTTCTTTTTTTTTTCTTCATCCCATGTCTGCCACATCCGACCCGATAAGCGGCTGATCGTATCCCAGAGCCATTGCGTCGGTGCGGCAGAAGGTATGCTGCCCTGACAGCTATGGCAGGGCTGAGGCCACCCGTCACCCTTGCGCCGCTCCCAGCTGAACGGACGAGCGAGTCATACCCGCTGCAGTCATACCGACCCCGTGGTTATTCACACACACATTTCGCCCCATAGTCTTCCCACGCGCACACTCACTCTTGCCCGCTTTAGACACACACACCAACTACAACCCACCCTGTCCCATCACTAACACATAGACACACAAAGACCGAACACACTAAACATACCACAACATGCGATCCCCACGCTCGACCCATTACGAGATCTTGCGCCAGAGACACACCAACGCACCTCCCTGGTTGGTGCCTGCGTTCCTCGCGGCTGTCCCCGTAGCGGGTTGGCCCGTCAGGCGTGCAGCCGTGGCTCTGGCCAAAACGGTCGGTTGCTTAGTCTGAGCTCATCGTCGGTGCCTAGGGCTATGCAGCAGCTCTTCTCCTTGCCAACGGTCGATGCCTCCGGCAGTCTGCTGCTGGTGCTGTCGCTGCCTCGGTGATGCCTAGGGATATAAACCCACCTTGAGCACATGCCTTTTGTTCTATTTCCTGTCCTCTAGCATCATCCACAAGCAACTTCTTCTAACCATCGAACATTATTTCGTGTACCTCGTGTGACTGTCATCTGCTCTACTTCAATATATTCATTTGGCTTTTTCGAAAACCTGCCTTGCTTCATCCTGATCATTGATCTCTTCTTTTGTGAACGTTGCTGTCATCAGACCAATCCTCGTGCACAGTCACTTTGACTTTCGATTGTTTCAAGAGCAAAGAATATCGACACAACTGTCACCATGTGCTACCAAGTCGTTGAACGCTACTCGGTCTGCCGGTGCCTCTACTACAAGCATGCCATCGACCCATGCTCGGCCTACAACTCTCGTGGTCACTATGTCCAAGAGAAAACGGTATTGGTAGGGTATACCTGCGACAAGCACTCTCCTCGACGTCGCGATTACTCGTCCAGTTCGAGCCATGGCGGATATGATTCTGGCTACTCGAGTGGAGGCTACCACAGCTCCTCGTACCGACGGTGACTGCATTGCGTGGGATGTGAAAAAGCAACCAAAAAGAATTTTACATCTCTCCAATTTCTTTTACGAAAGTGAATCTTTCCCCTGTGGGCTATTACGGTACGGATGCGGCACGGATACGACTACGAGTACGACATTAAATTGCAATTGCGGGACAATTATTCTCTGATGTATCAAAATGCATTATCCACCGATACGCTGGACGCATGGTATGCATTTCCAGATAACCCAAACAGAAGTCTGGACGCAAAAAAAGAACCAACTCAACTCAATCAGAAAAAAAAAATAAGTCCCCCGGCCGACGTTACCACTAGCGCTGGATGCGCAGTATGCAGAGAGGCGCAGGCGCTCTTGTTCACCTTACTTCTATTGCTTGGATTCCGCCGGCATATCGTTGCGCCAATTTGGCGCCAGGCCCCCCTTGGCGGGGTGGTTCTTCCAATTTGCAGGAAAGAGAAGGGGTCGAGTTCGGACAAGATGGTGGATACTTGGGAAGAAACAAGCCAGCCAAGACTGAGGAAAGACGAAGATTTACATTTATGACGACATTTCCCGCGCATCTTGAGTACTAATGTACTCATTGGCGGGGCTCACTCCGACGATGACACTAAAGTTGTTAATTTTTGGATCGCATCGACCAATGCCGGGGAGCAGGAGACCGACGCCGGGTCAGCCAAGAAGGACGATATTGCGGAATTTGCAATACCGGAAAAAAAAATTTGGAGAAAAAAAAAATTTGAAAAAAATTTAAAAAATTTCAGGGGAACAGCCAGTCAGGCGGCTAGGCCAGCTTCAGGCAGTAAACACACTGGACCATGTGGATCGTGACTCCTTAGATCCTGTGACTGCGACAAACGGAAGGACCAAGCAGACGCCACGCCTTTGAAGCTCTCAAGCTAAGGAGTTAAGGAGCTACCAAAAAGGAAAAGGGAAACGACACAGCCAAGACTGATGACACAAGGTCGAAACGAAAGACGAGCGAATCTATTACAATTACAATTGCCTATCCGACCTCAAACGTACCATGGCCGGAGGGAGTCATCCTGACTCTGACTATGACACCAGATGGGCGGTTTTGTTCGTTTGTGGTAATATTCGAGAAAACACGAATTACTTGGCAAAATGGCTGCCTTGGCTAGCATGATTGTCCCTTTGCATCATGTGGTCCCCTTGTCTGGTCGTCCTTTTTTTTATTTTTTTCTTTTTTGTCGCTATTATTGGTTCGCTCGTTTCTACGTGTTTTACCGCCTTGTTTCGCTAACTTTCGGCTGAACTTGGTCCTCTTTGTTGGTTCACCCGGTTGACTGGGCTGGCTGGCTGGTACACTGAACTCCTACTAACTTACGGCCGTTTACTGTTTCGCTGCTGCGCCTCGCCTCCCCGCTTACTTGGAAACAATCTTAGAATCCTTGTTCCTGTTCATGCTCCTCGTTCCTCGTTCCTCGTTCCTCGTTTCCCCTTTTTGGCTTTTACCCTCGTGTCTCGTGTTTCGTGTTTTCGTGTTCTGTGCTCGTTTTCATTTATTTTACTTTTGTCTTTTTGTTTTATTTTTGTCCATTCATTTATTTTTCTTTCGTTTTCGTTACGATTTTTGTTTGTTCTTTTCTTTTTCTTTCCCCCGTTCTCTTTTCCTTGTTTTCATTTCTTCGTTTCCTTTTTTCCCGCTTCGTTTCGTTTCCTTCGTTTTGTTTCTTTTATTCCGCTTTTTACTCCGCTCGTCTCATGTCCTGCATACGCGTACCTGCGCATTTTCCCCGCCCAAACAATGAAAGGCTTCACTACACCAAAAAAAAAAAAAAGAACCGGACAAACTGTTTGTTTGTTGCGTTTTGCTCCTGAAATAAGCCAGGTTTCCTTTCCTTCTACGCGTGCCAGTCCATTGAGATAGAGCAACGTACAATGCAGACTGTTCTGTTGCAGACGACTCTGGTTACTCGTTTGTGTTTACAGTTTTAGATCTGTCAGTATTGTTTTCGTCAACGTTCTAGCTTTAAAAATCTTGATTAATTCATTTATTTATTGATTTATTTTTATGATTGATTTTGCGTCGCATAGCGTGTTAAGTAAACAGTGTTTTTAAATCTCTTTTGCACTTTTATTCTGTTGTTGTCGTTATTCTTTTTCTTGTTCATTCCGCGAACCAGCAAATCAGCGAACCAGTGAACCAGCATATCAAGGTCACGAGCATTAGTATGGCCAATTTACGATAGAATTTTTTACGAAATAATATGAAGTCAATGAGTCACGCGACAAGATAAAACATGGGGTTTGCATTTTTACAAAAAACAGAGATGAGAAGCTTCAGAAATAGAACTGTATTCTGCATAGAAAAAAAAAGATATTAGATTATCAAGGACCTGATATGTTTCGATGTGTTTGTACCAGTGACTCTGTGAGAGATATGTAGAAGTGAGGTATTTACATGCGTATATACGGCGTAAAGGCATCATGACAAGAGGGAGGACACCCGCTTAGGACGTGCTATGCTTTCGAAGAAAAAGAAGCAGCTCTGCTCATCCTCTACCAGACTACCACCTCAGATGGTATGCTGCAGTTCATCCGGGCAGAACCATTTCCTGTACCCTTCAGAACACTAAGTAATTTCTCTAAGTCATGATTCACTTCACCCAGCATCGGGCATGTAGAGGGCCGCGTACAGGTCCGCGAACATGAATATCTGCAAAGCGCCTCACCACGGGGCGTCCGCGAAAGTCTCGTTAGGAAAAGGTTGGGCAAACTCAGAAGCCAAAAAAACGAAATAAAATAAATAGAAGTTGATCAGTCAATATATGCAAAAGAAAGTATTAATTGTGTAATCATTGAGCACGTAGACTAGTTCGTTAGACTCATAATGTAATATCATCTAATCGTGTCCTCGACCTTGAAGCTGCATGGCCTTCATCTTTGCCGATACAAGGGTTGGAGACACATTGCTCAGCCGTCACGAAGATGAGGACACCCCATCCCTAATCACGGACTGGTATGGCGTGCAAGAGGCCCTAGTTCAGGATTTTCTAGTCGCTCTGTGGGACAAGCATCCAAGTGAACTGTCTTAAAATAGATGAGAGTTGATTTGCAACGTTGGCGTAAAGGTAGTGTGTAGTGCCGCTGCGTATCCCATGACAAAGCCCAGTTACTCGAGTCTCCGGTGCTGGAAATTGGTCGATGCAAGCATTGCTATTGAACTCCAGAGACTATACTCCAGACCAAGTTTCTCAACGGCTCCGAGTGTCTGAATGGGACATGAATCATGATACATCCCAGAAATTCAGGACGAAGAAATTAGTATCCTAGTCCCCAAGAGGATTCGGACAGCCAAGGCGTCGAGGTGAGAGGTGTACGACTCCCTTGATATGATCCCCAAGAAAAGGAGTCGGGGCCTGGCCATTGCCTTCATGCAAGAACGCAATTCTCTCGGCTAGCCCTCTATCTTCGGGCCTGTGCCTGAAGATTTTCCATTTGCGGCTTCTTCTGGATAGCCGGAGTAGGTAGACAGGCAGGCGAATGATCTCAATGTGAGCCGTGTCATAGTTGTAACGGTCGTTATTGAGATCGAGGGCAAAGTAGCTATGTCTTGGCCAAACTTCGACAGCGACGAAGAGTGTTTTTGCCTTTTCCTTCCATACGTCGACAAAATCCTTGATCAGTTCCATGGTCGAACCGATGTAGTCTTCTTCGTTGAGAAACTCTGTAGGTAGGTCACCGAGGATGCGGATAGAGTGATGCTCGTTAAGAGCGTCGAAGACCGCCTGATTGATCTCCTCTATGGTAGGCATGCTGTAACGACTTTGGAGCAGAGTTTGGACGAATGCAAGAGGACAGATATTTGAAAATGTAGCTAGAATAATATAATGCAGCTAAATTATGATCTGGAAGTCACAGTCTTTCCGGCGAAAAAAAAAAAATACTAGAGGACAAAATGGCGAGGAGATTGGGGATAATTTTACTTCGTAGTTGTGAGTTTGGCTTGAACTTATAATATGAGCTTGCGCACGGACCCCCCATATCTAACAGGAGGTTACACAGATTCAACAGGCAGAAATCAACACCAAAATCACATGATATGATCCATTGCTACGTGGTACGGATATTCTCTCATATATATAATTGATATTCTCTTGCCATAGAGTTAAAGACAGTTGGATCAATTTAACTAAAAAAAAAAAAAAAAAAAAAAAAAAAAACCAAAAGACAGCGCTGATATCATGCTATAATGGGTACCTCATGGCATGAAATCATCCTATTATATTCCAAAACTTCAACGAAAACAAAAAGCCATGTCGACAGGTTTCGAGGCGATTTCGCCGCAAATATTGCGCTTAACTGCATACTTGTTAGTATCAGCTACTGACAGACAGATCTCAAGTAACGTCTCACCCTGTGGAGGAATCGCTGGTAGATGGGGAGGGATAAGAACAAGTAGGACAGGTTTTGTCGTTCTGGACGATGACGTGAATCATTTGCTGAGGAGTTTGAGTTGTAACCGCGCAAGTTGCGTTGGTTGCGCAGCTTGAAAGCAACCGATAACGCTCGAAGTGGCCGCAGCCATACAACCATTCTTGCCATTCGCACATCTAATTATTAGGTTATCAGCTTTCTTCTCGTTGATAGAATCTCGACGATTCGAACTAACCTTTGCCGTAATCTGTTCAAAGAGATTCAGAATAGTAATTGTTATGGCGTTGTATTGGAAGTTTCTTTCAGGGACTGTTGAACGTAGATCAGTGAAATCAACACAAGGTGGAGGAAAGCAGTCTCTCTTTATATGGCTTCACGCTGAGGCTTCGCCATATAGGCTCCAGCAGGCTCCAGGAGATCATCCTTTAAAAGTTATCCACACGGAAGCCAGTACAAAACTTCGGGGCTGAGAAGCATTTGAGGCTGGTTGTCTGAGCAAGGAACTGTATTGGAGGAGATGCAACATCCCTGCAGCCAACAAATTATGAGTCAAGTGGCTTGGAGATTTTGACGAACCAGGAGATCAAAACGGCGGTTGAATTGCAAAAGGGTTTTTGTGATTTCACTCTTTTCGTAGAGTTGCATGTCACCTGCTGAGGGCAAGGCTGCTCTGTAGCTACTAGGCCTTCTGTGCCGCAGCCAGAGCCCAGTTGTCAGCCGAAAGATATCCAGTAAATGGACGAAGACAAGCCAAGCCTCATCGTCTGAATACAATGTAAGCTATGACCTGATGAAAGTCGAAACGTGTATCTTTATTTGTATTGTTCAGCTTCATTTCTCGGCCTGTGACGAGGATCCCTAGAAAACCGAGTTGGGCCCAAGCGAGTAAGTCACACGATCGCTCCAGGCAACGCAAAGGCGCGGAAAGGACCTCAATTCAATATAACGACTATAATGACCAGTGTGCAGATAAATATTAAAACATGTCGGAGAAAGCAATGAGCGCAAAGAAGATGAAATTAGAATAGATATAGCATCAACCTACTGCGGCTTGCAGAGAACAGGGTTTCATAATAGATCCCATTTTTATTCTATTGCCCTCTGAAGAAAGGTGATAAAACGACACAAATAGAGAAATTGCATAGAAGGGAATGCTCTTGAATATGCTCAAATACGCGCCGACTCCAAGACATTGTGGATAGAAATTGAAAAAGCAAAGTGGGAGTTAAAAGCCGGGAAAGCAACATCGGCAGGTGTAGGAGACGGTACTAGCAGCAATTAAGGCCAGCAATAACAGATTCCGCAAGATTGGAAAGCGGGGGAATAGTTTTGGAGAAGATAACACGGGAATTGAAAAGAATGAACATGAGGCGGAAAATAGATGAAAAGGAGCATTAGAATTATAAAACCCCTACACCAGTCCCGGTACCGAGGCCGACAGCGCCAGTGCTAAAGCCGCCGACATCTTCACTAACCACCCATCCTCTGGCCAGCTCTTTGGCCAGGCCCACTCTCAAGATGCGCAGGACATCCTGTCCCGACACTTCTGCGGGCTCTGCACCATGAGGACCACGTCGAAGAAGACCGACTCTCCAGTCCCAGCCACGCTGGGTCTTGGACTCGGATAGGCCCGGCGGCACGAGAACCCCACTACCACTCGCTGCACTGTCATTCTCGCCATCATCATCATGGTCGCTCGCATGACCATCTTTATCAAGCATGGCGCTACCAATGAGCGAGTAGCTGAGGGAACTGCCGTGACCGAAAGTGGAAGTTGTGGAGGCGCTCATCATGGAGGAGGAAAGATTGATGGATTTGCGGAGGATGCTACGCGGGTCTGGGATGCGGGCAGAAGATGAGCGGCCTGATGAAGAGGAGGATTCACGGGCTTGGAGAATTGTAGATTGGAGAAACTCTTCGCACTGGTCGTAGATCCGCGGCGTGACGGTTTGGATATCTTCGATTGCTTTGAGGATGGAAAATGTTTGTTGGAGTGAGAGGATACGCTTGGGTTCTGTGAGACGGTTTTAGTATTTCCTGTTTTAGGAATTCTACGTCCAATCAGATTTTTCTGGAGACTTACGATTGACAAAGACAAGGGCTTCACCGAGCAGAGCGAGGAGACCATCCACCTGGACTATGGATCCATTCGACTCGTCAACTAGGCCACCGCTGATGCTGTCGCTGGCGCTGTTTATGATGGCGACGAGCTTTGCAGCAGCTTCTCGTTTGCGTGCAACGGGGCCAAGGTGAGCCAGCGATGCCTTTTTTTGTTTGCCATTGTCCGTATCCGTGTGGGACGATTTGATAGTCTGGTCTCGAACATCGTAAAATCTCCGTAGCGTAGCGTATCCGCTAAGGCATGTTTGAAGAAGCTGGGCAGCCTTGAAATCGATACGAGACAAGTCGATAAGAGACGCTTGGGGTGAAGTGATAAGGTCTGCAAGCGTCTGGTCCAATTCTGTCTCTGGGGGGTATGCCATTGATTGAACAAGGCAAAGCGAGATGAGAAGGTCAAGCACGTCCTTAATCTTGCGTTGGTTATGTGCTCTAGCGTAGAACAGCAGCGCATCGCCATAGTTGAAAGTATTTTCCGCCAAGGAGTCGGCGTATTTCTAATCCCAAAAAAAAAGTCAGTAAACCCCGGATCAGACCAGCATAAGCCAGGCTTGTCAGCCTGGAGGTGGTAAAACATACCTCGGAGATTCTTCGGCCTTGGGCAGAAATATCAAGCTCGTCGCACAGAGAGAGAATATTATCAACCTTGCGGCCAGAATCGAGCTCCAACTTATTTAGCAATTCGTCAATTTTGTTAGTCGCCAGGTCAAAATCATCCAATCGAGAAAGCACTTCCACAGAAAGTTCCCATCCCTCTCTGACAAGCTTCGAGTTCTGCGCACGGAGCGATCTCCTTTGAAACAAACCCTCCGCATACTGAGAAAGAATCTGGTCTCGCTGCATTTGATCCTTCTCCATGCCGTAGCTCAATACCATGAGGTCGCTTTCGCTGAATATATCACGAGCATTGCTCTCGCCCGGCAATTGAAGCCAGCCACCATAGCTGCCAACTTCAACTATTGCTGCGGTGATCACCAACGACCAGCTGCGTACTATTCCGATGGCGCCCTCATTGTTTCCCTCAAAGATACTGCCCAATGCAACCTCAATCGGTGAAAGAGAGTCAATTTGGAAGGTATTCGAATCTCGTTCGTCCGTTGCACGAGCAAAGGCATATGCCAACCTATTCAGGTAGTCCTCATTCGCAATTTCATCCGCTGGAAGCTGGGCTCGTGCAATGGCACGGATAGGAGATTGTCGGCTCCCGGCCAAGCTGCCATCAGACACATCCGAATCCTCTCCATTCCACCACACAGTGAGCCCAATTGCTGCCTCCACCCAATCCTGCGAGAAAGAGATGATTTCAGTTTCACCACCCAGGAAGATACGGTACATCGCCTTGAGATTTTGATATACTGTCCAGGGAACTTTGCTCTCAGCTCTACGGGAAGCTTGACTAAGTGACCTCTGGCGCGGAATATTCGGTAGACCAAAATTCTTCGCCATAAATGGTTTATCAATTTCTTCCGCATCTTTATCTCCTCCTTCCGCAAAGGTAGCCAAATCAGAGAGCCCTTGCTCCACTCTTCTTCTAAAGAGAAGCCAGTCATTGGTGAGGATATCCCAGTCTCCACTTTGCACGGCTGGGCACATTTCGAGAATTTGCACAGCTCGATTAATGACACGCTGAATATTACCGAGTTGGATACCTTGGTAGCCAGGCTCGTCACGCCCGTCTTCAAGCGCTGTACGAGCATGTCTAAAATCAGACTCCTTGAATATCCGAATTACATCCGTCAGCTTTCCTCGCAGAGCAGACGAATATATAATGTCCCAATAATTAGGGTGGGCGGTGGCATTTGGGTGATGAATTTGGACGTCGCGTCCCAAACCCTCATATGGATCGTGATGTGTATTCAACCAGTCGAGTAGGACCTTTGGAATTGGCCAGGGCGAGCCAGAAGCCACTGAGTTTCCGTACTCATTAAAGCTTGACGCCCAGCCTGAGCGCGAGCCACTCAAAGACATGCTTGCTTGGGTAGTCGGAGGATGTTGCAGGCGCAGTAAAAGGGTTGCAATGAAATTGGCCTTGGTCAGGGGAGGAGCGTCTTCTCCTGGGCCAATAGTGATTACATCAGTTTCTAGCTCCCCTGCCTCCCTCAGGCTCTTCTCCGAAAAATATTGCCAACTCTTTAGCAAGTCCTGCGGAGTAGAAGCCAGAGCAGCAATGAAAGCGGATTCGTCTTCTCCTTCAGCCGGCTGTTCATTGACGAGGTCGTTAATCAACCCTTCCGTGCGCAGGATCATCTCATCTGGCTCGTAGACAGGAATCTTCTCGGCCTTTGAAGCAAGGTCCTTTGAAATGCCAGGGAGAGCCGACTCGTTGCGGAGTCGCACAGAAGGAGATCGGCGCGACAACTCGGCGTGAGCTCGCTTTGTGCCCCTCGGAGTGCTGTTGCTCTGAATCGACGAACCAAATCCACCCGCTGATCTGAGCCGACTTGAATTTGACGCAGGCGACATAACGCTGCCATCTGCCATGTTATCCATTTCATCACCGGCCATAGGAATATCCCGCTCGTCTCCGGCGTCCACACTAGCTTCCGGGTCGTCCATCATTGACTCGTCTTCGTCATCACCGTCACTCGCATACCCAAAAACAGGATTGCTGTTTGGGACAGCAGGACCTGGAAAGCCAAATGGATGCGCATGGGCGCCCTGCTGCCCCGAATTGGGAAATTGGCCTTTGGGTTTGAACATTGGGCTTCCGAAATTAAAGCGCGGCGAGGTGCGAGATGCCGCTCTCGATGAGAATAAAGCTGATCCAGGCTGCGGGCTGCCAAGCATAGACGATGTTGGAGGAGGTCCAGAGGGTGTAAATGAGGGTGCTGACGAAGGCGGAGCTCCGGCCGGGGTCGTAGAAGGGTTCGAGCCAACGCCAAATGAATCGTCCCATTGGCGCGGAAGGCGGCCAGGAGTAAACGGCGAATCAGTAGGGTCCGTAAATCCAAATGACATATTTTCAGGAAGTGAATGCAACGCGTATCAGGTGAGAAGTGTGGAGTTGAAAAGACCACAAAGGGAATCGTAAATGCGGATTCGAAAAGCTCGTGTATTTACACGCGCAGCGTCGTGGGGTGTTGTGAGGAAAATTGATCAAAGCATGAATCCACGAAGAACGAGCATCTGTCACTTTCCACGCGACGTTCGAAAAAAAACCTAGCTCTTCTTCTAATTTCCGAAGATTCGCAGCTCGTGAGAGTGCTGATGGCGTAAGGAATTCGAGCACAGAAGCTGCTCTTGTTGGTGGATTTGAGGTTCTTGGAAACTTGGGGAGTTTCGTTCCGTCGATCGGCAACTGCCGAGAGAGACGCATCAATAGACGTCGATCTTCAATGTCCATCGTCATCAACAAAAGACAAACATCTCTAAATCACACCGTCATCATGGTATGATTCCCTTCTGCTGCTGTTGCATCTTTGTCGCATAATAAACTACGTGCCTCTACGTCTCGCGACGTATTCACCATGCTTTCTATCTTCAAGGAAAATACATACTAACTTCCAACTTAGCTACCGCTAGGGTTATTAACAGCGGCGCAAGGCCACCCTATGCTGGTTGAGCTCAAAAATGGAGAGACTCTCAACGGACATCTCGTCAACTGCGATACCTGGATGAACCTTACCCTGAAAGAGGTTGTTCAGACGAGCCCTGAGGGAGACAAGTTCTTCAGACTGCCCGAAGCCTACGTGCGAGGCAACAACGTAAGAGACGCTTCCTATGCCAGCTGGTTGCATTGAATCGGCATGCCGTGAGTCAATGTTGCTGACGAAAATATCGTCTACAGATTAAATATCTTCGCATCCCTGACGAAATCCTTGATGTGGTAAAGGAGCAACAAGCCCAGCAAGCGAGTCGAGGCGGCCGCGGAGGAGGCCAGCAGCGCGGCGATCACGCCGGCCGGGGAGACAGAGGAAGAGGGCGTGGAGGCTCGAGAGGAGGCAGAGGCAGAGGACGAGGCGCCCCTGCTTAATCTGAGTGGATTGTCTGGGATTTCAAGGCGTTCGGTTCGCCCTTGGTGGTTGGATGCGCACTGAGCATGACTATTCACTATTTTGCATGGAAAAAGAAAAGAAAAAAGACTTTAATGACTCGAGACCGAGAATTTTTCGCTGGCTATGCATCTCGGGATAAATCCGACTCAACAATTTTGATTACAATTACGTCTATGTATATATAAGAAGATACCATATGACATCATTTCATAGCCCTGGTTTCTGGCCTAGAGGCTGTCGACACGACCGATTAGGGCATCAAGCTCCTCTTTGCTCAATGTGCTTCTCCTGCGTCCGCTTCTTACGCCGCTTCGCCTTGTGATACTCTTCCGTCTACGTCCTGACTTTGTTGCCTCTGCTTCAGCTCGTGCATTTTCCAGCTTTTGCCGAACAGTAAGAGGAGTTGAAATCTGCTTGGGTGTCTGTGTTCATCAGTTACGCATTCCCTTGGCGATATCCGAAATCAATGTGCTATGGATATACATACCTGTCGAGGACTTCTTGACTGCGTCGATTCTCTGCTGGATTTCTCCGGGGATAGTTTGTGGGGTGTTGCCTTGAGGTCAGGGATGACACCCAACCCTCCATTGATGCGACCCTCTGGTTGTTGGCTGTCCTCTTCTTCGGGAATGTCTTGAAAAGACACTTTACGCGGTGATCTTGTCGGCTGAGCGTTTCCGCTTTGTTCGCCGAGGACTGACAGGTGGCGACGGGAGGCTGGGCTGGGTTGAGAAAATGCCAACTCGTCTTCCTCTTCATCGGAAGCTTGTTCATCCTCCTCCCAGCCTTCTTCTTCGCCCTCAATCTGTTCCTTGGAGTTACCGCGCGGCTGCAATGGCACTTCTCCTTGTGTGAGCTGCTCATGGGCCTCTTTCCTATTGGGGCTCTTCTTCGGATGTGATCTTGCAATTGTTCGTGGCGTCAACGTTTCCAAGCCTTGGCCCAATTTGAGGCCTGCCTTGAGCTCATCCAAGTTAATAGTCTCTCCACCACTAACCATTCTTTTGCGCCAGCTGTCCATCATGGTGACAGCCTCTCTCCATCTCTCTTCCATCTTCTCCCAACCTTCTCTCAACCTAACAACTTCATCTTCCCGGATTTCAAGTTCCTCGAGAGGAACGAAATTTGGATTCGTCAAGATGGTGCGGAGGTGCTCCAGAACTTCATCCATATCCACTGCAAGTTCCTCGTAAGAAGTCGGCACGCATGATACGAGCTCCATTTCCGAAGAATTGTCAAGGCCGCCTTCCTGGAACTCCTCAGACACACTAAAGCCAGAATGAGATGCAGGAGGGAGACCCTGTAGCGATCTCAGCGTTGACGTCGAACTTGTGATTAGTCCAATAAGATTATCATTCTCATCACTCAATTGCTGGCTGAAATTTGTCAAGAACTCAGTCGTCTCCTGCTTCAGACTCAAATCGGAGCTGTCGGGAGAAGAATGTCTCTCAGCCTTGGATGCAGCCATTGAAGGTGTAATTGGTGATATCGTCATTGTCGAATGCACGAGTCCACTTCGAGTTCCACGCTGCTGAGTTGCTAGATGGTGCTTCAGCTTCTGGATTTGCATGTCTCGTTTCCGAATGTCGTTGGCACACTGTGTTCGGACCTGCTGCAGCAGTGACTTCATCCGGAGCATCTCGTCTCTGTGTGAGCGCGCGGAGGCTTCTGCTGTACGGATCGATGATTTGTAAACCCGCTCTTGACCCTGCGCAAGAGCAAGCTGCCGAGTAAGGTCTGCATTTCTTTCTCGAAGGCGCTCCTACCATCTTTCTTCAGAAACAGAGTTCCTCTCCATTTTTCATAACTCTTGTAAAGACATGACTATACTCACCATTTCAAGATTATTTCCCGCTTCATTGCGCCGAAGTGTTCTGATCGTATTTGCCAAATTCTCTCGCTGTTCCGCTTCTCGCTGCATGCACACAGCAATCAGCACTAGTCCACACCTTTAATGAATCGCAGCAAGATAACGCACGTCTCTCCTTAGCACCAAGTCATGAACGAGATTTATAATCTTTCCATATGTTGCTTCTTTCCCGCCCTCGCCACGAGACGGCCTGGAGAACTCAACTGGCTTTCCACTGCGCAAGAGGCCTCGCGCAAGAAGCAAGTTATTCAAATATGTCGAAGCAGTTGCTAAGCTTTCTGGATCCATTGCGACAAGTCCGTCAGCCGCGCCTATAACCCGACGATTCAGAAGATCGAGAATAAATTATCGGTCAACCCCTCGCACAAGCCCAGTTATTTTTCTGCTCTGACGGTATACAGTGTGGAATCGCCGCCCGTTTTCTTCAACGTCGTCGCAACAACTTAACCTCTTGACCGCCAAGTCGGATGTAAACAAACGAGGGTTCGGGTCGCCATGCCAAATTCCGGCTTACATAATTTCTTAAGATCGTTCCCATCCGGAACCTATCTTATCAGATTTTCGGATTCTCAATGCACGTGACCGAATCCAAAAGTTGACCGAATTCCATCAAAGCAGCAGCCCATACTCGTCGTCATCGCCGAATCAAACTCTCACCAATTCCTTGATCATCAAGTCCCCAGATCAATCCACAAAATGGCCCCCAAGCGCGTTGTTGTCCAGGCCCGCCAGGAGCCGGTCCAGCCTAGCTTCTTCAAGGCTGCCTACGAGGAAGTGACTTCTCCTGAGAACCGCAGCTTGGTTACTGCTGCTGGTCTCTTCGCTGTACGTTTTTACATTTTAAAATTGTTTTGCATTGGCCTATCGTTATTTCCGGCTACCCTTCTCCTTTCTCTACTATAAATTATCTGGTTTCCAGTTTCCTCTTCCATTGTCAATTGATCCTACTGCACTTCTCGTTCCTTCTGCTCAAATACCCTGCTTCCTGCGCTCTCCTTTGAACCCTTAGTCCAATGCGCTCATTATCCAACCATCATTGTGAACTTTTTACTGACATACTCCCTCTTTACTAGGCCGGCGTTGCATTCCTGCACTCCAGCTGGAGCGAGATCCTCCTTCCTCCGTAAGTCCACGCCATGCACTTATACGCCCATCCACCCTTTATCTCTCTACAGCATAGCAAGACCCAAAAAGTTCACAAAGCTAACTGCCTTCTTCGCAACAGTGTCTAAATCAATCTCCTCTCCTCTTCCTTCACCGAAAAACGCCCTCCTAACTTCAATATTTCCTTCGTATCCATCCGATATTTTCCAGTCGGGGGCTGCGGCAAGCGCATTTCCGCATTCGCATAAAAACCTGAGCGAGTCACGTTATCTTTTTTCTTTTGAACAGAATGGTATCCGGGGCCTAGAATTTAGAAAACTAGCGCGTTCATGTGGTCTAGGAACGGGTATCAAACAGATCTCAGGGGACAATCTCAACCTTTTTTCCTTCTTCTTCTGCCCGCTTGACTTGAGCTTCTTCTATACGCTCTCGTTTCTGGCTAGAATGTGTTATATTTTTCGAAATTTTTTACTTGCGGAGTGACAAGGGCTGTCTGTACGATTAGAATCAAACGGTTTTGCCGAAAACTTTCATCTCGCGCTGCTAAGTGAAGTGAAGGTGCAAAGGTCTCTGAATCATTGTATGTCAATCCCACTTTATGTCACTGGCAAAGGCTGGTACATGTGAGGACCACACTCGTACGCATTCCCATCGTTTTCTATATTAAGCCTCACGTCTACGATCCCGAACCAAATCGAATCTTTATTCTTTCTTTTTTTCTCTGCCCACATATCAAAATGAAATCAAGTCCTATCAATCATGTTCAAATGTAATGTCATATTTCTAGTAGAAGAAGAAGAACCCCCTTATGACAAACAATAAAACACTAGTTAGTGTAGTTATTCAAATTCCTTTTTTTGCTTCTTGCAGGCACAATCGTCGCAAGAAACAAACCATGTTCGATCGGAGAGCGCAGCCATTGAATCAACAGCCGCAAGTAAAACAATGACCGCAAAAAAAGAAAAAGAGAATACAAAAAAACAAAGAAGAGAGAAAAAGGGAAAAAAAGACAAGGAAAGAGGAAACCAAGCACCACGGAATAAATACAACAGAAAAAAACGAAGAAATGGTAGATAGAATAATACAAAAAAAAGGATCAAAAACGCCGAGAGAATGCCTTGCTCATTCTTTTTTGTGGGAGATTCAAAAAGGATAAAATTGGAAGTGGGGAAGAAAAAAAAGTTGAAGAAGCTGTGGGAAGAGGAAGGGATCACATGGGATCAAGAGAATCTGTTTATTAGGACAGAAAGGAGGAGGGATGAAAGGGGGGGAGGAGGTATAAAAGGGAAATTGTGGAAGAAGCGGGGGGGGAAAAAGAAACAGAGAGAGAAAGAAAAAAATAAGACGAAACGGGGTTAAGAGAAGAAGCCCGTGGGAAAGGGGAAAATGAAGATGTACAATGTGGAATGATCGGCGACACTACCACTCGAAGCGCGAGCTCAAGTTCAAGCTCAACGAACGCTGACGTCGGACCGCTTCGTGTACATTCTGGCAGCAATGTTCATGGACGCGAGCTCTTGGAAGAGCAGCTTGGCGGCATACGGAATATGGACCTGTGAGATCTTTGTCTTGTTCTTGCAAGGTCGGCACTCGAAAGAGTTCTTCTTAAGGTTTCTATTTTTGAAGAAGGGACATTGTCAGTATTTGCTTGCTGCTTTCGCCCTACTGCACGGGACAGTCGAGTTTAAGAGGGGGGAGGGAATGTGGAAGGGGAGAGTTTTGGGAACTTACGCAATAGGAGTCATGAGGCCGCAAATATCGCAAATATGGACACGATAGGCATCCGATACCTCGAAAAGACGCTCCTTCAAGAAAGCGGCGGCACCGTGGGCGATGAAACAGTCACGTTCCATTTCTCCGAAACGGAGACCACCATCACGGGCACGACCCTCGACAGGCTGGCGAGTAAGAATCTGGACAGGTCCACGAGCACGCGCGTGGATCTTGTCGTCGACCATGTGTCGAAGACGCTGGTAGTACGTAGGACCGAAGAAGACTTGGGCAGTCAGCTTGCGGCCAGTGTGGCCGTTGTACATGACTTCAAAACCACGCGATTGGTAGCCGTGCTCGCGAAGCAATCGAGAGACAGAGTCGACAGTGACTTCGGTGAAGGGAGTCGCGTCACCTTCGAATCCACGCAGCGAAGAGACCTTACTAAGCTGACACTCGATCAAGTGGGCAATGGTCATACGCGACGGAATGGCGTGCGGGTTGATGATCAAGTCCGGCGTGATACCCTCACGGGTAAATGGCATGTCTTCTTGTCGGTAGGTAACACCAATAGTACCCTTCTGACCGTGACGAGAGGCAAATTTGTCGCCAATCTGGGGAATCTTGGTTGTTCGCATACGGACCTTGACGAAGCGAAGGCCCTCAGCGTTGGTGGTCATGAGGACCTGATCGACAATACCGTTCTCCGTGCTTCTTAAAGGTGTGGAGACATCGCGCTTGACGTGCAGCTTCGTCCGCTGGCCGAGCTCTTCGGCATCAGGAGCAATTGGTGCAGTCTTTCCAATGATGATGTCCTCGCCAGAGACCCGGACACCCGGAGCGACGATGCCGTCGTCGTCGAGCTTGTCGTAGGTGCCGTGCTTCAATTTGAGAGTGTCACTTCGATAAGGCTTCTCGAACTGCTCGACAACCGACATGCCGACACGCTTCTCTTGGTCGGTGTAAGACCGGTAGAACAGACTGCGGAAAAGTCCTCGGTCGATACTACTCTGGTTCATAATGACGGAATCTTCCTGATTGTAACCGGAGTAGCATGCAATAGCCACAATGGCGTTCTGGCCGGCCGGAAGCTCACGGAATTTGAGGAATTCCATGGACCGTGTCGTGGCCAGAGGCTTCTGCGGGTAATACAAGATATTTGCAAGAGTTTCCATACGCTGGTCAAAGTTTGTAAGGAATACACCCATGGCTTGTTTACCCATGGCAGACTGGTATGTGTTACGAGGAGACTAGCACACTTGTTAACAAGAGAAGAGGAGATGTTAGCCCAATCTAAACTTACCTGGTTGTGGTCAGGGAAAGGAATGATACTGGCGCAAATACCAAGAATCATACTCGGGTGAATCTCGCAGTGCGTCCAGGTGTGGGCGGTAGGGTTGATAGGGGCCTTGACACGTTTATTCGGATCAGACTTGTCCTCGGGTAGGGCGTAACCGGCTTGAAGTTGTCGTGAAATCTCCAGGTCTTCCGGCGTCATGACAATCATTGCCGTTTCCTCCTCTTCTGCGTCAAGATATTCAACCACACCAGTGTTGACCAATCCCTTCCAGCCAAAAGTTCTTTCCTCCTTTTCCTCAGGATCAAGGTTGGGATCAAGCTCCTTATCATCTTCAAGTCGCATAATGTGTTCCTTGTTGAGAACAAGATTTCCACGGTTCGGGCTCTTCGGGTCATTGTCAATGACGAAGAGCGGTCGGCACACACGACCAGCGTCGGTGAAGATCTTGAATTCACGGTCTCGAATATCTCGCACCAAACTGACCTCGTGAGAGATCATGTGTCTTCTTCTAAGAGAGATGACAGTGTTGACGAGATGAGTAGGATCTCTGTGGACACCAACCCAAACACCGTTGACGAAGACCTTGGTTGCATTGGGTGATCGCTGGGGCTCATATTCTTCTAGAACCTCCATGTTTCGCTGAATCATGAACTCAATGATAGGCTCGCTAGGCGTACCAACAGTGATGTAACACATGAGTGCCAAGTTCTTGACAAGACCGCAAGCCTGTCCTTCAGGCGTCTCAGCAGGGCAAACAAGACCCCAGTGAGTGTTATGTAGCTGTCGCGGTTTGGCAATCTTGCCATCACGACCGATTGGAGTGTTTGTTCGCCGAAGATGCGAAAGTGTAGACGAGAATGTGTATCTGTTGAGCACCTGAGAGACACCCGCCTTGGAAGACATAGCCTTCTTCTGGTCACCCCAGTTACCAGTAGCCAAGGAATACTTGAGACCATTGGTGATAGTAGTCGACTTGACACCAAGCGTCAAGTTGAACTCGCGGTTGTTCTCAACACACTTCTGAAGGTACTTGTACACGTCTTTTGTCAGCTTGTTGAAAAGCATTCGGAACAAGCTTGCAAGCAACGGTCCAGCCAAGTCAAGTCGCTTCTTTCCGAAATGATCTCGGTCATCGACTTCGCGACGGCCAAGAGCACATTGCAACATGCGGTGGATCATATAACCAAGGAAGAAGGCCTTCCTTGTCTCACTGCCCTCCTTTTGTGAAATGTGAGGGAGCAATTCCTTCTGCATGATATCCCGAGCATACTTGATACGCTTGTCACGAGTAACACCAGTCGAGTTTCCACGCTTGCCAATGAAGTCCAACGCGACCTCACGATCCTGGATGACGAAAGCCTCTTCGATACAGGGTTTAAGCATCTCCAGCATTTCAGTGTCGTTCCGGTCGTAGCAGATGTGGTTCAGGATATCTTCATCTGAAACGACGCCCAAGGCTCGGAAGACAATAGCAATAGGAATCTCAGACTTGATGTACGGCAGAGTACACTTGATAGTCTGACCGAAGCCACCTTTAGCGCCTTCGCCTCTGGCGAAAAGCTTGACCTGCATACTGGAAATGAGACGAGAGCCTTTCTCGAGGGCACTTCGAATCTCAGCGACGTAAGGCGTCTTGTCACCCTTCTTATGGAACACCTGAACGATGTTTGCAGCGCTTCGTTCTTGGGCAATCAAGACCTTCTCACTACCGTTGATAATGAAGTATCCACCCTGATCGTAAGGGCACTCGTTCCAGGTATACAACTCCTGCTCGCTCAAATCCTTGAGGATACAGTACTTGGACTTCAACATGATAGGTAGTTTTCCGACGAAGACCTTGGTCGGCTCCGCCTCGTCCTCCATGCCATCCTCATTCTCCCAGTCGAGGTATGTACCGCCACGCTCGCCATCCACCTCCATTGGCATACCATCCTCATCGACCTTATCCACTGCCTGTCGCTCTCGTGCTATCATGACCCGCTTGGTCATTTCAAGGTACAACGGACTCGAATATGTGAGATTTCGCAGCCGGGCTTCTTGGGGCAGCATGACACTGGTGCTTCCATCGCCCTCAGTCATTGCCGGTCTCGAGAGTAGCACGGTACCGAATTTGATCTCGTATCTTCGGAGCGCAATCGGATCTCGGTCGTCATCGGTCTGAGGCGCATGCTGGTCGAGGGTGAGCTGGGAGTTCTCCTCCACGAGCTCTTGCATGGTGGTGGACACGAATTCATCGAAAGAATCGAGCTGCTGCGAGACCAATCCCTTGGCATCAAAGAATGCCGAGATGACGGTCCAGCAGTCTTCGGCGGTGATGCCTTCTTCCTCCTCCACGTAATACCCATCTTCGTATCCCTCCTCGTAGTCGGCCATTTTGATCGACGCCGTCAATGCTATAAGATAGTCGATTCGAGTCCGGTATAGAGCGCCTCTAGTCAGTCAAGACGAGACGGATCAGAACGTCAAAATTGTGGAAGCCGAGTCAATCACGGCGAGACCGAAAGCGTTATGCTGAGTGGGCGCGTTGGCTCCGCTCTGTTCAAACTCGCCACTCTGAAGGTTCCGGGTTCAGAGAAATACTGTCTTCGAGTCCGGGCGGGTCAAGACTCGGCGGACGATTGAATGAAGATCTAGACAGGCTGTCTAGATGTAAGGATCATGAAAAGAGATGTGGCGCGCGCACCAACAATCTCACCTCGAGAGCGGAAGTTGAGAATAGTCTGGTCAAAAAGCAGACTTTCCACCTCCTCAGGCGCAAATCCGACCGACTCGTCGAATGAGGTCAAAGAAGAAAAGAATAGGCTCTCTCCCCTTCAGCGCCTTCGAGATGGGACGCGCTCGAGTATAGAATGAATGGAGACCGAAGACCTCGCGGATGAAGTCGCAAATAAAGTTGATCCGCCAGAAACAGCTTCACTTGCCGTCGTTATTGTTCCATCCGTCTCCCCGTGCCGTCACAGGATGAGTTAAGTGCAGTCGTGCGTACTTTTCGGAACGTATTACGTAAGATGTCGCCTCAGCAGCTCGTCCAACAGACTAGCCTGCTAAGGGAAGATTAGAGACAACGACAACAACGGTCAATCATATTTGGTGTTGGCAGATTATTCTATTATCTGGCGGCTCAGAAAGAATGATATATCTATTTACACTATGGACCAGGAACTAGGTCGAAGATGCCTATAAAAATTGCATCAACGTTGTCAACATTTCCTTTGCCGAAACTAGCTCTTCACTTTCGTCTCCACCTTCCATCTCGTCGAGCCGTTCTATAACTGAGTATTAGCATGTAGCAGAACATGACCAAAGAATTCAACTTGCCTTGAAGCGATCGCTTCACATCTGAGAGTGTGTGCCCTTGCTCACCGAGACGCTTCGAAATTTCGCTTCTGGCGCCATCATCTTCAGCAACAAGCCAAGCAATCACAAGATCAAGTGTCTTTACGAAATTGTTAGCCCAGAGCAGTGGAAACAAAAATGTGGATGATAACCCACCCTTGCGCAGAAAATACCAGAGTCTAGCCTTCGAGAGTACCATTCATCGGCCATTGCCTCTTGGTCTTCTTCAGAGAGAGCTGCGCGCTCCCGCTCAATCTGCCGATCCACAGCAGCCAGATCTTTTTGGTATCGCTCTCGTAAAGTCAATAGCTTTCCGATCTTCCCGTATTCACCCTCCATGAATTTCGCCAGGACTCGTATCCGAGGATCAGACTCGTAGGGAAGAAGTCGCAATAGTGATTCGAACATGCCCAGGAGATGTTCGATCATTTCTTTGTCGTCCTAGTGCTTGTCAGCTGCGTGTCTCAAAACAGTACAGAAGATATATTGACCTTCTTCATGAAAAGTCCAAAAATGGTTCCCAGACCTCCAGCCTCAATCACCTTTGCGCATACCCCAGCGCCGTGTTGTCCGCCCATGGCGTGGTCCAAGACCCGCAGAGCCCTTGATCTGCTCAATTTGCCGCCTTTGAGCATGATAATACACAGCTCAATACCTTCGGCCTCGATAAACTTATCCTTGCCCTCCACTTCTTCCATTACGCATGTTAAACCATCAAACAGGTTCTCCACATATTCCTCTTCGTCGCCCCCTTTTTCCGGGTCCTTCTTTCTGTACGCACTGAGTAGTTGTAGCACTAAATCTACCCCATCAATTTCAGCGAAGTGTTTTCGGTTCTTCGATGATGACTGCAGGAGGATAGAGAGCAGCTCTGCCGCATATTGCTTGTTTTGGCTGACCGGAGTCTCTTTCTTCTGGATTCGGCGGGAAATCCATTTGAATACGGTACTTTCGAGACTGATTTTTTCGGCGATTGACTGCTGTGATGCGAGATTTTCCAAAACACCTACAATGTTTTAGTATACGATAAAATTAAGCTGTCAAAGCCTTCCTCGACATACTTAAGGCATAGTAAACTCCGCTCCTGTCAGATTCATTTTGTTCATCAAGCCTCTCAAAATTTTGGACAGCAAGATCCAAAAGGCCAGCGTCAAGCTATTATTTGTTAGTACACTCGGCTATGAGGTTCCAAGGATGCAAGACATACCATTGCATTAACTATTGCGTCCCATTGCTCCTGCTCGGCAGCAACATCTTCGTCTATCAGTTCGCTGATAATTTCCATGGCGTCGATTGCTATATCAGTATTTTCGTGTGCAAGCAAGCTGACTAGAGAGTTGACGCAACCGAGCTTCACGAACTCTTCGTACAAATGCGGGTGCTCGCTGAGGATAGAAAGGGCCTTGATATCGGCATCTAAATCTGCTTCTGAGCTCATGAACCTAGTTTTCACGCAATATTAGTTCACAATCACAGTCACGAATATTTCTAGAGTGTTTTACTTTTGCGGATCGTTTTCGTGCTTTGCGCGCAACTCTGCATTCTTCGAGATGCGCTTCTCAAAGTTCAATGCCATCTTGCGAACCCAAGCGGCATCGATTTTTTCTGGCTGCAACACTATCAGCCTTTGTCCCTCTCCGCGACTGTTGTAGTTTCTTTACCGCAGCAGCTCCCTGATCAAGCTCATCTATAAAGTCCAGCGCCTCCGCCGTATCCTGTGTTATGCCACCGCCGAAGAATCGGCCTTCCTCATCGTCGGGATCCAGGTCGTCTTCTCCCGGTGGCAATGCTGGACCAGCTTCAACGTCATCGTCATCGTCTACTTCGTCTTCAACCGTGGCGCGTCCCTTGCCTTTGACATCGCCGTTTGCTTCGAGCTTGGCAGATTTGTAGACTTCCTCTGCGGACCGGCGCATTAGTATTTCGAAACCAAATCAGGAATTGAGCTCTTTCTTCAAGTAACGTACCAGCGTTACGATCAGCATCGAACTTCCGCTTGCCTCCGGAGAAGCCTTGTTTCTATAGGCCCAGACATTTAGATTAGCTATAGTCCTTCTCCGGCAGAAAAATTCTAGGCCTTCCTCAAACCTACATTGAATAGCTCGTCAATGCTAGTCATATTGTCCTTCAAATGCAATCGCCGCAGAAAACACCGGAATCGTCAAAAGTCGTTGATTTTTAATAGCAAAACGAGGACTGAGTTCGCGCTAGCACGAATCTCAATGCGGATTTCTGAGATAGACCGCCGCAGTTCCGCTTGCACTGCAACCAAACTCTTCAAAGGTTCCGAGGTCGTCGAGGGTTTGATGGTTATACACTACAGCCGGGGTCCAGCTTCGTAAAGGCTGTGTATGCGAACAAGACTGAAGAACAGGAATTAGCTTAAGCAGGCTCAGAGAGTGTGCATTTGTAACACAAGGCAGCAGAGTGCGAAAGCTAAACAGAGCTAATGCAAACAATCAGAACTCACAAAAATGTGCAAGGTCGTTCTGAAATTCAAGTTGTTTTTCAATGCTCATGAGCTAGAATCCTTCAACGCGCATCATTTTTGCGCAAGATGCCGCTCCGCCTGCCGTAGCCAACAATGGTTCAATCAAGTCTGGCAACGAAGTGGTAAACATTAATGCATTGAATTCCTACAGTTGCAACAGTACGGAAAATCTATAATATTATTCTCATACTCTTGCATTATATTTCCGTGCTGGTGCATATTAATTTGCATAAAGAATTCGAAGATTTAATCTGATTCTTTTTATTAATTGACAGCAAATGATTTTTTCTACCCTTCATGCTAAATGCAACCAGAAAATGCTCATACATATCCCTTCATACCGAAGCAAAATCGAATGCAAGCAGGTCTATAATCTATATTCTAAAATCGCAGTTTGTTTTTTTTTTCTTCCTCTCCAACCCTTGAATCATGCCATCCAAGCGCAATTTATAGTTCGCCAGTAATGAATTGCGCACGGCCCATACCGAAACTCCAGTCTTCCTTGGTATTGGCGCTGCAAGAAATAATCAAGTCCTCGCCGGACAGACCGCACTCTTCACCGAGCTGCTTGGCGAGGGCCGCGAAGGCAGTGTGCTTGACCTCTGCAGAGCGGCCTTGCTGGAAGATTTGAATGATGACGAGCTTGTTGGTGCGGGTGAGGCCAAGACCGGTGTCTTCACAGATCAACTCATAATCTTCGTGCTGAGTGATGATCTATGAATATGCCACGTTAATTCCAGAATCAAACTCGTAATGAACAAAAAGTTTTCAAATATAAAACTGAAAGATATAAATTAAATCGATAGAATGACATGAAAACCTACTTGATACCGATCCCTCTTCGGCGCATTAAAGGTCGTGAGCATCACATCCTGCACCACATCCGCGAGTTTGCGAATTTCCGCTGGGGAGCGGACGCCCTTGATCATATCGATTTTGACGAGAGGCATTTTCGTTTTGATTCTCCTTTAAGTCTCCTTTTTGCTAGTCCAAGATTGAATTGCAATATATGCTTCCTTTCTTTGTGCAGTGCGAGCGTACGACGTAAGAGAAGGGGTATCGAAACAAGACGCGGTTTCAGAGAGACAGTATGCTCAAGAAAGAAGAAAAGGAAAAAGAAAGAGAAATCAATTGCTACGAGCAAGGGATCCAAGTCTTATACAGTGGGGTTATCAACCGGGGCCCGGGCCGGGTTGTTGTTGTTCAGGATCCACTCTTCCATAATTTCGCATCGTAGATACGGAAATATTAAACGCAGTAGTAAACTTTCTCCACATAATTGTCATTGGTTTTCGTCGAAATATTACATGAAGGCGTTACCATAACATATTGAAGATATGTGGGGATATAGCTCAGTGCCGGAATTTGAGTGACGGGATCAGGGACAAGTCGTAGAGTCCAACGTAGCATCATCATCCGCAGTGGAGGAATCTGCCCGATAAGCAAGTTCGACAGATCCATATCAGATTAACAAAAGATGCCTGGAAGCTATCAAATAGCCAATGAGAACAGAGCATAACGACTTTTGGAGGGAGATTCGGATATTTATCAGCGCTTATCACTTTCATTTTCAAGGGCAAGATAACTTATCGTCTTAGAGAACTCCTGGGTCTGAATCGTACGTCTTTCGGTATAAAATCTACGCATGCGAGCGCTCCCCAATCCTCCGCCCGTCTTTCAACGCCAGGCGGAATTGCGAAGATAACAGGACCTTAAAAAGAAAAATAAGCTTAAAGCCAGGCGATTTCGAGCCAAAATTGTTGTTACCATTTAGATGACAGAACATGCAGAATATTCTATTAATTCTCTAGATTTTCTAGACTTCTTTTAGTTCAAGTGGAGATTGTGGATTCAAAATAACGCTATAATGTATAAAAGCATCCAAAAACCAAAAGCCAAGTGCATTCTTTCCCTGCTGTAACTCTTTTCCCTGGGTATATTACATATATAGTGATGAAAGTTGGTACTCAATTCTCCTGCGGGAATTGCAACAATTTGTGTATCCGTGTCGTCTCGCTAGAAATAATCGTCAAAAAAAATCTCAAGCCCCTATACCATCAATCCCTGACTGTAGGTGGTCTATAGAATTTGAGATGAAGAACCGCCGATATGTGATATGCGTGCAACGCACAATGGTGTTGAACTAGGGTGGTGTCACTGAAGGGGTTGGCAGGATATCGCCCTTTTCTCCCCTGAACGTTCTCCACCAGCGTGTCTGGGTCCATAAGTCGCCGTCTCGATCGCCTACCACCATCCACCACTTCTGAAGAAACCACGGCGCGGCTTCCCAATATCGTTGATCCCAAGGCTGCCCACTGCCATTTCGGGCGCCTCGCCAACATTTTAACCCTCCACTGACCATATCCATCTTGAACTCGCCCATGTCGAAAATGGGAGGACTGACTGCGGCTAAAGAAATGACGCGCTCACGAAGGTTTGGAAACGGAACAAGATCGAAAAACGGGTGATGGTTGTATAAAACTTGGGCGCGCACAGGGCGTAAATCAGGCGGATAGTGCTGCCCCATTTGCTCCAAGATCGGCTCTATATTGTCTGTTGGGTCGACATCGGGACGGTAAAAGATAGAGCCGCGACCCCACCGGTACAACTGGGGTATTGACATGCCAATGAATTCGGAATTACGTACAATGGCTTCCTTGACATCGCACTGTGATATGTTTATAGTGTCCGCAAAGGGGTCTCCGATTCCTTGAAGCGCACGAGCTGAACTGGAATTTGGCACGTGCCGGTTTTGAACGGCTTCGAGGCCGGTGAGGAGGATTTGTCCGAGATTCAGCCTGTTCTCTCGAATGACGCGCATAATGTTGTTATTCTTCTCGTTGTTTTCAATTTGGAAGAGGCGCCGGAGTATGTCTAATGCAGGATCATTACTATCATCTTCATTGCGCCCTTCAAGTAATCGACGATCACGGGTTGTAGAGGACGCTGGTGACTTCGGCCGGGACAAGTCGCCTCCCGGACGAGATGCAACTTGAAACCCAGTTTGCTCTAGAGAGGACGTTGGAGAAGAGCTTTGACTGTCTAGATTTGCAAATGGTAGCGGAACCTCCTTGCCGAGAGCCGTCGTATCTTGAAAAGGGTAGGGCGTTTTCCGCCCGACGCTTGACCGTTGCAGTAATCGCGTCCAATCAGTTTGATCTGAAAGACTCGGAATTGGACTAGGTTGCACCGGTGAAGACTGCGTAACTGGAAGCTGGCTTGATTCCGGAGCATCAAAGGACGGTACAGATGGTATTGACGGTATTGACGAGTCGGTTGCGGGGCCATCGCTCGTCTGGGTGGGCATGCTGACGCCAGCATTGTCGTATAGAGAGAAATCGACATTTCCTAATAGAGGACCGTCCAGTGGATAAAGTGGAAACAGGCTCGAAGAAAAGTCCAAACTGTTGTTCAATCCATAGTCTGGTTGGGTTGGTACTCCCAAGTCAACAGAGCCAAGCGGCTGTTTAATTGTCTCCTGATGCTGCAGCCCTTCATCTAGTTCGCCTGCTGGTCCAGAGGATCCTGAACTTGACGTCGTGCCCGGCGTGGGAATATGATGGATCTCTTCTTCGGGAGATGATTGTTGCTGTTCCGGATGTTGCAGCTGCCCGGTCGCTTGCCTTTCCATATGCTGAGCGACCATGCGCTCTAGTTCGTCGATTCGAGCCTTTTGCTTTTCACCTATAAGACTCTTTCTCAGCATTCTGTACCTCAGCATCGCTGCGAACGAGAAGATAGCATTTTAGTGACACTTACGATAGGTGCGCTGGGCTTTTCTATTTTGTGTCTTTCTCTTCTCCGTCAAAGGCCGCCGACGACCTCCGCGCCGTGTCTCGGCGGCGATGTCGTTATCGTCAACCAACATAACGTCTTCTGCCATCTGAAGGGCCATGATTACAGATGATTTCCTTGTTGAATTACTATACAGAGAAAAGTGATGAATAATTGAGAATGAAATATTGTCGGAGAGAAAGACGACGATGATGGCTTGACGCAGGGATGGGGGCTATCATTTAGCTCCGTTAACACCGGTAGCCCCGCAGCCGAAATTCCTCTATTAGGGATAGCAGAGCTGACATTGTTCGCAATGGAGTAAAGCGTAGAATCTTTTGTCATCATCAATTGAGTCAGACTTTCCCAACTTAGGGACGAGGTTTTGTGTGCAATATAATGCCTCAAGGTGGCCAGGAATACAATTTGCATATGGCTTCGGTCTTGGGTTGTTGTGGTCAAGCTTACACAGATCTCCAAGAAGGAAAGGGTATTGCTTGTACACTCTCGCCCGCCAATTCCCCAAAATTGAACGTAGAATGAAAGCCTCTACGGATGATCAATTGAACGCAACATATATCCCCTTTGCTACGTCCCACTCAAAATATCATTGCAACGATAAGTTATAAGATGAATTAGCTTGTGCAGTGGCGGATAGGGCGAGTTCTAGTTCTCGGGAGAAAAGGTCCAAGCTGGGGGAAACTCCGGTTGCTCCACCCAGCGGGAACTCTTAAGGGACTTGGCTTATCGATAGCTGAGTCAGCTTCACTTACGCGACTTGTGGTCTGCCGTAGCAATTAAATCACGGTAAACACGCGTAGTGGGACGTAACGACAAAGAATGAAGCCGTTCCTATGGAGCGAATTAAACATTAAATCAAAGAACAAAAAGACGTAGAGGCTATGCGACGAATGCCTGCATTACTAGTCCGTCATGTCCGTGATTGCACCGAAATATCGGAGCGTCTCGAGCGAAGAGGCGCAAAAGGCTGGGCAGCAATACTATCGTGAAAAGAACTATGAAGCTGCTCTAGAGGCGTTTTCAGCAGTGAGTAAACTTCAAGTCAAATGTTGAAGCTATCTGACAAATTTTAGGCGATAGAGCTAAGCCAATTCCCGGCGAGTGCGCTGGACAACAGAGCTGCAACTTTTGAGAAGCTTGGTGATCTTCGATCTGCGCTGAAAGATGCAAAGCAGATGATCCAAGTAGAGAAAACAGGTGTCAATGTAGGCAAATTTTGGAAAACAATCAAATTGATTCACGCTAATCCTTCCATTCGAAGGGCTATCTTCGTGCGGGAAAAGTCCTGCAGAGAATGGAGAAAGCTGAAACAGCCTTGGGCGTCTACAAATACGGGCTGAAACACGTCCCAGGAGATGCTGAGAACTACAAGGTAGAGATCACCGATATTCCCAATTGCTCTCTATCCAGCTGACAACTATCCAAAGCTTCTCAAAGGAATGCACGACAAGCTATCCGGGAAACTGAACCCTGTTGCGCCCAAAGAAGTGGACCCGTTAAAGACATTGCCTCTTGAACTCACCGAGCAAATCCTCAGACAGCTAGATTTTAAGACTATTGTGTAAGACTCTTTCTCTTTCAACAACCAGTTTGCCTTTCTGCTAACTACATTGACAGACGATGCCTGAGGGTCTCCAAACAATGGAATCTCTTCTTCGAATCCTTGCCCTCACTATGGGCAGAACTAGACTTCTCACGCGCACGCAGACCGATCCGCGTGACTGCTATTCGGGCATGCATGCGCAGATCCAGAGGCAAAGTACTCTGCGCCAAACTCAACCGCGTTGCCGTCCAAGACAGCGACATCCTCACGACCTTGACCACGCGATGCAAAGAACTTCGACACCTCGAAATCGTCAACGGTTTCTCCGGAAGCTCCATTCTCGACGCTGCACCACTAGCTATGAACCTCGAGAGTATCGTCCTCTCCGAAGCCGCAGAAATGAGTCTTGACGGGGCAAATGTGCTTTTGCAAAAATGTCCCAACCTCCAACGGGCTGAATTCAAAAATCTCATATCCGCTGGGAACCGAATGGCCTGGCCTGTGAAAATGGAGAATCTGCGCATATTACGGCTCGAATCGGGGTCGAAAAAAGTGTCATCTGTTTTTCTCAACCTCGTACGTTCCCCTCCTCTCACCCTCTCTTTCTCCCTCCCTCCCTCCCTCCCTCCCTCCCTCTCCTTTAACTACCGCCGTCCCTCTATCTCTCTGTCTCCCTGTCCTCTTCCACCCCACCTCATTTCCATCATCCCAACTAACTACCCACCCCCTAGAACGCTCTCTTCGAGCACGCCCCCAACATCACCGAGCTCAGCATCATCGGATGGCTCAAAGACAACCTCCCGCTCGTCGCCCCTGACTTCGGGAAACTCCCCCACCTTACGCATCTGACACTAAACCCCGTTCCGACCGCCGTCTTTCCTCGCCTTCCCGCAAGTCTCACGTCCCTGAGCATGTCCGGGTGCTACAGCATGGACTTCTTCTCGCACCCCATGACGCAAATCAACCTCTCGAGTCTGCGTCTCGAGAATCTCACCGAACTGCGGATCCACGACGGACAGTATCTCCCTGCGGACGTAGCGCGGACTTTACTTGCGCATTGCCGTGGCGACGACAAGCTCCGCATTCTCGGCATCACGCGGTGTCTCTTCATCAACGATACCGTCATACAACAGTTTCTGGACGAAGGCGTGCTAGTCGCGGAACACCTGGAAGAGCTCGATCTTTCGGATAATGCGAGTATTACTGATACGACGGTCGAAGCGCTCGCGCAGCATGGCGTGGCTGCGCTGAAAAAGCTGAATCTCTCACGGACGCGCGTGACAGGGGCTGGTCTCAAGACGCTGGTGACGCATCCGAAAGCGAACAAGCTGGAGCGGCTGGTCCTGAATGGATGCACGTCCATGGGCATCGACGCGGCAGAGTATATCAAGACGAAAGGGATAGCTGTGGAGTTTCGGTTCCCGGATAATCTCAAATACGGCAAGAGGATTCGATACGGATGAAGTGCCCATCTTTCATAGAATCAATGACCCAACACAAGTATCAACAAGGGGATATGCGGTTTCCGTTATACACCTTTCCGTTCAAAAACGCACTACAATAATGAAATTTTCCGATTAAATACTCCTTAGATTTTATATCCGTCCTCGAGACCCATTGGCTGTCTCGAGAGACATTACTTTTCTCTCAGACGCACACCTCCAAGAGTGTCCTGGGCCATAATCACGATTATGCAATAATACCCAGCGCACTCATCAAACCGAGCACGAGAGCCAAATACACCACCATCCACGAACCCATTCCCTTTACCCACCAGCCGCATGGTCCTGTAAACCGACTATTTGCGCCGCTCTGGACCACAACGCTTCCTTGCGGGCCAACGACTTCACAGACTGCCATTTTACCCTTGACGCCTCCGGCTTTCTTACAGTTCTGCTCATAAAGCTCATCCAGTCCGGCGTCGCTCGCCGTGGTATTGTAGTAAAAGACTATACCGCGGACATACATGTATACGTCGGTCGTGCTGGGCGGACCAGACCACTGGCTTCCGTCTGCCCAGAGATTGAACTGGATCGTGCCGCCGCGGGTATATTGCGTGGTATTGGTGCTCCCGTCTCCTCCGGTTCCACTGCCAGAGTCGCCGCCCGTATCGCCAGATCCGGCAGTGTAGCCACCATTGTCAAGACTATCCGAGGTCCGCGGACCTGCTGCCTTCTTCTGCGCAGAATTACGAGCAGGTAGATCCTCGGCAAAAGGAACATTCACGCCCGTCGAATGAACCGGTTTGTCGCCTTGATAAAAAGTAATCGAATCCGGCAGCCAGTCGAAGCGATGGAACTGAAAATCTGTCCAAGGCTGGAGAAGCGTGACCGGTGTGGAAGCGCCAGGGACAACGCTTCCGTTTGACGCATACACAGACGGATGGGTAGTGTAGTGGATAGTCGTAGTATTTTGTTCTTTTGTGAGAACTTCAATATCAATCTCATTGGTATCATTCTGTGTTAGTAGTAGTAGTCAGTGATTTAGTTTTGTGGTTGTGTCGACGCAGTCAATCGTTTTATGGCGACACGACCAGTTTGACTCGCAAAGAGAGGAAAGAAGTAAAGACAAAAAAAAGTGAAGACGGGGAAAAAATTGAAAATAATAAAGAAGTGAAGACGAGTGAAAGAGGGAAAAACATACATGATACCAAAAGAACCCCCCAACGCTGCCGCGTTCATCCGATACTTTCAGCTCTGCCCGAAAACTGCCGTGTAGGAAATCATCCCTATTGCTCACAATCGCCGCAATGCCCACGCTTTTATTCGCCTTGGCATCTTGCGCCGAGAATCCCGTCTGACGGAGCACCAGCGCCCCATTTTGGATATAGACGTTAGACTCGTTATTCTGGCGCGCCAGAGGGTTTTGCGCATCCCGGGGCGCGGCCCAGGATTGCACAGTCCAGTCGCGTGCAAAGCTCTCTGCGGCGGGGTTGGGATTCGACGAGTCCAGCGGCGCGGCCGAGTCGGCGTAGAGCGTGAAATTGTTGAGTAACATATTGGTATACAGCGCGCCCGTGTCTTGCATCTTGTATCCGCACTCGCATGCTGCGCTGGCGGGGGAAACATGGAAGGCAAAGAGGAAGAGGAAGAATGCTGCGAGGGATGTGAGGGATGTGAGGGGGGTGAGGAGATTGAGAACCCTAAAAAGATTGAGGAGGTTGATTTTGACAAAGATATTAGAAGAGTTGGGTGTTTGCAATGACGAATTGCCCGGTTGAGATTGGGCAAAGAAACGCGAACGGGACAGTGAGCAAGAAGTGGACGATAAAGATTCGTGTTCTATGGGTATATCGTGCGCAGTTGTAGATGCGCAATGGATTTGTGCATTTTGAGCTCGTGAAGATGCGGCAGGTAAATCAGACCGTCGAGATTGTCGAGACTGCGGAGAATGTAAAGGGCGTGACAGATATGATAAATGAGAAACTTGCGAGTTGGATGATGATGATGGTGAAACAAATGGCTGTGAAGATGATAAATGGCTCGACGAATTCGCAAGCGGAGATGCAATTGAGGCCGCCATGTTCTTTGCCTTTTCCCCCATGCCAAGGATAGGATTCAAATCGCAACGATGGCACCGGCAACGAATGAAACTGATTGTAAAGACAACTTTTTCGATCGCAATGGTACCAATGGTATTAAACGCAGGTAATCCCGGAATGGAATTACAAACAGTGTAAAGTATCCCCGGCCCGCTCTTGGTGTGGCTTTTGCTGTAGTGAATGTGAAGCAGCAATGGTCGCTTTGAAGACCGAATGTATAACGAATTGGTTCAATATACGCTGTCATTCAATACCGCTTGTTCGGCGAACAAGCAATTGAAGAGCTGACAGAGACTTTGCTTGGAAGAAGGAAAGACCGCTGAATATGGCACTTCCAACGACCGTGTCCGATACGGAAGGTGCAGCTCTGTCTGACTGGAAAGAAATGCCCGAGGGAGAGGACGGCGACGACGACGATTATGATGATGATGATGATGATGATGCAGGATATTTTAGTGACAGAAGAAAGACTCTCGTTGCATAAAGCTTTCTTGTGAATGATTGAATTCCCGGGTTCCTGGTTCCTATTCAATTAAATTCGCAGTAGAGTTCTTCTAAATTCCGCCCGTTCTTTCGCAAGAGAATCGGTGAGCAAACCAGAAAAGAGCGACGAGGAGACTAAATGATACAAGGAAGAGGAGGAAAAAAGGGCAAAGGCGAGGCAGGTGGCAGTCTTTTTGATTTCGCCTCCCATCTCGCACGACATTCTCCCGGCCGATGTGCTTTCCCGTTGGGCTTCTGGCGGGGTGTGGATGCAAGAGTCCCCGAGGGCAGAGATGTCGCGAGCAAGACATGCAGAGGCCATGCAGTCAAGCCCATGTACTCCTAGGGGGAAGTGTACTCGTACAGTCCACATCGATCGAATTGTCGCCCAGAGAGCCGTACCGAAAAGGAAGTGGCAAGCGCCACGATCCAACGCTCTTTCCAAACCTGCCCGATTCATATTAGGGATGCTGCACTCCGCACATACTCCCCGATACGCGGTCGTACAAGTTCAGCACTATGGAGAGTAAAAGAAAATAAAGGAGATAGATGCAGGTTGCCGGAAATGAAAATAATAAATTCTCAGCGCCGTAGTAGATGGTCGTAGATGAGCGGAGAAGCCGATCATATTGTCCCTTGGGTTTTTTGAATTATTCTTTTTCTTTAAGGAAAAGCCATCATGATTGATGCCAATTTCGACGTACAGTATTCGGCGCGATTAAGTTTAGCGTCAAAAAGGGCAGAGTGATTAAGAAAGGAAATAATATAGGCGAAACATGCAATCCAGAGGGACAGAATAGAAGGAATAAGAGGGCGTTTTCACCATTATAGGAAAGAACAGCCCCCAGTATTGCACATTTTGACGGCGCCACCTGGGGAGGGTTAGACAAACCGACATTTTGTCTTGGTTCCCCTTGTGTCGTCTCGCCAATGGGACGCAGTCCGTGTCACACAGACTCGCCTGCACCTTGCCGGAAATATGAGCAATCGCTGTACATGAGGACTGCAACTAATTTCTCGACCGTGATATCGGTGATACAAAGAAGGAAAAGTATCCAAAGGCAAGAAGCCATGCCTAGAATGCCTTTCTCTCTGGATGGGCACCTCCTATGAAGACTGGCGCATGCAGTGACCACATCTCGCGGGCGACTCTTGATATCCCTCATTTTTACTGCTGGCAGCTCCGATGAACAGGGCTCGTCATGATCTCGTTTAGGAAGTTGGGTCTGTGCTAACTTAGTGCTGTCAAGGGGGATGACAGATTAGGCAGACCCCGGATCCAATGCCTGTTAGTATTATCCACAGCAGTTAGCCACCGTTGGACCCAGCTTCTCTGGTTGCGCACTTTTGCGCGCGAAAACTTACCGTAATTTCTTCCTGCCGGGGTTCGGGTTCTGCAGTCTCTTTTTTGAAGATGGATCCTCCAGTCCAAATGACCTGCAAGATGAAACGCTTATTAGTGAAGAAAACACCAAAATTGGACGAATCCTGTTCTCGCGTAGACGTACAATGGGGACGGCCATGACTCCACTCAACAGGCCCAAGGTCCATGACATTGTCTTCCATCCGGCCCGTTCTTCGATAAATCCCGACCAGACAGGGCCAATCAATGTTCCTCCTGCAAATGCCGTATTGAACAATCCATATGCTTGAGCATATGCCCCTGTCGGGCCGAAACGGCCTGGATATTTCTTTTCTTTCGCCTCAACCACATAAGTAATCTCGGCCATCAAAGGCGGCATCGCAAGAGTCAAACTGAAACCAATGAATGCGAGAAGAGCGCAGAGAAGAACTTTTTGTCCCGTCGAATCATGATCCACCAAGCGGAGGAGAACCCAAAATGGAAGAGCAAGGATGAATCCTATCGTCGCCAGCCACCTAGGCCCGTATTTATCAGAGAGGAAACCTATATCATATTAGCTTTCAACCCTGCAATGCGATCCACGGTGTCGCATGTTGCATACCGACAACCGGAGAAACGAAGGAAGGCAAGACCGCGGGAAGAAAAATCAGTCCTGCCGCCGTCGCACCCCAGTGGAAAATCCTATGAACATAAAGCGGAAGTACCTATCACGGGCGAAAATTAATTAGCGCTTTGTTCAGATGAAATATAGAAGGCAAACTGACACTGTCGAAACTTGTCATGAGTGCGGCTTGGACAAGACAACCGAATAACGCAGACAGCAATCGACGCGATTTCAGCAGCGTGACGATAGGAGGGAGCTTCCATTTCTTCGCCGATCGAGTTGTCTCACGCAAGGACGGCGCTGATCCTTCAACGGCTGACGATCTCACGTTGGATGCATTATGCGAGTTCTTTCCAGCCTGGCCGGAGGCTTGTTGCGAAGATCCTTCCGAATCCTGAGCTGAGCCTCCAGCATTCTCGGCATCCTGCGTATCTGCGCAGGTTCCGTAGCTTCCGCCTTGATTGGTGATAGACCACTTAGCTGCAACCTTTTTCTCTATCATCACCAGTCTCAGGAAAATGTCAACTCCGATCAGCGCAAATGCCATGGCAAAAACGGAGTAGTATCCACCATGCGCATACACCACTCCACCGAGTAATGGAGCAATCAAGATGCCAACACTCATCGAAACAGTCACATAGCCCATAGCCTGGCCAATTCCTTTTTGGCCGACGGTATCAACCAAAAGGGCAAGACCAACGGTCCAGACGACTGCGGCTGAGATACCTTGCAGCGCACGCCCGACCAGCAAGAGTGCGATGCTGTTTCCAACGCAGAGCATCACGGTTGCACCACCTAGTGCGATTAGACCCAGGACAAGAGGCCAACGACGAGATGAAGATTGATCCGCGAACCAGCCGGATATCGCTAGTGAAAATATCAGTACATGGAATGGCGAACGCAACCACAGAGCAATAGCCTATGCAGTTTACTGCCGGGAAATTTGGATAGAATGGGGAAAGAAATGAAGTAAAAAGTAGAGGAAAAAGGCGTCTACTTTGGATATGTTGTGATATGCGACTCCTTGTGAAGAATTTACTTACGAGAAAATGCCAACAGTGCAGCGCCATACACTGCAAGTAGTACAGAAACCCATTTTTGTACTATATTACGGTTAGACAGACAGAAAGCATAGGAGTAGCAAATATTTTCACGAACTGTCTTTTTCAGCTACGCTAGCCCTCTCAGACAGCGCGAAGGGTATCACGGGAACAATCTGAAGATATCAATATTTAAATCTATCATCTTGACGGAGCTTCGCTTTACAATTCCATATAAAAATATATCCTATGGAGAGAGTGTGAGCTTGGGCAATTTTATAGAATACGCAGTGGACGAGCTAACCGTGAACACAGCCATGCATATTGTTGACAGAATAAACAGCTTGGATGAACGGTACTTAAGCAGGTACGGCTGCTTGTCTCGATTGCGACGCATCACGCCACCATATTGCTGGGACTTCTCCGCAGCCATCTAAAAAGAGTCAAAAGTCTTCTCGCTGTCCGGCAGCTGCAAAATGATATCAAGCAGGTGAAAAATTGCAAGGCAGAAGACAACAGTCAAGTTCTGCTAGACCATTGAATAGCACGTTTCGCAACGAAATTCGAAAAATAATCTCTCCACATGCCGTATGATGTCCTCCGGCTGGGCGAAAAGGTCATAGTTATAGGCTTAATTGGAGAAGAGTCATCCCGCGCCTTAGGGCCTTTAGCTCTTCCACTAGCTATACCCCGTAAGCTTGGCCCGGAACCTTTTACCTACAGCAGTCAATTTACCTGAGCTGTTGACGTAAACTGGCGCATCTGGGCCACTGGACCAGGGACGTCGTGAAGCTCCTCCGTTATCTATATGAAAATCCGCTCGAAGAGCTGGAACTGTTGACCCTTGATCCATGCCGTTCAAACTACCTCACCTACCCGAAGTGTCCGTTGCTTTTTAACGCTGCGTTATGCAATAGCTCCGATCAAGAAGGCTGATAAACCTTCCTAATGAGGCAAGTCCTTCAAGAAGGTCACGTGCATAACGACGCCGTGATTTTTCGACGATCATTCGGCTATTGATCGTGAACCATATATTCGTGTTGGTTGGTTGCTTTCTTGATAATTGTTGTCCCAGGGATTGATCATCCATTTCGGATAATACATTGGAAATTTCAGCCATGGTCAGAGAGTAATGTCTGCCATATATTATATTGTAATCAATAGTGTAGCATCGAGGGCTCGGAGAGAAGTTTGGAGCTTTTGCTGTCGTCGTCGTTTGCCTCGCTGGTCTTCCGGCAATTCTGCCGTTCCTTTCCGACCGAGGACCAACTAGGGGTCGCCGTATTCGGGACACTAAACGCACGAACCAAACCCGAAAGAGCAACGATGATGCTCCCCCAAGTCAGCAAAGCCGATACCAAGCAGGCACAAATCCGAAATGTCCCAATAGTTATGGCTCTAGAAAATGAGTGTAGAGGCGGTCAAAAGAAGCATATTTAAGGAGTGAAGCGCCGATGTTTTGTTTGGAAGCATTTAAATCTGACAATTGGTTTCAGCCTCTGCCCTTTTTTGAGTGAGTTTCTCATCACTTGTTGCATCAAACACGGAAGCACCACATTGTTGAATACCTTCTCGCTCTGATCTGTCATATTCACGCCCGGCTCAAGGGATTATGGCACCTCTAGAAAATCTAACGCATTTGCTCGCAATTGTCCCATTCGCGGAACCCAAAGGCTCCCTTGACCAAATCCGTGAAAAGAATCCTGGGGTAAAAATAACTTGGATTGAAGTGAAATTGCATCCTCTTGAAGCATGGCAAAATGACGTGCACATTGATCCAGGTGCGTATAGAAATCCCGCAAATTTTTCGAAATTGAATAATATTCGATCGTCAATGTCCATTAATGCATACTCATCATGTTGCAGAAGTGTATAGAGATGTTGATGTTCTCATGACCCTCCGTGCTCTGCCCGAGCCTGGCCAAGCTCCAAGGCTCCGTTACGTGCATGTGTTCGCTGCAGGTACAAATCACATAACCAGCTCGCCTTTGTATCAAAAGTCTGATATTTTTATCACCTCGAGCTCCGGCTGCCATGGACCGCAGATTGCAGAGTGGGTTATGATGACAGCGCTGGCGCAGACACACAGATTGAGAACTCTATACCAATGGCAAGACCAGTGCAAATGGGGCCGCTTCGATGATCACTTCTGGCGAGTCCGAGACCTTGTTGGCCAAAGACTTGGCGTTCTGGGGTATGGCTCGATCGGTCGGCAAGGTAATCTTTCCTCAAAATACTTTTCCCCCTAAAATTAAGCTCCACTGGTTGAGTCCAATGCTGATTTCTCAATTCTAGCGGCACGCGTAGCCAAGGCCTTTGGAATGGATGTCATTGCCTACACTGCATCGCCAAAAACAACACCCGAAAGCAAGAAGGATCAGGCTTATACGGTGCCGGGCACCGGTGATCCGAATGGTGAATTACCATCAGCGTGGTATAGCGGCTTGGACAAAGCCAGCCTCCACAACTTTCTGGCCCAAGGAATCGATATTCTCCTTCTGAGTCTACCGGCCACGCCGCAAACCTATCACATGATAGGAGAGGAAGAGCTGGACATTCTCGGAAGAACAAATCACACCTTCATATCCAACGTCGGCCGAGGTGAGTTGATAGACCATGAGGCTTTGGCTAGGGTTATGAAAAAACGCCCTGGTGATGAAGTCTGGCTGCGCGGCGCTGCACTCGATGTAGCCGAACCAGAGCCACTACCTAAGGACAGTGAGCTGTGGCACATGCCCAATGTGACGATAACACCGCATATTAGCGGCGCTGCAATAGGGTATCTAGAGCGAGGAGTTGATATTCTCGCTCTCAATATCGAGAGGCTTAAGCGTGGCGAACGGCTCATCAACCAGGTCGATCGCCAAAGGGGTTATTGATATGGTTCGTGGCCACTGAATGAGAGAACCAAATCGAATTTTAATATATTCACCAAATTCCCCGGAGCTGTCGTGTTGATACCTTACGTCTTCTTTGCTATTAAGAAGTCCAAGTTTAAGTGAGGTTTTTTGAGTAATTATATCGAGGATAATATGTTAGTGGAGATCAACGGTTGGTAGATTTGGCTCCCTGTGACTGATCGCAAGATCGAGCTCCACGGCGACGTACCGTGGCCACTGTCTCCATCGGATAAGCCATCATTCTCTGGGGGTCATGCAACTCCCGGCAGGGACGACACCAGAAGAGACCCGTCGTTCGCAAGTTCTCGTGGATGCTTGTGATTGCCGCCACGCGAACACTTGCAAGAAAGCTTTGTTCGACTTTCGGGAAAATTGGGGACACCGACAAAGCAACCGCAAAAAAGTGCGCCAAAGTGATCATTACAATCACGTCCTTGTTGGATAGATCAACAACGGCAGATGGAAGCCAAAATAGCCAACTCCTGAGAGGGTGAAGAACCCTATATTGGTCTGAAGAGGCGGGCCCAGGAGGGCAAGTCCGAAGATTCTCAAGAAATTTGAGAAGCTCTCGAACGGCTCTAGCTGGCTCTGGCTTGCCATTGAGACATGGCCTGAAGTTCTCTAAAGACACTAGGGAACGGCCAATGAGATGATGAGCATCCTGTGGAGTAAGCTCGGTCCAAAGGCTGGGTCTTATTGGGGCACCGGAGTCGAGGTAGTCCGAAAAGTCGGACTCGTCTTTCCACGGTTGCATGAGAGTGACTATCTTTAGAAGCGTTAATATTACTGCACCTAAAAAGTCCGGCAAAAAATATCATTACTCACGGATTTGATACCCTCCATAACCGCAGCCCAGCTCCGCCTACTCGAGGTTAGACAGATCTCATAACGTGAAGCCAAGGTGTATCGAAGTTAGTAGAACTGTAGTCATACCATTCATGACACTGAAGCGATAAAAATAATGAAGATGCCAGCACTGCATCAGCATTCTTTCGAGAGAAAGAGTGAATAGCCTGCCGAAGCCCTCTGTATGCCATATTCTGGTAGAGACACGCAATGTTGTCTGCTTCAATCGACTTTGTCATCCAAGCTAGCCGTGAGGCCGAGAACGCCATCAGAGAATAGGCCACGAAATCAAAAGAGAACGATAACCTCAAACACCTATTTCTCGTCAGTAAGGCGTAGGCCAATTCACTAAGTTGCTTGGGCGGCTGACTTTGGCAAATGTGTCGCCATCATTGCAGATATGCTCGTTTTGCTAAGTTCAAGCGTCGAAGAGACTAGACCCATATGATGAAGGTGGCGAAGATCTGGCTGGGCAAAACCATGCCAGGCTGGTGATGCAGGCAAAGCGAGATGTGGGAACGGTGATATTCCTGTCGATCTCCAAATGCTGCAATCATTTTCGATATTTGCAGTCCAGGTCAAGGCATGGGTGCTGTCTAATGCTGGATACGAGGAGACGCTGCACTCCTTGTCTGTCGTTCCAGGGAGATGCCCCTCTCCGTAAGCATTTATCGCCAACGCGAGGGTTGAAGAATCTGGGAACTCGCAGTCCCGCCTGAACTTGATGCAGTTCCGACTTTTGGCCATTAGTTTCTCAACATTAAAAATCATAGAGAATTTTAGAGATATGCAGTCAATAAAATTGTGGAACAGAGTTCAATAATCGCAAAAAAACCCTTCAGCAGCAACAGTAAATGATAAACATAAAAGAAGTTGAAAGCTCTCGACATATAGCAAGAGAGATACTCTGTGCATTTGGTACAGTTGACGTATGAGTAGAGCAATAAACAAAGATTCTGAGTCAATCAAAACAATATATTTGACACTGAAGCACAAATTTAGAATACGGGCTTACCAAACGGGTTTGAACTCGTCACATTTTATACGGTGGATTTTGCATGCCTTGCAACCCTTACGGGATTTTGTATGGCCCCTTCGTCGCAACCCATTTCTTCTTTTCTGCTTCTTTCCTTGTGATTGTTGCAGATTCCCGAGATTTTGATGCAGGGAGTCATCCGATGCCTCGTTAACGGGTATTGCAGGGAGTTTCCGGTTCGACATGCTTTAAATATTATATACGTTCAAGGCGGAAACTGTTCTGGGCTAGAGCAGAATGCATTTCAAATAGTATTGAACGACAGAGTGGCCAATGTCGACCTATTTGTGAGATACGAGCGAACTTATTAAAGTAAGAAATAGCAACTTTTAAGGGTGTGGAAAAAAAGAATCAGTGCATGACGTTGTAAGGGACTCTCTTCCTCGTTCTTGAATTTAGGTTGCGCCAGGGCGTGGAATTGCAGGACACCCGACTCCCGCCTAGCCGAATTTGTTTTCCCTACCTTAGAGTAACTTACTCCGTACACTCTCACAGTTTTCTAGTTGAGAGGTTTTGCACAATTTCAATTTCAGTTTCAATCTCAGAAGTTGGCCACCATATGAACTCTCATGCGTACCTGCTTGGTTTTGAAATCGAGTATCACAATTTGAAAATCGATTCCATTCCAAGAGTAGCAATTTGCATCTTTAAAAAGCATCTAGTCATTATAACCAGCCCAGCAGAGCTTCGGGAAGCAATGATAGAATAACGGCGGAAGTGACGCATCTTGTAAATAATTCAAATCTTTAGGGCATTACGCATGATATTTCAGTCAATTCGCTGAAGCATAGAGTGCCTCTATAGACACGCATATCATATACCACGCTAAGGTAAGATGGTAGTTATATATTCTGTTTATTACATTGCACGCCCCTCGGGCTATCGCACGGTGTTTGAGCTCGTGCAACTCCGAGAGCATTCTTTATGAAAGACAAACCCCTTACAAATGAGGTCAAAGAAGAGTCGATAGAGTAGAGAAACGGGGTCCTTCACCAATGCATTCAAAAAGGCCACGCAATACAAGTATAACCGGAAAACAGACTGGGAAAAGGGGAAGTAAAAGTCACTTTGAACAATCTCAGGAATACCCTCAGGAGATAGCGCCCAACCCCACCATCAATTAACTTCCTTTCCATAGATACATCTGCCCGCCAGGTTCGGAAAATTGTGCTGCTCTGCAAACTTACCGAAGAAAATCATTCGCCATATTGATAAATGCTCCTGCGCCGCCATCATCGCTTATTTCATTTATGAGAGCCTCAGTTTGTTGACACAGTTTCTCTAAAGCAGCAGAGGAGCTTTTACCCAGAGACACTGCGACACGAGTTAGCAAACATTGCTCCATTGTTCGACTCCAGAGGAGCTAGCTGCCTGTGTGGATGGCATAACCTACCTAGTATCGCAGAGTTGAGTTCCTCGGCTACGGGTATTCGCCCGCTTGGATCGAGCAAATGCGCCACCACCGAGGTCCGCGGATCTTCGTATGCCAGCAATGAGAAAGTTTCTTCGAGAGCTTTTTTAATCTCCTTCCTGCCGTCCTCCCGAAATTCGAGTTGCAACTCCTGTCCGTAATGAAGAGTCTCTTGGAGAAGATGCTGATAACGCAGGCCAACGTCACTATCCTCCGTGTCCATTTTGCTCCAATCTTCGGGGCCATTCTGGTCATCGAGCTCCATCTGTTGGTCAAAGACATCAACATATGCGCCGTCTGAGCGACCGTTTGAGCTTTGATGCTTGTCTTCTGGGCCCAGGTGGAGATCTGAGCATTGTCGGATCATTTCGACAAATTTTCGACAGCGTAGCCGAAAATAAATCTGCTCATTATCCTTGAGAACATTTGGATAGTATGCATTGGTATGTTTGAGCGCAGTGTCAATATCGCCGTCAAGAATAGCAGCCCGGATTCCTGAAGAGTCAGCTATAAGCACAGAGTTGAAGAGTGAGATTTGGTACTTACGCTGTCTGTTAACGGCGTCGAGATCTTCTTCCGCTTCCAGATTCGGCCCCGGGGCTGTTTTGCCAGATTGCAATGCTTTTGACTCTTCTCGTACTTCTTCAGCAAAAGCTTTCGCTGTCTCAACATAACCATCATGAGCCAGGAATTGTGCAACCAGGGCTTGGATCAAAGAAGTTTCGTCTAGAGGCGGATGAAGTTTCGTGGCACTCGTTGCGTTGATTTCTCGCCGTACCATTTGCCTCTCCTCCTGATAATTAAGTGTTAGTAGACTTGTAGAAATAGTCCGAGTGGTATGTAACATCTGTCCACTTACTGCCATCATTCCATCGATATCAAAAACAAAGGGTGTCTGTCCAAAGTTCACTCTTAAATGCTCCCCGGGTCGTTTCATTCCCACCGAAGGGAAAAGCTTCGCACCTTTAAGGTCACGAAATGCAACGCCTAGGCACGAGAGTCAGCGGTGCATTTAGAAATGAATTTCCCTTGGCCTACCGAGATATACTCCATTCTTTGTAAAAAAGGCACAGCCAGTTCTAAAATTGACTCCGCATCCAATAACATCAGACGTGGAAAATTTTGGCCCATATGCTTTTCCCGATGCTGTACAGCTAAATGAAAAACCATCATCTCCGTGATACGCCCAAGACTCTGGTTCCCAGCCAGGGAGCCTGTTCAACGAAACATTTGGACCCGAAAAACCAACGCCAATAAGTCTGTTCCATGGTAAGGACGTTACAACACATCTATTGCCAAATGAATGCCACTTACCCCTCTTTTCCTTTTGAAATGACAGTAACTTCGTAATAGTAGATTCCACATTCTGGTGGCATCGGACGATCAGCTCGAACCGCAGCTGCCTCATCGTGCGATTTGCTCGGCCCTGTAAAGCGGACTTCCAGCCTATCTGCCTGAAGTTCTAGCCCGGCAAATTTATCGTTATCATTCCATTTGGATGGCAGCGGGTTTAATACGTCCTCCTTTATCGGCTCTTTTTCAATAATATCATAGGTCATTCCTCTGTGCGATGGTGCCATTTTGTGCAAGTTGGCGCTGCTGGAGCTGGTAGAGAGGGATCCATTGTTGGAGAGTGAGGTATTGGATTCTTTCTGGGCAGCCAATTTGGCTTTGTGTGCTTCTGCCAGTCGTTCGACATAGCGTGAGTTTCGAAGATATGACGGGGTGAAGAACTCGTTACTCTCGGCATCCGGTCCCAGAAAATTATAAGCGCCCGTCCCAAAACCAGAATGGATTCCGCCAGGTAATGAATACGCCCCCTTTCCCCAAGAACCTGGAGCACTTGGGGATCCACCAAGGGTCCAAACGTGATCCATCTCCCGGGATACTTGTCTAGATTGCTGTGGCGGCGATGCCCGGTGGCCAAGGAATCCACCAGGCGGAACGGGTGACTGGGAGTGCAAAAGGTGAGAGAAAGCTCCTGAGCGCATGGGTGGAGTGTATTGATTAGTTGCTGCACTCCCTGACAGTACAGAGGCGTAGGATGATCTTCTAGGCATTAAAAACGAGCGGGGGTTGGATGTAGAGGAATAAGGTGTCGACCCAGGCCCCGATGGGCCTTGTGGGAGAGTATTGGTCATGACTGGTCGCTGTTCAAGTATTCGAATGAAACAGATGAGCGAGACGATATCCAATTATAATCGCAGGCGAAATTTGGGGATAGAAGAGCAGGACCGCAGGCGTTCTTTATCGACTCGAGGATAAGCTTGGGCACGCTGCCTACTAGCTCGACGTGAGGTTCGGAGGAGTGGTGGGGAAACAACCACCTAAAGTCCAAAGGAGAACACAATTCAAAAAGGTTCGCTCATGGACGACGCAAAAACACAGCCATCATGAAAGAATGCTTCATAGATAATAGCGATCACACGTAATTTCCTCCTTCAGGTATTGGCCCACGTTATGGTCAGTGAGTGGTTCACCTTTGGTATGATGGTTATCAATTTAGGCAAGGCCGGCATTTGCCGGATTGTGACGCGGGGGAAGCTGAAGTCAGTTGAACGGATGGTGCAACCGACCTGGGTTTTGAAGCCTGCAAGCTGGTCCGCCATGCTATCTAGTACCAGCTTCATTGCCTCCATCGATATCTCACAAACTTCAACTTTCTAATTGTTGCCTATTTGTTGCCTATTTGGAAATTATTTTTTCCTATTGTCTTGATCAAACTTGCTCTATCCAGAGCCTGGGTTTGAGCTGTTTCATGTGGACTCTCGTCATCCATACTACCTTTGATGACTACCGCTCTTATTACCCCGCTATGCGCTCATGACCTGGATGCATCAACGGTACACTCCAAAGGCAAACACTAACCGCTTAATCTTATTTTGAAGCTCCGGCTTAGGATGTTCACATGCATGACTATCATTTTCGGACAAAGCTCTTCTTATCAGAAATTTGAAATACCCTGTTTTTCCCCAGCAAAAGCTGGGCGTTCTATTTGAAAGCTCCCTATTCGCATTCATTCGCCAGCAAACACGACATCTGACTGTCAAAATTCGCGAGACTTCAGCCAGTCACGGCCGAAAGCTCCGTTGAAGCACAACAGGTACTGTTTCCTAATGACAAACGCATAGTTGATACATATTATTCGATATTCTTTGGCTTGAGGGCTTCATAGCACTGTAAAGAACCCTCCTTTTAGATAGTAGTATTCATCACGTTTCAATGGTCACTGTCAAAACTAAAAAAGCAACAAATAAAACAACGCTCGTCGGCTGGAAAATTCGATTGAAAATTTATCTCCTTAAGAATCACCAATGGTTGCAAGACTACCGAGATATAGTTGTAGAGATCCCGGCGCATCCTCCGGCCACAATACGGAATCGCGGACCCTCGGCGCGTAAGTTTCTCTGGGGCAATCTTCATCGCATTCCAAGGTTCTAGAAAAGGGTGGTCCAAGGCTGTTAAACCCACTGGAGTGGGATAAGAATTGCAAATGTGTTACATTGTCCAACGCCTCCAGACAAAATAAATTACAGCAAGTAACGACCTTTTGGATTCTGAGCAATGGCTGATCATCTCGCCTGTTCTGTTCCGCCGGCGATGAACCACCACCTCCCTTTAATCTAATGTAGTGAAAATCATTATAATAAAAAATTTTCCATGCAATCACACAATGCGCCGTCCTGTCCGTCAAAATCCGGTTTACGCCGACCACGCACCAATTGTGTCATAATGCCGAAATGGAAAGAGATAGTACGGAAGTAGAATCCACCTGCCGGGAGGGAATGACCACTTCGGCTCATAGACCCTTAAGACAGGTGTCTGATAGAATGTAAGGTCTAACCTGGGCATGGCTGGACGAAGCAACATGCATGAGAAAACTCCCGCATTGAAGGCTCAGCCGGTTTTACCGATATAAAAACAATCCGGGGCCAATCTACGCAGGCGTTGCGATTTCGGGGACAGGTGAACTTGCGTCGATGCTCGGTGCAGGAATCATGTCCACGTCCCCTCCAGCGTTGCTCTTTTCGCTGCCGACGGCGCTGCTATCGATATTGGCCTTGCTATCGCTGTCACCACCAAGAGCTTCGCCATTCGGCAAGAGACTGTCAGGTTCAATGCTCTTCGTCTTGGGAGTTCTCCAAGAACTGATTTCCCAAACTACTCCAGTGAAACTCTTGACGGCGAAACCTTTACGTGCCCATTTGCGGCAAGGCTTGCCGGACCGATCCAGCGCACGCAGGCCAGCATTGATAGCGCCTTGATTCGCTTTCGGTCCAAGTTTATGAATGCCGCCTGGGGTAGCACCAGGAGTACCTTTATTGGAAGCATCACCATTGTCGATGATGCCATTTTCCCTATCGGAAGTGTTAGTGGCATGAATAGAATGTAGAGATTAAATAGATGGAATAAAATAGAAGTACATAGCCATGGACATCCAAAAAGGTCATGACATTGAATAAATGCTCGCCCATTTCACACCCCGACGTAAGCAGGCCTCGGGGAGATGGGAAAGCACGCAAAAGGCAGAGGGCAAAGGAAGTCGGTGTGGACTGAATACTTACAATCGGGGCTTCTTCTTGGGGCCAGGCTTTCCTCTTGGCTTCGGGAGACCATCAGCACCGAGGGCGATCCCTCTCTTTGAGCCAGGCTTAGGACCAGGAATCCCTTTCCGCCTTGTATCTTCAACAGGTGCAGTCGCATTATTGGCATCGACCGATGCGTCTGCGACAGAAGGAGAGTTTGATTCCGATGAATTTTCTTCGGCTGGGGGGTTCGGAGTTGACGTTGCTGAGGAGCCAGATTTTCCTCTCGAAACCTTGCGCGACGTCTGTTTCGAGAAGCGGGATAGTAAGCTAGGTGACAGCCTTAATATAACCACTTTGCCTGACTTGAGGTCTTTGCCCGACGTGTGGCTGGTTGAGCCTGGCGAGAGCGTCGAACGGCCGCCCGCTGTCGACATGTTGAGTGAGAGTATGTGGTTCAGTCTCTATTAGGGGATAAATCGTCAAGCGTTGGGACGACAAAGGAGCGTCGTTGACGTTGTGCGATGCTTTCAACAGGAGGTCGGGTGGCCAGTTGAAGGCAGCAATAGTCTGACTGAGGATCTGAACCCGAGGCTAAAGGAGAGAAAGAGAAGTCGGTACCAGCGGTGAAGTCGTTACGGAGGTGAGTGGGAAATTATCGTGGGAATTTTGGCGTAAGAGTGAAGGCGTTGGGATGAAGCGGAAATGAGGTGGGAGAAGGACAGATGAGCGGATGAAGGAGGAGGGAGATGGGAAGAGTAGGGAGGCGGCTGAGGCGAGAAGGAGTCGTCGAGATTAATTGCCGTCATTTTGGAACGTCGATGGGGGTCGCGAAGGGATTTGGGCGGGTTGGCTGGCAGACGGGCTTTTCTTGGATCGGTGGTGATCCATCAGCTGCTAAGGTACGGCATTATCGGTAGGTAAGGTAAGGCCAAAAAGTAAGGCACGGCACAGTGAACAAGAGGGAAATGTTGTGTGAGGAAAAGGGTGTGCGAAAGTCGCGGTACGAAGGTACCAAGTAGGAGTCGATACACGCTCCGGTTTCTCGCTTAGACTCTTTACTCAAGAAGTATTGGTCACTCTAGCGAGTAAGGGAACATCAAGCTCGCCGAAATGGGAAAGATTCGGGGAAGAAAACAACGCTGCTTTTACCCATGCCCCTTTGAGCTCTGTCCCTTTTCGGTCCACGGCGCTTCTTCCTCTCGTCTCCCATTGTTCTCTCCATCATCGTCATCTCCGGAAGACCCAACGCGAATAACGCGATGAATAAAGATGCTAGGACGAACCACGTTAGAGAACGGAGCTCCGTCATACTCTTCACAACCTTGTCCGAACATGCATTGTTCAACTTTTTTGAATTATACTTCATTCTCCTTTCGGAGTCAGCGATACATCTGATATCCAAAAGCATATCATAGCGAGATAATTTTCGCAGTCTAGACTTCATTCATCGTCAAAGATGAGGCCTCTTTTGCTCAAGACACGCATCCTCCACACTTTTCCCATCTTCTCCGCCAACGCCATCTCCCGCACAAACTTCGACTAGCGTGGTTTTCTCGACGCCGCCTTTATCCAAGCTAACCTCTCCTAAATGGGAACTACAGTTACTCATAGCCAACAGAATGGCAATTCTTGGATTTCCTTCATACCATAGTCCAAGACTTCAAAACTCCGAAGCCTAAGGTAGAGGCATATACTTTTTACTCGTCGATGCATTTTTCCTAGCGGTCGACGGCACACAAAGCCCGTAGACGACCCGCCGGCTGCGATGCAAATCCGGACGACCCACACATGTTCTGTCACCCGGTCTTGACCCTCTTTTGTCGCTTGACTATTGATCCAATTATCCCGCATAAAGGAAATGATGAGTCCAGATGGCCATTGCCACACTCGGTCCATCGGTAAACAGGTCTGAGCACAGTTCCACTGGTTGAGCCGACAACAATATGCCCTTTACTGGAATGTGCAATTTCCCGCCGCTTTGATTTTGCTTTTACGGCACAAAACAGTATTATGACAAAACAATTGGTCGAATTAACCCTCCGGCTTGTGATTCAGCTTCTTTCTATATAAACCTGTCACTTGCCGGTACCAATGACGCAGTAATGCTGGAGTGATGCTCCCAAAATAATCGATTTGGATATCTAAATAAGGGACGCAAGAACCGGTAATACCATTTGGCTGACAAAGACACAATGGTCCTATTTGTTTGACTCTGGTTTGCTACCCAAGGAAAATGGCACATGTCCAGCTTACGAAGATACAGCTTGAGGTCTGTGCATTTGATGTCGTCCACTAGAACAAAAATCTTCTCTTCTCCCAAACACTGTTTGCTTTTCCGTTGAGCTTATCCGAATTTCCTCTGAGAGTTCAAACTGTCGTCTGGAGATGGGATAGGAGAACTGGCCAGCTCAACTGGTGTTTTTATATCGCCAGGTCTTTCGGGAGAGACAGGCACAGCTCCTTGATGATGGTATTCATACGCGGTCATGTTGGACTCCCCATAAGAGCCGTGATTGGTGAATGGACCAGCTTGAGCTACAGGCCCGAAATAATCCGTGCGTTTTGAGCCATTTTGATTACCTCTTGGAGGCATGGACGATTGATTGGTCGTATCGAGCTTTGACGTTCTTTTAGAGTTGGCATCATTTCCAGGCCGCCGCCGGGCTGCAATGAAGCACACAAATGCAGTGAGCAAGATGATGGCTCCAAAGGACACTCCTATTCCGATTCCTATCTTGCCACCGGTTGAGAGGCTACCGCTCCTTTGAGAAGGCTGCTTAGATGCCGCTGCTGTTGAAGCTCCGGTTCTTGAAGCTGTTGTTGCAGTGGCCGTCCCTGCGCAGAAAAGTTTGCTGCCAATTTCGGTGCAAACCAGTCCAGACTGGCAGCAACCTCCCCCAAGAGATTTCGGGCACGAGTATTGTCCATTGGTACACCCTGTTGGTGATGCAGATACAGTATTTATTGTGGCCGGGTTCACTGTTGGTGAGCAGCGGTTGTCTGTCAAGCAGACAGATCCGACTGAACAACAATTACCTCCAAAAGATTGTGGGCATTGAAACCCGCTAGGGGCCGGGCATGGCCGTGGACAGCACTGCCAAAGTCAGATTCACACAGAGCAATATCTAAAGTTATCCGTACGCACACTAGTAGTCGACGAGACCGTGCAGTGATACTGAGAGATGGGGCATGGGTCGTCACATCGTGAGCCATCAGCGCAACATTTTGCTGTCCCACTGCCGTTGACATAGCAATAATGGTCGTTGGGGCAGCATCCAGTCACATTGACTGCGAGACCTGGAGAATCGAAACGGCAAAGATAATTTAGAAAATGTCTACCACTTCATAGCATCGACCTATTGAATCTTACAAGAATGTTCGCCAACGGCACAATTTGATCCAATTTCTTGTCGCCTTGCAAGCCAGGGCGACTGAGCAAAAGGGGGATGTGGAAAGAGTGTATCGACTTCCTCAAGTGCTATAATAAATGCATTCGCTCCTGCCCATAGGGCACAGAATATTGCTGCGATAAGCAACCGCGAATACGCCATGGAGCATATCTCTAGTGCATTTGAATCATCAACGAACGGTGGGACACGTAGTAGAGACAGTTGCTGGGGGTGTTGAGCGCTTTGTAGTAGGCTGGACAACAAAGAAAATGATATTATTGCTATTACAGGGCCCAGAAAGCCTTAACAGTGCCGGTCCCTTCAGATCAGTTCAAGCAAGTGAGGAACAATGACCACAGCCGCAAGGCAGCAGAAGAGCAGGGATTCCACTGATAATAAGATGCCACAGTGGCCCTTTTCTGCGATCCAAATAAACAGGCTGAGCATATGTTACATGCATGCATGAATGGGTGCACAGTGCCATGTGCGTGACGGCCAGCCAAACCACCTTCACCATTGTTGTGGGCTGGGTGAAGAAGGGTGTTCAGCTCCAGTCCCATCACATGACGCGATTAGCTCTATGGCGACGGCATGTTAACGGCAATGCTAATCATCAGATGAAGCCTTAGCTGATCTTTGGGTAGTACACATTAAACTTGAGAGTTTGTCTTTGCACTCGAAAGCGAACTGAAACAGAGCAATCAGTACGCAGGTCCCTCTGGTGCCAGCCAAGCAGTATTTCTTAGCAACCAGAGATCGCTCAAAGGCCTCTATCCTACCACGAAGTGTCTCACGATTAGTATGGAGCATCTAAGTCAGGCATCTCGGACTGCTTCACTGATTTCAATTTTGTGTTTCTGTTCCCCCTTTTTGGTTGGAACGTTCAGAACAAAGCCGACAATAGCCAGACAGGTGTCCAAATGCTGTCTTGACCGCTAAAGTGGGCACTAACCAACGAATCATTCATCTTTCAAGACCTCGGACTCTTTGGCGAGAGGGGAAGGCCGGAATTATACCGGCCTCTTGCCACCCCAACGAGATACAACTTCCCCCGAGATGGGTCTCTCAGTCCTACAGAACGTCCAATCGGCCGCCGAAGGAGATTTCAATTACGGCAATTACTTCGCTCCAGCCGATCCAAGATTCAAATGTACCAGATAGGCCGAAGGACCAGGCACAAAATTACCATCTTTCTGGCATCCACCTGACTCGCTGACTAAGCATCATCGTCAGTGTAAACAATGACCTTCATGAACAAGATATCAAGCATATTTTGATTTACTTTTTGCATTTTCGTGTTCTTGGTGCTTGAGCTCTGCTTCCGTATCTTCCTTGCAACCCGCTATCAGGGGAATTGCAAATTCTGCACCTCGGGAGAATGACCCACCTGGCTTCTTCAACTTGGAGGGTGAGGCCGGATTCATTCCGGCCTCAGCTTAAAAGAAGGCGCTTTTCCCACAATTCTCGCAACGATTTCTTGATTCTTTTCTTCTCATTCATCACGCTCCAGATTGTCGGTCATCCCGCAATTTGCAGGATATTCTTTACTTTTATTTTCTTTTGATACATATATCAAGTCGCCATGCCATCCGCCGCTTCTTCTGGTTTCAATGTGCTTCGGGATACCAGGCCGGAGGATCATACCCTCCCTGCCTTCATGGTGTCGACGACTCGAGGATTCTTGCCGAGGCAGGAACCCGTTGTCACACTTCCCGTCGAGTTTGATGCACTAGAGTCTGTCTTGAGCCGCATGCCTATCAAGACTGCTACCGGCGCCCCGGGTCTCCTGGCAGAGTTCAAGCTCGGCGAGACGGTCCTGAAGGAGCTACCTGACCTGAGCAGCGCTATTGAAAAGTACCAGAGTGATCTTCCACTCATGAATGCCCTGTATAGGGACTACTCTTTCTTGGCCTCTGCCTACCTGCTGGAGCCATGCCACGAGAGGTTTGTTAGGGGAGAGCCCTATGGTCTTGGTAGACAGCGGTTGCCCAGCAGCATCGCTAGACCCATTGCCAGGGTCGCAGAGCTGTAAGTTACAACCACGATATCTTATCATGAAGAGAACATATACCCAGCCTAAATAAACATCAATATCCCCTTGAATATCTGATGGATCTTCCCATTTAACAACCCACTCTCACGTGTCCCCTCTCCTACATCCTTTGTCCATGCTGCGATAAAATGATGAAGCTGTCTTCCCCCTCTGTATGGTCTGCCACTGACCCTTCCATCAATTTAGAGCTGGCTTCAAGCCCTTTATGGAATACGCAGGCTCCTATGCTCTATTCAACTACCGTCTGGTAGAACCATCCAAGGGCCTGGAGTACTCCAACCTCCGCCTGATTCGCGCTTTCGAGCATGGCCTCGACCCAACTTCATCTGAAGCTGGGTTTGTGCTCGTGCATGTCGACATGGTCAAGCAGTCTGGCGAGCTCGTCGAGGGTGCCGCTGATGCCATCGAGGGCTGTACTGCCCACGACCGAGCCGCCTTTGACAGCGGCCTAGCCAAGGTTGTCTCTGCCATGAAGAAAGTGAACAAAGTCATGGACGGTGAGTTATATTTTCCTTTTGCCCCTCATATTTTCCAAACCTCCCTTCTCCTCTTCCATTTTCCTCTCTTTTCATGCATTCTGATGAACGTCTGAAATTGACTCGTAATGAGGAATGTGGAACAAAAGCAAACCAAACGACTATGTCAGCTTCCGCACTTTCATCTTCGGCATCACCAGCCAATCCATGTTTCCCCATGGAGTCGTTTACGAGGGCGTTAGCGACGAGCCCTTGTCTTTCCGCGGCGAGTCTGGTGCCAACGATAGCATGGTACGTTATTCAGGCCTTTTCCCCCCTCTATTCTGCCCGTGCTTCTTTGTCTTTACCGTTCATTTTTCCAGTTAATTGAAACTAATTGGTCGCAAAACTAGATCCCTCTCTGCGATAACCTTCTCCAGATCCCCATGCCCAACACTCCATTGACCGAGATCCTCAAGGATTTCCGGTCCTACCGTCCGGGCAACCATCGCGAGTTTCTCGAATGGGTCAAGGACCGCTCGATGAGCATCAAGTTGCGAGAATACGCTATGGAAGAAGAGACTTCTACTGGTGAGTTATTGTTACTTCCCTGCAAATTTGGACCCTTGTTCCGCTTCCTTGGCGGGGTTATGTGCGAATACTAACCTATACGCCCCTACAGCACTCTATCTCCAAATCCTCAATCAAGTCCGCGAATTCCGCTGGCGTCACTGGTGCTTCACTAGGGAATATATCCTGAAGAAGACGGCCCATCCGACTGCAACTGGTGGTAGTCCTATTGTTACTGTACGTTTATTCCCTTTTTCTCCCTCTCTTTTATCCTTTTCCATAAAAGATGTAATCACAGATTTTACTCTTTTGCGGCGTTTACAATCCGTCATGATGACTGATTAAGGGAATTAATAGTGGCTGCCCAACCAACTGCAAGCAGTTCTCGATCATATGGTGTCCATTTATGAAAAGAATCCCGACAAGCCCCATATCAAAGCCACCTGCGAAGACATCATGCAAACGGCATATCACCAGCAGGATAACCTTCGACGGGAAGTAGACAAGTATTGTCGGGAAAGGAACGTGAACAAGGAGTAGGGCCCCTTCTTGATTGCATCTTAAATGTCTCCTTTTAAAGGAAAAACAAATCGGGGCCAGACGTAACTTAGATACAGCGAGTCAGGGACAAGAAAAATTAGCTTGGAAACACATCCAGGCATAATTACGATGATTTTTTACTTTTCATTTCGCTTCGAATAACCTTATCTGGGTTACTAAGGAACACTAATCAGATAAATCAACTTTATCCCTCCCTGTCCGCAAGAGTCTCAAAATGAAGTGTGTGATTTGTGGTAGAGACTGTCTAATATGCCAAATTGCTTCATATGCAGTTAACCTATGTGCAGCGCAGTGTGCATCAGAGTACTCTCCCTCTTTCAGCCGGTAAAAATTATGACGAAGAAGTGAAGTAAGAAAGGAAAAACGCCGATATGAGTATACAGCTTCACTTTTGGGCAGGATAATAAGAGTAAATTGAAGAACCAATATGGAATTTACCGTGCCAAGAGTAAAGATAAGCCGACCCAAGCCATAAGACAAAAAATGCAGAGTATAGAATATATCCCAGAACACGAGCACGTTATGAGAGCGAGGAAGAATTGAAAAAAGAGTGCAGGTGGGCTTATCTCGTGCCTCTTGCACCGGTTGGGGCATCTGTTCGTCGTCGGTTCATTACTCTACCCACTGCATCTCTGACCTCCGGATCGGCCCTTATAGTATTTTGCACCAACCAATCCTTCAATTTGGCTCGCACCTCACGCAGAGCTTGAGTATCGCCTGCAAACGGTGCCATTTCGAGACCCATCAGTCGAGTGGCTTCGAAATCAGCTGCACGTGAGAATTGTTCTAGACGGTTGAGTTGCTGATTTTGCTGGGTTATAGATTTAGGATCTTTGGCAGCGCCGTTGGAGGACGGCGGCGCCTGGAGCTGGAATAGAGGACCCAACTGTCCCAGAGCAATGAAGAGAGTGAGTGTAATTTTTCGAGCGAGAACGAGTTGCTGAAACGGCAAATACGCAACACGACGGCGTAATGTGAATACGCTGAGGACGGGCGTTACAAGTTTAGACGAAATGGGCGGGAAATAAGGTCTAGTGACGGTGTGAACTTCGAAGACGAGCAGTGCGGAGAAGAATAGGTAGCGCCACTAGGTGGATAAGTTAGCTGGGTGCGGAAAACAAAGATTTTTTTTGTTGGTTCAAGCGTTAAGATCTGTAGAAGGGAGGCCTACGTAACGTCCCCATTCAAAATATCCCAGCATGCCTAAGAAGATCATAAACATTCCACCGGCGGCATAGTATGGCACAATCGACTGCACTCCTGTAAGAATGTAATCGCGCCGCGAGGAGCAGTGTTTCCAGTGCAGAATGTCAGGTCCGAAACGCTCGTACGCAAACCGCTTTGCTGGCTCAAGAAGCGTGTCTTGTGCTTGCTTGAGGTGAACAAAGTACGCTTCGGATTGACTGCGCGCTTCTGCCGAGGAAATTTTGTCGGGGTGATGAAGAGCCGCGCTGCAATCGAATTAGTCAAAATGAGGCGCAAAAAGGGCCTCTGATGGCGTGAAGTGGGGCAAACACGTACAGTCGTCTAAATCGTGATTTTATTGTTTTCTCCTCGACATTGTACGGTAATCCAAGGTCTTGGTAAAAGTCACCCGCCCGGCGGAGCTCCCAGTCAGCTTCGATAATTGTATAGAGCAAATATGCCAATATGACAAGGATGTAGATGCGCCGCCGATGCTTCATGTAGCGGGGAGATCCCGGTGCTGGGCGAGGATCACCGGCTCGAACAGTGATGCCGTAGTAAAGTGACTGGAGCCATCCTGTGACAAGCTGCAAGTTGTTAGATCCAGAACTAGCAATGATAGGACGAAACAAATATAAAGACCTAATAAAATTAAAACAAAGGATATACTGGTGCAATGACAGAAGATGGAAACGACGCGAGATTGCGGGGAGCTATACATTTGGCAGAAAGGTCCAACCTGCGTAAGAGAGCAAGTTGCTCATCACGGCAAGAGCTGGTAGTTGAGAAGCAACTCAAAAATCTCGCTCCCTATTTTGAAAATTGTACTTTGCTGTCTCAAGGACTCAATATTATCATGGTTGTTTATGTGGACGGTCGAGCTACTGTGGCATAAGAGAGGTATCTAGAGGTTGCTGTTCACCGCAGAGCCACCTCTGGATGCTGATTGGTGGAAAATTCAGGGACAGAACGAGTCGGGCGGAGATTGCCGCACATGAATTTCACGTCACCAAAACTTTATTCCCGGCCATTTCAACTCAACCCATTGCAGACTCTTGAAGCAATTATAGGACATTTAGAGTCTGCCTTTTCGGTGGACATTGACACCATGTCTGCCGAAGTCGAAATGTCCTCAACGCCTCCGACGGAAAAGGTTCATAAGAAGCACAAGGGACACAAGGAGCACAAAGATCGCTCCGATAAGAAGAGCGAAAAGAAACGCAAAAGAGACGAGAAGCAAGACGCAGAGCGATCGCCTTCCAAGAGAGGCCGCTCGGAAGCTCCTGTGGCTACTGAGACCCCAGCCACCGATGCGAAAACTTCCAGCAACTACGACGATGCGCCTGAGGGCTCCCCGTTCTCTGTTCACACCGCTTCGCTCTACCTACCACTTGCACCCATTTCCCAATTGAAGCCAATCGATGGCCTCTGCGCAGAGCATCTTTCTCCTCTCATCCTTACATACTATGCGCCGTTCCGAGGCGTGGTGCTCTCGTATAGCAATGTGCGATTGTCAGAGCAACCGTCCGCAGCAGGCAAGCAAGGTTCTGGTCCCGTCTTAGCTCAGTCGGTCGACGAATATGCGGTCAGCTTCGTCTGGGTCACCGCCGACTTCCTCCTGTTTAATCCGAAGCGTGGCGACTGGATCGAAGGATGGGTCAACTTGCAGCACGAAGGTCACTTGGGTCTCGTTTGCTGGAACCTTTTCAACGCCAGTATAGAGCGGAAACGGCTACCGAAAAGCTGGCAGTGGGTCGGTCCAAGCACGTCTAGGTCAAATTCAAGGGCAGATGATCAGGCCGATGCTGCTGCCGAGGGCGAGGGCTATTACGTGGACGAGGACGGTAACAAGGTCGAAGGCAAGATTAAGTTCAGGGTCAAGGACATTGAAACCTCGGCTTCTTCTAGTCATGAGAGGGGTTTCTTGAGCATTGAGGGTACCATGCTACCCGAGGAAGAAGAAAAGCAGCTCTTGGAACAGGAAGTCTCCAATAAGAAGCGCCCTGCGCTCAAAGGCAGACGAGGAATACAGCGCATACAGCCGGTATTCAAGCAATCCAAGCCTCAGACAGTGCATATAGAGACAGGGAAAGCTTCTAATGATGCCGATTCTGGCACGGGTAAGCATAGAATGGCGTACTAGGGATCTTAAAAGTTTATTGGGGAGTCGATGGCATTTTTGTATATCCTTTGTATTTACAGCGATATAATTTCTCTTTACAATTTTTCAAGGCTAGACGCGATGAGTGTCAGTACATATTTGATCTATAAGTAAGAAAAAATCAAATGGGTTGATTCAGGAAGAGATTGGTATCATGATTTGAGTGGATTACTGCAAAAGCTACTTGGACTTGTGATTGGCGTCTAGATGCGACTCTCCGGGCGCGTGAATCTCGCTGCACCCCACAATTTCTCTCTTGAAGCGGCAACTTCCAAAAGATGCACACACGAATAATCTTCCTCTTTTCTTGATTGATTGAGGGAGTCAATTCGGGCTACGGGAGAAACTTGAGAAGCCTTCTCCCTGTAACTCGAATACAAAATGAGACTACGACTGTCTATCCACCGCAATGGCCTCCCCGTCACCAATGTCCTCTGGACGGTAGGCCAGACAGCATCCTATGTTGCTGCCACCGCAAACACAACCATTTCGCAGCTTCTCGATAACGTCAACGAGATTATCCCCCTTGAGTCTGAAGAATGGGGCTTGGAAGATTACGTGGTTGAAGTGCGAGGCTTCGAGTGTTTACATTTCTGCGAACTAGGCAGCGTCTTGAAAGACGAAGACGAGGTTACGTGAGTAAATCTGCGGAGCTTGCAATTCGTGTATCATACTAATGACTGGTCCGTCATAGGATACGCCCCCTTCAGTCGACAGATTTGCGTTTTCGGAAATTGTCCGGGAGGCATCAGATTGCGCACGATGGCAAACATCTCATTGACGGTGTCGCCTTTGGCCGGCCATTTCTGCGGATTGCACCTCGGCCAGCAATAAATATACCCCCAAGGAAGCGGAGAAGGCTTCTTAGTGAGGAAGAAGGAAGAGATGCCAGAGAAGAAATAGAGACTCTGCAGCCGCAGTTACTCCTCCGCGCTGCGTCCGATGACGCCGATGAGAACGGAGATTCGGACAAGGAGAATGATGCAGACTATGTTCCTGGAATAGACGAGGATGAGGAAGAAGATAGTGATGGCGATGTCCTAGAACATGAAGAGGAAGCCCTCGAGGACGGCGAAGCTTCGTATCCAGTTGCGCGGGATCGAATTGGGGAGTCTTCCGAGAGATCATTAAGGTTGGATGGGACAGGCGAACGAGAACGCGGAACATCTCGACGTTCAGAGAGAAGAACTAGATTTCTCTTGGAGCAAGAACGACCGTCAGAAGCGCCTACTGAAAGACAGTCTTATACTCCGGGAGAATACGAGAATCCGCTCCTTGACTATTTTGCCAGCGCTGGCAATCCTGCGCCGGAAAGCAGCAATACATGGCCGGAAAGCGAGTCGGTCACAGTATCCAGAATCAGACCGGCTAAACATGTTTCGAACACACCTTCAGGTCCAACTGAGCGGTCCGATGCTCCTATATTGACTTCACCTGTGGATATCAAAGTTGAATTAAATACCGCTGAAAGCTCAGAAGATGAGCATGAAGCTATGGATTATGACTCTGAAAATTCGGAATCTGAATCGGAGCCAGCTGATTTACGTCGGGGAATATCTGGCAAGTCTTCAGAAGAGAGCTCTGAAAAGTCCTCCGAGAGCTCTTCGGAAGATTCGTCCGATGACTCCTCAGAAGATTCGTCAGATGACCCATCTGACCGGGAAATTTTGCCTGGAGCTCGTGATTGGAGTGCTAGTTCCGACTCGTCCAGCTCGGATCAGACAAGCGATGAAAGAGAAGATGATGTTGAAGATGATGGTGATGACGATGATAGTTCCTCTTCAAATGCTTCTAATTCTAGCAGCGACTCTTCGTCAGAGGAATCAGACAGTTCCTCGGCCACTTCTTCGTCCGATGAGGATTCTTCAGGATCAGAGCCAGAAGAGATATCGTCTCATGAACCTGGCCAGAGATCGGCAACTTCTGTACCCGTTGGCGACAGCATGACAGCTCAGCACATCGCAAATGCTCCCAAGACACTTGTCACAAAGCCGCCAACTACGACTGCCACTTCTGTTCCCCCTGGTAGCGGGCGCCCAGAGACAAGGAAGCGCAATCAAAGACGACGCGACCACTTCAAAATTGAGAGCTTAAAGGCTCAGGGACTTCTACCGCACAACGCTGGCCGACGGGAATTGGCTGAGTACATTTCTAATGGAGCTCTTGATTCAGAGAAAGTTTCGTCAAAAGACGAAATTTCGGCGCAAAAGTCCCGCGAGGCAGCAGAATTCGAGGCTAAGAGGCAACAACTACTTCTTGCGTTGGCATCCGGAGGAATTGAGGTCGATCAACCCAGAAGACGCATGGAGCAGGCTGAGACTGGGAGTCCTCAAGAAAGGGTCACATCTTATCAGCCTACCCATCCCAGTCACAGTCGCGTTGAGGAGGCCGAGTCCGCAACGATTGAGAGGCCCGCCCATTTGGGCGAAGCTCCCGAGGCTTTACAACGGAAGACCAAAGTCGATGTTGCGGGTTCCAGGACGCGAGATGATATCCATGATGACGAAGAAAGCTGGAAGGACAAGATATCCATGATGGCGGTAGAATGTTGTGAAGACGGGATTGAGCTGAGCGCACCGCCATTTCCTTTTGTTCAGCGCTGGGATCCTCAGCAGCAGCTCAACAACAGGCGAAATAATCGCAGTAAAAACAAGCGACGAAAGAGAAATTATGATCAATACTACGAGGATGAAGCACAGGATTACAACTACGATAATCAAGGATATGATTATGAGGACCAAGAATACTACTATGGCGACGAGGAATACTTGGCTGCCGAGCCGGAGCTTAACTATGACGATGAGCCATATGAGGAGAATGCTGCCGCAGCGGGTGCCATTGGGGTTGATCGCCGAGTTGAGACAGAAGTCAACGATCAAATTATGCGTGACACTGAAGCGGACGCAAGGCACGCCCTTCGAAGTGAAGAAGCTGAGGATGACTTACCACCTCTTCCCTCAGATCTCAGCACTCTCAAGCATTTCACACTGGAAGAGGCTGTCCCGGGGGCGGTCATTGCGTTTAGACAACTTACAGTGTCGCAAGCCACAAACTGGGAGCCGAAAATTACAGATATCCGTACAGCTCGCATTGACACCTCTACAGATGGCATGCTAGAGTTGACTCTTGCCAAGCGCGACACTCCTCGAAAAAACAAATCTTTTGACAATGAAACCGGCAAGAGAATATTCGGCAGGTTCGAGATGCCATATTCAGACAATGAAGACGATAATGAGGGGTATATGGAGGTTTCATATGACGAATTGATGGACCCAAAGCTTGTCAGAGAAGCGGGATCAGGGTCAATTGTGGGAAATGGGCAGGAAGCCAATAAACTATATCAGGGTCCGTCCGCCGAAGTTTTCACCGAACACACAGAGTCTAACCAACAGCCATCTCAGCCTGAGCACCCAGTCGGTCGACCAAAAGAACATGTTCGTTCTAAAGCATTACAGTTGATTCGTGATGCTGGATTTCGAACCAGTTTAGGATCAGAAGTTGAGTCTGTTATCCGCAACTACGGAACAACGTCTACAAACAATCCAGCCAACACCATCTCAACCCCCTTGCGTAACGACGGACCAGGTTCTGTATCCCCCCGGTTTCATGGCATTGGATCTAGCCCGCCACGGGATGAATCCAACGACGAGACTCCTAGAGCCCAGGCCCCTCGTAGTCGGGAAAGACTTCCAAGCTCAAACGGCCCGGCGTCAATAATCGACTTGTACGGTGTATCCTCTCCGACAAGGGCTATCCCGTCCGCCACAGAGGCCAGTGCTGCTGATCAGCAGAGGCAATCCTTTGACCATAATATATCCTTTGAGACTGCTCCTGAAGGACCTTCCAATAACGGAGACACCTCGACCACTAGCCACACGCTCGTTGGCGAACAAGACAGGCCCGATTCCGAAAATGAGTTTCCAGAGGTCGAAGACATTCTTTCCAGCGCAAAATCTTCATTTGAGTCGATCAAGCGAGAGGCAGCGGATTCTCCTGCTCGCGGCAGTCCAACAGCAAACAGAGTCTCAGAATCCAGAGCCATGTCAGAGTCGGGTTCGGCGGCCGTTTCAGACACAAGTCTAAAGCACATGTCTGCCATTGCAGCTTTGAAACGAAAAAGCGAGACCGCAGCAAAACCCGCAAAGAAGCGTGGCAGGCCGCGAAACGACCAGGCCGAGACTCCTCTAGCCCAGGCATCGACCAGTCAGCTTCCCCGCGCAGGAACCAGCACTCAGTCATCCTCTCGCAAGGAATCACTTGCCGCTGATAGCGACGAGAATGATTTCGACGTCGCTGTCGGCATGGATTTTGGACTTGGAGCAGACACTGAGGACCCCGCTGCTGCCCCGTTTTCCAAACAACTTGCTGAAAACACATTAAATAATAACAATCTACCACCACCTTCCTCTGCTCCGCCCGCATCAGCATACACTATCGATCTCACACTCTCTAGCGACCCTCCCGCCCCAGCTGATGACAACGATAATGAGTCCGATGAGAATTATAATTCCGAGTTAGGCCTTCCTGCAGGCGAAGGCTGGGTCAGAAAGCGCAAGGCTCGAAGCGTTCAGCCCTACGGATTCTCTTCGTCTCAGCCAGTCATCGGTAGCGCACATACTAGGAGAACCACAAGGCAAGCTTCTGCTGCAGCCGCTGCAACTTACCCTACTGCCGGAGGTTCTACTGGTGTAGGGAAGAGGAAGAGGTTTACATGACCACCACGTTTGATTATGATTGGCAGCCACATTTGTTTCAGATGAAAGGCAAATTTCTTTTCAGCTATTTTTCCTTCTTTTTTAAGAAACAAATATTTAATCATTTTCATCTTGCCTGGGGCTATCGACTTCATTCATGGCACTCTTGCCCTAGCTTCCTCCAATTATTCTTTAATTCCTTACTTGTCTCGCATCTTCTCCTATCGAACACATCTCATCTCTTGCAACGGGATTCCTTCATACTTTGGGGAGATTTGTATTTGGAGTTGAGGAGTGAGCTATCTCTATCGGCTTTTACTTGTCATTTATTTTGCACATATTATCATTTGCCAAGTAGCCTAGCGCGCGGAGCTGATTTATAGTCGAGAGCTCTCCAAAAGTATTCATTTAATTCTGTCCTCAGCAAGACCAAGGTCAAGTGAAATGGGAATGATGGGATAATAGCGATGAATTGAATGAAATGCATTAGTGTGATAGTAACCCGTACTCATGGTACTGCAGCGAGGGCCCAGGCAGAGAAACGCTCACTCGTGCCAAGCGACTACTCATTGCTATTAACGATCTGTCACTTATCACTTTTTGCCCCGATTGAGACAGAACAGAGAAAATGGAAGGATTCAAGTTAAATAAATAATAGGGATGGAGAAAATTACACTTTGAATAGGGATGTCAATCGGTCCCTGGCCCATGAAAAAGATGAGAAGGATGTCAAAAGGGACGAAAAGAAAAGGGCCAATAATTTTATCGTAGTATATTCAAAGGTAATGGTCATTAATCATCATCGCATAGTGGTATCAACTGCGTCTGGACCTTCATTGTCGCCCGTGGCATCACCCCTAGTCGTTGTCGAGGTTGTTGTTTGTTCGCCTTCTTCTGTCTTCCCATCTGGATCTGTGACCATGACTGTATCGCCGTTCCCATCGTTCCCGTCTTTTTCTTTTTCCGCGCTTGACTTTGATAGGTTTTCTTCGTCTTTTGCGGACTGGGACTCGGCCTCCGTGGAAGTTTGTTGTTGCTCGGGCTTATTGGCGCCTTCGGAGTGCTGCTCCGTAGTTGTCTGTGTAGGCGTCAACTCCGTGGTAGAAGTCGGCACGCTTCTTCCGAGAGCAGCCTCGACACTGAAACCTGCTCCGGCACCGGGCGCGCGCTCTTGCGGACCCATGTCTTCGACGCCGACTTCTTCTGGGCCCCGCGCGTGCGGGAGCTCGTCTTCCCCGCCTTCGCCAACGGGCGCGGTTTCAGATTCTCCTGTGGCACTGGACGCCATGCGCGCACGCGCAATGGGGTTTCGAGTTTGAGATACGGGTATTACGCCAGCTTCTTGTTCCTGGCGCAGAAGTTCGCCCTGAGTGACGCCTCCATGGTCACGGCGCGAATGGCTAATCCCGTTGGATATGTCCTCAATATGGTTGCCTGCTCCAGTGCTGGCACCTTCAGCATTTTCAGTATTTAATAAGTCGCTGGCGCCACCCGTCTCGGTGGTGTCGAGGTCCTCGTCGTCGGCTGCGTCCCGGGTAACAGAGACGTTTTGCAGCCACGGAATAGGCGTAAGCAGTGCGCCGCCAAGGCTCTCATCGCTGCCTATTGCACCAGTCATCATAGGGGTGTTGGTGACTGGTGGTGCAATGCCGTTAAGAACGCTGTTTGCGTCGCCATTCTTCGGGAACACAGCATGTGGCAGGGGGAAGATATCTGCGCCAGAAGAAACAGATACGACGCGGTCGAGAGCACGGAGGTAAGATGGCAGGGTACGGTAGTGTGCCCGCGGCTGGAGAAGGAGCTCTGCAAGACGCTGTACTGTGTGCGGCGGGGTTTTGGAGAAGTTTGTTTGTAGAGTGTGGAGAATGGATGTGAGGAGAGAAAGAAGTTGCGGGGGAAGGGTGCCTTCTGGAGGCTGCACGGACGTGCTTTGGTCGAGAGTCGGTCTTTGATTCGGATGGCTATTCGATGGCAATCGCGGGCGTTTGGCTGGCGGGGGCGCGTTTTCTTTATCTGTCGTTTGAGAGTCCTGGGAGGATGAGGTAGTATTTAGGGTATCGGCGCCTTCTGAAGCATGTTGCGGTGGAGATGATGGCGGGTGTGAGCCAGGTGTGGGCAATTTCGGTATTGGAAATTCATTATGAACTATCTTGGTGTGACATCTGGATTAGCTGGAGAAAGGTCGGAAGGCAGTGAGAACAAAGCGTACATGCTCTAATCGTGATCCGATGCGGTCAAGCAGGCCAGGCCATTCAGAACTAGAAAAATATATTAGGGTTGTACAGAAAAGCTTCAGGTATCTATATGAGCGTACTAGTTCATTCGACCATCTTTGACAAGCTCCTCTAGTAGTTCCTGGTCTTTTGCATACGTCAACATTGTCAATTTGCATCTGTTTTTGAGGCGACTGCGTCCTCTCGCAGCTATCGCAGCTAAAGCAATCCTCACGTAGAGGGAAGGGAAAGCGCTTTCAAATGAAGGTTGGATCAACTACACATACCTGATTTCATGCTGAGTATCTCAGTAAGTCTTTGAGATTTGTCTCAAAACTGAGACTGATTGCTTGCTTGCTCTGCTAGCTGGAAAAATCCAACACAAAGCTTCCTAAATGACAAGGGTTGCGCTCAACGGCAGCAGCAGTAGCATCATCATCATCATCACTATCAACATCGCCAACCAGATTCCGGAGTTGAATTATCTAATATATTATGTAATCAAGTTTTGTGCCGGAGCTGCTTCCACGCCGAATGCTCCGATGCCATGACGCGTGTACCAGTACGGTATGACGAGCATTTGAATAGCGAGGATTGCATGGCAAGGTGTCGTACCGATACCCCTAAAGCTCCATAGCTGTTGATCTTGTTCTTGCGCTCCATAACAATATTAATCCCCTTCCGAATCGGGATTGATTATGGATGTTTTGAAAATGGATATGGATTTCGTGAACGAATTTAATTCTGCTTGAATTGCAGACTATGTGTATGCTGACAAGAATTTTTTTTAAAACTTTCATCGAGCAAATGAGATAGCTGGAAATTTGAAGCGTTGGAATGCGAGGATTTACGCCCCTTTTGAGTTACTGTTTGCGCTCTTCAGTCAAGTCCGAACCACGCGGACGACAAAGTATCCACGCAAACCCTCAACGCCGACCACGCACTACTGTGGACCGGTATTGTGTTCCGCAGACGAGCGTACGCGCGAACCGCCGTTAAGAAGCGCTATATCTCCTAAAATCCTTTTCTGAGACAGCCGTGGCTGTGGCGAGACTTGGCCGGGGACTTAGCTAGCGGAAAATCAATACTTTGAGCTTCAGGTGCCGATACCTTTGGGAGGTTCTTGGCTGTATCAGCTATAATGAAGAATTCCCAGTGTCACGTGCGGAAATCATGGTCAGAATCTCGTCGTGTCAAATTGAACTCTACCTCCAAATACGCACTTCAATTTTGGGCTCCCTTTCTGCTTTGTAGATAGGATCCCATCTCAGAGTTTTGAGCCTGCTTTCTCGGATTATTGTGGAAGCTCATAAGCAACATTTCGTCGTCAGCGTTGATCGATCCACGAGACTCCCCATCGCGATCGAGTCCCACATGGTCTGCTCGGTTCAGTAGCACGGTTCAGGTCCCAGGAATTGAGCAGGAAATGGTAGCTCGCACGGGCTTATATCGAGCCACGGTTCTGCTGAAATTTTCCTTGCTAAAACAACTGCGGTACTTACGTAGTAGTCGGACGTCCCGAACAACCGTGGTACAGTATCAAAAGGTACGTTGGTACTCTGGGAGGTGCCGTTGGTTTCCTGCAAGGAGCAGCGAATTCGTCAAGAGCCTGAGCACTGCCGCCGATATCCAATTTGCGAGCAGGGAAACTTTTGCATTTGGTCCTGCATTAGTGAAGCGTTTTCTTGGGATGCTTTACCTCCCAGCTCCTCAGCGCATGGACCTTTACTCAAAAAGTCTGTAGCGGCGGGATAAAGGTTCACCCACACAAGTGCTGGTGGTAGTCGTAGTGGTAAGTGGCCGACTAAGGTAGGTCGATACCTGGGTTTGGTCGGGATGGCTTTTACCTGTACAGTAAAAAGACACCCCTACTCCATTATTGAACGAGCTCAGCCAGCCTGCTGCTGTTATTGCCTTCCTCTAGTCCTTTCCAAAGCAAAGGCCCAGTTCCGATAGCGCATGATTGGATGCGCAGTTGATCTATAATTAAAAATTCACCTTCTCCTTTCCTTCAACCATCTTCTGTCAGTGCCTGTCTGATGTGTAGTTTGAATCTTTATCACTGCCGTTGAGTTGGAGACCGTATTAATTTCCGTGGATTATATTGACGGAGCATTCGCTTTCACATAATCATCATTTATTCTGGCCTTCTTGCCGTACTATCATTGGAGCGCTCGTAGTGGTTAGAGCTGTGCCATTCGTTAGCATAACTCAAGTCGCAAGACTTTTGCTTGGCATTCCCTCGTTCGCTCTTGGCCGCGTCTCGGATTGTCAGGGACCCAAAACCAACTAAAGCATCTCCACTTGGAGGACCCCCCAATTCGCGTCCGACCTGGCTTGTCCTACAATACTCGCCGTATATCATCGACTGTCCCAGCCAAAAGGATCATCGACGTTGCTTGCCGGATTTCGAGGAGATTTTCGCCACCATTGCTCAGCCTTGTAGTCTCGGCGGTTAAACGGTTGTTCTCAAACTTCAATTGCTCGCTCTCACCGGCTGCATTCCCCCCCCCCACGCGGACAGCCTGCCGACAGCGCCTCTCCTGCGCCACCGACACACATAGAGTGCGACACAGCTGAGAGAGGCTGCTGAATTAGATTTCGTCCCTCTATCGTCGGGTAATTCTTCGTCTGTCCTGCAGCTGCACAGAAAGAGAGTTGTAGGTCTGCTGTTGTGCGAGTTTGGGTGTCTTGGCGTAGTCACGGGTCTATTCACTTGACTCTCACACCCTCTTTTATCAGCTTCCCATCCCCGCCAAGTCGCCGGCTCCTCGAGAGGAGCCGAGCAAAATCGTCAACACGTATCACCACGAAGCAAGGGACTCCCTACTGGGGGGTCAGCCGTCAGATAACTCCTACAGCCCGTTTGCAGGCGGTTATCATCACCGTGAGGGCTTCACCGGTGCAGCGGCGGGCAGCAGACTGCCACAGGACTTGAAAATGTATCGTCCAAACTCGCCTTGGACTTGGGCCTTTGCCACTATTGCCTTTGTGCAAGCTGTCACTGCACTGGCATTCGAGGGGTGAGTGAAGCTATGTTATCCCAGTCATGGAAGGAGGTGATGACAAGATGATTGACGGTCTCTCCTCTTAACTTGCGCCTGCCAAAAATGAAAGAGCTTCCCAGCTAACGTGATCAAATTCGTAATAGCTACGTCTTCGCCAAATTTCAACTTGACGTCAAATCCAATGCCAAAAACACGAGCGAGGCGCGAACGATTACGACTTACCTCACTCTTTTCATCTTTGGCTTTGTCTATCAGCTCATTCTCGTCTGGGACGCCCTCCGCCTTCGCAACACGATTCAAGTCATCGGACTTTGCGTCTATAATGTCGGCCTTCTCATCTATGCTGCGGTTCAAATGGACCAGATCAGAGATGCTGTGACTGCGCTAGATGATGAGGGTCAACTCCGCTTCACAGACATTTGGGTCGAGACGAAACCCTTCTTGATCGCTGTTCCCTGTGTGCTGGCTCTAGGTACGGTACTGCTGGCTGTCGTTTCCTGGAAACTGTACGATGAGTTCTCCTGGACCATCTACAAGCATATCAGCGCCGACCTTAGGATGAAGCGACGATATCTGGCGTTCCAGGTAAGCTGGATCATTCAATGTTCCATTGTAGGGCTAGCTAACATTCTCTGCAGATCTATATCGCCCTCTTGAAGTTTGACTTTTTCTTCTTCCTCGGTTTCACAGTCCAGTTTGTCGTCATTGTTGTCGACATTCGAGACATTGAATTCAAGCTCACTATTGTGGCCATTCCTGTAACCATTCTGATTCTCATAATGGCCGGCTATTGGACACGAAGGGAGAGCTTGTTTGGCATGATTGTTATTATCGTATGTATCCCTCTCCAAGAGCCTTTTCTGTACAATCGTGGGGCTAACTGCCTTCCAGATCCTCTACTTTGCCGCTCTCGCATATTTCCTCTTCAAGCTTGTCCGCATGTATCAGCCCGATCGCGAAAGAGTGTACGTCCCGGCACGGCGATCGCTCACCACTTTCGCTGTAATTACTGTGGTCCTCATTATTCTCACCATAATCAACGCTTGTATCTGTGCACACAATTTCAACCGCGGCCTCAAGCCCCACATTGCTCGGCGAAAGCTAGAATCGGAAGAGGAAAAGGTGGATGTGACGGAGATGCCGAATCTCTCCCATGGCCCAGCACCCAACCGGATGGTGATTGATTAGGCTTATTATCATGGAGAAACGAGAGGCATCTGTTGTTGCTTTTCTTTTCGCGACACGAAAAAATTAGGGTTTATTTAGGCGTTTCATCTACGACGGGACAGGCGTTGGCTATTCGGCTCATTGATACCGCCTTTGCTTTTCTTCTTTTTGACTTAGCCGACTCGGCGAACGGGGCAGAACTCTGCGATCGATCGTCACATGCCGCTCCATCTCTCTCTGCTTCCTACCCAAGCGTCGGCCTTCTGGCTTCGTTTTGCCGTTTCAAATTCCGGCGTCGAAGTGGAAAACGACATTCCTGATATGCTTCCGGGCGTATAGCACCACAACACCACATCGTCATATTGCAGAATTGCACGTACTTTACTGTACCATTCATCAAACGATCCGTGATGTTAGAAGGGTGATTTACCCTCCGTTCTGCTTCAGACCTTTCTATTTCTTTCATCCACTTATGACGATCCGACTTTCGATCCGACTTTTTTCCATCTCCCCCTTTCTCTATTCCTCTTCGGACATTCTAGGTTTGTGCTGATTTCAAGTTTCCTACCAAATAGCAGCAGGATAAATTCATGTCTACTTTCAATGTCCTTAAAATCTAGAAAGGCTTTATCTGCAGGGTCTTTATTTCCCAGGGCGTTCTTTCTTACTCTCTCATCATTTCTCATTACTCCTTGGTCGTTACTCACTTCCCCCTGTTATTAAGTTCTTCACTCTGCTCTTCATTTTTTCTTTTTTTCTAAATGATATCACCCATGTCATGATCTCTTTTCTTTAGGGCTAGCTTCCATTTCCTTTGTAGCTAGGTATCCAATCATTCAATTGTATATGTCCGCCGTAAATGTCTGTGCCAAAAGCAGCTTACGCCTCGGTGTCTTCTCGACCGAGAATCTATCTCTGTATTTCTCAAAAATTCATGGTAACTTATCTCGATCTCCCCTATTTTTCTTTCCTTCCCTGCATTCGCCCAGCATCAGCTGCCTCGACTTACATGTTGCTAAAGTTAGCCAAAGGCCAAGGGCTAATATTAGGTATGCACGCCCCAGTTGGGGGGCCCCCCTGAGGGATAAAGCCTGCCAGGCTGCTCGGTTCCCGTGGTACGGGTTGTGCGCTGGCTCCCCTGGGTGCTCGCTACCTAAGGTTGCTGGCCAGTCAAGACTCTCAAGGCGGCGCAGGGTAGTAGAGCGTTCGGCTAAAGCAGCCTTCGCCTTTCGCCGGCTCGGCGGGTTTCCTTGCTTTCGCGCGAGGCGTGTCGGCAGCTCGCATGCAGCAAGGGGAGGGAGACATGAGAGCTTTCCAGCTGCCTTTCATGATCGTCAGGCACGCACTGGTTTTCTGGATGCTATGTGAGTAAAGGATGACATAGGAATTGGAGCGCGTATTGTATTTCCCTGGATATCTGATTTGTATTATTCCCAGCCGTGGAAACTTTTATTGGAAAGGAGTTTAAAAAGGTCTGATATTTAGAATAATTTTGTTATATTGGAATTTATGTGCTTGAAGAAAATTAAAATCCAATCAAAAAATAAAAAGGCAAAATTAAATGAAAATTAATATTGATTAATATGTAGTAGATTTTTCAACATTGCTAATATTCATATCGACCATATATATAAAAAAAAAAAAAAAATATACATAAAATAAATAAATCGATTGCATGAAAGAAATCCGACAAGAAAGAAGAAGTAGGAAAAAAATGCGAAAAAAATTGATCCCTCGGGCGTGAGTCGAACACGCGACCACCCGGTAAGCAGGTGTCATTGGATACTCGAGTTTGCTCGAGTCCAAGAGACTTCGATTACAGCCGGGGGCCATAACCAACTAGACCACCAAGGGCTGTTGTTGACTAAGCGGCATGCTTAATAGTCATATATTCCTCGTATAATTCAATACATGACCAAAAGCCGGTGCGAGCCGGGGACCCCTCATCCAAATAGTGATACGCTTGTCCACCAAACTTCTACGATAGAGATGCTTGCGCTAGGAGACATGAAGGTGTCAAATGAGAATTGCGTTGATGATAATTTTTATTTTTTCTTTTCATACTTATGATTCGTAGATATTTAATATATATTTCGCATATTCGTGACCGCGCACGTAATGCGTACAAGGAACAGGAACCAAAACCCGACCCAAAAACCGAAAAGGAAATGCATCAGCATTAGTGTGCGTTAAAAGTTTCGTCATAAAAGGGGTCATATGCGAGATAAAGAGTTAAGTGAGATGGTGGTGTGGAGTTGGTGGAGACAGTCCACCAGATAGAGGAAAACGGGTATATGTTGTTCCTTGTGAGGGTGCGTGGATTGGGAGGGATAGTTGGTAAAGGTTGCGATGAATCAACTCGAATAAAATCACATCTGACATCATGAGGCTGCATCGAATGCCAAAGAGACTGCAGCTGCGCAGAGGGTATTTGCTCGTAAGTCGTGACAGGAATCGAACCGGAACGACGCAGAGGAATGCTGATAAAAACTGCCGAAAAGAGTCTGTTGCAATTCTAACCGTTCCCCGCATGCATTTGGATAGGTATATCGGGAGGCGGCTGGTTGCCCGAGACGGTGCGCTTCTTCTCCTTCTTGGCCCAACGGACTATAACAAAGTATTAGAAAGGATTTGGCTTAGAACTTGGCACCATACAAGGGCTCGGTGAGTGATAATCAAAGATGACGAAGACTTACGTCCGCAGGCGTTGCAAAGAGTTTTCGGCCCATTCGGACCCTTCCGCCATTCTGGCGAGTCAAGCGTACCGCAATCTGTACATACATACTCGTCGGCAAGCTTAAGCTTCTTTTTCTTATCTGATCCTCGTGACTCCTTTTCCACCGGAATGGCAATTCCCACATCACCCTTGATAAGAGCCGGGCTAGCATCGCCGGTGCTGATGCCTTGTGACCGTTCGCCGTCGCGGTAACGCAAGCCGGTGAGCATCTCGATGGTTTCTATGTGCGTAGCCCCTTCATAGCGAGCCATCTTATCGTTGATGCTGTCTGGTCGCGAGGTCGCGTTGGCTTCATCTAAGTTTTGTCGCGTGAGCGCATTGTTTGACGCTGGGCGGGCTGGTGGAGGCATTCCACCGTAGCTGCTCGATGGAATGGACATCATCGAGCCGGTGGCTTCACTCTCAGTCCGCTGCGTTTCAGATGGTGTAACGCTTCCACTTGGGGCCCTTCCGCCTTGTTGAGACAGCTGCTGGGCTTCGAGCTCCTCCGCCGCCTCCTCCTTGCGTAACTCCGCCACGCGCCGAGCCAACCGCTCGTTTTCAATCTTATGCTCCAAAAATGAGTCTAGTAGAGCTGCATTTTTGGTGGGATATGGCCGCGCCATCATGAAAAACCCGCGACAGAAGCCAGCTGCATTGCCGGGCCCAAATGCCGCTGCCTCCGATGTAAAATGCGGATGGCCGTGGGATTCGAAAATAGTATAACTCTGATCTTTTCGTCGGAAACGATAAAAGAATCGTAGGGCATTTCCAGAGGCGATCGACTCGTTGAACTCTCTAACGAAAATGCCACTGTCATCTGGGTGGATAAATTCAAATATAAACTTCCCAACAAGTTCGTTCCGGTCGTAGCCTGTGAGGGCCTTGCTTGAAGTAGATACATATTGTAGACGTCCGTCTGGCGTTAAGACATGTAGCAAATCTTTGATCTCCTCGAGCAGCCGCTGAGGCCAGTTCCGTCGCTTCGTAAACTCCGTGAGTGTGCTGTTGTTCGCCGAATTCCCTTGCATTCCAAAACCTGTTGGCAGCGGTCCAGCCCCAGCACCTGTAGTGGTAGATCCAGTAGTGATGAGCTGTTCATCATCCTCACGGGAACTCTGGCGCTCGAGTGTTGGCGGGGCCATCGGCGCAAACGCCTGGGTGCTTGTGTCACCCAGACTCAAGTCGAGGCTGGTGGGAAGCAAATCGACATCCATGGTCGACATGCTATGGACTGGCGACATGATGCCGGGCATGGATGTAGTAGGAGCTGTGACCAGACCTGGCATCTGTATCTGATTTAGTATCATCTACACGACAGTAGACGGCAGTATAAAATGTAAATAGCCCCGACATACATCGACAGGGAGTGATCCATCAGAGCCATTGGGGAACATGGACATCTTTGGTCGCGGACCGACCACATAAGCTGCAAATTCTGAACTTCAGAATGTTGTGCCTTAGAGGTTGATTTGGACTAGGTTGTGTATATATTGTAAGGAGGTGCTTCTTGCGTCAACTGCCCTTCCATGCTCGACTCGGGGGTCTGCAAGATACGTCCCAACCTATGAACGAATACTTTCAAGTTATGGATTCCATGGGCATGTGCGCAAAACATTCTTCTGGTATTTACACTGTAGACTTTCACTTAAGGCAGCTTGTAACGTGACTTCGCGCCTCGTCGCTTAAACTTGACGCGTGACCTTCATTTGAACGTCAGGGCACATGAACGGTAGCTGCCTGATTGTGCCGGAAAGAAAGGATTTTGCTGCGAAGTGAAAGAAGTCGTTGATGAAATTTAAAAAGTTTTGCAGAGAAAGAGTAGAAATTTTGCAATATGTAAGTTGTATTCCTTTTCAAATGACATGTTTCTTTTTAACAAACAATGAATTCGTTAGGTGTATGTATTTGGGTTTCCAGGAGATCAAACGGATGATGGTAGCATGACAGGCTAATCATCGTAGCGAAAATCGACAAGCTTCAAATACTTGGGTAGCACTGTCTTTGAAATTGAAGCAATGGAGGGTGTAGTTGACGCTTTATAGCATACGCTCATTCGATAATACAAGAAGTGAGACCATCCAATTTCACACACCCTTGACGCTCATTGTCGGCTACAATGGCTCGGGAAAGACTGTTAGTGAGCCGTATTACTTATCAAAGCATATATACTGATTGACCAAAGACTATTATTGAGTGCCTGAAATATGCGACGACGGGAGATCTGCCACCCAATAGTAAAGGAGGAGCATTTATCCATGATCCCAAAGTATGGCCCGGCTGAATCTGTAAAATCTGGGCGATGCTGACAGAACCAAGCTATGTGGGGAGAAAGAAGTCCTTGCGCAAGTCAAGCTCTCATTCAACGGCACCTCTGGTGCCAGGATGGTGGCAACGCGCAGTCTGCAACTAACCGTTAAAAAGGCAGCCCGTCAGCAGAAGACGCTTGAAGGCCAGTTGCTGATGGTTAAAGATGGTGAACGGACTGCCATTTCTTCGAGGGTTGCTGAACTGGACCAAATTATGCCCCAATACCTTGGCGTGTCCAAGGCAATTCTTGACTCAGTCATTTTCTGTCATCAGGACGAAAGTCTTTGGCCGATGAGTGAGCCGTCCGTTCTCAAGAAGAAATTCGACGAGATTTTCGAGGCCATGAAATATACGAAGGCAATTGACAATATTAGAGTTCTTCGAAAGAAACAAAATGAAGAGTTAGCCAAGTATCGTATCATGGAACAACACTCAAAAGAGGACAAGGACAAGGCGGATAAGGTAAGTTTTTGAGCCGAAGCCCAAATGCAGTACTCCTAATACTTTACCAGGCGGAGAAGCGAGCACACGAGCTGCATGATGAACTGGAGTCCTTAAGGGACGAGACGCGCAAACTAGGCCAGGACATAAAGCACGCCATGGAAAAAGCCCAAGAAAACTGGGACCATGCACGGAAATTCGTTGAGGTCATTGAAACGCTTAAGGCGAAGAGAGTAGAAGCTCAGACAAAAAGTGAAAGTGTCAATGATCTCAAGGCACACATCAAGGAAATGACTGATTCTGACGATGAGCTTGCGTCGATCCTGGAGCAGTATAATGACAGGCTATCGCTCTACGAAAGCCAAATAGCGTCCCAGAAAGAGGTTTACGAGGAATTAAAATCTGATATCGAGAAAACTCGCCAGCTTATGGGAGCGAAACAGACCGAAGTTGGCAAATACGAAGCGGAACAGGCACACCACGAACAACAAGTTGCCCGGCGAGAGTCGTTGATAAAGGAGACCGCTCGACGGCATAATATTCGCGGCTACGACACAGAGTTGGATGATGATCTCATCCGAGATTTCATGGGGCGAATTACTAGACTGTCGAAAGACCAAGATCTTCGTCTCGAACGTGCACGCGATGAGATTCGCGAAGAGGTACAAAAGGCCCAGCGCGCCCTGAATCAACTCGGTGAAAGACGCTCAGCTTTGAACCAAAGCAAAAATTTTGCAAAGCAGCAGATTTCTGCGAATGATAGAAAAGCCAACGATTTTCAATTTGAATTGGACAAAATAGCTGTCGATGAGGGGGCCAAAGCTGCTCTTGAGTCCAATGTTGAGGATATTGAGTCAAGATTGGTCAAAGCCAAAAGAGACTTCGAAGCTGCAAATTGGGACGAAAGGCTTCAAGAGCATAATTCTCAACTACGCTCAGTGGAAGAGGCTGTAGAGCAGCTCAATGCAGAAATGATCGCGGCCAGTCGTCAAGCTGAAGGTCTAGGTCGTCTTAATTTCTTGAGAAAGGAACTGCGTGACCGCCAACGCAGTCTTGAAACGATGTTGGGCGCTCATAGCAGCAAGATATCAGATGCAATTGGCCATCCGTTCGAAGTATCGAATATAGAGAAAGACTTTTTATCTGTGCTTGAGCAGAGAAAGGCTGATGTCAGCGATGCCGAACGCCAGCGAAATGGAACAAACGCGGAGCTTGAGCAAGTCACGTTTCAGCTCAAAGCGATTCGGGAGGAGCTAAAAAAGAAACACCAAGAAATGCGGGAATGTGAAAACCGCGTCCGTGATAGCATCGATGGCCAGGACCCAGGGCTTTACCATTCCGTTGTGGACGAACTTGAGGACGACCGAGACAGGGCTAAGTATGATGCAGATGGGTTCACACACCAGATAAAATACTACGCAAGATGCATTGAGTTTGCTAAAAAGAAAAGTTCTTGTCAGCTCTGTGCAAGGAAAATGAAAGATGAAGAGGAGCTTCAGAAATTCGTTGAGCGATTGCAAGGAAAGTTTCAAAAGTACGAGAAAGAGATCCAAGCAGAAAAGGTTGCAGAAATCGATGAAAAGTTAAAGGCTGCTCGAGAAGCCGGCCCAAGCTATGACACTTTGCAACGTCTTTCACTAACCGAACTGCCTGCTCTCGAGTCTGAATTAGCCAAGCTGGAGACTAGGCACGATTCTCTCCTCAGCCAGGTCGAAAAGCAGGACAAGGAGCTAAATGAACGTGAAGAGACTAGACGAGATCTTGAAGGACTGTCCAAGACGGTTCAGAATATCGCCAAGTACCAGAACGACATTATACACTTCGAGGGTCAAATTAGCGAGTTGCAAGCGTCACAGGAGAGAAACGGTCTTACAAGATCGGTAGAGACGATCCAAGCAGAATCCGACAAGCTGATGGAGAAAAGCCGATCGCTAAGGAGTTCAATCATGAAGATGACGAGTGAAAAGGAGAGCTCTCGTGCTCAAATAACCAGCCGGGAGCTCGAGCTAAGAGATATCAAGTCAAAGCTCAGTAACGCAATCTTTCAGCTCGAGAAACGGGCTAGTCTTGTTGCGCGAATTGAAGAGATCAAAGAGCATAATTATCAGCAGCGAGAGTCGGTAGAGCGAGCGGAGAGAGACCTGGAAGAACTCAGTATGCAATTTAACCAAGCCCAAGCAACCTACGACGACGTAAGCCAACGTGGCGCCGAGAGAGAACGGAACCTGCAGCAAGAATCATCAAAGATTGCAGATAGCCTTCACCATCTCAAGCTTGCTGATAGCGACATCACCGCGTACCTTCAGAAGGGTGGCCAGGAGCAGCTTGCGCGAGCCCAGCGTGAGGTTAAGAACCTTGAGCGGGACATCAGCCAACAGGAGGCCGAACAGCGCCAGGTGGTAGTGGAGGTCAACAAATCAACTGATCTTCTCAAGAGCAGTGAAGACACGAAGCGTGGTATTTCGGACAATTTGAGATACCGCCGAGATCGTCGGGCACTGGACGCAGTTCAAGCTGAGATCAAGGAGCTCGAATCACAGAATGCAGAGGTTGACCGCGAGCAGTACAATCAGGAGGCAGAAAAATGGGGACGAAGACACGCGAAATTAACTGCTGAGCAGGCCAGTAAGATGGGAATTATGAAGACTAAGGATGATCAATTAGCCCAGCTTTTAGCAGACTGGGAGACAGATTACAAGGATGCCGCGGATAAATACAAAGAAGCACACATCAAAGTCCAGGTTCGTCCAATTTTTTTTCTCATCTTCCGCGGCATTCGCTTATCATTCATCAGACTACAAAGGCGGCCGTCGAGGATCTTGGCCGTTATGGAGGAGCTCTTGATAAGTATGAGAACCTGTAATGTTCGCTGGTCTTTCGGTTTGGCTGACAAGAATCAGGGCAATAATGAAATATCATGGCCTGAAAATGGAGGAGATCAATCGAATTATTGAAGAACTTTGGAAACGGACATATCAAGGCACTGACGTCGATACAATCCTCATCCGTTCTGATAACGAGAATGCGAAGGGCAATCGATCTTACAACTATCGAGTGTGCATGGTAAAGCAAGATGCAGAAATGGACATGCGGGGGCGTTGCAGTGCTGGACAGAAAGTGCTTGCCAGTATCATCATCCGCCTGGCTCTGGCCGAATGCTTTGGTGTCAATTGCGGTCTCATTGCGCTGGATGAGCCCACGACTAATCTCGACCGTGACAATATTCGCTCGCTGGCAGAATCTCTCCACGATATTATCCGAGCGCGTCAACAGCAGTCAAACTTTCAACTCATTGTCATTACACATGATGAAGAATTTTTGCGATTCATGCGATGCAATGATTTTTGCGAGAACTACTATCGGGTATCGCGGAATGAGAAGCAAAAATCCATCATTGAGCGGCAGTCGATTGCGGAGGTATGTTTTCAACGTCGTTTCTTTTCCACGTCATTTTTCCTTTTGCGACTTCCGGGTCCGGCCTAGATGAATGCTAAGCTTTCTGTCACGTCACACAGGTTCTTTAAATGTCTAAGATGCGTTCGCATGGATGGGGCGCCAAAAAGCTTGTCTGCAGCCTCAAATCTCGTTTGCATTTACTGGGCGTTATTTATTAAATCAAGGGAGCAAATTACCGGTTGCATCCAGGGTATTCCGAGACATATGATGACAGGTCTCGCAGAGGCATGATGCTTTTTTCTCATTTTGACGTTGTACCGTATACAAATCTATTGGCTGTGTGTGCGTGTGGTATGTTATTGTGATGAATAATCTTCCTTGGCAATGTTGTGGCGCCATACCCCTTACTTGAATGCCTCCATTCCCGCAAACGGTGCTGAAATTGGAAGGGGAAATTAGACGATTTCTATTTGAGAAAGACGATGGAATCGGTTGAAAGGAGAACATGTCACCAAAACAGAGACAACTTTTTTTTTTCAAGTTCTGTCGATCCTTATAGGAGGTTTGCCATCGTCTTATCAGTTCAATATGTGGGTGGATATCTGTTGTGTGTGCGTGCGCAGGGGGGGGGATGGAGATCTCGAGAAAAGAGTCATTTAGGAGTCTATCCTTTCCCTTTCGGCCCTTCTCTTGCCTTGAGGTCCCCACACGATGCGGAGACAGGGTGATGTGGAGACTGGGGAAGACGTGGCACCCGTCTGTTTCGCGAATGTTTGAGAAAGTTGCAGGGATGTACCCCTGCTGCAAATCCCTATAGACCGCTACCGAACGGTACTTGGTTTTTGGGGCCCGAGTGTGCATGATCGTATCGAAACGGTCATCATTACGAGAAGCGCAATTACTGCTTATCAGCCATTTTGATTTCACATGCGAAAATTTCGTATAATCGTCCACTTCTTTGTCGATTGATAAAAGACTGGGTGATTAATGCTAGCCCATTTTCTATTTCTGAAAATCTGGGTTTCTGAGATCACGAGTCTCGGAGGTTCCAGTACGAGACAGTCGGTTGGAACCGAGACGAGCTACGACGGTCTGACGCCAAGCCCAACTAGAGCTGAAAGAGATTGGGTGAAAGTGAAAAAGCACAGGTCAGTCCGAGCTCATAATGAAGCAGTCTTAGGCTGTTTCTTTCGCACTCATTTTGGGCAGAGCAATTCGTGATGACTTCACCAGGAACAATGTCAAAGATTCGGTTTCCGCCGGTAGATTTTTACTTATCAACTGAGTGATTATGAAGACTCTCGGGAGCTGAGGGTCCAAATGCACCGTATTTAATGTTCCACCAGTGGGCGGGCTCCAACGCTGCGCTCTCGCCGTTTTGGCGTCGCCTATCGGTAAGCTGATTCAAAACGAACAGGCGAGCTGCAAGCCACGCACCAAACCGATCCTGTCGATTCAGTGACTGGCGCCTGCCAATAGACCAATTGGCAAACCTGACCGGTCAACCTGGAAATAATAGGGTCCTTTTGCAGGTAGGGATATGTGGGCTGCTGTGCAGATGAGACGACGCAACCCTCCTTCATCACATGAAGTTAATACGATACCAAGATACGACGTTGATGCTGGTATATTTTTTTTTTCTCTCTTTCACTCTCATCCCCAAGATCCCTGATCTCGCTGCATTCGATGATGATTTCCGAGGGATGTGAAGTAGAACATAAGCCTCCGAACCATGGGATGCTGTCAGGTAAGTGGCAGCTTTGTCTTCTGACAGTGGGACCTGGGCCTAAGACAGTTCTGGCGAACCGGTCAGTCGAGTTAGCTAGATGGTCGAGTCTTCTCCCTAATCGACTGTGTTTCTTTTCTTGGAGGCGGGACACCCTTTTGGCCTGCTTCCCCCAAGATAACATGGACTAGTTTTGAAGTATAACTACCTCTAGCTGAAAGATCTCTTGGCCTACCTTGTAGATAGGCAATGGAGTAGTGCGAGATCTGATGTAGTAAGGTAAAGATACTTGGAAGGGACGATTGGGCTTAGCTGCCAACGGCGCGTATCTTGCGGCCCAGAGGACGCGAGCGCCCAAAGACTAAACTAAAACAGTGCTACAGGCCGCGTAGGGGTCCATCCAAACAAACCCTCACAATGGGCGCTGAATACGACAACCCCGTCAACACGAACCATGGGAAGAAAGAATAACCACAATAATGTTGAATGCGGTAGCTTTATTGAATGATCAGCCGATTTGAAGACGACATCTGGTCCAGATCATGGAAATGAGATGAGGCTTGAGCCCCACTCATCTCGTACCCCAAGACCCAGCACAGCGATGAGGCCGGACAAGACAATGGGTGCAAGCAGTAACTGTCCGCCAAAGTTGTTTCCCGCCCCTGGATTCTTGCTCTCGTGGCTGAAGGGAACCCCAACCACCCTGTGAGTAGGTAAGTATTAACTTTCTGCATGAAAGCTACAAACGGTTTGGAGCACAGGAACAGGCAAGCAGCCACACACCAGAAGACAGACTACTCCTGACTAGGACGTGTATGGGCTCGAATGACGGAGGGGCTTTCATTCCACACCCGTGGAATGTCAACCCCCGGGGCTTGACTTATGATGCAGCCAGCATCCACTTCACACGCGCTCGGTGAAGTCGGTTCAAGTCTGAGAAGCATTTGTTCTCATCGAATTCCTTGGCGCTCTTCGTCTTCCTTCTTTCCCGGCTGTCCTGCATCCGGGTTCTTCCACGTCGCGCAGCTCCAGCCATCTTCAAACCCCTGCCACCTCCATTCATTCTTTTTTCTACTGCATCGCTCCGCCTGGAAGGTCGAGGATCTCAACTTCACATTTGGTACTGGAGAAGAGCATCCAGCCTCTTTCATTCTTTCTTTGCACACTCTCTCCACCCCTACCTCTTTCTATCGCGCAGCCTTGTCGCTGGACCGCAAGACAATTTGGAAGGCTAGACAGCTGCATTGCAGTCTCTAGCCGTTGCATTTTGCGAAAGAGCATCACATCATCGCCATGCTGTTTCGGCACGCGACCTCGCTGCTTCTCGCGGCCGTCGTCGCAACGGCCTTGCCTGGGTAGGTCACCATTGTGTTTTTCGCCATGGTCTGTGACGGTCCACCATTTGCTAACCTGGTCGAACGTAGCAAGCGCCTTGGAAAAAGAGATCCACCAGGGTTCGATTATGGGGTAGATGTTGTACGCGGAGTCAACATTGGTGGATGGCTCGTCCTCGAACCGTGAGTTAGAGTCGCTTGAAAGGTGCTAATGACGTGCGAGTTCCAGCTAATTAAGCCTGTGCAGATGGATTACGCCTTCGATATTCCAGGCTCAAAACGGGTCTATTGTCGATGAATGGACCTTGGGATACTATCTCGGCCAAGACGAAGCATACAACATTCTGAAGCCCCATTGGGACACCTGGTGCACCCTTGCCGACTTTCAAAAGATTGCGGCTTCTGGATTCAACTTGGTGCGGATACCTATTGGCTACTGGGCGTATCAGAAATTCGATGACCCATTCACGCAAGGCGCGGCGCCGTACATGGACCTGGCCATTGACTGGGCTCGCCAGACTGGCCTGAAGGTGTGGATTGATCTCCACGGCGCTCCTGGCTCACAGAACGGTTTCGACAACTCTGGTCACTGGACCAGCGACGTTCAATGGCAGCAGGGTGATACCATTGCGCAGACGCTAAGCGTGTTGCACGAAATCAACCAAAAGTATGCGCAGCCAGACTATCAGGATGTTGTCGTCGGCATCGAGCTCGTGAACGAGCCTCTCTCATCCAAGTTGAACGTTTCTCAACTCTACGACTACTACCAGCAGGGTTTCAGCGACGTTCGCTCCGTCAGCGATACCACCGTGGTCCTTCATGATGGTTTCCTGTGGACTAGCTCCTGGGACAATTTCTTGACGCCGACGAGCAACGATTACAACGGTAAGTAATTTTATTCTCCAAGTATCCCATGTGGTAGAGTGCTTATTTTGTACCTTTAAATTAGTGCTTGTGGACCATCACGAATACCAGGTGTTCAATTTGGAGCAGATTGCATGGCAACCATGGGTATGTATCTCCAAAGATTTCTCAAAGAAATGTCAGATCACTGACCCGAAATACGCAGCAACATCGCCAGGGTGTCTGCAACGGTGCCGCATCCTACAGCGATGCTGACCACTGGGTGGTCGTCGGCGAGTGGACTGCTGCCATGACCGACTGCGCTCCCGCGCTCAACGGGTATGTTGTAACATGTCTCAGACATTGCTTCTGTCACATTGAAAAGAAAGCCGCTAATGTAACGTAACAGCTACCAAATAGGCGCCCGATATGATGGAACTTACCCCGGTAGTACCTATGTCGGCTCCTGCGACATTTTCAACTTTATCGACCTTTGGAACCAGACCCTCAAGGACGACACCCGTGGTTATATTGAGGCGCAGATGGAGACCTTTGAGCGTTACACCCAGGGCTGGATCTTCTGGAACTTCAAGACCGAGGCCAGCGCCGAATGGGACGCCTTCCGGCTGATTGATGCCGGCGTGTTCCCGCAGCCCTTGACAGACCGCAAGTTTAGCGCCATTTGTTCATAGACGTGGGGACGACTCATTTTTTTGGTGGAGAAAAGCTGTTGTACGATGAAAGATTTGGATTTGCACACATACACGCATCTTTTCTTCTCATATATGCGTTTCGTCGGTGGCCGATTCTAGCAATCATCGCTGGCGCGTATGGGCATTTTCGGTCATTATTTCCCATTCATGGTCTCATCTGATCTGCACATTTTTTGCTCTCCTTTTTTTTTTTTCCCCTCTTGATTGAACAAATGCCTCGCATAATTTGATCCCATTTTCTTTCATCATTTTCTTTGATAATTTTCTTTTGTCATCACGTTTCTCGTCCTTGAACTATTCCTTCAGGGCCACCGGTTTCTTCGTTCTTCTGGTGCCCCGGCGCATCCAGGCGGTTGATGCTTTTTACATGAGAACCGCTTCGGCCATCTAGGGAGGTCTTAATAGGTTTGCTGGCTTCGGAAAGGATGGTTACTCGCGCACTATTACCCACGGGTCGTTCTGTTCTGCTGGTGTTCTCCGAATTCGTCTGATGACACGCTGGTCAGGTCACTCTTGCTTTTTGTTATTTGTTTATTTGCGCCTCCTCTCTTCATCATGCCACCACCTTTGGCTGCGGCTACGTGGTTCATAGTTAAATAGGATAGTTTCAATTAATAATTCTATTAAAAATTCGTCCTTCTGTGGTCGTGATAACCACAATATGGATTACGAGCGAATGTTATTTTAATTCAGGATTATTGGCGCGGAATATAGAGGTAAACAAGGCAAGAGAAATGTAGAGCTTGTATTCTTCTGTCAAGTCGAGCCCAAGTAGCCCATTTGAATGGATATTCCCGAACTCCTATTTACATGGGCTAGATTTAGCCCGAGGCCCGAAGTGGTCTCGCGATACGGAGTATTCGAAGACAAAACTATTATAGGAACATGACGGCGAATGCATCCGCGGATACACCTGAGACTTGTAAAATGTGTAGAGTGCTGTACTCCGTAGAGTGCTCTACCCAAAAAAAGCTTAGTTAATGGATTACCGGGTGTAATGCATTGGCTTTACGACTTTCCTCCTTGTAGCTGTAGTTAGAAAAGACCCTAAGTTATATTTCCAGTATGCCTATACTCCGCAGGCTTACCAGTTCAAAGAGACGTCCTTCCAAAACATCTGAGCCGTTATCGACTGTATAACAGCGGAGTTTATTACAAAATTTCACGGGCATACAAGACCTCTGAACTCCATATGGGGACTCGTCGGAGTGATAATCGTTGCCCCTCGACGAGCTGGGGGCTCTCGGCGTTTGGTCGAATCGCCGAATGACGAGCTTTCGGCGCAGTGACCACTCCACCGATGGGCGGGGTGGGGGGAGGGTCAACACAACACCATGTTAGATATAAAGCAGGTTAATTATTAGGAGGACCCCCCGAATATTAATCACGGGGGGACATTTGTATATTTGCAAAAAGTGCGGCATTGCATTGCATTTGTATAATACATTATTATATTTCACAAACAAGAACCGAAGCTGAAATCTTAGATTATAAGTTGACGATTTCCCCGGAAGAGAACAATGGCAACACGGTCTGACTCTCAATTTTCGGAAATCCCACTTCAGCCCAAAGATGCGGCGTTTTCACTCATCGAAGCATTCCATGCGGATCCTTTTCCGCAAAAGGTCGATCTCTGTCCTGGCTTCTACCGCGATGAGAATGCAAAGCCGTGGATTTTACCTTCAGTTGCTCTGGTATGAACCCGATTTATTTCTGTAGACTGAGCGGAAAACCACTATTAGAGAGAAGGGGGGAAAAAAAAAAACTAATTAGAGAGAAAAAAACTAAAGGACTAACTAGAGAGAAAAAAACTAGGCAAAGCAACGGCTTCAAGCAGATCCGTCAGAGGCACATCACGAGCACTTGCCTATGCAAGGCCACCCGAAGCTTCTGTCCGGAGCTCGCGAATTGGTCTTTGGTCGTGATGTTGAGCTGCAGCGGATTGCGTCAATCCAAACCGTCTCGGGCACAGGTGCGAATCATTTTGCTGCGCAACTTCTCTCTGAAGTTATCAAGCCAAAGAATGTTTGGATTTCGGCTCCCAGTTGGATAAACCATACAGAGATATGGGAAAATGTGAATGACAGCATCAACAAACGTTTCTATCCTTACTATAGAAAGGAAGACCAGTCTTTGGACTTTACGGGCATGGTTGATACTCTATCCAGCCAATCTCGGCCGGGGGATGTGGTCGTTCTTCATGCCTGTGCGCATAATCCGTCCGGGCTGGACTTGTCTGTCGAGCAGTGGAAGACTGTTGCATCAGTCTGCGTGGAGAAGAAGCTCTTCCCGCTCTTTGATTCTGCATAGTAAGTTAGGTCGAGATTTCGGAATTTCGAAAATCCCACCTCCCACGTGGCTTTTCTCTCCTCTAACTTTAATGCTAGCCAGGGATTTGCGACAGGGGACCTGGAAAAGGATGCATGGGCGATTAGATATTTCTATGGCCTTTCTCATCTGGAGTTTGCCGTTGCTCAGTCGTTCTCGAAAAACTTTGGCATTTACGGAGAGCGTATAGGGGCCTTGCATTTGGTTGTTAATTCCGCCGAGGCTGCGCAGAGAACTTTGGGTCGTTTGCTGCGATTGCAGCGAGCTCAGATTACGAGCCCACCATCATACGGTGCGAAAATAGTCGCGACTATTCTGTCAGATGAGGAGCTGTTCAAACAGTGGCTCAAGGACCTAGACCACATGAGCGGTCGAATTAAGCAGATGAGAAAACGGCTATATGATGAGTTGAAGAAGAGGGACACCCCTGGATCTTGGGATCACCTCTTGGTAGAGGTAACATGGTTCTCCAGCAATTTGTTGCTTTGCCATCCGAGTTGCTAATAATCTCTTGAGGGGAAAACAGATTGGAATGTTCTCTATCACGGGTGTTAGCAAGGAACAAGTGGACAAGTTAGTTCGGGAACACCATGTGTATCTGTTGCCTTCCGGGCGCATTTCGTTGACTGGAGGTAAGTTTTAACTTGCACCACACAAATTGCCATGTCATAGCTAACGGAGACCAAGTGACTGAGCATAATGTCGAGTATGTCGCCGAGGCCTTCACCCGGGTGCTCAAGCGATCTCCAGGTCATTGATGAGAGACGTTTTATTTGGACTTGGCATTCCTGGGTTATCTGATGAGATTTGTCCCAGAGCGCTCCGGAGATGAATCGTGGACATTTGTGTTAACTATAGAATAAGATGGATTGTAGGACCTCCTGTAATGCTGTTCAATGATTCATAAGATGGTGTATATTGAATGTGCTTCACTCAAATATGACTACCGTTCTACCCACCTAATATACATGTATGTTTTGTCCGTCGTCATCAAGCAGCGGGACAACCGGAGGCTGTTATGCATTCTATATATTAGTCAGATTCCTGGTCCTCTATTGATGCACCAAACTACAGCTACTTTACCTTACCTACCAGCCGCTTTGTATTAGAGCTTCCGTCTCTCTGCGATAGAGCATTCTTATTATTACACAGAAGTATATCACGAGAAGTTCGATGACGAGGGCCGTGTATACTGCGCAATTTTCGTGATCTTGCAATTAATGTCTTTTTTTATTTTTTATTATTTAATTTTTAATTTTTTATTTTTTTCGCGATCCTGCATTTCATGTCCTCTTTTCTTTTTCGCTACAGTAACCAAACACTCATATTCATGATGAGCCATTTGTACGCGTAATTACAGAGCTACTGTACAGAGCTACTGTAGGCATCAATCATGGTCCCTGTCCCTGTCACTGCTCCCCTGCCCTTTGGGTATGCCCCCGGTTCCAGAGAAGGCTTGACTGATAAGCTAGCGAGAGTGGTGCGTGCGAGGTGCGAAGTGCCATGAGCTTCACCTGGCTTGCATCCTGGGGTTAACACTGCAGGAGACACACGTCTAAACAAATGAGTCAGATAATCCATGTTCAAGGCTGTAGCGTCAGAAATGTCATTGTCAATGCCAAGGTGCTGTGGCTGGTACATTTGTAAGAGAGATAGGTGCCTTAGGTAGGTAGTATATTGTCAAGCCACGCAGACTGGCATGACTCCTCATTTTCCTCGACCTTGTGTGGTGGATCATGTGGGGAGAGCAGGGCGTTTGATTGGAAGGCGTGTTTGGCGAACAAGAAACACCAAAGCACGAAATACAACTACAGACATCAAACGCCAAGGACCAAACTGCAAGTTACCAAGTACGACTGCGAACTACAAACAACGAGATGTAAGAGCGAGTACCAAGACCAAACTACAAACAACAAGATATAGGTGCAACTACAAAGACCAACTACAAACAAGAAGATATAAGTGCAAACTATGATTAATTCTAGGTACAGCTCGGCTGCTTGGCTGGAGCGATATACTACGCGAAACGGTCAAGTGATGGTGACAACCATATGGAGGTACAGAGTACACCTTGATGGTCAATCAGTGCCAAGTGTGCCCAGAGCTTATCAATCAACAACAAATGGTGCAAGATTTCTAATGACTTGGCGATTCAACGCGGGATAGAAGGCTTGTGATGGCTGCTGGGCTGAAGAGCCACAGCCTGGTAGCCTGGGAGAATGACACGGCAGCAAGAGGAGTAGTAGCAGCTAGACAAGGCTTTAATGCAAGCCACGCAGGCTGAGATATTTAGCCTGCCCGCGTCGCGTCCTGTGTTGCGATGAGTTTATTTGTAGCTTGGTAAGCGTATGCGATTGTGAGAGATGGGATACTCCGTAGAGCTACCAACTACGTCTTCCAAGATCCAAGATTGAATCATTAGGTACATCAGATAAAGCGAGTGCATAGACAATGCGAATCTCAAAAGTTATCGGAATTAGATCTAGAATGCTCCTTGTTTGTAAGTGTAGTCTACATGTGCATTTCGGTGGCAATTCCCACGAAAGCATACGCTTGCTGAAAAACAACTCAGTCTCGAATATTCTGCAAAAAACAATGACAGAGAATCCTTAGTTGTTCCTCGGAAATAGAAAATTGGACTCACGTACAGACTGTTTCCCAAAGCGGGCGTTTCTCAAAGTATTTCTCTGTGGGGTGTACGTCTACCATCCACATTGGGCCCGAAACAGGAACTCATGGATAAATTCACTCCTAGCTATACTGTTTGCGGCCATCACGTCTGCCCAGTCACGCCCAGGAGCTCGGCATCACTTGGCTGATGCCGACAAGAGCCGGGGTATCTCAGACTACCAAACAAAGTAAGGGCATCATGAATTCAACTGAAGCTCGAGAAGCATCTACAAACGATTCGTTACAATTGCCTCTTCTACAAGGAGATTTGTAATTGAAGGGGAATTCTCCGGAGATGTAGGAAATTGACTCGTTGAGACGCGTGTCAGTTCATATGAAAAGAGGTACAAAACAGGCCTTGCGAGCCGGAATGTCATTTGCATCATAGAGACATAATAGAAGAATACTGCTTTATCAGCAAAAGGCGGAATTCCGCCCTCGTGAAACGATGAGTCGATTATGCCAAAAATTGATGTAAACTTGCAACGAGTAAAAACAGAGTTTCATGTCTCGCCCTTCGAATGACTTGACACCCTCAACCATAACAAATCAAGGATGCTGCATGATGCCCACACGTATGGCATTCTGGGGGAGGACAAGAATTGGTAGAATTAGTCAGAAAATCAGATTAGACCATCATCATCATTGCAAGGGCGCAAAGGGGGGGGGCGTTTAACCATAGGAGGACAGAGGAGAAGGGAAGGAACGTGCCTTTGGAGCGATCAACCAGAGTAGTTTAGTGGACTCGCTTGGCTTAGAAAAGGGCCATGCGGATCAGCCGCGATCAGATGAATGTGACTCAAACACGGCCGTTTTTTCTTTGGGACAGGGAAGATTGTTGCTTCTAGTGCTACGGCCGGCGCGTGGTGGTTGGGTGCATGGATCAATCACGGAGACACTCTTGTGTGTTTTTTACCCTCTGGTGCTCGAAAATGTGGAGTTTTATTACTTGATGACTACATCAATGCAATCAATTTTTCCTTCGTTTCACACTTCACTGGGCTAGTCTAGACTAAATCTGACTCTTTTTTTTATTAACTTACGCCCTTCTCATGTCCTTTTTGTGTATATGCCTAAGGCAAGGGTGGTGTGTTATGAGCCTGCTCCACATAATGCATGCAGAAAAGAAAAAATCAGGCAGTATTATAAAAAGATGGCTGCCTGCACTTCCGATGCTATTTCCCTAGTATCAGATCATAATAATTTCCCCAACGAGGCATTGAAGCGTCCATTCGACATTCATTAGCATACGCAATCCATCTCTGGCTTGATACCAAAGAAAGCCAAAACAAGTGACCGAAGCGGCACAGCTCCTGCAATCCCTGGGATCACCACAACTCGACCCAAGGCAACAACGTTAATAAGGTTTCCTACTGGTTGCGTACCTTTTAGTCGCCTGCGTTCCCTTTCCTCTCTTTCCCTGAATACGTCAGCAAAAGCAAGGGAGAGCACAGCCCGCAGCTGTTTCCTTATCCGATAGCTGGGAGCATTTTACCCCACAAAAACACTTGGGGGTGCACCTTTTGGATAAATAAATTCCAACTTTATTCCGCCATTGTGTTTTTTTAACGGGGACAATTCTTTTTTTTTGTTCTTCTCTGGTTTACCATTTTGGTGAAATTCCTCCCAGCAGGGGAGATTTTGCAACAATTCCATCAACAATTACAAACTCCGCCATAACTTCGCCGACATCAAACATGTACGCCGCTTCTGTCGCGTCCAGCCGGACGGTAGCTTCACATTTGCGCGAGCTGGCACACATGCCTTCGGGCAGAGCAGCAATCACAATTAGCATCAAAAAGGACCATCACGGTCTCGAATCCACACAAACCGCTTCCTCCTCAGCTCCAGAACCATATGTGCATTCATATACCTCGCTGGATCGGATAGAGGGGGAAGTGGCAATTACGGCACCTAATGCTCTGCGATTCGAAGACATTAGCATCACTTTTGAAGGTAGACCATCCCTATCAATATAAAAAAAATATTTACGATTATTGTTTTTGGAAGAGACAGCTAACTTTATGACCAGGAACTTCGAGAACTTACGTGGAGAATGTATCATCGGCCTCCATGCTCACCCAACGTACGGCTGCTCGTCACAATTTCCTCAAGCTGGCTCAACCCATCGACCAGTCTTCATTCCCACATCCGCGCATTCTTGAACCAGGTCGAACCTACAGATTCCCCTTCACCTTTGTGATTCCTGAGAGAATGCTTCCTTCGTCATGCAGGCACTCGACAGTCAACGCTGAGTTGCACGAAGCCCATCTGCAGCTACCACCATCGACGGGAGATGCAGAGCTCGCAGGCGATGGCACTCAGCGCTTGGACGACCAGGCACCGGAAATGACTCGTGTGTCATATGCGATCAAGGCGAGAATCACCAATGTCCGCGAGAGTGACAACAAAAATGTGGTCATTTGTGAGCGCGAGAAGAAGGTCCGAGTGATACCGGCTGTAGAGGAAAACCCACCGCTCGACGAGTCTAGACTGGTGGACTATTCGCTGCGTCGGACAAAGAATATCAAAAAGGGCCTTTTCAAGGGAACGCTCGGCAGCTTGAGCATTGAGGCGGCGCAACCGAGTAGCTTGCATCTCCCTGCTCGTGGGCTGACAGCCGATGCGTGTGCGACGACCACCATGGCGTCCATCCAGCTGCGCTTTGATCCCGCTCATGAAGACTCTCAGCCTCCGGCGCTCAGCCAGCTCGTGAGCAGGCTGACTGCAGAGTCATACTATAGCAGCTCGGCGATGAGACACTGGCCCACCAGGGATTCACTGCTGAACCTCGCTACCCGGGGCCGGTATTTTGAGACCTTGCCGCTCGCCAGCCGGTGCATTGCGTCGGTTCAATGGGAAAAGTTTGGACCATCGGATGCTCCCAGTCGACGAGATTCGGCCTTGTCCACGATGTCCATCCATGAGATTCCAGCCCCATCTGAGGCCTACACCGGAGGCAATTTTTACGTTGCCAAGGTCTTGGTCCCAATCACGTTGCCCAAGACCAAGGCATTCCTTCCGACATTTTACTCTTGCATCATTGCGCGATTCTACACGCTGGACCTGTCAGTTTCCTACCAAAGCTCGGCCACGAAATTCTCTGCGCCCACTATCAGCGTCAAGCTGCCCATTCAAATTTCCGCCGCGGGTGATCCGGCTGCCCAGAGGGCATTTTCTGAAGCGAATAGCCAAGATGCATTTGCATTGGAAGTCGACGATGCCGCGGGAGCGCTCTTTGAAGCCGGCTCGCTTGTTGCCCCGCCTTCGCCAGAGTACACGCGTGTCTCGCTCGTGGCTTCTTCTGGAACAGGAACCTCTGCTGCTCGAGAGTCGCATCACGAAGCTGATTATCCGCCGCCCGCGTATCCTATCCAGGGTCATGTCGCGTTTGGCAACGAAAAGGCCGTGCCAATTGCTTGATTATCTGACGTTTATGTCTTGATCGGTTCGGTTTGGGAGTATGCATATTACGGGATTGACTTTAACAGTCTCCTTGTTTCCGCGTTCTTATTACCCGTCTTTGTTGTTATCCGGCGTTTACAGCATCATCCGAAATTGGGAAGCTGGGAAAAGTATTACTTTATTATTCGATCGGCTTTGCCTTTTCTTTTCTTTTCTTTTCTTTTCTTTTCTTTTCTTTTCTTCTCTTCTCCCCCTTTTTCCTTTTTAAAATTCTTTAATTATTTACTTCTTCTTAATTTGCATCGGGAAAAGCAGAAGCCCAGGACCTGGGAAACAAGAACAACGCAGTAATGGATGGATGGAGATACCCGTGCTAAGCGCACTTTTTCTTTAGTTTATTTTCTTTTTAGCCTACTTTTTTTTTTGTTTTCTTACTCTATTATTTAATTAACTCTTATTCTGTCGAGGGTTTCTCTTCGATGTTTAATTTTTGTTCAGTGTTTATTTTTTACTGTTCAGTGCTCAGTGTTCGTGTTTATTGTTCAACATGGCATGGACTGAATTGTCGTCTTGTTATTACTGGGTATACTTTTAGCAGCTAAGCTTCAACGATGTAACATGTCAACATGTCAATATGTCAATATGTGAACGATTTGAATAATGTGAGCAATGCCAAGGTAGCAAGCCACAGCAGTTAGTGATAGTGGTCAACAGTCAGTGGTTATGGGCATAGATGTTAATATATTGTTCATTTTATTAAATGATACTGCCTTGATTGCGGACATTTCCATGAGTGACTACCACCTACGTTAGTATACTAACTGGTAAGGACATTGTCTTGTTACCTGTTACCCGTTACCTGTACCTTGTCCAGCGTGTACTGTATAGTGTGTAACTACCTAGGTAGTGTATAAGGTAGCTGTAATCCACACAAAGAACTTGTCAAGTTGCCAAGTTGTCGAGTACCTTAGGTCAAATTGTTAACAAAGCCATGCAGCCATGCCACCATATCCTTGATAGAACAATGTTACAACTTACAATGATTTCTACCCATGACAGATTGAGTCGGGATGTACAATACCTTTATACTTACATTTCTGTTGTCTTATTGTACACTTGATACATACTTTTTGTTTACTATATACCTTATTTACATTTATACTTTTGTTTTCTGTTATACTTTTGTTCAGCTGTTATAGACTTGTTCTCTACCATGGACTTGTTCATATCAAGTGTAAGTGTAAGCACATATAATGTATATATTGAATCATTATACTCATACAGTACAGCAGCAGTACAAGTCCGAGTCCGAGTCCACGACAGGAGAACATGTTTACGACAGAGAACAACTCCATGACGAACAGGCCTACGACAGAGAACAAGTCCATGACGAGTGAACAAGTTTACAACAGCAAATAAGGCCACGACAGAAAACAACTCTACGAGAGAACAGGAGAAGAGAAGAACAGAAAATACAGGTATACACAACTGTGAAAAAATGTAGAATAAGATGCACACTGGATATGGTATCAGGACGTTGGGTATATAAATGAGCCTGGACGCTGTTGTCATTCATCATCACTTTGATACAGCATCATCATCATTACTTTGATACATCAGCATCATCATCATCGTTACTACTTCGAGACATTAATCATCAAGCATCAATCATCGAGACACTGCTACATTCTACAAACATATTTAACAAGCTTTCTACAAATACCAACCACTACAAATACCAAAGAAACTCCAGTCCACGCTCTACCGAAACCTAAAGTCTGAAAGCAGAAAATATAAACTAAAGACGAAATAACAAAGACGTTAAAATGCCATTCCATTTACCCTGCAACTCCAAGTCAAAGACGACCGCCAAATCTGGACCCCAAACCACCGTCCATCCAGCATATCCAGGCCATCCAGAGTATCAAGCCCATCAAGTCTACCCAGAACATCAAGCCTATCCAGAATATCAAGGCAGTCCAGGCCATCCAAGCTACACAGAGTATCCAGAATATCCAGGCTATCCGACCTATCCAATGTACCTGACGCATCAGACCCCACTGCATCCAGTCGAAATGTTTCCTACCCTTCCTAACCATCCTGGCCATCAATCCCATCAATCCCATCAAACCCATCAAACTCATTCCGTCCATGCAGCTCATACCGCCCGAACCCAACCCACCCATCCGGTCCATATTGTCCACGAACTCCCATCAAACCAGCCCATCCATCCAGCCTACCGCACACCCACACATGCCAATGACACATCGATCCATTCGGGAAAAAGCAGCTCGCTGATCCCATCGGACGTGGCCATGTGGAAAGCGGCAATCGAGGCGGAGCGACGCGGGGAGAAGGTGACGGGGCAGCAGCTGCAGGGGGATAATTACCATAGTCCTAACCCTACCCACAGCAGCTCTACCCACAACAGCTCTAACCACAATAACAGCTACTACGACGGGAACAAAATAAACGGCAAAGAAAAAGGTAAAGGAAAGGCTGATGGTGTATACAGCCAGTTCAAGCCGACAATGACGTCGGATTACATGTACTATGAGACTGACGCGGCGCAGTACCCTACGACGGGCAAAGCGGGCCATACCAACAAAGGGGCCTATACAAACAGTGTGCAGAACCGCACGACGGACAAAGGGCAGGAAAACAGAGTGCACCATACAGGCAAAAAGCGTGGACAGGATTTCAGCTCGGACAATACAGACGATTTGGAAGCGGCATATCAGGTTCAGATGAACTTGGAGCAAGTAAGACGCGGTAAAGCGGAGCCAGGTAGGTCCCGGTCCATCCGTTCCGAGAGCGCTTACATTACTACGCAGGATGAAGATGATGAAGACGATGAAGGATACCAGAGAGTGCATCGGCAGGCTACCCCGCCGATCGTGCAGATGCTGAATGAGGAGATTGACAAGGCGCTGCAGGATTGGTCGTTGAACTAGAGCCCCGGTCACGATAGAGTATTTGATCTGATCGAATCATGGACCTTGATTTGATGTTTAAGTTTTGGATTTTTGATAGAGTTATCTGTTGCTGTATTAGTCTAATAAGATTTTGTTTCCTTCCCGTGGTTTTTATTCTGTTATGGTTCCATGTATGAAGTTATCCGTTAGAGTTAGCTTAGGCCGGAAGATATGTTAATTGACTTTAATCCGCAGTTCTCCCGTTTCTGGAATAAATCAAATCCTGGTATCTTTGGGTGGCATATGTAGTCTCTTGATGTAGTCTTTGGCGTAGTAAGCTACCCGAATAGATGGGGTAGAAGACCTTTCGACACAGGAGGGTGGTGTCGTCAAGGCGTCAAGTCTCTAGGTCTGCGAGACTTCGTAAAGAACTGTCATCCAAAGGACATTCCGAGCAAAAGAAGCAGATGACAGAAAAAAAAGAAGAGGATATCTCAAGTTAATCGTATATTCCCTTACACCATTACGCGACGTGATCAATGATACGAAGAATGTGGAAGAGGACCATGGCTCAGTCAAAGATGACCCTCCTGAACCAAAAGCCACAGAAGCATAGCGAAGAGTTGGAAGCCTGGAAACACCGCTGGCGTGATTACGACCGGACGTGGGATAGGCTCGGAGGTCCTGACTACTTGGACGGAGGAGCCAAAGTGTGGTCAATGTGCTAAGGGACGGCAGCGCAATTTAGACGGATCGCTATGAGGGAGCATCCCGAACCCCACAAAGTCAAAGAAGTTGGACCCACATAAAAGTACGTGAACAGCTATCTGTCCCTTGTCCAAGGCTGTTGACGTCAATGGTCAATTGAGAAATCTACCTGAGACTTTGGATTTCCCGTGCTCTCATCCAGAGGTCTGTAGAGGACCAACGTCTGTTAATTTGCCTTTGGCGGCACGGAGTACAGAGCAGGTTTGGGTTAAACCTATGGATTATTCAACAAAGAAAGATGGCTAATAATATCCCGCCATGATTTAAAACATAACTGATCCCGCGCCCGTCTGTGAACTGGCAGCAAAGATTAAGCCGACCAAGCAGGGTGGTCCTTTGACGTGATCAAGAGGGAGAGACCGAGGGACCAGTCGAATCTGAGTGGGTGACAAACGAGTGACTGCTACCTGTGAGAATACATGCGACTAGATTATTTCGTATATGCCTGGGGAGATATGTGTGATTTAGCAAGAGTATCAAAAGGTCAGTCCGATCAGTGATCATATGCTTCTAGAAACACGAGGAGAGAAGCAGATATTCTGGAGACAAAGTTATTGCTAGCAAATGTTCGTATCAGTTTCATAGCGCTGAAGAGTAGACAGGCACCTGGATTTGACCAAATGCGGAAATCGCTACTCGTTGCGAAGGGCGGGCATCGTACACTTTCCAGCTCTCGGGACGATTCGCCCGAGATGGCAGTGGGAAGAAGCGATGAAGGGGGAGGATCGAAGACACAGAAATCACCGAGAATTCCCAACGTTGGCCAAACTCATGTCCGGTTCAGGAAAGTTCATGGAAGAATTTTCGAATCCGCAAAGAAGCGACGGAGTTGGTAAAGCGTGGAATCTTAATTGGAAAAATGTTCGGGAAATAATCATCCCAGTTCCTGCTGATGGCTCGAATCCTGCCATCTCAGCTGGGTAACGCTCTCTCGACAGCTGCGCCTGCGGTCCAAATGGAAAGGGCCTTCCCCATGATTTTCTCTCTAGCCTCGTGCTTTGCCCGGCCGACGTTTCTCCGTGGCGAGAGAGAGGGTGAGAAAGAGAGACAAGAATCCTAAATTAAGCTCTCAGGTCGGAAGATGCGGTGGATGCATCATTGCGCTTTCCCCTTCCATTCGATAGACCGAATCTTTGGTCCAGCTCGCATGGTGTAGGGCTAAACTCGACGACTGCGCCCCCAATGACCACTTTGAGTATGGACGATGGCCAGCAGCTCAAGATCTCACCACACCCAACTTCCGACGGACCAAGGCTGTACGAGCGCCACGATCACTGAGCTTGCCTTTCTTTGTCTGCGCTTTCCGTGTTTCTTTCCACAGTATCCTGCCTAAGGCGCACGTTCCACGTTCCATCGCCCCGTTGATGTAACTTTACTCCAGGTCGACTTGCTCAACTTTTTAGTCCTCTGTTCGCTCAAACCTGCGCATGTCAAGCTTGATCCCTGGAGTAATCCCTACACCGAAGAGTAGGGCTGCATCGCTTCTCGGATGGCTCCGTTGCGGCTCTCTTCGTATTTGCTCAACACCATCTCTTCTCTCCGGCTGAGATGGTGTCCGTTCTTACCTGTTTACTACTCTGATGTTTTCATGACTGTTGACTAGCGGTCTGTCGCTATTTCTCAGCGCCACTGATGAGGTGGTCTAGGTTTCCATGGATCTTCTCTTACCACCCAAATGCTGATTTACGAGCACATTCATTTTTAGAAATTGCCATGGACTTACTGTTTTATAAATATAAGGATGGGGGAACCTGTCCCCGTCCATACATCACATCCAATTTTCTCTCACACTGCTAATTCATTCGCTTCTCAGGAGCACCAGTCTCTCGCTTTGACTGATCCAGAAATCTTATCAAAGTCAATCGCTTGAACTTCTTTAGAGTTTCTTCTCTCGTTTACTTTGTCTTCTTTTTCCAGTTGCTGTGTGAGCCATGTACAAGGTGCTTCCGCTGCTCGTGGCGGCCCTTGCCGGGTCAGCCTCGGCCAACTACAACACTTATCAAAACACTACGACTTCGAGCTCTTCGTCGTCGACGATTCATCCTGCCAGTACTGATACACTGACAACGTATACCACCGTGACCACTTGTCCTGTCACGAGTACCGTCAGCACGGGCTCATCCACCTGGGTGCAGACGACGTTGACCACCTCGACCATTACTGTCACCAGCTGCAAGGGTGGTTGCCACGGCACTACATCGACTCCTTCAAGCACCTCCCACTCTTCGAGCTACACCGTTGGTCCAGGCACTGGATCGAGCTCAGTCAAGCCAACTTATCCCACTTCATCGTCCAAGCCGACGTCACCTTCGGGAACTGGGTATACTCCTTCCAGCAGCAAATCCTCCCCATCTGTGAAGCCAACCTATCCAACTTCCTCGAAGCCCTCTGGTACCGGCTTTACTCCGTCGAGCTCCAAGAAGCCGACCTCGCCCTCTGGTACCGGCTTCACTCCGTCAAGCTCTCAGAAGCCAACTTCGCCTTCGGGCACGGGTTTCACACCATCTAGCAAGCCAACTTCTCCATCTCAGAAGCCGACTGGCACTGGCTCCGTTACTGTCAATCCCGTTCAGCCTACCACGAAGTCGACTGGAACTGGCTCCGTCACTGTCAATCCCGTCCAGCCCACTTCCAGTCCAACACGCCCTCCCAATACCACGACTACTACAAGCTATGGCTCTGTTACGGAAATTACTACAAAGACGTCTGTTGGGCCCACCATGGTGACTTCGATTGTGACGAGCTTTGTCCCCTGCTCTACACCGGTCACCTCGGTAGGTGGAATTACCTATTACTCGACCTATCTCACTCCAACGTCGTACACTACCACTTTCCCGTCAACCACGACTCAATTTATTGTCGTTTCTCCAGCGACGCCGACTTCAGCCCTTGTTGCTCCTGTCGCCCAGGGCTCTTCAGTCGTCACTTCTGCGGGCCCGCACACGACTCTTCCGCCTGTGACTTCTGTTGGCCCGGTTGCTGGCACTTGCCCTCCAGCCCAGACTGTCTACTACACCATCGTCTCGACCATGTATATTTCTTCGATGGTTTCCCCAGCTCAGCCTACCCAGCCTTCTCAGCCTAATCAGCCAAGCCAACCCAGTCAACCTAATCAGCCCAGTCAGCCCAGTCAGCCCTCTCAGCCTAATCAGCCTAATCAGCCAACCCAGCCTAATCAACCTACGCAGCCTACTCACCCCAGTCAGCCTAGCCTGCCGACCCAGCCTGGCAACTCTACCAAGCCTACGTCGCGGCCGTCAGTTGCTTCAACCACAATTACTCACAGTGGCAACGGCAGCTACCCGGCACAGCCCACTGGCTCTCACAAGTCTTCTAGCTGGAAGGTGCCCAAGTAAGCTGTTTCAAAAGTGCGACATGGTTCCTGTTTGTTCATAGATTATGCTCAGCCGTGTGGAATGATTTGATGGTCTTTGTTTTATGTAGATATAATTCTGTTGCTGCTCTTTAGAGCTTCTAACATGAAGCATGACTTGGCGTTACCGATCGGATTATCGGTTACTCCTTAGCTTAGCCTTTAATACTGTATACATTAATGTCTTATTCAAATTTATAAATTATTCCAAGGCATGCACTCCGATGCTCATCGCTGCCATGGGCCTTATCATTATCATCTGCACGTTACAAGCGTTTTTGTGACATTTCAGTTTCGGGTTGCTAAAATTAGTATCACACCCACATGATTACTCCCTCTTGGCGACCAAAGGACATTCCTCGCCTCGAGCCACCCCAAGGGAGAGCGCGCGAGAGAGAGAGCCTCACACGAAGCGCGGAGCCAAGTGCGAAGACTTTGAGCAAAGTCGGGGATGGTGTCTTGGATAACACACGAATTAACCCCCACTTGCACCCCTTTGGTGCAATGAAAGGGCCCCAAAGTGCCCTGGCCAGTGTTCCATACAAATGTTGGCGAACGCCCAGTTGGCCGCGGTGGCGGGAAAGGCAACGTAATATTTCCTGATATGGTTTAGCCCCCCGGACGCTTCCAAAGGGCCCGAGGGAACCAGAAGAAGCAGACGCAATCACCAGCCCGATTGGAGTCTTGGCAAGAAGCAAAGGATTGGACCAGAAACCAAACTTGACGCTTCGCTGGCTTTTTCTCCTCCCCTTTAATCGTAATCACAGAGATAACTGCTTCACAGCATCGCGCATTACCTGCTCTGATCTAGACTTTGGAAAATTTTCCGTCTCGTCTCCTGTCTCCAATTCTACCTCCCGTAGGTAAATTTCAGGAGAGGTACTCGGTACCAATTCCGCTCGCTTTTGACACTTCCCTCCCACCCCCCCAAGTTGCCCTTGATCGAAACCCTTGCCGTCGTCATACCTAAGGTATCCTACCCAAGTTGTCAATTGGTAGCGTGCCTCGACTCTTGGTGCACCGAACCCTTCAACCTGTCATAGAACTCTCGTATGCTCGCAGTCATTTCAGCAACTTCTCTCGCAGAGGAGCTCTGACTCTACGCAACCTCGGACGGAGCGATTCCGCGGCTTTCTGATTCCCACCGCATCCGGATACAACCGCCTTCAGGTAGAGAGACATATTCGTTGAGCAAACCAGTGAGAACAACGTTCCAATCTGCTTATTTTTCGACGCGTCAATCTTCATCAATTACCTTCATCGGCGGAACGGGAAATCTCGACCTTGGGCAGGCCACCCTTTGTGACGATTATCGTACACTGGGGAGGCTGATCGGCTTCCCACTCTCGCTGGAGTGGTGACCTGACCGGCTGGGACGGGTTTACAATTTTGGCAGGTGTCCTTGACTCGATCCCGTTTCCCCATATAGACTGTCTTGAAAAAGGTGCAATACCTCTGGTGTAGACGCCCAGAATTTTGCTTATCGCGGTATTTTCGGGACTTGGTGATTCGGGCATTTAAAATGCACGCAGATTTTCGGATAGGCTTCTTCAGCCTGCTCACGGCCCTTTTGAGCCTCTCTTCCGTGGATGCCTTTTATATTCCGGGTGAGTGTCTGTTAAATCATTTCTCTTTTTTCCATTTTCCTTTTGGGCAGGGAATTGACTTTCGCCATAGGATGGTCGATAAAGAGCTACAAAGATGGAGAATCGGTACCGTTGCATGTGAATAAGATATATTCGGATCATACCCAGCTACAATTTGCCTACTATGAACTTCCGTTTGTTTGCCCGCCCACGGGCCGCAGACACCTGGGATCTCCTCTCACCAGCGGCACAAGCATTTCGCTGAATCTGGGAGAAGTCCTTCGTGGCGATAGGATCATGCTCTCCGACTATGAGCTGACGATGGGAGAAGATAAAGAGTGTCAGTATCTGTGCAGCCACCAAGTCGACCGACGTGCTTTGAACCGTGCCAAAGAGATCATATCAGGTGGATATGTTGCTGAATGGATCGTTGACAACCTTCCTGGCGCCACAAGCTTCGTCACTGTTGATAAGTCTCGCAAGTATTACGCCGCCGGCTTCAAGCTGGGCTATCAGGACTTTTCTCCAAGCACTGGCAAGCCGCGGTACTTTATCAACAATCACGTCACTTTGGTCTTGAAATGGCGCAAGGCACCTGGAAAGGCAGGCTTGCAAGGTGGAAAGGTCATTGTAGGGTTCGAGGTCTACACCAAAAGTATCAACGCCGAGGAGAGGAAGGATAATGGATGTCCCGACAAGCCTCTCTCTGTGGAAAATGGAATGGAACTTTATCTTCCTGCTAACTCCACAACCGCTCCGGAAGAATACGCTGCTCTCTCCTATGTACCCCCGGCACAGGAGGATCTCGACGATGGCGCGACTCTGACTATTCCTTATACCTATTCTGTCTACTTTCGCGAGGATGATACAATTGACTGGTCCAATCGATGGGATTTGTACTTTGTCAATCAAGATGACAGCTCGAGGATACACTGGCTGGCTATTGTCAATTCTCTGTTCATTGCTGGTCTTCTCACTGTTGTGGTTGCTGTCATCTTCACCAGAACCATCCGTGGGGAGATCAAAGCATTCTCTCGCGAAGGTAGTCTCGAGGATCTCAAATTGAAACCGAAACGGAAGCGTGGTCTGAACGGCGCCAAGTCGCCCAGGCCCAGTGACAAACTCTCGGAAGGTCTCTTGGAGCAGAAGGGCGACCTCAGTACTGATGCTGACAGTTCATCGGATGACGAAGCCATTGAAGATATCACCGGGTGGAAGCTTGTCCATGCCGATGTTTTCAGGCCGCCCCCTTATGGTGGTCTCCTCGCTCCGCTCATCGGATCTGGCACGCAGTTGGTTTTTATGGCCACTGGCTTGCTTGTCCTGAGCTGCTTCGGCGTGTTGAACCCGAGTTTCAGGGGCGGCTTTGTCAGCGTCGGTGTCGGCTTGTTCGTCTTCGCCGGAATTTTCTCTGGCTACTTTTCGGGTCGAGTTTACAGGACCTTTGGCGGCTTGAACTGGCGGAAGAACACTGTTATTGTAAGTAATATCTTATCTCATCGGATGAAGAAGATGCTAACTTGACTGCAGACTGCCATTCTCGTCCCTGGTCTTCTCTTCTCACTCATTTTCATCCTGAATCTCTTTGTCTGGGCGCAAGCATCGAGTACGGCAATTCCGTTCTCCACGCTCATGGGTCTTGCTGCGCTTTGGCTTCTGGTGCAGCTGCCTCTGGTTTATGTCGGTAGCTGGTATGGATTCAACAGGATTGGCTCTTACGAACACCCGGTGAAGCCGAACGCGATTCCTCGTCAAATCCCTGCACAACCATGGTACACCAAGCCGAGCGTTAGCATCATGCTGGCTGGTTTGATTCCATTTGCCGTCATTTTCATTGAACTTATATTCGTCTTTAAGAGCATTTGGCAAGACAAGAGCGGCTATTATTATGTCTTTGGGTTCCTCAGCGTTGTCAGCATCATCCTAATTTTGACCGTTGTTGAAGTAACTGTCGTTGCTACGTATATGCAGCTTTGCGCAGAGGTAAGCCAAAGCCCTGGTTGACTCTCTTCACGTAAATTTGCTGATGTGTCATTAGAACTACCACTGGTGGTGGCAATCCTTCTTCCTGGGTGGAGGTAGTGCAGTTTGGATCTACTTGTATTCGATCTGGTATTATCATAGCAAGTTGCATATCATGGGCTTTACATCGAGTTTGCTCTTCTTTAGCTACAGCTTCTTGGCTTGCGCTGTGTACGGTCTGCTAACGGGAACTGTGGGTTTCCTTACGGCGTATGCCTTCATTAGGAGGATCTATGGGTAAGTTCATCAGGTAGCCCATTTTCTCAGCAATCTCAGTCTAACACACATGTTTAGGGCGATCAAGGTTGATTGATCTACATTCTCTTCTAGAATCGTCCATCTGGACATCTTTTGCTTTTCTAAAACTTTGTCTGGCACCGCATTCGCATCGGGCTTATCCTGATGTGTAAGTGCCAGCGAAATTCTTTCAAGCTCGTGCCCTGGTACTTGAGCGCTCATAGTAATGTTTTGTTTGACGCATTTGTCGGGTGTTGGTGTCATATAAAATGTGGGAATTCAGGTAATAGATCAACATGTATCTCCTCAGCTTTATTTTATTTTTGGAATATTCTGTGCTCGTGGACAATGCCCTCCTGTAATGCCGTTACTCTAAATAGGTGTCTGCCTGTAGAGCACCTGAGTGGTTTTGTACCGCTCAGCTTATTATATTTTTTGACAAGTCTCTCTATGGCCCTGGTAGAAACTCAAATTATGACAGAATCCGCTCCCCCCCACAACCTCTGCCGGCATCTAGGCGGATAGCGTAGCTTAGCGACCCCGCAACTCCAACTTGTCTCGCTTGTCTAATCGCTACAGTAAGGCTCGCAGCCTAGTAGATCTTCCAAATCTACCGTAAGTGGCAGTACCTCGAACGTATGACCCACTCATTCTCCAACGGATTTTGCAGTGACTAAATTCTATGACAGCACCTAATTACAGGGGTGGCTAACATTCTTAACGTCCAATATACAATTGATTTGACTGAGAAAGAATATTACGCAAAATGTCTTCTATAGCACATGAAGATGCACAAAGCGATGGCGATGACTGGGATGAAATCGAGGAGGGTGTTCCTCAGATGACCGACCCATTCATGCAGAAATACATACAAGGGCGAGACGCATTAATATCCCAAGAAAAGAAATTACGCAGTGGTAAGAGATTCTGATATTGAGCCTCGTTACTGGTACCCACGTTCAAAACTGGAGTCAAGCAATGTGTAAAATATCCGACTGACGTGAAGAGAAGATAATGCATTCCGTCAGTCTCTTTCCCCAGCGGCAGCTGAAGCTTGCGCTATCGTGTCGCGGATTCGAGCTGAAGAGCGTCGAACGGTCTGGACAGGCGCGTTTGAAGAAAGTCTCATTACACAGGAGAAGGCTGATGTTTTCCCGGGAATGATGTTCACCTTGGCCAAAGACCGAATGCAGCAAACTCGTCTTTGGAAAATTGTGGAAAAGTTGCCCAAGGGCTCGCTTTTGCATGCTCATCTTTGTGCAATGATTGAGCTAGATTGGCTATTTGAGCTGGCTCTTAGTATAGATGGGATGTGTATTTCCTCCATGACGCCATTAACAAGTAAGGCAGACCTTGAGATGGGTGAAGTGGCATTTCAGTTTGCGAAGACCACCAATGCAAACACGAGGACCGCCGGTGATCCGGATACAAATGCGGCAATCTGGACCTCGGACTATACGCCCGGTACCCTGGTGCCTCTTGTGGCTGCCGCAGACAGTTTTCCGGATGGTGGCCGCGCGGGATTTCTTTCTTGGCTGAAAGATCGCTGTACGATAACCGCCGAGGAATCGCTGAAGCATCATCACGGGCTAAATGCGATTTGGAGAAAATTCATCTCTACGTTTGCTATCCTCAAGTCTTTGTTGTTCTACGAGCCGATTTTCCGCCAAGCCATTAGGAAGATGTGTCATCAGCTGCTCAGCGATGGCGTGAGGTGGGTTGATTTGAGAGAAGTCTTCATGTTCGAGTATAGAAAAGAAGGCTCCGAAGCTCCGTTGGAAGAGTTTGAAGGATATGCGGAGATGATTCGTGTAATGGGCGAAGAAGTGGAGAAGTTTAAGGCAACCGAGGAAGGGAAGGGTTTCTGGGGCGCGAGAATGATATGGACTACGCTGAGACATCTTGATCGAAGGAGCGTTATTGAAAGTAAGTTTTGTCCGATTCTGACATTATATGTATTTGATGAATCTTACGACACATGAAAGTCGGCTGACAATGACTGTTAGATATGAACTACTGCATTGAGGCCAAACTAATGTATCCTGAGCTTATTGCGGGATACGATCTCGTTGGCCAAGAGGACATGGGCCGAACTTTGAAAGATTTGACGCCTGAGCTATTCTGGTTCCGCAAATCCTGCGCAGAAGAAGGCGTAGAGATCCCATTCTTCTTCCACGCCGGAGAGTGCCTTGGCGACGGCAGTGAGACGGATCACAATCTCTTTGATGCTATTCTGCTGGGGACGCGCCGTCTTGGGCATGCTTATTCATTATACAAGCATCCCCTTCTCATTGACATGGTCAAGGAAAAGAAAATTTTGGTCGAATCTTGTCCCATCTCGAATGAGGTATTACGGCTCACAGGGTCCATTTGTTCACACACCCTCCCGGCGCTACTGGCTCGTGGAGTCCCTGCATCGCTCTGCAACGATGATCCTGCTATCCTCGGGCAGGGAACGAGTGGGACGACGCATGAATTCTGGCAGTGTCTTCAGGCGTGGGATAATTTGGGGCTAGAGGGTCTTGCAGCGCTGGCAGAAAATAGCGTCCGGTGGAGCCCATTCGAGGATGAGAGTGCTGCAGACTGGGTCAAGGGAATTAAGGATGGCACTTTTGGGAAAGGGCTCCGGGCTGCGAGGCTGAAAGAATGGAATATTGAATGGGAGCGATTCTGCCAGTGGGTGGTGGAGGAATATGGAGATGACGCCGAGGGTGCAGAGGGCGGCGATGATGCAGAGGCTTGAATCGCAGATGATTGCGACAGTATTCCAGGTTGTTCAGAACCTGACGATGATCATACCAAGACCAACTTAGATGAGAAGCGTTCTCGTATCTACATTCAACATTATCCATACCAATTAGAAACTTGATTTGATCTTCTCCATCGGAGTATTTATTATTGTTTATTTCAGGTGTATCGACAGGTTGATGTGGCGGTGATCAAAGGCGGTGAGACGCGGCAATAGCCGCAATGGGTCATTCCCCGTATCCACTGACACGCTGGCCACCTGACAGCCTGACTTTGTCTTTCACATCCAATTATTTCTTGATTTTTTTCGATTCTTAAATAGAGCCTTTTCTGTGATGTTAAAATTATTAAAAGAAGGAAGATAACTGAATCTAAAAGAAAACCAAGCGATGGCTCAAGACACTGTCTGAATGTTCTGCTTGCATCATTTGGCTTGTTATTCGTCATAACATGTGCCCCCCTTAGCCGACCGTCCTTACAGCTTATCGGAGCTGCCGTATCGCCGCCGTACTGTAATCAGCCACTATTTGCCGTCCTCTTACCAGCTCGACCCTCCGAAACCAGTAACGCCTAAACGGCGACATTATATCTATTTGCTATTCGAACAATTACCCTTGAACATTTCATCATTTTACGCAATTTTACTTTATATATAGACTTTCCTTCGTACCATGTCCATATCATCCTTCATTCCAGGAACATTCTTATCATGATACCTCCCATTTTGCGACTGATTTCAGGCATCAATTTCCCTGCCGAGGGCGGTCGTTATGTCGTACTTTCTCCCGTCCTCCATTCAGAAACGCCTCTTGCGATATGCTCTGTCGCGCGTTGACTTCCTGGACACGGAGACACTAGATCTTGATCGTCTGGATATAGCATGGGGTAAACGGAGTGTCGTCGAGCTCCGAGATGTGGGTTTCAGATTGAAGGTATGACATGTACTGCTTGTTGCTCCGGATTAAGTCCCAGGAGCATGCACTTTTGATTTATGTACTTGATGGAAAAATGAGGATCATGACAATTTTTGCTGACTTTAAAAGGCCCTCTCGGCCTTGCTTAATTTGCCCCCGAACTTCGAACTCGCCCATGCCCGCCTTCCGTTGCTTCGAGTTGCCATCCCAGCGGACATTTATAGTAAACCCATTGCCGTTGATATTGAAGGCACCCGAATCCAGATAAAGGTACAGACCGATGCGGACATTCCTACAAAGGATGCGGTCAAGCCGGAAAGTGGATCAAAGTCGAGCAGAAGTGGCCGAGGCGAGAGTGCTCGCGGCGACAGGCATCTCTCATCCCCACCTGGTTCCCCTGATGGCCCACGTAGCGGCAGGCACCTTGAAGACGAGGAACATGGCCATCTGCCTACGACAAAAGACCTTGCGCAGTCATTTCTCGAGACAGAGCCGCTAGAGGAGAAAGCCGAGTTAGAAGCTGCCATCGCGTCGCAGTCAAATTACCTCCAAGGGTCGACAGTATCATCAGATGACGGCGAGCTTGAAATCGACTCCGGGACAGGGACAGCATTGACGTTACCCGGGTTTCTCGCGGGTTTCCTCAAGGGGGTTGCTGATCGATTGGAGGTCAGAGTTAAAGACGTCGAGTTCAATCTGGATATTGACTTGTATACCGATGGGCAACAAGGAAATGCTTCTTCGCCTTCAAAAGAGTCTGTCACAGTCCAACTTAAGGTTGAAGATGTGGACGTCGAGGGTGTCACAACAACTGCCGCCACTACCCGAACAACGCCACAAGATGCTGTCCCAGGAAAGAGAACTATATCTCTGCATAATATCCGTGGCGCGCTCATCTCTGACGCATCCTTTTTTGCGAGCCATACGCGTTCTGCTGGACCGCCTTCACCTTCAGTCACTTTCCCTAGCGCCATGTCTGAGCGAGGAGGCATGAAGAGCCCGCAACAACAACCAAGGTCAATGAGCAGAGGCAGCAGCAGCAGCAGTCTTCGAACCTCCCGCAGTGCTTCACATGCATCAGTCACTGACGAACCCGGCGCGGTCGAGGATATGCTTAATTCGACAATTTTCGAATCAATCGCCGGCCCACCTCCAGCTCCCCATAGAATGGAGACTTCTGTAGCCACGAGTGATGGAGGTCGATTCGCAGATGCAAGCGATGATGATGATGACGAAGAAGAAGACGACCGCAGCCCCAAGGTCGAGCGTTCCCAAGACGATGTTACAGTGACCGAGAAATCCGCCCACGAGGATGCCCAGGAGCCTGAGTCACCGACTGGAATGCGCGGGGAGTCCGCTGATCTGCAACATTCTGAACCTGATTTGTCCACTAATAGTCTCGAAGACTCATTACCCCATGTTGATACTCTGCTCACAGGCTCCTTGCATTCAGTCATTCATGAAAAGACAGCTGAGGGTACCCAAGAAACTGACGAAAAATCTCTCCACACGTCACAGTCAGAATCAGAACCAACCATTCAAGAATCTCAGAGTGATATTAGGACTACCGAGAACGACCTGGTTGCATCAAATATTGTCTCTCAGGAAGAGGCTAATGATCTTAATGATGAAATGAGCAATGAGCCAATTGAGCCACCCAGTCCCGCAGAGAGCTCTGGCAATGAGACATCAAGCACTCAGTCGGGTACACCGTGCGGAGATGATCTCGCTCAGTCCAGGGTCTTTAGTCACGAAGAAGCGGAAAGCATGTATATGAGTGCAGTTAGCCGAGATTCACCATCTCAAAGCAGACGTATAGTAATGCCGGGTGGTTGGGATGCGTCACGCTACGATGATCTGGGCCAGTCTGGTCAATATCCAAGCCATGCGGCTGAGGAGAGCGCTAGGCCGGTAACTCCGAGACCTGGTTCTGTCTATATGCAAACTCAAGGTGTTTCCGCCGATCGTGAAAAACCTAGTACAGAAGGGCTCAATACATCACCCTTGCAATCTACAGGGCTTGGTCACGCAACAGCGCCCGAAAGGCCACATCCGTTGCAATCAACGTCTTCAGAAAAGCAATCCTATTCGTCTGGGAATACCTCTCGCGTGACCAAGGAGATCTTGAAGATTGATCGCGTCAGTATTCGCCTCCCAGGCTTGGAGTCAACTTCGTCTGGGCCAACACCAGATGTTACTGCACAGCCATTCGATGGTAACAGTCGTCCTTCACAAGTGGCACCTGCAGGAGATCCACACTCACGCTCATACGGAAGATTCTCAGCCTACGCTCAGCGAAAGAATAGTGGGGAAGCTTCGAAACTATTTGAACGACACAACCCTGACCATTCTTCGTTCCTCCCGGACTTTGCTAGTTCACTGCATGAAAGCTCAATCTACTCACCAATGGAGACTTCTACACATGAGGAGAACCTCGATTGTATCGACCTCCTCATCCGCTCTATTGACCTCGCCGTGGATATGAGTGTGTGCCGTCTGGTTATCAAGCTCCTGCAACAACTGCGACCAGAGTCAAAAGATGAGCCTCCCAAACCCAAGGAACCAGAAGCCAAGGAACGGAAATCTGAACAAAAGGAATTAAAGACATTTTTGCGGGTTGATCGCATATCCCTGAAACTGCTCGATCGCCTTTATAGTGTATTGCAGAGTCCAGCAGAGCAGACTGACAACTCTGCTGGCGGTATTCTCGATCCGCAACCACTTTCTGAAGTCTTAATCTCTACGAGCGTCACAGGTTTCGAAATCAAGAATATTTCTGGGTTAGACTCTTCATCGGCCCGAGCATCAATTGAGAAGTTTTTCCTTGGGGATGGTTCTGATGTTATCTTATCATTTGATGCCAGTCGTAGGCTTAGGGCATCTGTACGAGATTTGTCAAGTGCCGCCAATAAGGACGTCTCCTTCTCCATTACACGTACAGGAATTAAACGCAAAATCGAGGTGACGACTTTACCGCTCCATGTTTCGTTGAACTTGGAGAGACTTGACGACACTATAACGTGGCTGGGTGGCTTCAGTAGTATCCTGGATCTAGGAAGCTCTATCGCTTCTAATACCACAATTGTCGGCGCCAAGAACACAGGCAGCAAACCCGCAAAGCGTTCTCGCGGTGTTCACTTTGAGACTCCGATGCCCCCTTCTGAAGATTCTTCAGCTGCAAGCACAAAGGCTAACGTTAGGATCGGAGGTATCTTCGTACATGTTATCGGCCGGGTATGCAGCGTAAAGCTTCAGACAAGCGCAATGAAACTTGTTAGCCGACAGGAAGGCCTGGGTTTGCAAGTAGACAAGGTGGAGCTCAGTGGCCCATACCTTCGCTTGGAAAAGCGCGCAGCTTCCGCCACCGCTGAACTGGGAAATATACGAGTCGAATATCTCTCTAATCCAGAGGAAAAGGATCTTGCTCGACTTCTTTCTCTACTCAATCCCTCCAATAACAAGTATGAACAAGATGACGACATTCTCTTGGATACTTTATTACGCCAAAGAAAGCAGGGTGCCGTGCTCCGCATAACCGTGGCAAACGTCAGCGGTGGTATAGCCAATTTGAACGATCTGGAATATTTCGCTTCTCTTGGCAAGGAGTTTTCTAGGCTTTCGACCGTCGCCAAGTACCTCCCAGAAGACGACCGGCCTGGAATTTTAATTCTTGGACTGATTCGAGAACTTGAATATAGGGTCCAAATCAATGAACAGATTGGGGAGATAAACTTGGCTCTTCAAAATCTGGAAGTAGCCCAGGTGACTCTACCATCGCTACTTGCGCTCGGTGTTCAAAACCTCAGTCTCTACAGGAATTCCGAGGAGGAGCTTGTTGGCGAAGCTATCAACTCACAGACTTTGTCGCCCCACGCGCAAGTACCCATGATCATGGTTAGGATGATTGGAGATGAAATGGAGCCTACTATAAGGATCAAGCTTTGGAATTTTCGAGCCGAGTATCGGGTTTCAACTCTCATGGCGGCCATGGGAATATCAGCAGAGCAGCTTGTAGAGGACGTCGTCAATGATATGGTAGCATCCGTGATTACTCTGACCGCTCGGCAGCCACCCACCAGCCCGTTGGCCCGCCTTTCTAGAGAAACGTCTTCTAGTAGCGAATCGGCTTTTTCATCTAGGACCCTCAAGGCGGATATTGTTCTGCGTGACTCCATGGTCGGACTCAATCCACGAGACATGCCCTCAAAAGCCCTTGTGGTCTTGATTGATACACGCTTCGCTGGAGCTATTCCGAGGGATTCAGATTTCAGCGCCACATTGGAGGTCAAGAAAGCATATTTGATGGCTATTGATGATACCAACAATCTCCTAGATTCTAGTGAGATTGCAGCGTCCATGGCCTCACGATATACGAGCACCAAAAGTGACATTTCCTCTACGTTAAGTGACATGGGTTATGTGTCGCTGAGCTATATATCTTCAGCTAAGGTTACTGCAAAGGTCATTAAAGCTCCAAATAGTAATGAGAAGTGTATCGATCTGGAGGTAAAGGATGATCTGTTCGTTCTGGAGTCCTGCGCAGACTCTACGCAGACGCTTCTCAGCATCATCAACGGACTCAAACCACCTATGCCGCCAAGCAAGGACATCAAGTACCGTACTGAGGTAATACCTGTTCAGGATATGCTCGCTTCTCTTTCGGGAGATGCTTTCGTTCCCTCAGGTCCGGGCGAGGAAGTAGCCGAAGAGTACCCGCTCGGCCTGGAAGAAGGCGACATGATGGACGACGAAGTTCCGCGGAATCTTGAATATGTCAGTAGTTTCTACAGACCACAGCCAGGGGCTACGTCCGAGGAAATGGCGGATAGTATGCTTGATGACGATCTCGGTCATTTGGCAAGCCAGCCTATCACACGAGAGATTGGGGACAAGGTCCTTCTTGAGAGCTTCCAAGAGCAATATGAGGTTGCACCTGGTAATGAGCCTCTGAACTTCCAAGAAGACCACTTTGGATCAGGGGTGGGAGTGGAAGGTACAGCTCACAAGTGGGATTCTGCGCTGAACGCCTATGGCGTTGCCGACAGAACAAACGTACAGACGAGCCCTCTTCGTGTACGAGTGCGTGATATTCACGTCATCTGGAACCTTTTCGATGGATATGACTGGCAGAAGACTAGAGACACAATTTCCAAGGCTGTGCGAGATGTCGAGATAAGGGCTACAGAACGCCGGAATCGGAGTGACAGACGCTCTTCATTTGAGGCCGATCAGGGCGAGGAAGAGTCTGTCATCGGAGATTTCTTGTTCAACTCCATTTACATTGGCATTTCAGCGAACCGTGACCCAAGGGAACTAGCGCGTCAGATCAACCGCAATGTCGATGATCTCGCCAGCGAGACAGAAAGCTATGCTCCTTCAGTCCCTCAGTCGCCCAGTAGGCAGTCACAGCCGGGCCATCATAGAGGAAGGCGACTTCGGTTGCAGCGAAGCAAGAAGCATAAGATCGCATTTGAGCTCAAGGGGCTGTCTGCAGATCTCGTGGTATTCCCGCAAGGTTCAGGCGAAACACAAAGTTCCATTGACGTAAGGGTCCGAGATTTGGAAATCTTTGATAACGTACCTACATCGACGTGGAAGAAATTTGCGACGTATATGCATGATGCAGGAGAGCGTGAGACCGGCAAGAGCATGGTTCACTTGGAGATTCTCAATGTCCGGCCGGTTCCTGAACTGGCGGCGTCTGAGATAGTCATCAAGGTAAATTTGAATTTCATAATTCCCCGTACTGTTTAACTCAGGCGCTAATATATCGATAGGTTACCGTCCTTCCCCTTCGACTACATGTAGACCAAGATGCTCTCGACTTTATCACACGCTTCTTTGAATTCAAAGACGATTCCGCTCAGGCACAAACTTCTCCCGCCGACGTTCCCTTCTTACAGCGTGTTGAAGTCAACTCTGTGCAAGTTCGACTAGATTACAAGCCCAAGAACGTCGATTACGCAGGTATTCGATCCGGACATACCACTGAATTTATGAATTTCTTCATCCTCGACCAAGCCGACATTGTGCTCCGCCACGTTATCATCTACGGTATATCCGGATTTGACAAGCTCTCCAAGACGCTCAACGACATCTGGATGCCGGACGTCAAACGCAACCAATTACCCGGAGTCCTCGCCGGTCTCGCGCCTGTACGATCACTCGTCAACGTAGGCGGGGGCGTCAAGGATCTCGTAGTCGTGCCGATTCGCGAATACAAAAAGGACGGCCGAATTGTGCGGAGTATCCAAAAGGGCGCACTGGCGTTCGCCAAGACAACCACAAGCGAACTTGTCAAGCTCGGTGCAAAACTTGCAATTGGCACGCAAACTGTCCTTCAAGGTGCCGAGGACTTTCTCAGCCAGCCTGGAGTTGGCGGCAGCGGGACGGCTCATGGTCATGGCCACGACGTCGGCGCAGGCTGGGAGGACGACGAAGCCGATGAGGAAGAGAAGAAAGTTATCAGCTTATACGCCGACCAGCCCGTTGGCGTTGTTCAGGGCTTGCGCGGCGCATATTCCAGCCTCGGCCGAGATCTCATCATGGCGCGTGACGCAATCGTTGCTGTCCCCGGAGAAGTCCTTGATAGCGGAAGCGCCCAGGGCGCAGCAAAGGCCGTGTGGAAACGTACCCCGACTGTCATTTTCCGTCCCGCAATCGGTGCCACCAGAGCCATTTCTCAGACTCTTATGGGCGCCACGAATTCGTTGGATCCCGAGAACAGGAGAAGATTGGAGGATGTGAGTTTTCTTTTCCTTTCTTTCCTTCCTTCCTTCATTCCTTTATTTATTTTTCTTTTCTTTCTATGCTTGGTTTCGAAAAAACCTATTGCTCATCAGTGACTAATATCTTTCACAGAAATACAAACGGCATTAAACTCCCCAAACCTCCAGTCTATACCCACCGTATCGTTTTATGGGCCTATACCACTACCACTATCCCCCGGAAGAGTCTTCTGGGAAACAATTAACGAACGAATATCACGAAAGTTTATGAAAAGCGCGCCAGTTTTTCTCTACCCCTCTCTCCTTCTCCCCTCCCTTCTCCTTTCCCCCTTCTCTTTCCTCTCTTATTTTTTTTTTCTCCTTCTCTTTTCTTTTCTTTTCTGTTATATGTCATCAAGGGCTTTATCACCTTTCTTTTTTACACCTTTCTCAGAGCAGAAGAAGCTAGTTGATTAACTCTTTTTTTTCTCTTGTCTGTCAAGTGTCAATTTGTTTGATTTGGGCAAAGCACATGTTCGTGTTCATGTTCATAGCTGCGAATTTTTCTATGATGTTATATATATAGCCATGCATGCATCTCGCGGTGTGACGTTTTGGAGTTATTTCCTTTTCTTGGTGTAGTTACTTTTTTTTCCACTCATCAATACCATTTTCTTCTCTACATTGATTCATTGATTCCCATGTCATGGACTTACTTGTGGTCAAGGACTTATAGGTCGAGAACCAAGGTTGAATTCGATAAACGACGAATGGATTTGATATGAGAGTGTGAAAGTGTGTGTGTCTGAATGAAAGTATACATCTAATGATGTACAGCACAGCAACAGTTCTCCAGGTCCTTATGACGTATACAATTTGCGTCGCGTGCGGCCAGACTGAACATTAACTTTAACTTTGACTATACTCATCTCATGATTTATTGCTGAATAGCCGATATAACAAGGTCGGAATATTAAAGTCCCACATTCCCTAGAAATTGATCTGGGCAACAAGGGGGAAAAAAAAGGAGAAAAGAAAAAAATAAGGGAGAAAGTAATCAGCAAAAGCCGAAAAAAGGCGGGTATATCCACAAACTTTGAAACTTTGTGTGTTGTAGTGTTTGCTAATGTTGGTCACATGAGAGCTAGAGGGCGGAAAAGAGGTAAATGTAAAAAGTGAAGAAAAGGGGGAAAAGGAATGATCCCCATCCCCATCCCCATCCCCGCCACCCCCATCTCCTCCACCCAAGGGGCTTAAGGGGAAATAAAGAAAAAAAGAATAAAAAAAGAATAAAAAAAAAAGAAAAGAAAAAGAAAAAGAAAAAGAAAAATCACGACCGCATGACACGACTAGCCTCGGCCATTTCCTCATCAGTCGGCATATTGACAACCATGAGATAGAGCACATCCTGGCCCAAAAGCTTCTTGACGCCGCCAATGGGACTGAATCCCAGGATGCCACCGGAGCCATACTGGCCGCCATACGCGGGGTCCTGGTCCAACGCGGGACCGCCGCGGTAGCGACGCATATCGCGAAGGGCTTGGCGGCGAGCGCGCCTGCTGCTGTCGGGGTTGTTGCCGGTGGCGTAGCTATATCCGAAACCGTATCCGTAGCGATCATATGGTTGATCAGGGTCGTAGGATTGGGATTGAGATTGTGATTGAGGATAATTGCGGGAAGAGGGACCGGGCGAGCGTGAAGAAGAAGAGGCCCGGGCGGCGGGTGTACCCGCTGCGGGGCCAGAGGAGGAGGGCCCACCGGCAGAAGAACGGTTGGCGCTGGCGTCGCCGATAGCGGAGATGACGGAGCCGATTAATCCGGGCCCGCGGCGGCCGCCGAGGCCGCCTCCACGGCCGTAATAAGCCGACTCCATGCGTGCCTGGCGGCGTTGTTGGAGAGAGGGCGGGTTGACGTAGCCGCCTGTGAGGAGGGAGACGAGCGAGCCGCTGTTGACGGGGTGGTTGGGGTCCGAGAAGCGGGATTTAAATTGTGGCGTGGGCGTGTTCTGGGCAAGGGCGCTCTCGGGGTTTTGGGCAATCTGTATTGGGGCATGTGGTGTAAGTATTTGTGATCCTTTCTAGGAGATCCGGAAAGGGGAGTAGGTGAGACATACGAATCTTGCGGTGGCGCGTTTATCAACATATTTTGCGGTGAATTCTTTGCCCTTGAGTAATTTATCCCTCTTGCGTAGAGTTTCTGCGTCGTCCTTTTGCACCAGTTTATCGAGCTCGGGATAAATGAGCGGCGCAGTCTCGGGGAACAGCATTTCCAGCTGGCCGCCATAGGTTTTTCCCTGCGAGGCACTCAGATTGGTTTTGAGCTTCTTCATAAAGTTTGCGGTTTCCTGAGACCCAGCAAGGGTGTTGGAGATGGTCGAGTTGAGGTCGAAATTGCTGCTCGAGCCACCGCCAGAGCCCGTGCGGAGGAGGGCGAACGGGTCGGCAGAATTGGGCTTGTAGGTCATGACGAGACAGAAGAGACCACGAGGACCGAAGAATTCTTTGTTGAGTTTTGCAATGTAGGAGTTTGTCCTATGGTAATTTTGTAAGCGGTGTGGTTCAAGAGAGAAAGGAAAGAAATTAAAAAGGACCGCGAGTCCGGTTTTGATTGAAAACGAACCTTGATCGTCCATGCATTTCAGTAGCAACATCTGTGGCCATTTGAACGGCAATTGAGATGGCGACGCCAATACCGAATGGAAGAGGAATTGTGGCAAGAGACGCCAAATTGATCGCTTGCATCCACTGCGATTGCAGGGCGAGTTTATTCGCACCGTCAATGAATTGAAGAAACGCCTTCTGGTCGATGTCGAATTCTTCAAGAATTGGTGGGTAGGCACGAATGAAACCGCGAGCACGAGCTTTCGGTCTGCGTTGAGGAACCACGACAGGGTAAGGGAGCATCGGGCGACTAGAGACTGGCTTTGATGGCGACGCGCCGGTCTCTGAGGCCTCCGCGTACGAAGGTGGAGGGACTTCCAGTTCTTTGAGCTCGTGCATGGGGTACTGTCGAACCAATGCCTCTGCAAGGTCGGGAGCAGAAGGTTCTTCCGTAGTGGCTTTTGAAAGGGGAGGCGGTGAACGGTCAGCAGTGAGTTCGTCTTGAGCTTCATCAAGTGCCCATTGCTGCTCGTCGTCCACCTCCTCTACGGGATCATCGTCTTCTGGATTAAAACCCTCCTTCTTGTCTTCGGGATATTCAATTCCAGTTTCGCTGGGCTCCTCTCTCGTGTCACCTTGTGCCTTCTTCGAGTTTTTGTTCTCTTTGTAAGCACTGATGCTCTCAGAAGCTAGACCAATGCCGCCGGCAACGCCGCGAACTAGTTTCTGCACGACAAAAGACATGTTCTCCAGAGGTGTGAACCAACTGATAGAAGTAGGAATCAGAATATCGATAGAAAAAAATAAAATAAAGAGGTGAAGTGGTAGTCAATTCAAGTTGATGTTGCTGAGTGTGGTGAGAAATGAGCCTTGAAAGCGTCTGTTTGACAATTTATAGACGGAGTTGGACAGCACATTCTGAGGCTGTGTGGGGTCCAAGCTTCTGCTTTGGTTTGGATGCTACTCCTTATCGATGTAATATGGGCTGCCATGATTCAGGTGATTGAGGCTTGGACTGGCTGGGCTGAATCTAATCCATCAATTTTGCAGGGAGCTGCGGGGTAACATGTGTCGATCACGGCGTAAGCTGGCTTGGGTACGGGCGTAGCAGCCGTCAGCGATCGACAGCATTGAGCAATTCGTTTTCGGTTTCGGTTTCGCGTTCGCTTTTGCGCCAATCAGACGCTCTCCACTCTCGACAGCTTCCGTTCAATCTCGGTTTCGCTCTCGGTTTCGCTTTCGCTTCCACCCGTTCGTTTCTCCTGGCGCCTTGGTCCCCTCGGTTCCTTCAGCCTTAATATCTTCTCCGCCAATCAACCCAGGGGAAAGCTCTATGTTAAGCTTTCTGTCAACTCTTGGTTCTTCTCGTCATACACAATATGCTCCGCCTGCAACATTAGCAAAATTAAACATATCCGTAAATGATTACTGCATCAGACTAATGTCCTGGCTTGGTTTTCTCCTTTCAACCAGCTGAAAAGAAATAGCATTCGTGCTTAACAATTATGTTCATGTAATATAAAATGGAACTGCCTTGCTCCGTCCAGGGCTCGCACATTTCCACGTCTTGACTTGAATGCCTCCACTCGATATTTGAATTGAGTTCTAAGACTTGGCGGCATCCCTTTTTTTTTGAGCCTGCAGACCTGCCTCAACTGCTTTCTTGACAGAGCTCACATACTAGGAGCGGGAAAATCTCAAATCTCCTTGAGCAATTTCGCCCCTCTCTGTCCATCCGCCCAAAATCCCGGCTGGTCCTTCAATCAGTCTTTTAAAGACCATCTCTCTCCATTCACCATGTCGGCACTTATCGACGCCCAGCTGGCTGTCTTCGCCCTCTTGTTCTTTCCCTCTTTATATTGTCTCTTCCGACATGGTAAGACAGGGATCCTCGGATGGTTTTACGTCAATCTCTTCTGCGCACTTCGAGTCATTGGCTGTGCCTTGACTATCCGCGATGAGCACAACGGTACCGTGGGAACCGCAGCGACGATAATCATGAGCGTGGGGCTGTCACCTTTGCTGCTTTCGGCCGCCGGCATACTTGGCGAGGCGTAAGTCATTGATACCAAAAAAATAGAAGCCGTCGCTGACTGGAAGGTAGAAGACGTTCACGCTCTGGAAAAGCCACACGCGGGCTCGAGTGGTTTCTCGTCATTCAATTCCACTTGATTGTTGCCGTGGGCATCGCTCTCATTGCATCTCGAGGTTCTTCCTTGGTTTCTGGGCAGTTTACTTCCACCGACAAAGCCCTAATATATGCCGGATTGGCCATCATTGACTTTGCTTGGATCCTGCTCTGCTGCTGGGCACTCTTCTCTCTTCGAATGCGCAGCAGAAGGGAAATCAGCAACGCGGTTCATCAGGCCGGAACCATGGTTTGTTGTTTCCACCCGTATAACCTTCGTGTTCATAACACTGACATAACTCAAGCTCTTGATATCAGTTTTCGCATCTCTTCCTTTGATATGCCTCCGTCTCGTCTATGCGACAATTTATTTTACTGTTCATTCTTCGACAGTCAAGACTTCCTTGGCTCTAAAAGTTTGCATCAGTGTTGCCCCCGAGATGCTGGTGATCGCCTTATTTGTGGTAGTTGGAGTTCTAACGCGCAACTTGAATGAGGAGAGAAACCGCATAGCACAACCCCACACTGTCGAGAGCTTCAGACCCAAATGAACATCGGCAAGCATTATTGGCAAATCTCAAACGCGTCGTGGCAATACACAACATGCGTAAGGATTGGGCTCAGCTTGAGAGTTAAAGTCATGATTACATAAAGGTGTTTTAAGGGCGCTGTTGAAATGCCGATGCTGGGCATTTTATCATCTTTCCAATAGATTGGTCAAGTAGACGTCCTCCCAAAGGTATCATTAATGAGAAAATCCTCCAGGGGAAGTTAATCCGACAACGGAAAGAGACCAGTGCATGTGATGTTTCCATTCCGCAGGTAACGCTCTGTAGACACCCCGTATCTCCCTTTGCGGGGTATTCGCGAGCCACCATATACCATTTACGTGATTTGTCAGAGCAAAAAAATGTGCAAGGATCACCAGTGCACGAGGTCGCTGCTCCTCAACGAGGTCGATGAATAATTTGGGAATGCGTATTGGAAATGCCATCAGTCTTCTGCACACGCTGATCGATGGCTCGTCCCTTTCGATTGCGCGATGAATGGATCCTATGTAACTGAGAGTGGTCTCATAAGCTCTTTGGATATCCGAATTCCACAGCCCATCGATTTCCTGTCCAAGGTTCTCGGAATCTTCCAGTAGATGCAAAAAAGGAGCTCTGTTCTCCTCGGAGAAAAGCTCATCATCATCGTCCAGTAGCGGCGGACCTCGAACAAGCAACATGAACTTTGAGGCATCAGCGCCTTCCAGGGCTTCTAAATTATCCAGCAGGAGCTCGAAGACCGTTCCAGCGCCTCGACCTAGCCGAAGCCAATCCATGGGTGGGGAATAAGGCTCGACAATGCGCTCATGTAACATGGCAAATGCTTGGATGAGCATAATAGTGGAGGAAAAACAAACTGCATCTGCATTGTGCTTATTTAAATTTGCCACCGCATTGCGTTGTTCCCGTAATGCCAGACCCATATAGTTGTGGCGTGCTGTCAAAAGCTCCGTGTTTTGACCTTCTCTTAGAATATGGGTAGCTGAGAGGGCGAACACTGAGTAGAGGAGATTGTCATTTTCAAGTGCCATATAAGGCACGAGTTTTGCCAAGCTTGAGGCTTTTTCTGTTGGCTTGGGAGACGGAAAAGGCTGCCTAGCATTTTCCATGTAGTTCTGAAGAAGTCGAAGCTCAAGCAGGCGCCGTGATCGGGACTCCGAAATGCCATAATCGTCAATCTCATCCACTTCTTCTGGCGAATCGGCATGTGATGATGAGCCGAGACTGGTCCCAATTACGGATGGTGATGTATTTGTTGGCTGAATTGTATATTGGAAAGAATTGGCTTGCTGTGCACAGCTAGAGCCTGACTCCCTGAAATGTGCTTTTTTTGCCGTTGGAGAGTTGTACACACATGGCACCTTGTGACGAGTACAACTTCCACATGCCGGCTGTTTCTCATCACACTATAATGGGCGTTAATTGTGCTTGGACAATATTTGAGCAACATGCATCTATTGGTGACATCGGCTCATTGAACATTTCTTCAAAGTTCATGTGATTTTAGATCAGCAAGGTCAAGTTAGCAAGCACTTACTTTTACTCGACGTGCCTTACACCTCTGACAGCCATTTCGGGACTTTTTGTGATAGAGCCTTGCAGGTCGGCGGCCCTCACGGAACGGATCCCCCGCCTTGTTCTCCATCTTGTCGGCGCCGATGAAGACAGTTACTCCAGATGCAAAATGACTAAGGCAAGAACAGCTGCTGCAGCGGGTAGACTTTTTCGAATTGAAGCTTTCAATAATATGTCCTAGTAAAATCCACCTTGAAATCAATAGAAATGGATGAACAATGAAAGTTTAAGCCATTTTTGAGCATAGTTTTATCTTCTGGTCTATGTTCTGGATTACATAGGAGGTTGATTCCCATTTCGCGCTAACATTTATTGGGGCGTAAGCATGGGGTCCGTGCACTCCCACACATTAGTGTAAGCGAGAGGAGTCTTGTGAGTTCCAGGACCATGATGTTATAGTTATTTCTAGCCAGAATTAAATCTTTTACCTTAAAAAGGGTGATGTTTAAGATAGATGAGTTAAAAATAATTTATCTGCTTAAATATCTGTCTGATATTGGTGTGTGTATTTATTATGATATATAAGGTAACATAGGCATGGCTTGAGAGATTAGCACTATTACATACAGAAAACACATTGTTAAGGCACTGTTCTCTTTACAGGTATTTTTTTAATACAGCACATGCAAATTCCTGGCCTGAATGTACAATGAGGTTGGACAGGAAAGACATGTTTATTCCATTATATTGATGTCTTCTCTGCCAAGGGAGCAGTTGCAGCAATCAGGTGTCACGTGCCTGCAAGATGCCAGTCGCAATTAGGAAAGAGCGACCAAGCAGGACCCCTCGGACCCTTAACCCGTGAAGAATTAACCTACCCGTGTGCTCCGCAAACGAGTGGCACAGGGGTTACCCTTAAGCGAAGTCTTGTCTTGACTTCCCTTGTTCATCGACACAACAGAAGCAACGTCCGCTCTGTAAATTGCCTATCAAGCTTTCCCAATGCTCCTTCCTATTTCTCTGTGCTAGACTGCTTGGTGATGCCTTCTTTCTTTGAATATTCTGCACATGCTAGCCCTTTTTTGAAACTGTCCGATGTCATGGCCCACCCCAGACAACTCCCCCAGACGTCACTGGCCCGCATACCCCATGATCACCTCACCTCACCCATATCGTTACTTTTCTTTCGTTCATTTGCATCTTGCCGCACTCCTTGACGACTCTAGTGATGTTACTATCTATTTAATATTTTTCTTTTAGAGTGAACTGGCCCATTCTCATTCTAAATGCCACCTTAGGCAGGTTTGCTCGTCCTCCGCGGAAGAGGATATGGGCATTGACAGCTAACGTGTGGACCTCTGTTCCTTATTCTCTTCATTTATACAAAACAGTCGGTCATAGTCCACGAGCTTTCTCTTTGGTCTTGCACCGATTTCACCTACTAGGATGAGCGATTGAGCATGTATGAGCAGAAAGCATCATTTAATAGCAGCTCTCTTTGACTGTACGAACGCGGTTGAGATGGACTGAAAGATTATGTATCATTGTGACACCGAATATTTGGTGTAAGTGTCGGAACTTGAATGCTTTGTTTGCAATTAGTGTTCGTTTGTGATGCGGCAAAGAAAGTCCAACATTCGAGCGTTGTGAAACACATCTGCAGGAACCCGATGTAAATATGTACATAGCCCCCGCTGACGGATGAAAAATAGAAATTAAGCTGTCGGCTCGAGTACGCCTATATGTTTTAGATATTGTGCTAGCTAGAGAGCACTGGCATCAACAATTGATGCCCGTTTAATGTATAATGCACCGACAACCCCTGGCCAAATCGTGAGAGATCGTCAGAATACCTCAGCGTATCCCAGAAGACTCGTTGAGAGATATAGAGTTCGCCGTTCTCCAAGGCCATTTATCTATTTAGCGAGTTGCAGCATTGGAGGCTCGGACGTACGCCTATTCGGGCAGTCGTTGTAGCATTAAGCCGGGATTTTATACTCAGAATGTACGGATAAAGGTCCAATTTACCCTCCGAAATTCTATGCCTCTGATATGAAGCAAAATGGAAAGATCACAAAGTGAAGGCAACTCTCGAGAATTTAGAGATGAGAAAGTATGCCACCACATCATCAATAGGGCAAGGATCGATTGCGGTCCACGAATCGAGTGGGGCTGCACGTTTGACCCGGCCACAGGCTTCAAGCTCTCAAGGGTGCCAGAGGGGCCCAGAAGGTTGAGAGGCCTCGAGACAAGCTCAGTTGAACCAAAGAGAAGGGAAAGCTTTCTTGAGAAAAATGTCAGCTTTCTGCAACCGAAGCTGGGGCAGGCTCGTAACCGTCATGCCGGGATATCGGCTTCGAGAATACAAAATGGGAAGAGAGGAGAGGATGACACCAGCATGAAAAGTCATGCCCAGAAGAAGCTCATATCCACAATTTGCAAACAGACTCCGAATTTCAATTCAAGCTCGCTTCTGAACAGACAAACTTCTACAGGAGACGTTAACACCACAAGTTCAACAGTCATGAGCACGGACTCTAGCGAGCACTTACTCTCACATTTTCCACTCCCTCCCTCATTCACTCTTCTCTTCCACAACCATCCTCATCACATCTCAAAACATCAATTCGCGCAACGCGTCCTTTCATCATCGAGAAGAGTGAAGCTCGGAAACAACTCTATTTCCTCTCCTAGAGGAGTCTCTTTGGTGTCAAAACGATCCAGATCGCAAAATATTCGTGAGATGGACGAAAACACCGAAAAGAGAGCTTCTGGTGATCTCAAAATGTGTCGAGATGACTCTGAATCCAGCTTCACTGAGCCTAAGACGTGTCACGCCGGAGAACCTCATAATGCTGGTCAACACGGAAACAATCCTTCCAGAGCTCTCTTCGAGGATTCGTCCGCAGCTTATACTTCGATCACAGCTCGATCTCATTTGGACGTCTCCAATAACACGCGTATTCCTGGTAAGTTGAACCCAGATCCAAATTTTGAATATCCCAAACACAGAGTGCGTGATTGAAGAGATTTGAAACTCATTAGCGATCTTTTGCAGATTTTCCACAACCGCCGCCTGCTGCGTTGATTCGATCTCCTCTCATGACATATCGGATTAACTCCGCTGAGTCAAATGGTCTTTCAAGCTCTTCCTATGGTAATACGCGTGATCTTCTGCACTTGTCTTCAAAGTACATGAAGACGGGCCGAGGTGTCGATGAGGTGAAGAATCCCATTTTACCTCAAAAAGATAAGCCAAACGCCCAAGTCAACACTCGATCAGAGAGCGAGCATTCTGAGGCCGTCTCTGCCATCCACGAGAAACGTGACCAGGAAGACGTTACTGCGCTGGGTGTCTTCAGTCGCCCTGAAAAAGTTTCTTCAAGCAAAAATGCCACTGTTTCCATTTTTGACTTCGAAGGCGAAATCGCCGCTAAAACTCGTCGAATTACACGAGCCCTCAAACGTGAAATGGTTCGCCTTAGTGAAATGAGTGGGCTCAGCAACTTGACTGGAAGTCTGTTGGTTTTCGGAAAGAAAGAGGATGGCCACGCTGAAAGTGAGACCGACACTCTTTCGGACGAGGGGCCGGGCAGCAGCCAGAGCTCCATTAGCTCTAAGAGCCTCCAGCGTTATCTGAGCTTCGATTCAGGCCTCGCAGTCACCGGCGACTCTCTTCCGCAATCCCCTTATGAACGTCCAGAATTCCCAGAAACTGAGGAAACCAAGGACCACTTCCATCCAGGAGCAGATTGTGAAGAAAGTTTCTCTTTGCACCAGTCTGAAGTCGAGCTTGCCTCCGTTGCCGATTCTCAAGTCAAGAACAACGACGAGAATGAAAGTGATGAGAAGGATTGGGAGACTGTGGGGGACGCAAGCCTGTATGGTACTGAAACTTGGCTTGTTGGGGGCCAAACGGGAAGCAGCGTGGCAGATTATTCCAGCTCTCCTGGATCAATCCATGAAGGCCCAGAGCACTTGGCTGGTGAGATGATTACTCACGCTGCTGACACCCGCTATGATCACATCTATAGACAGCGCATCGGTTCTCGCGGTGAGAGAATCTTACTGCCTGTTTATAAGTATTCTGACTCGGCGAGCTTCATGAACCGAAATGCTCCCGCTACCCCAGTACTGGCAACTCCAGTTAACCGTTCGAGTGGCTATGGAAACTATCAGCATCCGAAACCATTATCGGCCAAACATGTGAACCCATTCTCGTCACCGCCACCTTTATTGAAATCAACCGTGTCTCTCCCTCAAGCGGCTTGCGGGATTGAACACCAGGGGGTTGTGAGCCGCTCGGGTAGGTCTGCCGATGTTGGATTTTGTGTTCAAGCCGGAGCAACCGTTCAGAGATACCAGGAAGATCGTTTTGCGGATGTTTATCGCGACGATGACAACTATTGGAACAGTAGCTTAGCCGTGCCACGCAACCAAGCACTGCTTCCTTTGAACAACATCCAGACATCTCTGGTCGCTTCAGCTCAATGGAACCACCAAACAAGCTATAGCGCTGTTGGTAGCTTCAACGGCATCACTTCCAGCAAGACGCACTTTGTAGCGGCTGGTCAAGTTTTGGCAGGTGGCATCGCCGCTCCTTACTCGTCCAGCATCCGCGTGGTTGCCGCTACTGCCACGGACCGCAATGGCAATATATTTGGAGACAACGGCAGTTCCCAAGCTCCTGCAAGGCACACCGTCACATATCCTTATCCAGAGCCCCGCAATGATGACGAAATCGTCCTCCCAATGATGGGCGCGCGTGATCTGCTTCGAACCCGGCCAGGGTGGGCAGACGGAGACATTGATATCCATCGGCAACATCTCATCGAAGCCGGCTTGCTCCATGAGCGCGATCTTTCTGGTTCTAGCAGAAGTACTCCGAGAAGTGCTGCTACCAGTGAACAGCACCTGACCCAGATATCGATCATCTCGCACTCTGTATACAGCCATAGCTTGTCCGGCCGTGCCTCTTCATCATCTGTTTCAGGAATTGAGCTTGGAGATATGAGCCACCTTCGTGGACAAGAAGAAGAAGAAGAAGAAGAGGCTTCTCGGACTGCACTTTATGAGGCTGCATTTCCGCGAAGACTCTCTGCTACTCCATGGACTCCGAGCAAGCGTTCTCGCATCTGGGCTTCTGAGCCGCCTTACATCCAGCAGGCCCCGCGACCGACTGGCTCTTACGCCTCTGACCTCAAACATCGTCAGCGCCACATCTCTCGCGTTATTCTTGCTATTTGTGTCCTATTTCCGCCTCTTTTGCCATTGTATGCTTTTGGCGCTCTCGATAGACTCATGATCCAAATCACCCGTGGGGAAATTGATAACTTTTCACGCCCGGAGCAAAAAATCGCCATATGGCTTAGCGTTTTATTTGGACTTGGCATCATAACTGCCATTGTTCTCGGCGTTGTCGCTGGCACTGTTGGATTCTAAATTTGCTGCGCGGCTACAGTACTGGTCAGCTGGCTGCTAATTTGAGCTGGCTCTAAAATACTGATCAATATCTGCGTTTTACATTCTTTACGATTTCCGAAACTAGAGTTTCGCCTACTTACTGGCATTCCCTATTCCTTTTTTTTCCAACCCAAATATTTGACTGTCATGTTCTGCTTTTGATCTATTACGATCTTTTCAGCTTATTAAGCTTTTGTACTCAGATAGCGCGCCTTTTCATGGCAGGGAACTGAACCCTAAGCCCGCTTAGGCACTTGCAAAAGATTTGAAGAGTTTGAAACATTTGTTTCGATGATGATAGATATGATTATGAGTCCGGGGTGGGTGGGGTGGGACGATAATGGTGGACTTGGAGTTGATTGGAATACGGAATATGCGTCTCCTCCCTTTGGGTTAAGACTATTGTTTTCCTGGCTGCCTGCAAGGATGAATTCATCGGCAACGGCAACGGCAACGGCGGTGACGGGTAGGGTGTTTATGGGAGAAGGTGTGTTTGGTGCATCATGGATCGCTATTTCTCTTGTGGCGTTACTGTGATTATTATTTGCTCGCCATTTCTATGGGGCAAATCTTGATGGGATATTCGTCTGCTCATCGCAAAGGTCTGATTTAAGGATCTTAAACAATCTGTTCTCGGGCTTTCCTTTGTTTTTCGGATGGGGGCATGGTATTTTCACTAGGGGATCTATTCTCCTTATTAACAGTTTCATTTGCTCAATTTGCTTGCCACTTACTTCTCTGTCTACCTATGGAACGCCATAGGTTTTATAACTCTTGATGGATAGGCAAATAAAAAAGCTCAACAAAATGACCACCATGCCCTGATGGATATTAAGGTGATCGACTGGAGTGAGGTTGGAACATGCCAGAAAATGTTTCGAGAAGTTCATCAGTGTACAACACCGTAACCCATGACAATCAATCACAGGAAAAGCTGAAGCACAGCGGGAAACAACGTTGAAATATGAATGGTGTGATTCAAAAGTTCAGTGATTGTGACGACAAATGCCATCGAATTCACGTCAATTGATATGCTTGCAATGGGATCCATACGTACATTTTATACTGAACAATCGACGTGCCTCTTCTCTCTTCACTCTCGTTGATTCATTTCTCATATGTCCAAGCAAAGTCACCCTGTTCTATCATATTCCTTACCATATCCAGTTTATACTCCGGCGCATGTTTGATAATATTTGCGCTCATGACTTATTAGATTGCTCCATACAATTCCTTCACTTTCCCACCTTGACGTCGCCTTCGCCATCCTCGCCTCCTCCGTACCCCGCGCTCACATCAGGATAAATGTCAAATCTGCGCTGCGTATATATGGGAATGCCCTTTCGCACTTCCTCAATCTTTCCGGACTCTAGATCGGCATACACAATATTCTCCTTCTCATCGGTTTCCGCGAGGACCTGCGCGCTGGGGTCCACCACCAAACTGTGGCCCCAAGCGTTATAGCTCGCCGACATGTCCCGCGCAGGGCTACAGAGACCGACATATATCTGGTTATCCACCGCACGAGCCCGCGCCAGCAATTGCCAATGCAGAGATCCCGTCGTCAAGTTGAACGCTCCGGGATAGATCAGCGCAAAGCAGCCCTTGCGTGCGGCAATCATGGCTAGCTCAGGGAAACGGATATCATAGCAAATTGCTACGGCGATCTTGCCATACTCTGGCAGGTCTACAATCGTCAAGTGATCACCCGGAGACAAGACTTCCGACTCCTTGAAGGTAATCTTGCCAGGAATGTCAATGTCGAAGAGGTGCACTTTGCGATGCGTGGCCAAGAGCACTCCCTTGGGCGAAAAGGTCAAGGATGTGTTGTAGTACTTTTTCGTCGATGGCGAGTATTCGGGGATAGAACCGCCGACGAGATATACGCTAGCTTCAGATGCCAGAGCAGATAGAGCGTGGTAGCTCGGCGCTTGCTCGGCGGGCGGAGGGCTGGGTAGGGATGCAGATTTGGATAGAGCCGCGGCTTTTGAGGAAGGGCTGTCGTTCAGCGTCTCCGCGTATTTGGGGAAGTATTGCGTGCCATAGGGGGAGTTGAAGCATTCGGGAAGTACGACGATTTTGGCGCCAGCTTTGGCGGCTTCCAGGACCTTGGAACGCGCATGGGCGAGGTTGACAGTTTTGTCAGCGCCTGAACAGGGAAAGATGGTTAGTGTTTTGAAGCAAAGTTTGAGAATATCAGAAGAAAAGGGATCATGCAGGGGCAGCAAAGGGCAGCAAAAAAAGCATTATTGAGAGACGCACCAGACGCGAGCTGGACTAGTGCAAGCTTGACGGTCTTCTTGAGGAGGCCAGCCATATTTTTCGTATCGCTGGGCCCTTTTTAAGCTAAAATATTGGGTATAAAATTATGAGAACGACCAATAGACTTTTCGGGCAGAAAATCGGTGTGATATAATAAATTGAAGGAGAGTGATAAAAGTGAGGGGTGACTCTTCAAATCAATTATTAGCTGCCCTTGTCCACGCCCTGCCGTTATCAATGTTCGGGAGTTCAGTATCAGCCATACCAGGGGCTGGATGTTGTCATGTCATAACTAGCGGCTTTCGCCGGTACAAGCGCAGTTTGTCCAGCTCTACAAGCGGAAAGTTTCCCCGAGCAGTTTGTATTCAACACCATAAGTTACACAACACAGTGCAACGACTAATGGCGCCCTTTCTTCAATTCGACCGCCATAAGTTGATATCATGAAGATTAATTATTTCATGAAAAATTCTGGCGGGAAAGAATCTTGATGATGATAAAATGGAATTTCTTGTTCAGAACAGCGGGAGAGCTACAGGTCTAGGCGACGTTAACCTAGGTAGTAATATCCAGCCCAGGTTTCGGCCTATTCTATTCTCAAAGTTCGTCAATATACGTGGGTTGATGATCATTTTGGATGTTTGAGCTGATAGATCTGAAGACTCTGAACTCTCCTAATTTGTGACTCCAAACGGTGCTACCAATACGTCAAAATCACAACAACGAAACATTTCCTATTTTCTTATGTCTTGGTCACCAACCTAGCTTGATATCTAGAAACGGAAGGAACGACCAACCTCATTCCTTCTAATACACTTCAAGAGCAAAAGCCATGAAGCTATTATCATGTCCAATTCTCACTCTCACTCTTGCTCAAATTCTCGTTGCCCACCCCTCTCCTTCTCCTCTTTATGTTAAATCTCTCTGTCTGTCTCTTCTCTTTGATGCTTCCCAGATCTTCCTGTATCAGTTACATTTTTTCGGCCACTCCGGGGGCAGCGTTTGGCTGTGAGGTATTTCCTATCTTTACGCCGACGCTTCACTAAGTTGCTCAAATCTTTATCCGGTTCGCGCCTATGGAGGAGGTTGCCTATCCGCATGAATCGAGCCTCCCCCATTCCCGGACACATAGCACTGGATATACAAGCCCTTCGCAAGATCACACATCCACTTTTCAAATTGATGAGGAACTTTTGATTCGAATTCGTGCACTGTTAGCGTCTCGCAATGAGCTGCATCCACCGAGGTCGCCGAAGCCAAGCGCCGACGTTTCGTCGCGACTTCACCCCATTGGCAGGGATTTTCTCTCTCAAATTCAGTCCCCGAGCTCAGCTGCAACTTCTGTTACTTCTGGCAAATTCCCAGAACAGCGCTCTGAACATTTGAGCAAGACCAACAGCGTCGCGAATCATGAAGCGCAGTCGAACAAACCAGTTGATAAAACTTCTGTCAATTTCTTGACCATCGTGGATGATGCATCATTACCTACCGAAGTTAAACAATACGATGGAGCTGGTCAAGGAAGGTGCGTTCTTGCAATGCCTTATTTGTTACGACTTTTGTACTCTAGTAAATAAATGCTAATATGAATGTAGCGTCTCCGGAAAACTTCATGACGAAAGAGATCCATTGAATGAAGCCAAGAAAGCTGACGATCTTGCGCCTTTGCCAGAATCTATGGTGAATTCAAGCAATTTGTATCAACAAGGCACTATTCTCGGGAACTCTTCAGCAGCGACAATCTCCGTTGATGCAGAGTCTGTTAAGCAGGACAAATTTGAGAGACCACCCATTCCTGGAAGTTATTTTTCCGAAGATGATATTCAGCGGGAGTCGAAAGGGACTGAAGATGCTACTATGGTAGATAGAGTCGAAATCCCAGCACATAATGTCACTCTTTCTGCTGAGAATGCGCTCATTGCTTCAACAGGCGGTGCATCCTCTAGCGGTACGATGTCCGGCCCAGCGTCTGGGCTCAGTATGAGTATACACAAAGTCGCGCCATATAGTACCAATGCTGGGCCTAGTTCTACAATTCGCTCAATATCCCCGAGACCATCTGTCAGGTCTGCTTCTTCAACGAAATCAATTCATCATCATCTCTTGAGACCATCGGCATCGCCAGCCGAGTTCAGTCTTCCAGCGCCTCCACTATTGTCTATCAATGGGAAAGGAGCTGTTTCTTTTGGGACGGCAACTACGCCAAAGCTTCGGGAGCAGCAGGTCAATAGCGCGGCGAGGAGAGAGAAATCACCTCTCTCGTGGAATTACCGAGGGATCGAGAAAGACAAGCACTTATCCGATTCACTCGCTGATACCTCGCTCTTAGAGGGTGACGATGTCAAATTTGACCGTAACCAAATTTCTGCCAAACCCGTTTCGGAGGTAGGCGCGTTGGTAGCTGAACCGACTGTAGCCAATGAGGAAGCAAAACGTCGTGATGTAGAGGATGACAACCAGCAGACACGGGCTGTTCCTCTTGCAGAAAAGGAAGTTAACCAGCACACATCTCCCCCGACTATAGCTCGTCAGAATACCTCTACGACACATGCAACTCAAACTTCTCCGACTGTGTCCGATCAAATCTCTACTGCTGAAAATGAGCCAGATCCCTTATCAACCCGCAGACCCTCGACATCTAGGGCAAAATCAAGTGACTTATGGCGAACAAGGTCATGGCTCCAGCAAATGCTCGGTCGAGAACCAGGGAAAGTGGTTTCGAGAGACTCTAGGGACAATTTCACCGTAAGACCCATCTCGTCAAAAAGATCCAATCTCCGTCAGCTAGAATCGGGAGACATGCCTACAGAGGGGACAAATAATGAAGGCATTGTAGGCGGGAGTGGAAAGGCGACTGAATCATTCAATAGGGTGATCACGGACCTGGAAGGATTGCTCCACGAAGCACTATCTATCGCAAGACAAGCCACGGACAAAGAGCACACGAAAGACTTGCCGGCGGCCATAGAAGAGCCTGCTATGAGCTTGCACAACAATGAGACATCGAGGCGCGAATCAAAACTGGTCACTGCTGACAGTCAATGGAGGAAGCCTTCTCTTTCTCCTGAGAAATCGCTTGATGATTTGGTTGTATATGACGAGCCGCTGCTCGCTAGACGCGGAATTGACTACTCATCATCCAGTTACGACTCTGACTCTGAGAGTTCGTTTGAAAGCCAAAGCACACAAGTATCAAACCTTCGCAGGGCAATATCACTTGGTCAATTACCTACGAGACGTGTTAAAATTGATGACTTGGCCACAATTACTAATTCCACCGATACACCAAAGGAACGTCAATATGTTAAAACACCTTATCCACCCGCGACAAGGAAACCGTCACTAGCACTGGGAGCTGAAGTTCACGGTTTGGGATTGACTCCCAAATCTTCTAGATATAATTTTGTAAATCGAGCTGCAATGAACTTGCCTGAGATGCAGCCACCTCACCTGCTCCAAGGAGCCTCTCGAAAAGTTTCAATCGAGCCAGTTCTATCTCCTCATCAATCGTTTCACATTGCAAGAGATTGGGCATATCCAATTGATATGCCGGCTCCCAGCATTGCGTCTTCCTCGACTGACCTGAGCGTGTCAACTTTGGAGTCAGCAGGATTACGGATGCGACGTCCAACTACTCTATCTAAACCATCCGCAATTAAGTCGCCTTCAAAAGAGCAGGTTGCATTTGTGATGAGGGAGAAGGGCAACCCGCCAGTACTTCCGTCAAGAAAAGATGTTCGAAAGCACATCAAGAGATACAATGAGCCCCCAATCCAACCACGATCGAGCTCCTCTCATCTTCTAACTGCTTCAATGGCCGGTTCTCCTATTGAGCTACGTCAAATCGGAGACCCTGGCCCACGGTTCAGCGCCAGCCGGCCAACAGTAACAGAGTCTGCTAGCTTTTCTGACCCTGAATACTCTTCTTACGGAATCAGCAGAAAGCCTAAGCCTAGGCCAGGAACGGATGGGTACGCAGCAGGGTATTACAATGGCAAATCCGAGGATGACAAGACATTGGAGCAGCTGGGATATACGAAGACTGTGTCAAGCTCTAGAAGTCGCCAAGATTTCCAAATCCAGGAACCGAGTCAATCCATTTCGAGCAATTCACACCGACGGCGCAGGATCGCAAGAGATTGGCCTGTTTCCAAGAAGCGCTATGTTGCAACTATTACATGCATCACAACTGCACTTATTGGATGTATAATCGGTATCTATGTAAGAAATGGCATCAAGAAAGAATGCAAACTCTGAATTCGACTGATTATCTTTTACACAGGCAGGTGAAGTGCCGAAGATACAGTACAGAATAGCTGATCAGCATCACTATGCGATCCTTGGAAATGTTGTGTAAGGCTTTTACGTGAGCTTCCCGTTGCAATTGGTCTCATGGTAACGCTCGTCAGATTATATTTTGGAATGGCCATCTCAACTCTACTTTTCTGGCCACTGCCAATGCTACATGGCCGCAAACCGTACACTCTGGTGGCCTTGGCCTTGGTTCTGCCACTGCAATTTCCTCAGGGGCTAGCTGTGAGCTCAATGCGCTCGCCAAATACACCCACTTACCGTGTTGGGATTTTGCTTCCCAGAGCCGCCACTGGCATTGCGCTGGGATTTCTGAACATCAATCTGAAAGCTACGCTGCTTGACCTCTTTGGCGCCTCATTGCAGAGTACAAGTCCTCATCAGGAGCTTGTGGATGAGAACGATGTTAGGCGCCATGGCGGAGGCATGGGCGTGTGGCTGGGAATTTGGTCGTGGTGTTTCAGCTGTTCAATTGGCGTTGGCTTTTTGATTGGTGCCTTTGTCATTAATAAGCTCGAGCCAACATGGGGATTTTGGATTGTTGTAATTCTGACGGCGGCAGTCTTGCTTCTCAACGTGCTGATTCCTGAAGCACGTCGCAAGGCCTATCGTCGGTCAGCTCTGGGAGAAAGAAGCGCCTCAGACATTGCTCGAAGAAACGCCAAAGGCGAGGTTACGTTGCATTTGAAGTATACTGCTCCCTTGTGGTGGGGCGAAGAGGTGGTCTCTGGAATGGTGTTGTGTAAGAGAATGATACAGCAGCCCGGGTTCATAGTGCTCTCCCTCTACTTGGGATGGATTTATGGCCAAATTGTGATGGTAGTCGTGGTGAGTGAGCACGGGAGCTCCGGAACAAAAAGGTGTTAAGGTACTGACAGAGTAACTCAAGCTTTTAGGAGCACTCACATCCCGGTATTACCGCTTCCGTCCGCCATATGTAGGGCTATGTGTTGCAGCCTTGCCCATTGGCGGCTTGATAGCGGTGCCGTTTCAAAAAGCCTCCTTATTCAGTCGGTCCCGCAGTCATCCCCCGAGGACTGATAGTATGACGTTTCAAAAGCGTGTCACTTGGACGTCGCACCTGGTGCGAAGGGCAATTTTCATGATTGTACTTCCTTTTGCTGGTCTTGCTTACACGTTGACTTCTACGGGGCCGCCGATGCACTACATGGCACCAACTTTTTTTGCAGCATTGATCGGATTTCTCTCCAATCTTGCCATCGCCGAGTGCCACGGTTTGATTATGGAGACGTACGATACCTCGGACTTGCAGCCTGGCATGACAGGTCGGCCGCGCGGAAACAGCGTACCTGAAAGTGTGCGTAAGAAGCGAACAAGTTATTCATGTTTTCCACGTGTCAGTGCAGCAATTGCCATTTCTCAGACCTGGGGTTTTTTGATTGCTGCAGCAACGACGGCAATAGGAGGACGCGTGGAGCGGAAAATTGGTGCACAAGCTGCTACCGGGTGCGTTGCGGGTGTCTTACTAGGACTGACACTGCTCCTCATCTCAGTCTTATGGAGATTCCGCCAGGTGCAGGTGATCCCAGATGCAGTCTTCGGTGGTCGTTCACCGTCTGTCGTATCAGAAGGTTGGCGACCGGTAGTAATTGGCAACCCAAGCGGAAAGATGAGACGAATGAGCGTACTGGAGCTAGGGAAGCAGAGCCGCTGGACGGAGATCCGTCGCCGAAACAAGCTCTTTTCCTTTTAGGTTCGCTTTGTTCCTACGCAAATCGCCACTGACGCGAGTGGTTGGCGCGCGCCAATACGCACAGGTAGGTGGTTGCAACGTAAGTGTGCTACTTAGAAAGACAGTCTTACAGCAAATGGGACCATGCGGGGGCCGGTATTGCATTGTCTCTCATGTATGTTTGAGACACGAAAAGTCACGGCGTCGGCAAAGGTTGAAAACGGAAGTATTAAACCATACAGAGTGTTGGAAATACTTTTCAGCACGAAGGAGACAGAGATTTAGTTGTGAGCAATTATGATTATTATTATTGTTACGATTATTATTATTTGGCAAGATGTCTAATCGATGCATTCGTTGAGCAAATTTTGATGTCGAAGTCATTATCAGAGTCTGATCGGGATTTAGGAATGATAGGGAACAAGGCATCTTATCCACCTTCTAAACATCATCATCATCATTTTCTCAAAACTCTGTATCACATTTTTGAAGGTGAAACCGGTTCAGCAAACACTACAATATGAGGCTTTATCATACACTCTTAATATGACGGATGGGATCGGAGAGACCGGATGTGTCTCGCTTGGACGAAAGATCTGATTTTCACAAGGAGTGCATGTTTGAAGACAGATGACGAAAGTGGATATCCATATGGAAAGACAATTGCATCAGACCAGCCAAATTCTCTAATTACGAAATTGATGGTCTAGCCCAATCGCCTTGGTTGCTGCTCAGGGCAAAGGAAGAGAGGAACTTCACTTCAGAATATTTTGTGTAATCGACATACTTTTTGGTAGTATTTATCAACTTGTTACTCAACCGTTTCTCGATAATTACTCGATCATTACTCAGGGCTGTTAGTCGTCAATTTTATCTCGGAAAAGGCGGATCTGCCCGACTACGGAGGGGCAATCTAGGCGTCTTCTATGTCTGTTCTAGTGCACTTCCTATCTGGGACAAGTCAACCGAGGATGATGCCATCGAGAATATGCGTGATTGGCTGGGTGCGATTGGGAATGGTCGTCACAATCTGAAAGTGTTACGTTACGAAAAGGATCAGATGGGAGCAGAAGGAAATTACAGTGGAATTACACATTATTACTGACGACAGAACATGTTGTTTCTGCAGCTTGGGCTATTCATGGAAATTAAGAGCAGTGAAAAAGATCCTAGGGAAAAATGACAAGTGGATCATCCCATGGGCGACCTGGAACCCATGGATGCTTGTTTTCTTGGGCTTCTCGAATGTCTGCAGTCATTCGATGTGGCCCCTTCTCCTTGCAGGGATATTCGCAGTCGAAAACGGTGTCCTATCCCACCCACCCTTTGCACTGTCATTGTGCATGTTTCCCTCCATCTGCCCTGCATTTCTTTTTGCCACTCGCCCTCTGAGTCTCTCTCTCTTCTCTGGGTACTCGGCAGTGTGTGGATGTTTTTTGACGAAACTCTTTCTGTTCTGCCATTTGTTCAAACGAACCCGGATGAGGTCATTTGAATTGCCACTCCAGGACCGTCCTTCGCACCCTTTCCGTTATTTTTTCCCGATGACCCCGTTGGCTGCATTCCAAAGGTCGACCTGAGCCTAACTTGGCCAATCTTTGAACCGAACTGGACTGGTCTGGGCTGGGACTGACGAATGAGCGAGCATTTGCCGAAGACCAAGAGTCGCTCTGACTGCTCGACAGGGTTACTCCAGCTGCCACCATTACACCACGCCGTCGCTCACCACCCACGCCCATCGATCGCGTTCCTTCTAGTGTCTGTTCTGGAAGGCCGAGAAAGGGTCCCGCAAATGACACGGTCAGGCACCCAACGACGAATGATTGATCGGCCAAGAGAAGATGTCTCCACATTCCTATTTTCCCACGCTTTCCCTGCAACCCCTTTGAGCTCGTCTCTGTTCGCGGTTCCTTGAGCAAACGCAAGCCAACCCACTTTTCCCCTCCTCCCCCCCTATCTCCGTCCAAACTCTTCCCCGAGCGTCAGCCGGTAGGGCGGTATTTTGGGGCTAAACACCGACCGGTCTTGGTCTGGGCTGGATGGGCAGAGGATGGGGGATCCACCCATCCCATACCAAACCAGGAACCCAAGGCAGTCGACGGTGTCTAGGGAAATGGTTGATGTGAGCGATAGATAGCAATTCCGCCCCCCATGGTCGTCCCCATGCTTGATTTCAACTGGCGCCCACCCGCTGTCGGAATTCTTACTTCAGCCTCGTTGATCCCACCCTCCGCGAATCTCAACTGTCTTTTGATCGCTCCTAGGGCTGCAACGGCAATCGAACCAGGACTCGTCGCGTACGCCATTGAACCTCTTTCTCTACCATCTAACCGCCCTCAAGTCTCCTTTTGTGAGATCGACGTCAGAACGCTACCGCTGTCATATTTTGTTGCACAGTACAGTACATAGGCCGGCGCCTATTGTAGGCGACTCGCCGAGGACACACTACATTGAAAGTTACCAATTTTAAATCGACCGAATTTGCGCCGCCGCCCGAGTGGTTCTATATATCCAGACTGCATCGCAACAAATTCTCCATGTCCAGATAACACACCTTTCGTCTTCCTTTCTCTCTTATCGTCGCCAATCCCGCTTTGCAACACTGGATTGTCGCGGTTTGAGACACCATCCTGGGTGACAGCAACAGAGCGTTATCACATCGTCACCATCATCTGTCCATAATCTTCATAATAACTGCAACGACCCGCCACCATGTTTGAGAACTTTTCCTTTGGTGCTCCGCCGCCTATCTCATCGAAGGTCGCCGCCTTCACACACTCATGGAATTCTGTTGGCCCTGCGCCTGACGACGTTAGCATTTCACCATGCGCATCGCCCATCCCATACGGCGACCTCACGTCACGACCACCCCGCCGAGGAGGAGCCGCCGCCTGTGTGTCTCCTCCCACGTCTGTCACCGACCTATCGCAACACTTTAGTCAATACAACCTTACGCGAACACAAGCACACACGGGGCCAATATGGTATGACCCATTCGCGAACACCAAACTGCCCGTATCAGCCTCGCCACCCGTCGACGAAGGCGTCTTCTGCGACTCTGAATCCGAACCAAACTCTCCTCCACGCGCTCCGTCCCCTTCATCCTTTACTGCAATCCGTCAACGCCGTCAGGCAAACACACAATTACAGTGCGATCCGGGACACCTCAAGTCGCTCTCCACACTAGTCCAGCAGATGGTTACAGAGGGCCACCAATGTTGCGTGCACTCGCCACCCTCCTGGATGACAATGAAGAGCCGCGCATCGCAGTCACCCCCGCCGCCGTCTTCTCCCGGTAGCGCCGGACCGTCCTCGTCCTCATCCTCGTCTTCTTCCGAGGCTGGAGATGCCGACGAGGCTGCCGAAGAGACTATGCGCCGTCGGCGACGCACTTCGCCGCGATCGATAATGGAGCCTTCCAGGGTCCGCAAGAACTCCGACATGAGCTACAGATCGTCGTCAAATACTCTGTACGAATATAATCGGAATCGAAGACAAAGTGCAGTCTCGACAAGCAGCAAGGTGCGCAAGTCAGGTCGATAAACGACACTACTTGAATGCGCATCCACAAATTCACTTCCATCCTCATCCTTCTTTGACAGACATTGATATGTTGGTGGTTGGAATCTTTTCTTGTACAAATATATTTTTATTTCTTATCTCGACTTTTCTTTTCACACCACAAGGTGTCGGAAAGACTTGAGTCGTACTGTACTATTATTAGAGACCTTTATAGAGCGCTGGAAGGCGGAAAGGGGAATGGGAATGGGTAAAGGGGAACGCAATTGCATCTTTTTCTGGCTTGTATCATCAGGGCGTCTTGCGTCTTTTGTTTACATATTCCGGGCGCAAGCCGTACCGACGGCGTAGGAGTTTTTTTTTTTTTTTTTTTTTATGTACTACTTACTATCTGGTGGACCGGGACGACGGCGGGCGGGGTTTATTATCTTATTCAACATTTTTTCGGTAATTACTCTACTGGTTCGTATAGGATAATCGGGGTGTTTATGAGCATCATAAGCTATAGCATATTTATACATATTTTATATACCTCTTCATCTTCTTCGTCCTCGTCGATGTCGTGGTCTATTGTTTGTTTTATCGCGTCGGTTCATTATTTCTTATTATACGGTTTATCATTTTTCATTCTCATTATAGTTTATCATGCATCATTTCTCATTCTCATTATATAGTTTATCTTTTTTCATTCCCATTTCTCTTATCTCGTTGCTCGTCATATCGATCACCATGTCCCTTCCTATCAGCCAGGATGCTATCGTCCAGGATGATACTGTTTATGCTGCACATATCGTTTACTCTTCGGCTGGATACTGGCGACTGGTCTCAGGCCATAGGTCATAGGTCAATTAAATGAGGAATCTACCGATCACACCTTTTCATCCGGTGCTATCCTGTGCTATGCTACACTACCGGAGTATATTATCTATGTTAGTTTATGTTATGCTATGTTGTGTCTGAGGATCATCCAGATCTCTCATCCACAATGTCAATGTCCATCTGATTTATCTGCGGATATACGTACTTGCCTTGGGCATTCTGTTTGTCAAATGTTTTATTTTCTTTCTTCCTTTTTCTCAAATTTGTTTTCTATTTTATTTTTAGGGGAAGGGGAGGAAAGGGGAGGAAGGGATTTACAGACTATACGAGTCTCAACCTGAATGATGAATCACAGACATCTTAGCGACGCATCAGGCCGCCTTGCCCTCGCTCATGGTCTTATCTTCACTATCAACGTACGGAGGTACTCTGTACGAAGTACAGAAATACGAAGGGACTCTGTACGATGGGCCATGGTGAGTAGTCTAGAAGCGTAAGAAATGCTCTAGAAAGAATCTGGATCCGTCTACTTGGTACGGAGTACAAAAGTACGTTGTAATCGGAGGGGTCAATTGCGTGCCTATCAATTTGGTTGACGGGGGTCTATCGGAGTACGATAAATATACATCCTCCGTAGTAATGGCTTCGTGGCCGAGTTGGCCGTCGGCGCATCGTATTGCGGCTCCAAGTTATCGCGCACCTGGCGCCTGGCACGCTGGGTATGATGAGTAATGTCTGACTCATCATTCCTCGTACCTCGTACCAGATCCGGTCAAGGAAAGGACTGGAATCAAGCGTCAAAAGGACGGCGACCGGACGAACGACAAGTGACAAGTGACAAGAACCAAGGACCCTGTGGTCCTCAGTCAAGTTGGTCCATTGTTATGCTATTATGGTCTTTCTACTCTGCCGTACTTCATACACGTTGGAACAAACAGGACAAGATTATTACCAAATCGCAGATCGCTGATCCCAAAGTCGCAGGCGACCTGGGGGGCACTTGGAGGTGGACCGAGTTGACCGAGGACGCGCAACCCAATCCACTCTCCACACCGCACCGTTCTTACCACTAAAACCTGCTAGCTACGCAGAGCTACATACTGGCCAACAGTACTTCGTAATTGCACCATAAGTCTCCACTCTTCGCGCTTGGACAAGGGAAAGATTGTGGATAGGGGAGAAGAGCTCTCCACCAGAAACTAAGGAGTAAGGAGAAGCTTTCAAAATGGAAACACAGGAATCCATGCGTGCTAAGTGGAGCTTCAACGATGGGTCGCGCGAGCACCCATTGGCTAATTATGCTATCAATGGAACCCACTCATCAAGTAGTAAGAATTGTCCGAGTCCGAGCTCTCTCGCAACCCCGCGTCCCACCTCCCATCTCCGCATCCGCACTTGGTACGTGTGTTGCTGAGTCGTGTTGTTTGGGGGAAGGAGAGGGCTTCGTCGCCATGGTTGCGACAGCGACACAAATTTGCGGAACCCATATTTTGTGGGAGTCAAATTATGTGTTTGCTGAATGCATTGTGCTGGAGTCGCAAAGTCGATAAGACAAAAGTTTCCAGCGAGGGAATAATGACGCGTAGGTGTATATTTTGCACTGCTTGGGAGCTAGCTTTTCAGATTTGTGCCAGTTGTTTTGGACAAAGATGGACTATAGCTCCCCTAGAAACCTATTAGGTAGGTTGGCAGAGTGAGGTTGTAAGTTTGCCAGGGCACATTTGCAGCCTCGGAGCGCGTAGGGAAGGTAAATATGATGCGTCGCAGCCTGGGAGCGTCAAATGAACTCGCGTTTATCTCTAAATGCTGTTAAGTAAAGCCAGAAAGTAATTCATTGAAGTAGACTATAATTTCAAGAGAAAGCGCACACCTTGTCACCCGCTCTATATAGGCCGAAATGTGAGTCAAGCTAAAGTCTTCTTCAGTCAGGGCTCAGTGGGCAGTGACATCGCTAGATCCCGGAGGAGTCGATCGGCCGCCAGCATTGGTAATAAAGGATACCTAAATGCATACTCCAATAATACATCTTCATCTTTTCCTCACGAATTCATCAATTAAAATATCGTCTATTAGCTGGCCTTGAAGGCGGATAAGTCTTGTGGGTGGGTCGCTTGGAAAAACAACGCAGAAGATTGGGTTGTGGCGTGAGAAGCTCCGGAAGACCCCTGGTTTTGCTAAGTCAACTTCCCCGCAACCCCCTGTGTGTGCCGGATTGGACGGGTGCGGAGGAGAGTGGAGCTCTGTTACGTCGATCACCCCAACGTTGAGCATTGAAGGTATTCGGCGACAGCAGCAAGAGGACTCTGAGCTTGAACGTGATGTCTAACTTGAACTTCACATTTCTGTTCGCCTGAGCTTCCAGCACAACTAGAGCTTTTCGATCTCCATCCTACAAAAATTCCAACCATCCACTGTCTATGCTTAGGCTCTCACCGAGAGCGAGAACAAGCACGATCGAAACAGCATCAATAAATCAAGGAACCGTATGGCGACGGCGAATCCTGCATTATGTACCCGAGGAGCAGCATGGGCAGCTTCTCGAGGGACAATTCGAACTCCTCGATCGTCTTGCGGAACGACTGCAATGACAATATCCATCTCTCCTACAACGAAAACATCATCCACACCTCCATCGAATCAATTTCCATGCCGCACGTTTTCTTCTTCATCTGCAAATACGGACCTTCGCTCAAATTCCGCGTCCAAAGCTTCCGTTAGACATGCTAGCCACGCATCAAGCTACAACCCGACGTCTGCATTCTTCCCCCAAACGAACTTCAACTCTGTAACCACTATCAATCCTAAGGCCGTTCATGTTCGAATATTCCCTCGCCCGCGAAACGTTGCTGAAAGCAGAGCTGTGCTCAAGGTGCTGGAACGCTTCGGGGATGTGGTCATGTACAAGAACCTACAGGTAAATTTCCCTTTTTTTTTACTCTCTTCTCTCATACACCCTCATACGCACTTAGTTCGAGAATGGAATATTAATTGAGATATTGCAGTACGAGTCGACACACCCTGCACCAAACGCTGCGTTAGCCATTTTCGCCAGTCCTGGCGGCGCACAAGCTACACTCGATGCTTCTCCTGTTCGATTCACATTACACTCAGAGCTGGATGGCGACAAAATTGTTGAAGAAACGGATTATATCCACGAACTTGCCAAAAAGATGGCATCATCATTCTCGTCATCGTCCACCTCCTCTATGAAGCATTCTAATTCGGACATCTTTGATGAAGAAGCCACCGATGAAACAACACACAGTGAATCTGATATCCCGCCTAGAGAGTTTCAAATCATCGTCGAACGCTCTCGATTCAACCACCAGTGGTATATTGAACGACAGCCGTTTTATGGCGGATTCGCGCCGGACCTAAAAAGCGTCGCGGCAGTAGATTTGATAAAGTCCGTCCCACTCCAGGGACTCGCAGACGTATCGACCTACCGAAAAGAACTCCCGCATCGGATCCAGCGGCGTCGGGTGGCAGAGGCGTCTCGTCCCGTGGGCCTCAGAGCCATGTGGGAAGAAGGTCTACGAGAAGGCTCCGGCGCGAGAACAGCCGGGCCCAATATCGAAATTGGAGCTCGGGAGCAGCGACCAAGGCCTCACACAGCACCGCGACGCAGAGCAGATGTAGCGGGAAGCCGACCTACTCAGCACCCGCAACAGTATCATCAGCGAGAAATTCCAAGGAGACCCAAACGCGAAAGTAACGCCATGAGCAGTGATTCAGCTTCATCGACAATACCGCGGCCATTGATATCCGAAGGCGCACACCCGTCAGAACCTGCGTCTTCTCTCATGCGAGAGCAAATCTCATCACCACCGCTGTCGCCGGTGCCGAGAATATTACCTGACAGCCATGTTGCAACCGAGCTTGAATCGAAATCTGTCTTCTCAGCTGGGTCCTGGGGAGCGAGCACTTCATTTGGTCAGGCTCAGACTCGGAGACCACATTAAGACGAACCTTGATCTATGTTAGCAAGGGAAATACGCCTCTCGTTCGAAACGCCTGCCTCTTGATAAGCAGGGCCACCAACAGAGGAAATGTGTTCCGCAGGGAAATTGGAGTTAACTGAACATGGAACTGGTTCTGATAGGCTGGAGTTATAGTACTAGTCGTACTGATGCTCGCTTTACATGCATACATGCTTGTTCACTTGTTTTAATTTTCACTTATATATATCCTTCTCCTTTCGTCAATTCTCTTTTCTTTTCTTTTCTTTTCTTTTCTTTTCTTTCAGTTCTTCTTTTTTCGGGTCATTGCTATGCTTTGATGGCCAAACGACGGGGAGATTTCTACTTACCTAGACATCCGATTATGACGTTATGGCTTTTCTTTTCTTCCGACGGGCAGAATAGTTATATCGAGAATTAATCTGAATTCTGACTCACTTATATTTTTCTTCCTTTCCATTTGGACCAATACTGTTCTCGGCGTATAATGGTGTTTCATTATATTCTGATGATTTCAGTCCATCAGTTCGATAATTACATGTTGAGAAAACCCTTTTGATTTTGTCTTGTTCTTTTTCCCGAAGCATGAATCCGCTGGGCAGCTGTTCCTGTGAGGAGTGAGAACGCTCTGTGAGTGCTATATATCCACTAATGATACGTGTCCTCCAAATCCAGTCCATGCAGTCATACACAAATGCCCATCACCCAAGACCTTATCCGCTTTTCCATGCCAATGACTTTGTCTTTTTCCCTGAGCCTAGGCATGAAATGCATAAATATGAAGGCGGGCGAAACAAAAATTGGGGAAAATGAGAAGAGACAAGGGTTTAAAAGAAAAAGAAAATTGAGAAAGACAAAGGAATGAAGATCCCTCATTTGTACTATGTTTTTCCTGGGTTCCGCAATAAAGACGATCAGATGCCATAACGACCAAAACCAAGGCCTCGCAGAAACCTCACTTCATCGGCTTGTCGTTCCAGAGCGCGACGCATGGCCTCCTCATGCAGCATTTCCTCCCGGTATACGCGTGCTTGCTCTTGTAAACTGTGCATTTCACGCTCATCTTTAGGCTCCATTTGGTCTGGATCATCCAAATATGACGACCGGCGGAATAAGTTTTGCTTTTGGCTACCGCCGAATCCGAGCACTCCTATCTGCTCGCCTGTCCAAAGAAGCAGCTCGCCTGGACCTCGGCCGTGGCTTTGTGGGATGGGAAGGATTTTGCGGACAACCGTGTCGTTGACGGGACTGTAGGGCCTGGTGATGTCTGCGGCGGCACTGGTAGTGCTGCTGCCGATGCCATTGGACCCACCTCGTGAGCGGATAGTATCGCGTATGTCATCCTCTCGGTCAAATTGCTGTGCTATGGACCGAATATTGAGCTCATGGTGAGACTCGGTGTCAAGTATTGGCCTTGTGAGAGAATTGTTGATGTTCCACCTGCGGACTTCGGACGCGCCATCTCGCTCGACCCATTTGAGCAGGCCATTGCCGTCGGCGAAAACGAGACGGGTTCCATGCGTAGCAACAGAAAGGAGCTTGGAGCTTGATGCGGAAAAGCGGTTCTTGTAGGTAGATGTTTTCTGGCCTCCATGATTGAGGCTAGGTGCATCTATGCTGTCTTTATTGTTATTGCTGCTGTGGCTGGATGTGTAAGGACTTTGGGATATTTCGTAAAGCTCGAGCGAGCCTTTGGTGTTGTATTCGCCACATGCAACTAGAGTTTGTCCTTCTCGAGATTTTCTCTCGGCAATGTCTTCGACAGAAAGTTCGTTCACGGGCAACACATCTGCATGAAGGGACGTAAACGGGTATGGCAGCGAAGTCAAACTGCAGAGACTCGCACCAGAGTGTAAATGCCCTCGGAGCTTTGGAAAGGTTCGTCGATCGTAATTGAGAATGCTGGAGAAGCGGCCCGCAACATAGATGCCGCCTTCGCTGGCGTCATTCATTCTTCCCTCAGAAGTAGGCAGATGAAGAATTGATAGTGGGCCCGGTTGGAATAAGGGGGCGTATTTCGGGAGGGAGGTCCTGGTAAGTAAAGAGTGAAGACTATAGTCTTCAGTAGAATAGGCACAGTGATGTCGATGACCATATGAGCTCACAGGTATATCGCATCGTTCATCAGTTGACGTCGTCGAGAATCTTGACATCTGGCTTACACGTGAGTCGTGAAGGTGCAGACTCAGCGTTGTGCCTACTGTCAGCGGCACTGGATGTCTAGCCTCTGACAAGGCCGAGATGGAAAACGGAAACCGCTCATGCGAAATGAGCTGAAGCGTTTCGAGGTCGACCTCGCTCAAGCCGCTTTGTACGGCAAAATATGCCTTTTTTTGCGCGCTATCCACACTCACACATTCCACCACACCCGTGCTCGTCATCTCAGCTTTGCCTCCTCCATTGTCTAGTCCAGAGAATGGCCCGTTAACTGAAAGGAGTCCTGGACCGCTCCTGGCGCGGACTTTGCCCTCGTCAAGGTCCCACAGACAAACACTTCCATCGCCGAGTGGGGCAACTACTCGCGAATACTGAGCAACGTCGGAATCGTCCTGATATAGTCCCACCCCAAGGACATCTAGTGTCTGTCGCTGGCTCCTTTGTGCGCCGTTTGTCGGCTGCTGTAACCAATCCATCGAAATGGGCGCATGTCGTTGTTTGTATTCCTGATACCAATCGACTTTCTCAGTTGGATAGGAAGGATCCCAATTTGCCATTGCTCGCCGTGTTTCATTGAGTGCTACGCGGTGTGGCAGACGACCCTGTATATCATTGAAACTGGCAGGTGTATTCGTCATTGCATCCTCAGAGTCTAAGCCGGGAATGGTGCCTGGCGTCGGGCTTGGGCGTGTAAATGCCGTCGTCGCTGCTCGCTGGAGTGCGACAGCCCGGGAATCACCATGTATCAGGATGTTTTGGAGTGACATGGCCATGGAAGCAGACGTCAGCTCACGCCGCCGTCGGAGGGCTTGAAAACGCGAGTTTTCGAAACATAGGCGCTTCCATAGCTTTTGATCTCGTGCTAGGGAGGACAGTCTTCGCGACACAAACTGAAGCCTCACGAGGTCATCCGGTTCAAGGACTGATAATAAAACAAACGGGTTGGTCAATGCATATAGCCGTGTGGACAGAGCAACCAATCACTCACATGTCGCTATGTGGAAGACGAGCTCCGCAGGAAGCTCCTCCATGCTGATCAAGAAAACATCAAGGATAATGACACACAATGAGATTGTTGGAGTGTATGACGACAAAAACTAGGATGATTTTGTGTATGAGCTCAGGGGCACAACAAAAAGTCTGCAGTAGAGGAAATGTATCTTCCGATTAAAAACGAAGCAATAAGATCACCAAAGGCCTTTGATACACATCATTTGAAAGTTTTCAAGAAGAGACAGCAGTCTAGATACGTCAGTAAAAGCAGCAATCAATAATAAAGAACGACAACAGTAGGAATTATACACAGAATGAGATGTACAAGTGGTAAGATGAAGTCAAGTGGGACGTGATTAATTCACCCCACGCGTTTGATATTCGGATGCGGGCTGATTATACAGTCACGTGCTGATAACAATCTCATTATCGATAAAGTACAATCTATCTCAGGATTCTCCCTCAGTCGTCACCACCAATCCAAAGAATAATCATTCTTTATTGTTAAAAAATTCAGTGATATATAGCTTTCGCTCTTTATATGACGGCATCTTCTTTTTTTTATTCTCTCAATCGATTGCTGATGCCTAGCATCTGTCCAAGGAGCATGTTTGTTCAGGGTACTGCAATTGCCCTGGACGGTGTTGTACCGTTCAGTACAGAGACAGGAGCAAAAACAGGAACACACAGACACCTACCGCATTCCTCGTCTCTGCCACGTTTGCTGTTCCACATTGCTCTCTCTTTCGCGTGGGACATTCCCATGGCCATGCCGTTCTACAAGAGTTGGGAAGTGAGAGGAGACCCTCACGCTCGGTTTCCGTCATCCCTCTCGTATCGACTACTGGAAACCCCTCAAACTGGGTCCACTATGGCTAAAGCGGGAATTTTTGAAGCCCACCATTAATATACTTAAATGATAACAGAATGGGCATCAATTGCTCAGGTCTCGTTTCCAAACAAGTTCTCCTCAGTGGGGTTGATGTCGGTTCCGTTCAAAATAGCGATAGCGCCTCATCGTCCGACTTCCTAGAACGGAGCGCTTCCCGTCGGCTGCGCCCTAGCGGCCGCGTTCGGACCAGGTCAGATCTCAAGTTTAGACGACATCTCATCCTCCTTCGGAGCGTCTTGTGCTGATAGAGGTCTAAGGGAGTTTAGCCGGCGCGGATGGCTTTGTCGGTGCATCCCATGGCTCTTCCATTGCAGAATTATTATTGGGAACCCTGTTGTGAGGAATAATGCCGAGACGAGGCCCTCAGCCTCAAAATGCGACCGGGTGGCCCGCATTTGGCTCCCTCCCCCTCCCCACCAACCCCTCGTCACCTCACACTAACAGAAACGATGATCAGCTTATGACTGAATTTTCCGAGTGGGTCTTGCTGATTTGTTTAGTTCCCAGCTACTGCCGTGAGGGTCCAAAGCGGAGCTCGCAGAGTGGTAAGTGATGAGCAACGAGCTGGCGATATCCTTGGAGATACCAATACCTCGAGCCACCGCCGGGTCGCTGCTGCTGCAAACCTCTTCAGTCTCATCCACATGGACGTAGATTATGCATTCTGGCGTATATGCGGCTAGATGGGGCTCCACATGCCGCCATTCCGATACCCAAACAGATCCTTCTAGTCCCGCTCTTCAGCATCGAAAGAAAGAGGTTGAAATCGATTGAAAACAGGAAACGGGAAGCCTCATTGGAGTTGGGACGAACCAGGATTATCCTTCGTCATATTACTTTTGCAAATTGGGCAAAAATATACACTTAAGGAATTTACGCGGCGTGGCTGTCCGGTTCCACCAGATACGCGAAACTACGCAATCAAATACCTTTTTCCCTTTGCAATTGCGGGGAGTATAGAAAGAGAGAGAGAACAAGAAACAACCTAACATTTAGATCCGCGGAACACAGTGAGTCGCCATCCGTGGCCTCAAAACCCTTGGGTGCCACTGAAGGCTGTCGCTGGACTATCTCGGAGTGAGACCAATGCGCTAACCCTTCGCTCTTTGACTCCTTGACGTCCTCATTATGATGAATCGTTACGCTCTGGCCCAGGCGAGCTTTGGTCCTCCGCGCCCGCCCTGGTTCTGTACCACTTGCATCCGTCTCAATTTCGCCCGCAACCTTGCCCACGGATTAATTTGGGGGGGTTACCATGGGTTTGAGAGAATCGGCTCTAAGCTGGGTACTTACACACCATACTCTATTTTTCCCCAATCAGGCTTACCTCTTCACTACGACAGCTTTTCACCCCCCAAAAAGGAATCAGCATTCATCATCTTACATCCTGTTCCTTCCAAAGGGATCAATTTATCGTCCATTACATACAACTAATCTGGCAAGCGCGAACCGGGCATCTGTGCAACTGGGAGGGCGTCAAGCATACCAAAGGCCATGGACACAATGTTTCCCAAACTGCCTGGATGCGGCGATTTAGTTCTTCAGCGCCGACGTGGGTCCTTAGAGTTGTTCCCGGCCATGCTATCTGCATGCACGGTAGGAGCTGCGCTAGGCGCTTGCATGTCGAACGCAGGGTGTAGCGTGCAAGCCTCTATTTTGTCGAAAGGTAATGCAGCCCACCTTGTCGCTGGGTCACCCGTTGCGTCTCTTTCCTGCCGGCAGCATCTGGGCGACGAGGGGTCGTGGCCATACTCCCCTGCTCGCCTTGCGAATTGACTTGTCCCAATTGATTGCTCAAAACAATGGATGGGACGAAGCCACTTTTTTTTTTTGCGCGCTATTACTCCTGACATCCATGGCATGGGATGGTGGAGAAGTGCCGCTCGCCTCGACACACCCTGACCTTTTCGATCGACACATGTTTTTATGGTGTTGTGACAATTGATTGGATGACCTGACGACCATCCAAGTGCTCATTCCTCCAGGAATGCCCGCCGGCATTAGGGACTATCAGCTCGACTGACTCCCTTTTCCACGCGTTTTTTCCAAGTGACGTGTGTGAGCTCCCTGCTAGATCGATCGGTGGAGACATCCTGATTGAGATGAGGAGGTGCGGGTCACATTCTGGGCCCTCGATGCTATTCACAATATAAATACTCTTGTTCTCCAAACAAACTCCAGCATCAATTACTTGCATGTTTCCAAGATTCCCACTCCTCGGTCTTAGTTAAGACAATTGAAGATATTCTTTTTTACATTTTTTCTGTCCATTGAACCTTTTCGTCCATTGTCCTCAAAAAAAGACCTTGCTTGATAGTGTTGTCCTGTCTTTATAAACGGTTATTGCCAGCCAATCTCCTTGCACTCAAAAAGAAAAGGGCCACAACCATGTCTGTACCCGCCTCTCCACCAGCAGAGCCAACCAACCATGTCCAGCTGGACTGCGACTTGGAGAAGGGCTTGATGCTGTCCAAAGTCCCTTCCACAGAAGTTCAGAAACCTCTGCCAACAGCCGCTCCGAGTCACTCGGTGAAGAACTCAATCTACTCAAGTACGCAGATATCAGTCAACAGCGTCGAGTCCTTCGTCTCAGAAAAGGAACCGCAACCACTTCCTTCGAAACGCGGCACACGACCTGTCCGGTACCTTCGGCATACATTTTTCACCATGTACCGAAGACTGTTCTCTGTTGTCTTCATTGCCAATGCTGCTGTTCTTGTGGCATTGTTGGCTCGAAAGTACAAGTCGTCTTCAAACACGCTGAAACTAACAGATGTTGCAACTGCCACTTCTGCCAACCTCATGGTTTCTATCCTGATGCGGCAAGAGCATGTCATCAACTTGCTCTTCGTCATCTGCGCCGCAGTCCCCAGATGCGCACCACTGTGGATCCGAAGAAGATTCGCCAAGGTCTTCCATTTCGGTGGTCTGCACAGCAGCTGTGGCACTGCATCCGTGATGTGGTTCTTGCTTTTCACCTACACCATTACTGCGCAGTACTTGACTACTGCCGGCGCGGACGCGGACGCGGCGCAACGGGATCCGGCAACACTTGCCGTCACATACTTGATCATTGCGCTGCTGGTGGCGATCTTGATCTTTGCCATTCCACGCTTCCGCATCAAAGCACATGATAGCTTTGAGACCGTCCACCGGTTTGCGGGCTGGTCAGTGCTGCTGCTGTTCTGGATCCACACCATCATCATGACCAATGCGAGCCGGCGCCAGACGGAGGACATGTCGTCGCTGGGTCACGCCCTCGTCATGACACCAACTTTTTGGTTCCTGATAGTCATCACCATCAGCATTGCGTACCCCTGGCTTCGACTCCGCAAGGTCGCCGTCCGCTCAGAATACCTTTCCGACCACGCTGTCCGGATGCACTTCAACTACAAGATGATCTTTTGCGCGGGCATCCGTATCTCCGACAGCCCTCTCAAGGAGTGGCACGCATTTGCAACCATCCCTGAGCCCGACGGGTCCGGCTTCTCGTTGGTCATGTCTAACGCGGGCGATTGGACCAACCGACAGATACAGCGACAGCCGAGTCGGCTGTGGGTACGCGGCGACCCAACTTTCAACGTCTTGCGTTGCACCCCGCTCTTTGAACGCATAGTGGTCGTCGCCACCGGCTCGGGAATCGGACCCTGTCTCGCGCTCCAAAATGCCAAGCCAGGGCAATGCAGGATGATCTGGTCCACCCCGAATCCGGAGGACACTTATGGCAAGGCCATCATTGATGCCGTCTACAATGTCGACCCGCAAGCCATCATCATCAATACCAGGGCAACTGGTCGCCCAGACCTGGTCGCGCTCGCCTACCGCCTCTACCTCGAAGCCCAAGCCGAGGCCATCTTTGTCGTGTCCAATCAAAAAGTCACGCACAAGCTGGTCTATGGTATGGAGAGTAGGGGTATACCAGCCTACGGACCCATTTGGGATTCCTAGCTAGGCTAGGTTGGAACCCCTCCTGCTCTTTCCTCACTTTCAGCATACATGCCCTTTTTTTTACATCTCCCGACCAGGGTCTGGGGGAGCTAGTTCTTCCGACATCGCGCCTCTCTTGTCGATCATCACTATCATCATCATCATCATCATCGGAAACGAAACGCCATTGACGAATGACACGCCTATCTCTTATTCATGTCATTATTACCCATTAATTCTTTTGTTATCAATATTCCCCCTTTCTTCGGTTCTTTTGTTTCGGGTGGCTCCAGTCGATTAAAAGATTTGTCATAGATTCCTTGTTTGTATATTCCTCTTTTTTTAGGTGTTTTTTTGGTTGCTTGGGAAAGGACTGGGGGCGTCGTTCATTCTGGGGCAAATCTAGACTTTTTCCTGCAAGGGTGTCCGCCTCTCTCTGTGTCCGTTTTCCCAGAGGGTCATGTTCAAATTCTTGGGCGGCTTCTTTTTCGTTTATTGGGGGGCACATGGCAGTGGCGTCGAATGGCATGCTTACCTTGGGTTGCGCCTGGAAATCCAGTACGCCGAGATGAAACTGCCACTGCCTCTTCTCTACTATACCTTTTCCCACTTTTTTCAACAGCTTATACCAGATTGTTCTTTCCTCGGAAGATTTTTTTTTCCCACTTTTTACTCTTTCTCCTCTCATTTTTGGTCTCTTTCTACCGCCTCGTGGTGCAATTAGTGCAAGCGAGGGGTAGGGTGGGAGCCGAAGCTAGGAGAGCTCCAAGCTCTATGTAGTAAGTAGTCTTAATACGGCTCAGGTATACATACAGGTATGTGAATAATAAACGATAATCCGTATATCTCATATTTTTCGAGGTTTCTGTTCGTTCCAAAAGTGAAAATGCATCGAATAAGTGAAGTGAGGTGAAAAAAGTGATTTGATTTTGGTCCTCCAGGATCGACGTACAGATATCTCGTGCGCGCCGGCAAGGGCAAACGTCAAAAGCCACTTTTCAAAAAGAAGGATTCCAAATCATCAGACAGATGGCATCATTTGTCGTCTGTGTAAAGCCAAGGCCGAGCGGGTATGTTCATTCCGAAAGGTAAAATCTGTACCTTTTCCAACCAAAGTGAAAAAGTTGGGATGGATGGATGGATCAGTGTCCCCACGATGATACCAGAGGACGTATTGGGCGAGTTGTCGGTTCGTCCCGTTCGTAAATAGACTGGGGCTTTTGACGAACAACAGGGGAAAAGACCGGGGTTGTGTTGATGAAAGGAGATATGAATGGCAATCTCCGTGCGTCTGTGCCCTGCGAGGCTTTCCCTTTTCTGTTTTTCCTTGTATTGGCTACAGTTGCATTTATCAATTCCCTGGTTATAAATTGTAGTTATGGCCTTTGCCTCTTTAGTGGGGCTAAGCGATTTGCTCTTCATTATTGAAAGGCAGCTGAATCTGGTTCTTTTTTTCTACCGCGGTCATTCGAGTTAAGTGACTGAGCAAACGTTTTGCTTTTCCGCAGTAGTACCCTGGCAGCAGTGCAGATGAGACATGCGTAGAGCTGGCTTGGCTGGCTTGTTTGCATGACTGTTTTTGCGAAACCCACCTTTATGCGTGAAATAACTGCAGCTAAGACGTTATACGTACATGCATAACTGTAGAAGTGCATGTAATGCAACAACGGTAAATGTCAGTTGCACACTTTTCACCAGCAGGCGGTTGAAGAACTTACCACCACCATTGGGTATTGCGATGTTCTGGCAGTTGGAATGTTTCAGCCTTCCGTGGATTTCTCCAGCCCAGAAGCCGTTGTTCGTCTTACGTCCAACGTCTTGAAGGTGTCTCTTGTCCGCGGTGTGCCACTCCATTTCCCCCAACGCTTCCTATCTCACTTAGCTTTTTCTTGCCCAGTCAGTCGATTCGTTCATGTCATAACATTTCTGGGCTATGTAACAGCGCAGTTCAGTAGAACGCGACACGCAATTCTAATTCCAGTATCCAGTGTTCAAGAGCCCCCCAAAAGCACAGGCAAGTCAAAGCGTAAATTTTGCGACGTGACGAAAGGCCGAGCGCTGAGGAGAACCAGCAAAGCTCCTCTGCAGCGTAAGTTAGTCATCAATTTTACGAAGGAAAAGGGACCGTGAGTTCTAGGGAAAAGGTCTTACGTCTTCCCTTTCGGGATATATCCCAGCTGGAAAAGAGCTGAACACAGTGACTCTATTTCCTTTTTCTATATCCCTGCTCGTTCCTAGATGCCATCACTGCTCGATCCTATTGGATCAGACCGCTGCATTTCCCAATTTGGAGGGTTTTAAGCTTTCAAAGGCTTTTCGAGGCGTCCCGTCGGCAGCCACACAGACCCTGAGTGCTTGTAGTGGAGTGTGTTTAGTACCAAGGGATGAACCCTGGTTTATATATCTTAGTGTACTTTTAGCGAGCCGTACTTGTGCGCGGTAGGGTGGTGCTTACCCACGGTACTGTATCATTTTCCCGAGTCTAGTTATACGCCACTTGAAAAGGCAGCCTGACTGGTTTATTATTTTCTCCCTTGGTAAACTGAAGCGGAGCTTTCCAACTAGGCAGAAGTCCAAACTAAGACTAACTGTAGTTATGGTATAGTTAAAATTTTGGTTTGCTTCTGAATGGCACCTATAGGTACATGACAGGCCGTGACAGGTGGCAGTTTCGTTCTTTCAAGAAGGGTTTCGAGATAATTTGAATCATGCCGTTATCAGATGATGATTATATTTCCAAAGTCTATTTTTCACACTGAAACAGAATTACCCATTTTTGCCGGGCATTCTGGCTTACTGGGTCTAGATCCCTCCAGGCTTGTTGTCGTCAGAAGTCGACATCCTTTCAATAAGAGGGCTCGAACTATATCGCCCAAACCCCACGTTATTTGATCGCGATCTAGATCTAGATCTAGACTCACCTTAGTCGGGATGTTTTCTTGTTCAAACGTATATTTGTGTAGCTTGAGGTCGGTGCATGATCCCAATCTTGATGGCGACATGTTTAGGAGGAAAAAGTCAGAGATATGAGTAAGTACAAAGCAGTAACTCTTCGTGACGATCAATGAGGTAATGCAGCAGATGGTATCAACTGCTCTCGTAACCCCCTAGAATTTTGGAAGACTTGTGCCACCCAGCCATCATACTGACTCGAGTTTTTTTCTGGTTAATCAATCAAGACATGGTCTCTCAGTGATCTACCCTCAACGAAGATTGAGAAGGATATGAACGCTCTCGGGCACCTGTGCTGTGGGCATGGCTTTCTCTCTAGGCACAACGACTTATATCATCCGCATCATACGATGATATTGTAAAACTGTTTATAAAACTAAAAAATTTATTGATTATTGGCGTTGATAGAGCTATACATACGCGCTGTACAGTCGAATCTTCTTCCCGCATCTCGTTCATAGAACGTTATCTGTACTTGATAGCCGAGGATAAAAAAGTTACCGTAATGCAAGGCACATACTAAACAGCCCCAGGCATATCGGGGCCATTGAACATAGACCCTTTAATCTCAACGTTTCAACATTTAATTTTATAATTGTATACATTTGATAATTTCTTCCTAGCGTCGGTCTTCGACTGTGATAACCGTTTAATGTATGGCATATGAATTAGTTCTGTTGACTTCCATACCATCCCTTTGACAGAGCTTGGTTGTGCCGTGTGCTTTGATCATTCACCCTCATTCCTTTCTCGCGATACTCAAGTGCACGTCCAATTCCTGAGCGGATTTCTCACCAAGTCCAATCGACTAACTGACACATGCATTTGAGACATTTCCAACGCCCATGCATCTTACACGCATAAATGAGTATGGCATAAATGCGGGACGTTGAGCGAGGTATGGACATGTGTGCACAACTCTCCCCCGTGTGCAGGACATGTGCTTTGATGGGGTAACATAGAAAGGACTCATTGAAATGCAGTGCTTCCCAAAGGAAAAAGCAATAAAAACGGGATGACCCGCAACGGTTCTGAGACAGACATGTGCCCACCATAAAAGCTTTTCCTTGCTGCTGAAAGGCAGCTGATTCGCATCTACATAGTATTGTCAATCTCAAAATTTGTCTTAGAGATGGCATGCTTTCTGGTCAGAATCGCGATTGACCGTTTAAAATCCATGGCCACTCATCCCATCGCAATCTCCCTTTCCAAGTGGTTACATTGCGTCACCACATCTATACCGAGCTGCACCAGCAAGGGGTTTCTACTTTTGAGCTCGCTCTCAGGTCGATTGCCTATTCTCTCTGTAGACAAAAAGTGATGGTTCGAAGTTTTTCTCATTGGCAAAAATTTGCTAATGCTAGGGCAAGATTAGCTTTAATTCATCCCTTTTGGTGGGGGGCAAGGGAAAACAGAAAACATAGGACGGTATTGTACCCGCCAACCGGGTTTGGTTTATGACCGGGGTCCAACTTTAGTTCGTTCCCCGGGGAAGATCTCCCGCTAGGGCCATAGACTGCCTGGAAAATTAGAACCCCTGCGCGCGGATCGTCGGTTCGCATGTATTATGTGCTGTATAGTACATGCTGCACTTTTCCATTCCGCCCTTCCCCCCTCCTATCGGCGACCCCGGCGCCAAGGCGTTTTCGTAAAAGCGTGAAAGCCGACTTACATTCTGCCATCATATCTGCTGTCGTATCATGTGACTGTGAGGCTTATTTGTCACTTTTCTTTTGTGGTCAAAAGACAGAAGCTTCAATTCTCGTCTCCAGTCCGAGTCGACGTCACCGGCCCAAATCACACTTATTGTGTCATGCTGTAAAGAATCGTTTGGTAGGTCTAATAAGATTGACATAGCTGGGAAAAGGAAAATGAGAGCCCCTGCAAAGTCGTTTGACTGAAATGTTCATCGTTGCCCATCGAGTCAAAGAATTTTCCTTTGATGTCGCAACAGGAAATAGCTTTGAAAATTTTGAAACACGATCTGAACTGAAGAAGCTCCACTCCATTAGCGTTTCAGTTTATGCTATCGTTTGGTGGACAAAGTGGTATTCTGTCTCGCATCTCGTTGTTGACATGATCCTTGTCCGTTACTAAATCTTCATCACAAAGCGGCTCTCATTTTTTCAGACAAAGATCTGAAGTTTCCAATGGATTCTCTGCGTACATTCAAAATTCAGTTTTTCTTCGCATTGACAAGCATATTCCCAAGCAAAACTGTTTGCGAGCACGCAGGCATTGCATAACGATGCATCACAGCGGCAAAGATGCATATCCGGTAGCAGTGGAAGCGTGTCTGATGCGTTAGCTTCCGCGCGTGTACCTGCGAGCTGAGGAATCTTCTCACATAATCCGTGCAGAGCGGCAAGCTTTTGCCTCAAGGGTACAGCTGAGGCGTAGAATGTTATTTTTGCAACATTTTGCGTTAGGCCTACTGTACCTCACTGCGTTGGATGGAGTTTTTGCTTTTTTGCCGCTCGGGCCGATGTGTCCGATGAGCGCCATGCTGGAGGGCAAGAGAAAGCTAAAAAGGCTGGGCTTCGAGTTTAAGCAGGGATCTTTCAGCGCGTCAAGGATTCCATGATATATGCATTTCGTCAAGCGCTCAAGGCAATTTACCTAGATCTCCCTGGCATTAGCTCGATCGCGATGAAGAGTTAGCGGGTACTGACATTTATTGTAGCTAGATCTCGGGAAATGTGAAAGTGATATCTCTTTGCCGCTCATCCCTTCAAGGCGCCGATATGATCGATCTAAATTCCCTCTCGATTCCGATGGCTTAGGAGGATCGTGCGTGCGCTTCGGTTGTCGGCAGCGACGTCCCCGGCAAGCCACCTTTATGCAAGTCATACCGCGTCTGGATATTCAGCCAAAAATAAAACATCTTGCAAGCCAAGCAAATAGAAGACATGTTCGAAAAGAAAAAGGAAAGATCCTTGTTTCAAGACATGCTCCTCCTGCATCCCGCGCTTTTGCTCAACGGCGGCCGCATCATTTCATCGGTCACAAAATGTGGCAGAATTTCCTCTAAGTTGGTTAAAGAGTCATCAACTTGGTTAATAATGTTCGTCTAGATTCGGCACCCACTCGGTCGGTCCTCTTCCCGCGCTTCCGGTCTGCAACGCGGTCCCACGCGTCCTGCTCGGCCGTTCCTGCATCGTTAGCACCATCTGGATATCCAATGTTATGTCATATGTCACTTCAGATCTCCTGATACATGAAAACTTTTCAACTGTGACAAACGAATATCATCCATTTAGATTCGCAGGGTTTGGTTTCTAGCGCAAGACGCCAGTTGACGGCCCGGCGTATCCCCGTCGTCAGTCTCCCTCCAGCCTTACTACTGCCATCTCTCCATTTGTAACGATGCATGATCAGTCATTTGATTTGCATAGTATTGAAGAACGCAAATCGCTGCTGCAGTGCAGATGCGGGAAATCGATAGGCTAGTCATCTTTCCTAGAATCTGGCGAAGGCCTATACCATCTCTCTAGCTCAGAAGATTTTTCGAAGTACAGCTCTCTTGACAAGAACATCTAACAAGGCTGGGTCTGATAAAAGAGGAAAAAGAAGAATGAAATAATATTCACAATTTGCTTCTACACTTCCGTCAATCAATTGTACATAGTGTGAGTGCAAGGCGGCTAGCATCAGTGTACCCAGAATTAAAAAGAATTGTGCGCTTAAACAAAATTAATATAAACAATATGACAATTTTTGGCCGCTAGAAGTCTTTAATGGATGCGGAGGGGTAAGACATAGAGATGACAGAACCCTGCGGAAAATCGAAGAAAAACGCCAGCATAATATGCACATGATCGTGTTGCCAATGACCAAGACACCTTGTAAAGATACAATGGAAAACCCTCAGCTGAAAATAACAAACAAAATGGAAGAAGACAAAAAGGCTATGCATATCTGCTCCCCCGTAATCCAGCCACTCTACCTATGCAATTCGCTTTTGCGGTGAGAACTGTGTGTTATGTACAGGAAAAGTAAAAGCAAATTCAATAAAACGGAGCCAATACTAATACAAAAATACCCCCGGGTAACATCATACAAAGAATCCAAAAAAGGTAGTAGAAGAAGAGACGGTACAATCAACACACGAGAGTTGAAGGCAGACTCGATTGGGTACGTCTCGCTCAGGCGTTTACTTGGCCGACTCTAGAGTCTTTGCCAAATCCATAGCATCCGAATCTTTACCAACACGTACCAGCCAAAAACTAAGCTTCCCATCCGCCGCTGCTGTTTGGAATGTAACAGATTTTGGTGCCTTATACTCATATTTGATTCCCTTTAAAACAGCCGCGTTGATAACCAGAGTGCCGCTGGGATCCTGCCGCATCACGATGCGAGATTTTCCCGTGTGTTCGTGCTTGAGAATGCGGCAAGGGCCCACACCTTTGTTCTCCCACTCTTTCTTACCATCGTTAGTAACCATCATCATAGCCTTGGCTCGGACCTGGAAAAGGACATCCTCATTTTCCTCTCCAGGGCCCCGGGCAGAAAAGTTCGCCTGAGGCGCCTCACTAGCGGAGGCTTCGCCGGCGTCAGCTGCTGAGTCAGCTGCGCTTTCGGCGCCAGTGTCGGTTGTTGCTCCAGGTGTGGTGGCGCGCGAAATTTCCGTGGAAGGAGAAAGCGAGTCGGGCGCTTTCGGGGGTCCACCAAATGCGAACCCGACGTTGCTGCCAGAGCCAAAGAGCGACGACGTGGGAGCCGCCACCGAGGTTGTGCCGGGACTGAATTTTATCGGCGAGTCCGGCTTCCACGTTTGGTCGCTCTTTGGCGATCCGAAGAGGGTGCCTGGCTGTGCAGTCGAGAAGGGGCTACCGAAAATGCTGCTCCCTCCAGGCGACTGTGAGGCCGCCGGAGGGAGCGCACTGCCAGGTGTGAAAGCAGTCAAGCCTACAGCTTTACAAATCATATTAGATGACGCGCTTATCCAAAAAATACAAAAAACATCCAAAATTCTCAAAACTCACCTGGCTTTTCGGTAGCCTTTCCAGCGTCCTCGACGGTATCAGCATCATCCGGGAGCTCCTCTACCTGCCGCCCTTCCAGCTTTGGAAGTGCAGCAGATGGACTAGCAAACAGGTTCGTCTCCCGGATGTCAGACCCCACTTCGGATCTGGGGCTGTCTAAAATCGAGACAGCCCCACCCCCGGGGGAACGAAGGCTCGCCGTATCAGAGCCATCATCACCGAGGACAGTGCTGATGCCTGTCCCCAGCTCCGACCTTGTTCCGGAAGGTCCAGCTCCGTCGCTGGAGTCTATATCAAAATCAGTACAAATTCATCCAAATGGATCACCACGGAAAGTCAAACTTACCCTTCGAGCCCGCAGCCCCCCGGGGGGCAAGCAACGAGGTAGCCCCGCCAGCAAGGGAGAGAGGGGCCGCCGTACCGGAATCATCATCACTGGAGGCAGTACTGACGCCTGCCCCCAGCTCCGACTCCGGCTCCGACTGAAAAGGTCCAGTGACGGAGCTGGAATCTGTACCCAATCAGTATGAGATCGTTGATTTGCATTAGCAAGTGGAGGTCGAACGTACCCTTTGACCCCTCGCCCCCTCGGGCGGGGCGAACAGTATTCGATGCTGGAATTTCAGCTGTTGCTGCTGCTGCTGTTATTGGATTGCTGAAAACGTTTGGGGCCGGGCGAGCGGCCGGCTCAGCGGCGGTTAACCGCTGAGCTTCAGCATCCTGATTAGTCATTTTAGCATCACGCTGTTCATCGGGGGAAGTGTCCTTACGCTCGCCCTCCCAAACGAAGCCCTTCCCAGGAACGAACTTTGCTGTTCGTCCCTGGGATTGCTCAGCGAGCCGGGCCTTTTTGGCCCGCTGAGCTTCGAGATCTCGGCGCTCCCATTGTTCTTCTGATTCTTCATCAGAATCGAAGTCCTCGGCCTTACGTTTGGCCTTTTCTTTCTCCATGCTCGCCTCGGCAGATTTGCCGAAGGCTGCGAAATTTGCGTTTCCTCCCGCAAATTTCGGCATGGAGAATTTTGGTGGCCCTGCCGAGGTTGGAGCTGCCGATTTAAGACTTGCTTGGGTACTGACGTTTCCACCGGCTTGCTGGTTGCCAGGGCTTGTCATAGGGCGATCAGGTTTCATTTCCATCGATCCATTAACATGGCTTTCCGGAGCCTTGCTGATCTCTTCATTTGCCTTTCCCTTATTCGATGTACCGGCATGGCTATTAAAAACGGTTGTTTGTGTAGCGTGCACTCCATTTAAAGGCTCGTTGGGCTTGGCCTTCTTGTGAGTCGCTTCAGCGTCGTTGGGTTTATCTTCATAGATATTGTCGTCCGCCTTTCTTTTATTGGATGATCCAAGGGGGCCTCCTACTGGGGGAGCCGAGGTCACGTGAGTGGTACCGAACTCTCCTGTCGCGTCTTGGTCAAGGATAGCTTGGCGTCGTTCCAAATATGATTGAACGAGCAGAGATAGATCCGAATGGATTGAGGCGGCTGCAACTGCGTCCTTGAATGTCGTATTGAGCGCACCGATCTGAGCAGGAATCATGCCTCCATTTTGCTGCAGTTGTGAAAAGTTTGTATGATTTGCGTTTGTAGGGACGTCCTTCTTTTGGGGGACATTTGAAGCTTGAGTGTCGGGCTTGCTGGTTGCCTGTTCTGCCTTGCCATTTTGGGAAGCGTTGACCAGTTGAGAAAATCTATTTGTCCCTGAAGCTTGATTGTCGGGTTTGTGTTGGGCAAACAAATTAGATTTCTGTGCCTCGTTGCTGCTCTGAGGAGCGCTGAATGATTTCGAGAAGATGTTACTGGACCCTGAAGATTGAGTATCGGGCTTCGCTTGGGCAAACAGATTAGATTTCTGTGCCTCGTTGCTGCTCTGAGGAGCGCTGAATGATTTTGAGAAGATGTTGCTGGACCCTGAAGATTGAGTATCGGGCTTCGCTTGGGCAAACAGATTAGATTTCTGTGCCTCGTTGCTGCTCTGAGGAGCGCTGAATGATTTTGAGAAGATGTTGCTGGACCCTGAAGATTGAGTATCGGGCTTCGCTTGGGCAAACAGATTAGATTTCTGTGCCTCGTTGCTGCTCTGAGGAGCGCTGAATGATTTTGAGAAGATGTTGCTGGACCCTGAAGATTGAGTATCGGGCTTCGCTTGGGCAAACAGACTCTTTGTCTGTGCTTCATTGTCGCTGCTCGAAGGAGCGCTGAATGATTTCGAGAAGATATTGCTGGACCCTGAAGATTGAGTATCGGGTTTCGCTTGAACAAACAGATTCTTTGTCTGTGCTTCGGTATTGCTGCTCGGGGGAGCGCTGAATGGATTCGAAAAGAGATTGGTGGACCCGGGGGCTTGATTGGCGGGCTTGAGATTTGCAAATATACTGGCACTCTGTGCTTCATTGCGACTTTGAGGAGCGTTTAAAGATTTCGAGAAGATATTAGTGGACCCGGGGGCTTGATTGGCGGGTTTATGATCAGCAGACAGATTATTTTTCTGCGCTTCGATGGTGCTGCTCTGAGGAGCACTGGAGGAGATAGAAGAATTATCGGACCCTGAAGCTTGATTGGCGGGCTTGGAGTCAGCAGACAGGTCATTTTCCTGTGCTTTGTTGCTGCTCTGGGGGGAGCTGAATGACTTCGAAAAGATGTTATTAGACCCGGAGGCTTGATCGGCGGGCTTGATGTTAGCGAATACACTGGTATTCTTTGCTTCATTGCTGCTCTTAGGAGCGCTGAGTGACTGTGAAGAGTGAGTCAACCCGGAGACTTGATTGGCGGGCTTGGAGTCGGCGGGTAGGTCCTTTTCCTGCGCTTTGTTGCTGCTCTGGGGAGAGCTGAATGGGTTCGAAAAGATGTTATTAGGCCCGGAGGCTTGATCGGCGGGCTTTATGTTCGCAAATACACTGGTGTTCTTTGCTTCATTGCTGCTCTGAGGAGCGCTGAATGATTTGTCGAAAAGACTTGACCCGGAAGCTTGATCGGCGGGTTTAATGTTTCCAAACAGGTTGGTTTCCTGTGCTTTGGGGCTGCTCTGGGGAGCGCTGAGGGATTGGGAAAACAAATTCTGCCCTGAAGCTTGATCGGCGGGCTTGATATTTCCAAACAGGGTAGTTTCCTGTACTTTGGGGCTGCTCTGAGGAGCGCTGAGTGATTTGTCGAAAAGACTTGACCCGGAAGCTTGATCGGCGGGCTTGATGTTTCCAAACAGGTTATTTTCCTGTGCTTTGGGGCTGCTCTGAGGAGCGCTGAGGGATTGGGAAAAGATATTCTGCCCTGAAGCTTGATCGGCGGGCTTAATATTTCCAAATAGGTTGGTTTTCGGTGCTTCATTGCTACTCTGGGGAGCGCTGGGAGACTGTGAGAAGAAGTTAAACCCGGAGGATTGATTGTCGGGCTTGGTATGAGCAGTCTGGTTCGACGCGCCATTTAGGTTGGCAAATGGGTTAGAGGACGGCCCAGCTGAGAATGAGAATCCTGCGCTCGGCGCGGCAAAGTTGAATCCACCCCCACCAGTGCTGCCAAATCCGCTAAAAGAAGACGGTTGGGAATTCGATTGACCTGAGTCACCACTGGAAGACGGTGGGAAGCTCAGGGAAGATCCAAAAACGTTTCCATTGGACTGTCCAACGGGCGAACCTGGTGCGTTTTGGCTTGAAAAGGACGCATTGCCGGTTCGGCGACTGCTCTTGGCTGGTTTGATCCTAGAAAAGAGGCAGAAGTTAGCATCCAAGGGACTGTTTTACATATCTCTCTCGTTCAAGAAACGCGCAATGGGTCATCGAGCACAGCCACGAGGTCAATATTGATGCCAAAACAAATTCGTCAGCGAAAGTATACTTACTGTCGGCGAGCCAACTGAGCCGCAGTGGCTTTTCTGGGACTATCCATTGTGGAACTTCCGTCGGAACCGTCTCCGTTAAAGAAGCCCTCACGGCTTCCCTGGGAGTTCTGTACACGCTTAGACATTGCGAGTCAGGATGGTATCCAAGAATAAGTTGGGATGACGACAAAATCTCTGATGACGAGGGATGTTCAAAAGGGAGCTTCAAGGGAACTAGTGAGAGCAGGAGATTGAATATCGCTTTGATTCACAGTTGTTACGGTTGCGCGAGGGCTTGAAGACGTCGTACGAGATGTTGGAAATGGGTGGGGAGTCAAGACCTGATGATGTCGCTAATATTGATCTGTTGTTTCTTTCCGCGTACTGATTTGTTGTTGTTGATGAGGCAGTAGTGAAGGTGTCGCGTTACTGAGAGGTCGCGATTGCCGCATCGGGAGGAAACAACAAAACCCACTCGAAAATTCGTCAAAATAGGAAAGCCGGAGCCATGAGCGACGATACTCGGAGAGAAGGCGCGAACGGGGTGGCTGACAGATGGAGAGAGTTGATCTCCCTAGAAGTAGTGGCAGCGCAACGTATATTGCGTTTCGCCTCTGTAGAAGAAAATCCAACAGTCAGGGCGGACGACGATGTTGAAGCGAAAATTTGGGTCATGTGATCACGGACGGGAGGCGTTCCGTCATTCACGCGCCGTCGCGCGGATAGATTACCTTGCCCATAGGGTGTAATATGTTAACAATTCGTCGCCTTATATTCAACAATCAAAAAAGGTAGAACGGATTTCTCAATTGAAGTGCTTCTGAAGAATACCCTTGTGGCCCTAGAGGCATGGCATCTCAGGAGGTCACATAATTTACCGTAACTAGACCACCATCACCGGCCAAGTAATTCCTTGACAGCGAGTGGACCTATCCTTTTCACTTTACCTCGTGTCTATTCGCATTATACACAGTTCAGACTGCTGCCTTATTATTTTAAAAAAAAAAAAAATTTTATTCTATGATTATTCTTATTTTTGATTTTGGAATTTCCCCCCTTGACTTCAAATGCAGTTTACCGAATTGATAATCTATATGGATGGAAAATACATGCTTCTGCCGCAAATTCCAAGCCCCGGGTTTTATATTACTAAAGCTCCTGCGTTTTCAAGTGCCGCGCCGAGGCAATACTCAAAGACTGCATTGAAGTCGTCCTCAAGAAGATGATTGACAAGCATGCCGTTCTTCTCTCATATCGTTGTTTTGCTCGAGGCGAGGGAGGTAGCTTCTAAAGTCGGTAATGTATTTGGCATCGTCTGACAGGAGAAGAAGGTGATAGCCCCGCTTGCCCAAGGAGGAAATGTACAGTACCCTCTTCTCTGTCATGATTTTTTCTTTGCAGTATGCGTTCAATGATCTCATGTAACCTTTGGTTATGTGCATTAGATTATGTAGTAGTCTTTCTGATTGCCAGATTCGACCTTCATGCATTCTTCACGTGTCAGAATTTCAACAAGTCCTGTTCAATGCTTTTGCAAGTCGAATTCTAGTAAAATAGTAGGTAGTCAGATTGGCATATGTAATTTCTAGACACCCTAATTGTCTATGCGTTCTTAAAGACTAATTCTAAAATGAGATAAATTACTAAAATGTTCTTCCTTCCCCCGAAGCGGAAGTGGCGCAGTTTGAAGGATGTGTTTAATCTCAGGGGCTTTTAAACACCATGGGATTTGACAGGCTTCACACTTTTTTTCCTACAACAGGAGGCTGGCAGTCGTCGTGCTTCCAACTGTTTCACCCCTGGAAATCATGCAGTACTAACGATACAGAAGTGTTTCTTGATTGATTGGTCTCCTACTGCAGGTTTCTGGATGGATTTGGGTGTAGCCTGGTATTGCTGTTCCAGCCACAGGCTTCTCTGGAAGGAGTTGATTGGCTCTTACCAACGTTGCGGCGGAGCAAAAGCACCCACCTCCTAAACAGAGTGTCCCCAACTAAATACCATTTTTGGCTTTGTGCTATCATGCGATTATGTGGAGTCCGGGCACGCCATCTGCCGCATCGCGCGCATCACGCTCTCGCGCCCTCGCACCTTTTTCACCCGTTCGCCCCCGGCTGTGCTTTTACCATGTCGGCCCAATTAAGACAGATAAGTAGCACTCTAATTAATCAACCAAACTCGCAGAATTCAGAGAATGAGAAGAGGTCAACCTTTACGCCCCTAATTATTTCGCGCATAAGCACTTTGGTAATTTCAGTCGCAATCTGTGCTGCGATACTGTACTCTATTCGGCTCTCTTGTGTACCATAACTCGAGCCGAACCGCTCACCTACTTCCCCCTAAGCCATTCGTCAAAGACTCCACAGGCGAATCACAAAGTGGCGGGCAAATATATTGGGGTGCGACAGGGAAGCGCGTGGGCTAGAACCGTCTGGCGCGGGCTGTTCAACGCGATCCACTGCTCTATCGCCGATCACCTCTCTCACTGCTCGCACTACAACTGTCTCGACTATAGGTGGTAAGGGAATTTTTGGGCGAGACCCTCAAAAGGTGCGCTTACGAATCTTCGTCGCATTCATTGTTCTCTCTCTTTTCTGTCTTCTCTCTTCTTCCTCCGCCCCAAAGGAACAGCAGGAAAGACGTCTAATCGAAAATCTGAAGAACTACTGTGTGATACACGTAGCCTTTCGCTTCGCTCAAAGCATTTCGGTTACTCTTGTACAATGCCACGTACCGAGAAGATATATATGAGATGATAGTGATGGTACTGATAATAATTATACTGCATAATTTCGTGAAATAATTCTAGAATCATAATGTTGATGCCCCCTGTCCAATAATTGAAGTCGAGAGATTCCACTGTTCTCCTCTCCGCGTGAATCTGGAGGGTTTGTCTTCCGTGTGTCCCCAGTTCTTCGCTCCGGTTCGCTCAGACTTGTGTTCCCCCGTGGGTTAGTTAGCTTCGGGCGACCCTGTGCACATCTCCCTCCTCCGCACCAACACAGCTGACACCCGCTCTGTAAGACCCGCAGTTTTCACCAATAATTCCATCCACGCTCGTTTCATTTGCTTTTTGCCCTCCCACCCCCATAGACAACCCCCGGGGTTTCCCTGGAGAACATTCGCTCGCCTCCTTCTTTGCTTTGCCTCGAGCTGATGGCTGCCCGGGGCACTCGTCTTCTCGGCTAACCTTCCTAACACTCTGGCTGCTTTCGCCATTGTGAAATTCTCCTTCTGATCCCTACGATTGGTGGTTGAATTTGGAACACTGGAAGAGAGAAAAACGGTGAACGCTCGATCGGTAGACGATGGGATCAGACCTCGACTTGGGAATTTCCATCTTTCACCCAGCGGTCCTTCGGGCCTCACCATCGGAATTCTCGATCCGGGATTGGGATTGACGACTCAGGCCATCAAAGACGTCCGCTCCCGAGGGTTGCCCACCAGTGCCGAGAGACGATTGGCACCTTGAGAAGCTGTTCAACGTTTGGTGGCACATAGTCGGGACCACTATCAGCATTGTCGTTCCCTCTTCCCCCTGTGCCAGCTCTGCATCGTTACAAAAGTCGCCAACAGCATGCGGATCCCAATCAGAGAGCAGTTGGGCCTACTGGTATTGACTACGACCTTGACGGCTCTTGCTGTTGTCGCCATTGCAACCGTAAGTCTGGATTGTGGCATCATATTTACAAGGGCGCCGCTGATAGAACGAATCGCAACAGTGGGTCAACAATTATAACTTTGTTCTTGGAATCAGGTAACTCCCCACACAAGCGTTGGGCCACGTTGAACAGCCTGAGATGGAGACTAACTCTATAGCAAGGTCTTCGAGGCTTACAATCACGGCATCTCTGAAAGCATCACAGCTGGCATCAAGTCTTCTCATCCTCCAATCTTCGGCTCAGACCATTAGTACTCGGGTCCTTTTACAAAATGCATTGCAAAGATACAACAATGGAAACAACACCTACGCCAACTGGGCTCGGGCAATATCGGACCTGCAAAGTGCCATGGCCGCTGGTGGACAGCAAGCATTGTTGCTCCAGGCCATGGTATACCCAAAGAATGACTCTGGATTTGCTGGCCCGTGGAGTCTCTTGAACGTGACCGGAGATCCTTCTGGGAATGGAATCATTCTCCCAGACACAGGAGTCCCATTTGGAACCAATGGCTCCGGCTACCCTGCCGCTATATACCCAAATCTCACCTACACTACCACAGTAGTGAACAGTACTTACAATGCATCTGTCGCATATGTCTTCAACGATACCGACTATGAAAGAGTTCTCAAGCCAGACTCGACCCTTCTTCTTGGCCCTCTTCGCATCAATGACACCTTTGCACTTCTCTCGCTCACGTTACCCGTCATCAACAACACCTCCGCCACAGACATTTTAGGTTACGTGACAGTGGTCGCAAACGCAAGGATGATCTACGACGTTGTCGAGTCACTTGTGGGGCTCGATAAAACCGGTGTGACTTTGGTCGCTGGCCCCCTGTCTCCTACAAATCGTTTCCCCTCCAGTTTGATGATTAACGGAAGCCGACAAATCGCACCACAAGACATGGATATCCCAGTCGAGTACATATTTACTCCGTCTACCTCTTCGTCCCGCGTTAAAAAGCTGCCGTTCTCAATGGAGTCGTTTCAGATGCGGGAGAACCGAGGTATTGCGGATGCCTTCGGTAAGAATAATGGCGAACTTAATAATGCAGGAACAATCATTTCCACGAAGAGTGAGACTGGACACAAAATCGCCGTGGGCTACGCCTTGGTCGAATCTCGTTTATGCAACTGGGCGCTTTTGGTCGAACAGGCTCACAGCGAGGTCTGGGCCCCCATCAACCACCTTCGAAATGTCCTCCTGGCCTGCGTGTTTGGTACGGCTGGCGCAATTTTGTTGATACTCCTTCCATTGGCCCATTTCTCCGTTCGACCCATAAGGGAGCTGAGGGAAGCGACAAAGAAGACTATCCAACCACCAAGTTATTCGCCCGATGATGAAAGCTTGCGCTCCTTTGGTTCCGATATCCAGGATCCTGTACCGGGAGAGGATACAGAACTTGCTGAGGAGCACAAGGGTGCTAGTTTCTTTATTCCCATGGTCAAGTGGCGGTTCGGCGGTCAAAAGAGCGACAGGAAACGTCGGCGTGACTCCCGTAGAGAAGCATTCCGCATTCCTGGAAAAGTCCAGGAACGAAAACACCTAGTCAAGGATGAGCTGTCCGATCTGACTCAGACATTTAATGCCATGTCAGATGAACTCATGATGCAGTACGAACGTTTGGAGGAAAGGGTTAAGATTCGCACCCAGGAGCTGGAGTTGAGCAAAAAAGCTGCAGAGGCTGCAAATGAAAGCAAGACTCTTTTTATTGCCAATATTTCCCACGAGCTAAAGACTCCTCTGAACGGTATTCTTGGCATGTGTGCCGTTTGCATGCAAGAAGATGATCAATCCAAAATTCGACAATCGCTCAGGATCATATACAAATCTGGGGATCTTTTACTCCATCTTCTCAACGATCTCCTCACGTTTAGCAAAAATCAAATGGGACAGCAGCTCAGCCTCGATGAACGAGAGTTTCGCCTTGCCGATATTAGCTCGCAAATCATGTCCATTTTCGACAAACAGGCGAAAGAAGGGCATATCAACCTGAATGTAACCTTTCTCGGACCAATGGAAGTTTTGGAAAAGAATGGTCCCGCCACTGGAGAGAAAGGTTACCATCCCATTGGATTAGGGCGGGTCAGAGACATGTGTGTTTGGGGAGACCAGCATCGGATCCTTCAAGTGATTATCAATTTGGTGAATAACAGCCTAAAGTTTACTCCTCCGGGAGGCTCTGTAGAGCTTCGCATCAAATGCCTTGGCGAAGTTGAAGAAAAGGCAGAAAGCCGCAAAGGCTCTGTGCAGTCAAGGTTTTCCAAGCAACTCTCCTCTCGAAACTCGAGAAAACGACACGATTCTGGGTCGAATTCGGTTGTCTCGGACCCCGAGAAGCCAAAGAACATGGACACTGTACTCTCCATCAACCCGATGGAAGGCCCTCGCCTCCCACCTTCAGCTGCGACCATTGAGCGATCGTCCTCGCCTCCGCTAATAAATGCGCGTACCTTGGTGTTTGAATTTGACATCGAAGACACCGGCCCTGGTATTCCTGAACATCTTCGTGATCGTATATTCGAGCCGTTTATGCAGGGTGATCTCGGTCTCAGCAGGAAGTACGGTGGAACAGGATTGGGACTCAGTATTTGCTCCCAGCTTGCGACACTAATGAAAGGTTCAATTCACCTCAAAAGCGAAGAAGGGGTGGGAAGCACTTTCAGTATGAAGATTCCATTAAAGTATACGAGGGACCGCGCCAATAGTACCACTAGCTCGAGTGTGGACTTGCATTCTGGCCGCAACAGCGTCAACATGACTCGTGGCGTTGATGACTCTCCACCAAAGGGTGACGTTGATGATGCCAGTACCGCCATAGCGATTACAAACGCTCACAGTGCTACTACCTCTGTGGGGTCTGATACGGGTCCTCGACTGGTCGGATTCAGCCAGCCTTACTTTGCGCCGGATCCTCCCCTGGATAACGCAAAGGAACAGAAAGCTGCAATTGAACGTGCTACTGCCGAGGCATCAAGTCGATCGGGCCGTATCAAGGTCCTTGTTGCAGAGGACAATATTGTCAATCAGGAAGTGGTTTTGCGCATGCTCAAGCTTGAAGACATCTACGGTTCGTGTCTCCCTCTTCACCTTAGATCATCCACATCATCATCATCGGTGCCTCTAGGCAGTTGCTAATAACCTCTTTTTCTCCTTGATAGATGTTACTGTCGCCAAAGATGGACAGGAAGCGCTTGATTTGGTCAAGGAAAGCATGGAGAAGAATCAACTATACAATCTGATCTTTATGGATATCCAAGTATGCTCACCGAAGACTGATTTTCTGATTTGGCCAGCACTAAAACATTCGTCTGTCAGATGCCCAACCTTGACGGACTTCAAAGCACAAGGCTTATTCGCTCAATCGGGTATTCGGCACCCATTGTGGCACTTACTGCCTTTTCAGAGGAAAGTAATGTCAAAGAATGCATGGATTCTGGCATGAATTATTTCCTAGCCAAACCGATTCGACGACCTGCTCTGAAGCAAGTCTTGAAGACTTACTGCGCGCCCATCCCAGAGGTAGAAGAGGGCGAGAGCAGTGCGCATAATTCGAACACAAAGCCACCAGAGGATCGTCCACGGTCACCTGAGCCTTCACCTCTGTCCTCATGAATGGCATTCGCCACGATGTTTCATTGGCAGCCACCTAACTCTGACCACTGACGCAGCGCTATTTCGCGAAAGCGTCTACGATAATATCGACCCGATTTGATCTATCATCAACCATCTTCACACACCATATCCTATCCTACACCGCCCTCACCTTTCGCACCATACCTTTGCGCTCTCTTTGAAGCGGTGCCTTGTTCATTCCCGCATACTTTTTAATCTCCCATGATTCTGTCTTTATCACTTTGCAAAATTGCAGTCATCTCATCAAAAATACTTTCGGTTATTCACTTTTTTCTTGTCCCCCAAAACAAAAGCCTCTGCCAGAATTTTTATCGACAAAATTGGGCGGTAGGCGTTTCTGGCGATTTCTGCCTCTCTCGATGAGAAGTCCCGCTGAGCACAGTAAAGGACAAACAAAAATGCAAGATTGGAGACACTGGAGATTTGTACTTTGTTTCATGTTTCTGTCCACCCCGGGCAAGAACAAGAATCCTGCTATGGGCCTTCTGGAGTCGCCAAAGCCGGGAACATCTTTTCTATTTCATTTATCTCTCGCGATTGTAGATGTCGATTCGAGTACGAGAGGATATATTCTGGGTTTCTTTTCTTTTATTTTTTTTTTTTCGGGCTGAAATAATAAGAGTTTTACAAAGCAACAAGGGCTGGGCATTTCATTTGACATTTCATGGCGTGGGCATTGTTTCTTGAGGGAATCATATCATTTCTTACATCTATCATCGTTGATCTTCATTATTTCCTCGAGTTTTTCCTTATCGTTCCCTTTTTCACTACAGATCATGATTTACGAACAGCCATTTTTAGCATTATTATATGCGACGGAATACGTCTCCATAGATAATACGGTTTTTCGTGGTCTATTCTATGTTCATTCGGATCAGATCTATCTTTTTTATGATCCTCACCGTCATCATCATCATCGTCATAACAATAATAACTTACAAGCTTGGCTGGGATTTGCTGAAATCTAATCAGTCGCGTACAAATCCTTTACACATCCTCTTCCCACTCATCTGACTGGCGCACGCGTTCCCAGCCTCGCCCACCATCCACTCCCGCAAAACCCCACCCCCTGCTATTCCCATGAGACAAACCCCTCTCACCATGATGATGATGATGAACCTTGAGGTTCAAACACCGCGGCATATGCAAGAGATGTCCCCTCCGCTGCCTGACAAACGCAGCATACAGCGCACTCGCAACCAAGACTGCCACCGCACTCATCAGCACAGGATACTTGAACTGGTCCGGCCGCGAAAAGATCAGCGTCGAGGCATACGACAACAGCTCAAAGCCATTCTGAAACGACGATTCCAGCGTCGAGAATCGCCCGCGGTTCTCCGGCTCGACTTCCTCCTGCACAATCATCTGCACGCACAGATCAAACGCCCAAAGCCCGACGCGGCTCACTATCACGCCTCCCACGAGTCCTGCCGCCGCCAGTGATGAAGCGGTCGCGCCATGCGAGCCAGCGCCCGAGAGAGACGCCGCCGCAGCAGCCAGACCAACCCATATTAGTTGCCAATTAATCCCCCAGAGTCCGGCGCGTGTGGGCCCAAGTCGCGCCATGATTTTGGGCGAGATCCATGTTGCTGAGATTTCGAAAACAACGGACACTGTGCGCATCAGACCAATGTGGCTCGACTGGTAGCCCACGGACAAAAGGTAGGTGACCATTTGTCCGGAAAAGGACAGGACAGAGCAGTAAAGCAGTGCGAGGGCCATGGATGGTAGGAAGACTGGGTGGCGGAAGTAGAAGGCCAGAGAGCGGATAAGACTGTGTAGACCGCAGAGGTTGTGATTGTGATTGCGATTGCGATTGCGGTGTGTCTTGGGTTGGACGCGCGGTGAGGGATTTTCTGGGTGGTTGAATAGAGGGGAATGTTGGTCCGACGGATGTTGAGGAGCTGCGGCGGGTGTGTGTAGTGGGTCTTCGTGTGGGTGTGGTGAAGAGGAGGTTAGTTGGAGAGATGGCATGACGTTGTAGACCTGTGTGGAATATTAGTTGAGATTAAGAGAGAGAGAGAGAGGGAGAGAGGGAGTGTGGGAGAGAGACTATGGGGGAGAGCTGTGTTGGATCAGGGTTGGAGGGATGCTTGATGGTGATACGCTAGAAGGGAGGGGAAAGATCATAATAAGAGGGAAAGGGAAAATGAAAGAGGGGCTTATGGGCTTACCTTGACAATGGCAAAATACTCAATAGCTACCGTTGCAAGATTCGATCCCAAAACGAAAAAGATCGCGATTTTGGTGGATAGACCGTCCAGCAGCGAAATGGCTAGTGGTCCTGCAAGTTTACACAGCAGATCGATTCGCCGCATTTGGGAGTTGAGTACTATGACACGATTAGATAGATACTTCCAAAAAGAAAGGTCTTCCTCTAAGCTTCACGCTGAGACTGGAATTGGCACTGGCTGAGGAGAAAGGAGGAGCAGCCCATGGACTCACCTCGGAGTAATTCCTCGTCCTTCTCTGCGATGGTGACTACCTGTTGCGGGGAATCCACATTAGCGCTCATGGCTCTCAAATTAATCTTCCAAGGGTATCCATTGCTTTACCCAGTCTCTTTCCACAGATACCAAATTCATGATAGATGCGAGCTTCTCGAAGCAGCCCAGTAGAGAAAGTACCACTAGAATGCATGATCGAGAGGTCAGGGAAGATGCCCAGCCTGACCATAGGACTATGAGTCCTACGCAGGAGACGATGACAGCAGTTCGCTGGACCACTATCGCGATCAAACATTAGCATATATAGCATAGCATATATTTGGCACATTGTTCTCGTGGGATTCATAAGCAAAAGGAAAGAAATCCCAGGACATAACGGAGACTAGTAAAGAAAATCAAGGACAATTTAATGAGGGCATACAAATTGATAATCGAACGACTTTCAGACGATCCGTGGTGTCAATGTATCGTCCCACTGCGGGAGAAAATGCCACGGCGGAAGCAGCTCGCGCCAATGCATATGCTGAGGTTGGAAGAAGCGTTCCCGGGAAACATGCTGCCACGAATAGGATCGCGCCGAATTCAAAGGCGCGAGAGTTCCATGTCGAGAGAAAATGGGAAATGTATAGCCTGTGCTTGATGTCTGGTCTTGAAGTCGACTCCTGCTCGGGCTCAGAATGGACCATGATCTCCACTTCCTCTGAAGGATCTTCTGGGTAGGCCATTGATATGATTCGCCAAATTAATGGCTCCAGAGCAAATTGGTTTTAGCAGATAGTAGAAATACGGGGGAAAAAGAGGTTGCCCAAGCAATAGCAGTGTCAGTCGAGTTAGGCGATTGAGACGGCTTGGTTTTTCAGTTTCTCAATACATATGTAAATATGCATGGTTTCGGTTTTCAGATGACAAAGTTGCCATTGACTTTTACGACAGGCGGCCCCACTGCATTGTTGTCAGGAATATCCCAAATTTTGCCCATGAAGGTATTCAAAGTCAGGAATGTATCGAGCAGAAGGAGCCAGTAAACATTATGCAGTTCTGGTATATATGGTCTACAGTATCGGGTGACAGGCTTCCGGACTAAAGAGACGGCTCGGCCGGGAGACTACTAGGAACGCCGACGACATGGAATCAGTGTCACTATCATAGCGTGGTTGGATTTGCAAAAAGTGTCAAATAGCTTATCATTTATGAGATACATAGATTTCATGAACCCTCACATGTGCAGCTATGGACATCATTCTTAGACAGACTAGATAGTAAGGCCGAAGGGAACAAGCGTTATTGGAACGCAAAAGGAACGGAATTTGGCCTGTGAGTACATAGCCAGTATTGGAAGCGTGCAGATTTTCGTACATATTTCTATCTGATCGTGCGCAGTTTGTAAATCAGATCCTCACATTGCGCGACAGAAGCATGGCTATCACGTGGGCCGGCTTAAATTTGCAATTGCTGCAGCAGGATCTGACGCACAAGCTGCAGGTATTGGCCAAGTGTCGAATCCGCATGGTATGCCTGATTATAGGTCACGTCAAGCCTGATTTCTTCGTTGAAGGTGGTAAGATGGAAAATTGGCTGCGGCGTGGTCGAGTCGGCGGCAAGCCAAACGTCTTGAAGCTTGATGTCCGCACCATAATTATTTTGCAAAATCCCATCCAGAGAGCCGATACTTGAAAGAATCGGGTCAGTAGACGTGACAGGCGCAGCCAAGAAGAGGTTGGCGAAATTCTCAAAAATGGGAGGGACCAATTGCTTGGTCTCAGGGTTTGTGTAAAGGCCATTGTAAAAATTCTTCAGCTGGGTCGCAATGTCAAAGAAGTTTGTCGGATTAATCACCAGCGGCCATACGCTTTCGTAAAACGGAAGCGGTGTCGATTGGAACTGCTGCTCGATGAATTCTCTTGTATCGACTGCGACCACGGAGACATATTTTGCACCAGAATTGCTCATTTGTGCCGCCGCAGAAATCAAGGCCGCGTGTACGACTTCGGTCAAGCTGTAGCCGTTGGCTTTTGCCTTGGCAATGATTTGAGACGTTTCGCTCGCCGAGTACTTGCTCCGCTGTCGGGTCGAGCCAACAGGAACCACGCCAGCTTTGCTTACAGGGACACCAATCGTGGGCATTTGGGCAGCCCAATCCGCAAGGATCTGCTGGGCCTTGAGCTCGTCTCCAGCTGTGGTCTGAGCCAGATCCGCGGCTACAGGGTAGGCTGGAGGCTGAAGCTTCTGCCCGAGCTGATTCTGGGAGACGAGCGGGATGGTGGCAGGCTGTGCCATTGCTCGAAGAAATTTGTCCCAAAGGAGGTGTATGCCATGGTCATCAATGGCGCTATGGGTTGCTCGAATGACAAGTTCATTGCTTTCTGTCACAATGTACAAGACAGGATGATTGACCGGCTTCAAGCTGCTGAGCAACTGAGTCGCATTTGGCGCTGTCGAGTCGACGAAGACGGTCCTGGAGACCCAATCATCGCTATTGTAGTAATCATCCAGGCGAAGTACTTTGTTGACACCCTCCATGGAAGCCATGAGTTGCGGCATTGTCAATGCAAGCTGCTTCCACGCTCCTTTTGCAGCGTCATCGAGCTTTTGGCCCCCGGAGAGGCTGATCTTGATCGCGGAAGTAAGTGCGAACTCTTCGACACCGAACGGAGCGCCCTTGACAGACATCCTTTGAAGACCTGCTTCAATAGGGTCCTCCCTCCGCTCATAAGTGTTCAAAGCTGTCAAATTCCACGCATACTGCTGCCCGACCGAGTCTCTCGGGGACAAGGCCAATGCCTGGACCCCGTCAAGGGGGAGCAGGGTGCAAAGTGCGAAGCCTAAGCATCTGAGGGGACGCATGCTGGAAGCAAGTCTTTTCAGAAGAAATAAGGAGTATAGTGCTAGAGACGGGGCGGCAAGTATTCCCACTGCCTATTGACCGAGGTTTCTCAGAAGGGTTTGTAAGCTCGATTGAGGGGCTGGCTGATGGTACTCTCTTTCCAATTGCTGGGCTTTCCCACTCCTTAAATGCTGTCACGGGCTTGGTCAGAAATTCAGTCCACAAATTTAATCAAGTTCCTGTTATGTAAAGACATGAACTATCATGCAATGGTGACCTCTGAAATGGGCTGCTGACGTCTCCACAGGCCGATGATTACTTGAGATCACCTACATACACGATATCACACATTCCGTCTCACCAGGGGTCTGCAGTTTCAGTCGTTTTTATCCCATGTCGAGTGTCTTTGCACCGGCGATGACAGTGGAGCTTGCCTTCCAGCCTCGGCCGGGTGGGGGCCATTATTGGCAATCATCTAGGATTCATGCATAACATGAACCCAGCAAGATATGCCTCCGTATGACTCGCCAAGTGAGATATAAATACTGATTTTGATGGCGATTGGCGCCTGCTATAGCAGACAATCTCGACTCACTGTGTTAGGATTGCATCCAGTATATTGCAATAATTGGTTTGACTTGTGGTTTATTGTATGCTTTCTCATCCTTTTGGATAGATTTAGGTATTCCGTTTTCCTGAATTTACCGAAATATGACCTATTAGCAAATATCATCATGCAATGAGAGATGAAATCATCCCTGCAACCAACCATCTCCCTATAGTCCAATATCGTAGAGTATGCTTCAACCAACACATTTGGGGGTCTTAGCCCCACATAATGGGTCGGCCCGAGACAACCAGCGAGTTAAACCTTGTCAGAATGCGAGGTCGCCAATCTCAGAGGAGCGGATGACGGTAAAGCCAGTGTTTAGGCTTTTTCTTCACGATCTGGCAGCGGCGAGAAAAAAGTAAACCCCACTTTCCCTTCGCCTGTCTCCTGCTTGGCCATCTAGATCTGTGCTTTGGTGATGCTTTTAGGTAAGAGGGTAGGGGTATGGCGCTGTTCTTCAGTCTCGATGGGAGATCTGCGCCGAAACTATTGAACTTTGTTTTAGCGTGTACTGCAGTAGATTTAAAACAGTATAAGCAGCATTTTGCCAACCCAATGACCAGTTGGCCTAAGCGACAAAGCCAAATTTGGTCTTCTATGTTTCTCATATTCACATTGCTTTACTAAACAATTCAAGAACTTGTATGTTGTCCAATACAAGCCGTACGGCAAAGCTTTGAAAGCTGCCAAAGCTGATTTTTGCCTGCGGTCATGGGACAGTTTCCGAGAGAACGACCAAATTGTGTCAAATATGCGAACTTTGACTAGACAATGGAAATACTTGATGTTGATGCTCCTCCCAAAGATGCTAAATCCCAAAATCTTTTAATGCAGTCGATAAATATGACCTTTCTGAGACAAAAGATGGCTTGCTTATTCTACTTGTACGTGCGCTTAAGAGATCTGATCCCGGCCCGGGCCGCCTATGATCAGATTAGATTAGATCACGTCAAGTAAACTCCCATTATAGTAAAGCGCAAACGGGAAAAGCTTTTCTTTAAATTTTTTTTATTTTATTTTATTTTTCTTTGGTGGGGATCCGAAGGACACCAGCTGATAGGGCATGAGAGATTGGCATGAAGTCTGTAAATGGCACAAAAATTGCCAAGGAATCTGCTAATAACATTGTTGATATGATTTTGATGGGCCATGGGCTCGCCATGTGGCACATGTCCCCGGGCCGGGTTGCGCCCACCTTGAGAAGGATGTGGGGAAGAGAGGGTGAAGACTAGGTAATTTATATTAAAGATGACGTGCGATATGTTTCCGATTAGGCGTGCGCGGTGGTGCATGAGTCAAATACACCCCACTTGTAGACAAGTCTAAAGTATCCGCAGATTTTTCAGAAGCACAACGCTTTAAATTGTTCCCCTGTCCTGCCCGATGAGCCTTTCCAAGTTTGCAGGTCAGGCTTGCGATATTGTACTTTGAAAGGAATGGCAGACGTCTATCAACTCACTGATCTCTGCCAGGCGAGGACCAAGACTCGACATTATGATCCATCACCTAGCCCAAACATCTCCCGTTGGGTTGAACCGAATGAGAGTACAAGCTCTTTGCAGCAACGCTCCCATCCTTCTATAACTCAATATGATGCCCAGAAACAGCACAACTTGCTCGGTTATGCGGAGGCAGACCAATACCCTCCAAATCTTTCCTTGGCTCGCGACTCATCAAAGGATGACCGCTTCCCCGAAGGTGGGGTCCGCTCATGGTCTGTCGTGTTCGGAAGTCTCTGCGCCTTGACTGCATCAATGGGCTTATTGAATTCCATTGGCACCTTTCAAGCGTATATATCGACGCATCAGTTGAATGATTACAGTGATGGTACTGTGGGCTGGATTTTTAGTCTCTACATTTGCCTATCATTCATTTGTGGAATCCAAACGGGTCCAGTATTCGATGCCAAGGGACCCCGATTACTGATTTTTGCCGGCAGCCTGCTTCTAGTACTGTCCATGTTCCTATTGGGTGTCTGCACCGGTAAGTCATCCCCTCTGTGACAGTCTGATGAGATTTCACCTCCCGTTTCTTTTTCCGTTCTCATTCCAAATTACCTTTTGCCGTCCCTGCTAGTTGTGAACTGCAGACAAAGATATACTAACTGTCTGGAATAGAGTACTGGCATTTCATCATGGTATTCGGTATTTTAGGCGGCATCGCTACTTCTCTTGTATTCACACCAGCTGTATCCTCAGTCGGCCACTTCTTCTTAGTTCGTCGAGGCCTGGCCACTGGCATTGCCATGACGGGTGGCTCTATCGGCGGTGTGATTTTTCCTTTGCTCCTTCAATCATTATTTCCAAAGATTGGATTTGCCTGGGCGACGCGCGTTATGGGCTTCATTATCCTGGTCCTCCTGGTATTTGCGAATATCTTTCTTCGCTCGCGGTTACCGCCAAAGACCGGGTCGTCCATTCTCCCCGACCTTAGAATCTTTAGGGATATTGCATTTACTTTCACAACAGCGGGTATCTTCTTTGTCGAATGGGGTCTCTTTATTCCCTTGAGTTATCTTACATCTTATGCTCTCAGCCACGGCGTTCCGGTTAATTTGGCCTATCAGCTCATCGCTATTTTCAATGGCTCTTCATTCTTCGGCCGATGGCTTCCTGGTCTGGTTTCGGATAAGTTTGGGCGTTTCAACATTATGATAGTAACGATTATTTTGTGTTTGATCACCACCTTTGCATTGTGGTATCCAGCGGGCGGGTCAACGGCAATGATTATTGCTTATGCTGTTTCATTTGGGTTTGCTAGTGGCAGCAATATAGGTCTGACGCCGGTTTGTGTGGGTCAGTTGGTCGAGACTGAAATGTATGGCCGATATTACGCCACATGTTATACCATTGTTAGCCTTGGGTAAGTGAGATTCGAATCTATGCTGATTTATTATGTCTAGTACTGATGATATTCTCACAGCACTCTTACCGGCATTCCCATCGCCGGTCAGATTTTGTCCGCAAATCGAGGGGGCTACTGGGGTCTCATTGTATTTACAGGATCGTCATATGCTGCAGGTCTGGCGTGTTTCGGTATTGCTAGAATTCGCCAGACTGGGTGGAGGCTAAAGGCCATATATTAACTTTTTTTTTTTTTTTTCCTTTTTTGAGTCTCCAGATTGGGGATAGCTAGTTATTGCACATCTACGTTCCAAAACGTTTTGCAAACTTCAGGTGGACATTGTGTCTAACCATGGCTCTGCTGTATTAGAGTACAGCCAGTAGAACTTTTGAGCGGTTCAAGAGTCTTGGCGGGCTAACATATTGTTTTCACAAAGAGTTGGAGAGACGAGCAAGTTCCGATTGCTGTTACTGGTTTTGATACGCAAGCGTGGGCGATAAACCCTAGAAGTATCAAAGTTGCGATTACGTCATATATTGTTCAGTTTCCTCCGGCCATCGTCGTCGTGTCAGGAAACCTTTGAGGAAATTCAATTGACTCCTATCCAGTTCATATATTTCTTTTCATCCACAGCGATAAGCCTCGAAACGTGTCTTCAAAACCACATGAAATACTTTGAAGTGTCCAAATAACTCTTTTGGCTGAGCCTGCTCTCTCGACATTGGAAATCCACTAGAGCAGAGCCCTAACCACCGGACCGAAGTCGCACTACTCCCCTAACCCGCTTAAGTTAGCGTGGCATGCTTTTTACTGTCTGCCGCCGTCAGGTACCTCGACCGAACGCCCTTGTTTTTCGCCGGCTTGGACGGTTAACCAAGGGCTGCAAAACAAAGCACAGAATTTCGGCATGTCAGAGCATGAAAATGCAAGGCCGGCTGGTTGATCTATAGTTTAATTTTCCTGGAAAGTTATTACAGTAGCAGCCTTAACACAGGAGTCAGCCCTACCCTAAACATGCGTCTCCATAATTTCTTTCGCAAGTTGGCTGTTGTGGGATCAAAGAAAATTCTAGCGAGTCGCGAAGGACAGACCATCTGGAGTGGAGGAAGGGTCTCAGGTACAAAGGTACCTTGCATCGAACACGCCGAGAAGCGACCAAACTAGGAGCCGCGGCAAAAGTTTACAGCCAGATATGCACGCGACCAGTAAAAAACGACGTCAAGGAATATAATCTAGATATGGCTTCTTGTATTACGAACAGAATTCAATTGTTGACGTTTTGAATTGCATATTTTGCACATAGATACCACCCTCATAATAATAACTCCCTACATCAATGCCAAATAAACTGCTTGGAGAGCGAGGAGGAAGAGCTGAGGGTTGAAATGCAATGTGGGGTAAGAGAACCGCAACATCCCAGGAAGACGGTCTTGGCTGAGAGTTCCTAGGCCCTCTTTTTGCCAGCAATGAGGGGACATCAGGACATCCATATGAAGGGCCTCGTCCTCGGCGCACACATAAGGTGACTTACCTGATGTGTCCGTCACCCTCCCTCGTTCCGAAAAGGCCAAACTAAAAAGATCGTCAATTACTTTCGTCTTCGCCTCGCTTCGGGCTTGACCGACCCGCCGATGAAAATGAATCCCGGTCTTATATCGCCCACATTTCAAAGGGTTTTTGCAATCAACCTAAATCCTCCTACGGCAAAGACACCTGCTCGGCAGAGACACCTGGGAAAGAGCGTTGTCCAGGACATGGAGAGATAAGGTACGAAGCTTACTACCTTCTGCTGGATATCCTCGTACATTGGACGGGCCTCAGGAAAAAATGTGTTCGCATTCGTAACACTACCTGCGCATCCTGCCGAATTATCCTCCTGCCCTGCATTGGCTTCATTAAAATCCCCCTGGCATTTCCGCATCTTGGCATATCAGCAATTCACAAGCTGACAAGCTAGGGAATCAAGCCTTTTCATCCAGCATGCATTCCCATGAGCACACGCCAGGTCCTTCTGGCCACAACGCATCCAGCCAGCACAATGTTGTACCAAACCTCGATCCGGCTCTAGATACCTCTCGAGAACATCGCCACCCGCATCTGCATCACGATGCCTTTGCCGTGCAGGGACGCGAGGAAAACGTCGCATATACTGCAGGAACGACTTTTGAAAAGAGCGCAATCCCAGATGCAAGCCCGCGCGATCACGGTTTGCACCAGCAGCATGTCTCAGACGAAAAGGCTGCTGAAATGAGTGATGCGGAACGAGGGGAGGCTATCAGCCCAATTCGCACCGGAGAAACGCTTACCCATCAACGTTATACGTTGGCGAGTCTGTACCGCCGATATGCGATTTTTGTACACCTTTTTATTTGGCTTGGCTTCACCGGGTGAGGATCACACTTATTCCTTTGACATCAATACTGCTCCAATCTAGCACGGGTTTTGCCCTTGGATTTCGGGCGCTCAAGCTACCGTGCTCGTGGCCCACGTGCACGAAGACGTTGCCGAAGCCTGGCTAACGCTTGTGGACGACAGATGGTGGATCGCGGGGTTAATTCTTCACCGTTATGACATCGGCTGGATTAAACCCTTTCTGCTATGGCTCGCCATCACGCTTCGTCTAATCTTTTTCCACGTCCCCATCACCATTGTGTCGAGACCAATGCGTTGGGTTTGGCATCAAACGGGAATCCGCTTCGTGTCCTACTTGCCTGAAAAGTCAAGGACGCCCCTTGCGGCTCTTCTGGTGGTTGCCGTGATCCTAATTGGATCTTTTGTTACCGAAGAGACGGCGGACAATACCCGAGCCAACCGGGCCGTAAGCCTGTTTGGCATTGTTGTATTCTTGACTTTGCTGTGGGCCACGTCAAGGAACCGGAAGAAGATTGTATGGCATACTGTGATAACGGGAATGCTCTTTCAGTTCATCATTGCCCTCTTCGTGCTGCGAACCAAGGCCGGATACGACATCTTCAGCTTCGTTTCTGAATTGGCCAGGGATCTCCTTGGTTTTGCGGATCAAGGAACCACATTTTTGACAGCCGATTACGTCCCGGAGCTGGGATGGTTCTTGGTCTCGGTCATTCCCGCCATCATTTTCTTCGTCTCCTTTGTTCAGCTGGTAAGATAAAAACCACACCTTGCTTCTTGGGCCGCTATTGCCCAATAATCAACACGGGAAACGAATACTGACATGTACCCAAATAGCTGTTCTACTGGGGCGTGCTGCAATGGTGCATTGGAAAATGTGCCATTTTCTTCCACTGGTCCATGCGCGTGTCAGGTGCTGAGGCGCTGGTCGCCGCCGCGTCGCCATTCATTGGCCAAGGAGAATCAGCCATGCTGATCAAGCCTTTTGTGGCGCATCTCACCAAGGCCGAGATTCACCAGGTCATGACGTCCGGTTTTGCTACCATTGCCGGTAGTGTCTTAGTTGCCTACATCAAGAAGGGTGTCAATGGGCAGGCTTTAATCTCATCCTGCGTGATGAGTATCCCGGCAAGCTTAGCCGTGAGTAAGCTGCGGTACCCCGAGGACGAAGAAACCCTCACCAGTGGTCGATGTGTCATCCCAGATGATGACGAGCATCGCGCAGTGAATGTGCTCCACGCTTTCACGAACGGCGCCTGGCTGGGTATCAAGATTGCGGCCATGATGGTAACCAATCTTCTCTGCATCATTGCCCTGGTTCATCTCGTCGATGCTCTTCTCACGTGGTGGGGCCACTATTTGAACATTAACCACCCGACCTTGACCATTGAAACTCTTCTCGGATACGTATGCTATCCTATTGCCTTTCTTCTTGGTGTTCCCCGCCAAAATGGAGATTTGCTCAAAGTTGGACGGCTCATTGGCGAGAAGATTGTTCTCGTAAGCTGCAATCCCCCCCTTTCCCCCAGGAAGATTTCAGCACAGCCATTGACAATTTTTTTTACAGAATGAATTTATCGCCTATACCGACCTGCTGAAGACGGATTTGGCCCCTCGCTCTCGCCTGATTGTCACTTATGCGCTCTGCGGATTTGCCAACCTCGGCTCTTTGGGAACCCAAATCGGTGTCCTCTCGCAGGTCGCCCCCGGCCGCAGCGGTGACATTTCGCGAGTCGCTGTGTCTGCTTTGTTTTCTGGCGTGCTCTCGACTTTTATCAGTGCCAGCATTGCCGGTCTGCTTGTCACTGATCAGGCCGCCTTTACTTCGTCCTCCGCGCCGTCATAAACCATAAGTGGATATTTGCAACTACGGCATCATTTTCTTCTGTTAGCATACTGCTTTTTGGTGTATCGGTCTGGCTTGTTTTCTCTTTGTACGTCTGCCTATGAGCGGCTACAACATGTTTGGTGTTAAGGTGCCGGGTTTTGGAATAGCATTTTTGAAGAGTCAAACTATTTCTTGCTCTCCCCTCTGGGCCTCGAAATAGTCTTGTTGTCATTCTTTTACATTTTTGCATGATATGAATGCTTGGCGTCTAAAATAGCAGATTTTTTATCGTCATGTACATTGCATCTTTTCATCACATTTTTATACATTCATTGTACTGCATATCCAGCATAGCATCTTTTGCTTTATCATCTCTTGGCATTTACAGCCTAGACAAGATTAGAAATCAATCCAATTAGACACAAGGTCATGAGGAACAGTATTGGAAAAGTACACTGAAAGGACCCATAGATCGATGATGTAAGAAATATATGTCGATAACGTAAAGTACACAAGGTAGATACATATCGACAAGGTACATATCCCCGAAGTATTGAAGCTAACTAAGCAATTCGCTGAAAAAGAGACAAAACAGACAATGAAGAGTAACATGATGTAGAGAAAGTCCCCACGGAAAGGAAAGCGAAGCATTCACAGGGAAATAGCGACGCGCTGACGTCCGGACGATTTATCGACAGAGTGAAGGAGAGAAAAAAATGGGAGGAGAAACGAGAAGGAGGGAAACAGGGAAGGGAGAAAGATGGAAAGGTAGGGAGGATAGAGTGAAGGAAAGTGGAATAATTACAATGAAAATGTATGTAAATACGACCAAAAGGATGATAGGTATGTAAGTACGACCAAAGGGGATGGATAGCTAAGGTAGGTATACAATATACACAAGAAGATGAAAAGGTTCAAATCAAGTCGCTGCCGCTGCCGCTGCTGAAAAGGAGGGCGGATTTTGATCTGGTCGAGAGCATGCCGAAGCGGATGAGCACTTCGGAGCAAGTGACGCCAATGGAAATGACAATGAGGACGATGATGATCCAAGTCAGGCCTGTAACGGGGTTGGCAGCTAGTCAGCATATTGTTCCAGGTTGTGATAAGGACAGAACAAGACAAAAGGTTTAAAAAAACGTACGAGACATCTTCTTATCGGCAATGGCATCGGTAAGGATTGCGGCAAGGTCGAGAAAGACGCGACAACGCTCGTTCAGGACTTGGATACGCGGCTTGATCTCAAGGTATTCTGCGCGGTAAACATTAGTATGGCAATCTGACAGCTGGAATCTCCTGATCGAATGCAACATACCCCTGACGGCAAAGTATAGAGGGTGTAGAGTTGGCTCGCTGTCCCAGAAAAAGTTGGGTACGTCGAGCATGTTGGACGCTGGTATCAACACTGTTAGATAGTATTGCAAGAATTTCATGTTCGACAAAACTTACAAAGATTGACATCCACGCGACTCTTGAATAGCCGGCCAAGAATCCTCATGACCTCTTCTCTTGTCATGCCCAGGTGACCCGTCAGAGCAAGCCGGCGAGGAACATATTGCGCTTCGAGCATGGTATTCGCCATTCTCTCCTCGAAAAAGGACAACTTGGTGCTCTGCGCAATAGCATGCGACATGGCCAGCTTGATCATGTGGTCTCCCGAGCGCAGAGTGATCATGTCATTAAACACCCGTGGCCTTGGAATCTCCGGGCGGTACTCGAAATGGAATTCCTCCGTTTCAAAATCTTCCTCGCGCTGTGGGCGGTATGCTAGCGACAGGCCAGTCTCGGATTCAGAAAAGGTCAAGTCGGCAAGGATATCCTTTTCCTGCTTCTCGGAAAAGTTCCAAAACACTACGACGCCATATGTGAAGACAAACATTTCAGCAAAGCTGAGTGCATCTGGAGCTATTCGGGCTGGTGAATCGGAGCGCGTAGAGTCCCGTCGGCCACCCGCACCTCCACTGTCACTCTCTTCGGGTCGTCCCTGGCGATCACCGTCAACACCATCATGGTAGTCGTGATGGTGGTCTGCATCTTGATCATCATGATCACGATGCTGGAGGGGACTCTCGCGTCCGCCGGCTTCTTCCCCTCCCTTGACGCCATACTGTGCCGCATCCTCAAAGTATCCTTCTCGGTACGTTCGCTGCTCGCTTCTTTCAATCTCCTCGTCGAGCACCGCTTTTCCTCCCGGACTCTTGATCACCGGACTGCTTCGTATTCGATAGCCATCTGAGCCAGGAAGTAATGGCAAATGATATGCAGTATAGAGACAATCGTCGTAGAGTTTGGTCTTTGCGCCATGCTTGTCCTTTACGAAGCTCGCTGTCAGCTTCGTCTTGAACGCCTGCGCGGTACAGTACGCCGTGACACGCGGTAGCTTCTCGGCCCGGCTCGCCTTGGGAAGCCGTTCGGCATAGGATTTTGCTCTCGAGCTGGGGAATGTGCGGCGTGCTTCCTCGTCATCTCGTAGAGGCGCAGCTTCGTTGTCGACACCAAAGTCTGCTTCTGCCCCCGTCTCATCCTCCTCCGCCAGCTCCGGTAAAAGAACAAGCTTTTCCGAAAGCTTCGTCGAACGCGATGGCATATGCTGCGGAGTCAGTCGGGCTAGTAGTCTTGGATCTCCTCGAATGGCCGGTCGTGGACCGGCAGCGACTGGTCGACGGCCTGGCGGACCGCGCTGCTGCTGCGAGGGGATTTCACTTGCATATTGCAGCACATTATCGACACTGATGAGGCGTGTTGTCGATCTTGGTTCTCTCGCAGGCTGCCGGGGCCGAGCTCGCCGCTGCTGTTCCCTAGAATCGGTGACCTAGAAACGCCGGATATCAGAATTATCCTCTGATAGTTTTCTTCTGAGCGATTGACGTCTTACCAGCACAGATGGCCCCCGCTTTGCCCCAAGGCCAGTAGAAGCCATTTTGTTTCCAGTATTAGGCACCGTGAGAGGGTGCAATAATGCGAGGATGTTTTACTGATCAAGCTTTGATGAGGTTATTGAGGCTACGTATTGAGACTCATCTTTCGGTTGCGATATATCTAGCGTGGACGTCATAGTGCGGTACACATTTATGCATCTCTAGCGACCGCGTACGAACCGTAGTTGGCTTGGTCTGGGGTAATACTGCAAGCAGTCAATGCTGGTGAACCATATGCTGAGGATATCATAACTGTCACTGATATGGGGTTTTTAATGGACTGTTAAATCTCAAGCAATTGAATATTCAACAATGCCGACTCATTCCTCCTTCCAGTTCACCTGCTTTAATCGACCCTCTGAAGTATCCCGTATTCCTTCGCATAGCAAAACTCTAGCTTAATATTTGCTTCATTCCTTTTCTCCCTCTATTTTTTTCTTATTTCGTATTTCTTTTTATCCTTTTATTATTTTTCCCTTCTCTGTCTTCCATATCTCCTTCTCCTTAATTCCATTTCCTTTTTTATCCGTATTTTTAATTCTTTCCATTTCCCATTTCCTATTCTTCAACCAGTATCCTCGACATGTCAAATAAACCACCCCGAGGACTATAACTCATTTCACTCCTCTGCTGCAAACTTGCGTAGATCTTCCATTGGTATATCATCCAATGCCTTTTCATTCGTGGCACTCAGCACGACTCTAAGTCAGATTAGCATTCCATTCTCTATCTTCTTTCTGTCTCCCCTTCTGTCTTTAGCTCTCCCGCTTTGTGTCTCCCCTCCCTTCTCTTCCTCCTCTATGCTTGTTTGCAATACATAACAAATACAAAAAAATCACATACCTTGGAACAACATCATCGTTATCACCCTTTCTTGCCAATAGTGCTTCCTTCCATCTACTCGCACAAAGACACCATCTACACCCGCCCTTGAGCCCAATCGATCGTAGGTCGTTTCCGCGAGACGCAGAAAAATCAAGAAATTGATCCGTCAGGATTCCTATATTGTCAGTGAATCAGTGACTCAGCTGTTTCATTATTTCCTTGTTTCCTTGTTCACTCTTCTTTCTCTTATTTTTCTGTTTTTTATTTTTCTTTTCTTTTCTTTTCTTTTCTTTTCTTTTTGTTTTCTTTTTGTTTTTTTGTTTTTTGTTTTGCTTTCTTTTTTCCCTTCTGGCTGTATTTTCATCCACTCCTCGCACTGTACACCCTTCCACCACATCATGTACAATACACTATACACCATACGCTGAAACTGTAAACATACCAGCAACAGAATGATTCCCGACATCTCCACGTGGAGTCTCGCAATATCCCGATCTCGTAAACCCAGTCACTGGATTCAGCGAATGGACAGCCAGCGGCTTCTTGAATACTGGATCCAGATCTCATCGTTAGTGATTGCATCCATTGTTGAACTGTCTTTGGGTGTAACACTGTAACACTTTAGCCGTGTATTGTCTGTTCTCATCCCATGTTCCTGTTTGACATGCTACATTGTCGTTGCATATTCCCATATTCCCATATTCTCATATATTCATAGGAACCATAACATACTTGGTATCTTCCTCCTCCTCTTAATCTCGTTTTACTTCTTTCTTTTATTTTTCTTTTCTCTTTTTATTTATATTTTTTGTTTTCTGTTTTCTGTTTTCTGTTTTCTCTTTTTATTTATTTATTTTGTTTTCTTTTCTTTTCATCTCATCTCATTTCATTTCATTTTATTCAACTTCATTATTTGTTTTCGAAGTACGGGAAGTGAGGTAGAAGAGAACTCAGAACTCAGAAAACAAAACCCAAAACCCAAAACCCAACGAACCCTAACAAAAGAAACTTGAAAGGCAGGGCGCAGGGAAAAAGAGATGGGACAGAGTCAGACAGGTCACATACCATTCAAGCTCTTTGATCTTGCAGCCATACTCTATGCCGTCCTGTGTTGATGAATTGATGAATCGATGATAGCGTTGACGGTGGACGGTGGACCTGTGGACCTGTGGTATACTGTATACTGTATACTGTATGACTGTATGACTGTATGTCCGTTGAAATATATCCGTTGACAATCTAAAAGTAGTGAGTAGTGATACAAGCGGGAGTTTAATATGTTATAACTTAAGTTACTTAACAGGTTAAAAGGTGGTGAGTCGTGAGTCGTGAGTCGTGACGTTATGACTTGCCATGGACCCATGGTGGAGTCGGGGTACGGTGGACTCTGTAGAGCTGGCCCTCGGCCCTAACTACCTTACCTATGGTAGGTAGGTAGGTATGATAGGTAAAATACTTAGCTTCCGCTGTTTACCTTACCTTGACTAAATACCTAAGGTACCTACCCACCTACGTAAAGGTAAGCACCTTTTAATTATCTACAGTACCTCTGTACGCAGGCACGGGGGTCTTATGGGACGGACGGACTAGCTGCAAACCCAAGTCTCAACGCCCTTCGCCCTTCACCCTTCGCCCCTCGCCCCTCAACGCCCGCTCAAAAGCAGAGAAAAGAGAAAATCATATACAAGTCGACGGGCATCGTAGAGCTTGGGTGTGATATATAGCTACCTTAAACCCGAGGTATATGGATAATATATTACAACCAAGATGAACGTACAACCTACTACAACCTACAACTTAAAAAACAACCTACAACCTACAACCTACAGTATAAAACGACCTACAAATCAACTTTTACCTACAGAGTACCTTCAAGACACGATAAATCTACAATCTACAATCTACATCGACAAAGACACAGAAGACGGGTTAGATAATAATCAAAAGGGCCTATAAAATCAAGACTTTACAGAAAAGCCTTCACAGAAAAGACCTCACGTAGAAAAATCGTATTGATTCAATTTGTTCCTGGCTAATCGAATAAAAGGACGTCAAGGTAAAAACATATGTATGTATGCAACTGTTTCCGCGCCGGGAAAACTATCCTGGGACTATTGGACAAATCCCTTCCTTGACCTATGTTCTCTGTTTTCTTTTTCTCTCCAAATAATTTTTTTTCCGCCACCGCTAACATGCTCGATGGGGTCTCGAACGAATTGATTCCCAAGTAATTTTTTTTCTTTCTTTTTTCTTGAATGCTCATTGTCCTTCTCCAGAAGTGACTAAATAAAAGTAAAAGGGAGAGAGAGAGAGAGGCACGTCAGCTTTGGGGGGCTCAGAGCATTGTAGAATAAAATACAAAAAAAAGTGGGTGGCAAGTTTTGAGACCAATTCCCAACGCCTAATTCCATGCAAGGAAGGTATGCAATCTACTTTGAGGCTGATAAAACAAGACACAAGCGAAAAGAGAGAGAAAAAAAAAGGACTGTTTGCTAGTAATAATCAAGAATGAGAATTCCTGGGCTGCATGTCCAATCAGTGGCACTGCTGGTGTAGAGGTCTCGCAGCGAGACAAATCAACATGTGTAGCCACATCACACCAATGGATAGTGTTAATAGCAAAGAAGATCAAGGGCTGGATGCGGCTCTCGTAATCTCCATCTTCATAGCCGAAAGACGATGGTGCATCTCAGTCACTTGCTTCACCTTGTCGGCTGGCGGGTTGGCAGACACCAAGAGCTCTTGGTACAGCTTCGCATATTTGGCATAATACTCCTTGAACCTCTGCGCGAGTCGCAAGGTTTCATAATTCGAGGGAGGTGGAGTGACACTGCTGCTGCTGTCTGAGTTTGGGCTATTGATATGCTGTGGCTGATGTCGCTTCTTTTGCTCGCCTCGCGCAACTTCTCGAGCCGTAGTATGGTCATGAATTCCAGACTCAATGTCATTCGCTTTGCGCTTCAGCTTCGAATCCGAATTCTTGGTGGGGTCCGTGGCTGCCGCGGCAGACTTTCGCGCTGCTAGCTGTGTGATCTCACGAGACGCCATAAGCGGCGAAGAAGACGAAGAAGAAGAAGAAGTGGTTCCATTTGAGGCTTCGTTGGCATTCTCAAAATCAGAGGCATTAGTGGGAGGCGAGGAGCCTAACGGTGAAGGCTTGGAAGGATACGTATTCGACTTTCGACGAGTGTATCCATTTCTCGAGTGGAGCGAACCCGAAGAACTTGAAGATTGGCTTGATTCAGACAGCTTTTGAGGCGAAGTGACATTTGACGCTGCCGAAGCTGGAGCAGGAGCAGGAGCTGATGCTGGTGCCTTTCGAGCGGCAGGTTTGGTGTTGGGTTTGGCGTTGGGTTTGCTGATTGGTTTTGCCTCGGGCTTGCTGGCTCCATTTGCACGCGCAGGCTGAGAGAGCTTGCTGGCCTGTTTGGTGCCCTTAGCAGCTTCCTTGGCCTGAGGCTTCTCCTTGCGTTCATTCTCCTTCTTATCTGCCACTGGTCGCTGAGCCTTGGACGGATTTTTTCTTGCCGGCTCGGGCGCTGGGGCTTCCTTTTCTGGCTGCACGTCTCCAAAATCAATCTCCTCGTCCGACTCCGTCACAAACTCTGCAGATTTCACCTTGGTGCCCGTCTTGCTTGGCTGTACCTTTTCGGGCGCCTCCACTTCCTTCGGCTTTGTCACAGGACGAGCGGCTTTTGGCGGGTTCTTTGACAAGAGGCGCTTGGATAACGCTTCCTTCTCGCTAACCTTCTTCTTTTTGATTGGGTCCTGGGAAGCAGATCGTACCATGGGCTCAGCTACTTTTGCATGGCTGGCGCCATTGGTCGGTTGTCGATCTACCCTTTCCTCGGAAGGTTTGCTGCTTGTGCCGCCTGCCTTGCTTTCTTCCGGACGTTGAGCCTGAAGTTTAGGGGTTGCAGTCTTCGAGATTGGACCAGCGTGAAGATGAAGCTTTGACAAAACCTTGCCCTTGCCTCTTTCAGCGGCCGGTAAAAGCAGCTGCCAGAGCTTATCGTCTCGACCAAGCCTCATGCGGTCATATGCCGAGATAGCATTGTCAATCGCAGCCTGACGTACTTGCTGAGACGGGAAAGGAAATTTCCAGACGTCCAATTCCTTGAAGGCACGGTCGGTTAATTCCCAGGTGTCATTCACTCTGGAGGGCTTTCCAAACTTTTGCAACAGTTCAAGAACATCGGCGGTCGAGGAGCGGGTTTGCTTGGCCAAGGCCTGCTCCGAGGCAGGGCGAGTAGCCAAAAGGTGAATGAGTGGCATACGCAAAGCTTGCATCTTTGCTGCTTTCGCACTTTGGGGAAGCGGTGCCGAAGTCAGAGACTGATGAGAAGGATTGTGGCTCGGCGAACGGGAAGCGCTTAGAGAAGGGCTCGCTGGCATCGATCGAGTAGTACCATTATTCAAGAGGCGCGGCGGTGCCTTTAGGAAAGCGGGAAGTTTGGAGGACTTTAGAGGAGGACGCTTGCCTGACTTGGCCGGAGGAAGCGATGAGCCGTCCTTGACGAAGAGAGTTCTACAGCCCAAGTAATGTCAGTTTTCACTTTTCAGGCACAGCGGAGTAGGTTTGGCGAGAACGTGTTCAGAATAACTCACTTTTTCGATTGCTTCTCTTCCTGAAGAGCAGCCATCTGGCTTTGAAGAGCCAGCATGGCAGCGTCAGCTCCTGCTGTCACTTCCTCGGCCTTTGGTAGCTCTAATCTGTGAGAGATGAGGCCCGCAAAGGTCAACTCCTTTGTCGTGTCGGAGGACACAGAGGTGTATAGCTCATTGCGGAATTGTTCTGCTGAGGCAGCGAGATCCAACGTTTTGGTACCATAGCGCAGAGTCTAGAGGGAGGTGAGGGAACGAATGTTAGCATCGTGACCCTTGTCTGGCGGAGACACGTGCGAGCTACAGAGCCCAGGGGAAATGGGAAATGGGAGTATTATTGTTATTGCTTTCCATACCGGAGATTTGCCAAACGACAGCTTAATTGGCTTGCCTGAACGAGAGCACCTGGCGAGTTCGGACACTATCTCTTCGTTGAGGTTCAGCCTCATGGCTTGGACAACCTGGGTTTGAGGTTTCGAGGCCCCGATTTCCGTATCTGGAGCCCCCCGAAGAATGGCTCCAGATTCCGGAATCTTCATCGTAGCCATGGTGGTAGAAATGAGAAGGAAGGCAACGACGGGGTGGGCTCAGGAAAGCGTTGACAGCGGTATTGGCGATGACGTCCCCCTTCAGCTGAGGGTTTGCCAACGACGATGCTTTGCTACCGCCAGATAGGTGACAAAGAGGAACAGAACCCCATCTGGCGGACAGCGAAACGGTAACAATGAGACCGACGTGGTGAATGGGGAAGGAGCATGAGAAGAATTGAGAATGGCAGGAACAATGTTGTCTGCTGACAAGGCTTCAAATCACATTACATCGGTTAAAGGTGGGCGTGAATGACAATATTGAGCAAGAAGGGTAGGAACAAAGCGGAGTAGTCAAGTCACTGGTCGGGCTATCGGGGTGTCGGGGGGGGGTGTGTGAGAGGAAACCAGATGCACATGGACCCAAGGATGACACTACGGTAGCTCTACGGTGCCTTCATGGCGTATAGGGAATAAGGGAATAAGGAAAGAGGCAGCGACCAGCCCAAGTCAAGCTCGAGGACCCGTAGTTTGATGTGCTAGTCAGGTTCGTGGCGGGGACTCTATTTTCTGGGCCCCCAAGGATTTTTTGGCTGAGTATTCGGTGCCAAACGGGGGGGGGGAGTTAAAAGGTTGGGGGGGGGGGAGGGGCGAGGGGGGGAACTTGCCGACCCTTTTGGGGAGAGAGTCAAATGCCTATTCGGGTCACCAGAAGAGAGATTGTTCGTACGTTGTTGGTACGGTATGGATCCGAGCACGTATCGCTTGGAGAAAATCATTGGGTCGTAGTTAACGACACCTTTAGCGATTTACTGCGGTATCGCCTGCCTACTGCTCGGCATCCAACACTAGCGGCGAGCGTGGAACGGGAACCAGAGGAACCAAAGGAACCAGAGCGACCCCCCGAGACGGGGCCAGACACTCGGGTTGGAACGACAGTGAAAAGAGCACCAAGAGAAAGGAGGGCTTCTGTTGAAAGCGTACTGGTGAGACTACTGCGTTTCTCATTGCAAAGACGAAATTTGAAGAAATCGCAGAGGGCTTCACTTCCTACATCGCAGTTATTAATCAAACACAACTTTGCCCATTGAAAAACTGTAAGTGAACGGGTCGTCATCACAAAAAGGTGATGAGGAATAAGAGGAGAAGCGAGGCGTCAGAAGGGCAGGTCAGCGGCGTGTGCCAAAAAGCCTTCCCAAGGCACCGCCAAGTCAAGGTAGAGGAGGAGGGGTCGTGAGGGCCAGGCCAAATGTACTCTACTCCGTATGCATGGAAGAAGAGCGAGTGGCCCCTCTTTTACGATAATCAATCGATTTAGTAAAAACAACAAAGTACAGCCAGCATCCCTCCATATAGTAGAGCTTCGAATGTACCTCTCTCAAGGGCGTCTTCTTTTAGTCGACGATAATGCTGCCATGTCAGGTAACTTATGCAGAATGCAATCGCAAAAAGAACAAAAGAAAGAGAGATCAGCGCCTCGCACATGGAAAAGTACTTCTAAGGGACGAGGGGGCGTCTCACACCCGTCCCCAATCGCTCAGATCCATCGTTCCGGGTTGCCCGTCGAGGGTAATGGGAGCCGCCCGCCGCCCCCATGTCATGCAAAAGCGTAGGGTAAAAAGGTACCCATTTGGTACCTAGCCCATGTCTCATTGCAGTCTCAGTACGACAAAAATACCCCCTTTTCCAAACTCTTCATATGTATCTTAGGCAGGTACTTTGCCCTAGCACGTTCGCCGAGATCGACAGAGATGATCCAGAAGTGTGAAATATAATCGAGTACCTTGTGCTCACTTGCTTTGCTTTTTTTGTGTGTGTGTGTTGATTCTGAGTGTCTGGATCAGGAGATTCCGTCTCACCCCTCCCGCGGAAGTTGCCCGTACGGTATATATCATTCGTCTGGAAACGCATTTTTCTTTCTGCAGGAGGCTACGGAACAGAGCGACACTTTTTCTAAGGAATGTTTCCGATATCATTGGGCCCACGCTTAACTGCTCTTGACGTGGTAACATGCCAAGGGCATCATCAGCAACATCCACCGTACGGCTGTAGACGGACCATGTTCCGAGCCCCATAAATCGTCAGCATTGTCGTCCACACATGGCAGCGACGGTATTTCACGAGAATGCCGGTTGAGTCTTATTCGCAGAGGATCACTGACAATTAGCAGCTGGTCGGACCGAAACTGGAGCCGTCTCTCTTCTGCGAGACAAGGGAAGTTCTTGTGATAGCCAGTGACGATTCGAAGCATGAATTCTAAGTCCGAGTCTTAAGAGTGCTAATGTACGGAGGTTCCTACGTAGCCCGTTGTAGGTATAGGTACCTAGGTAGGTAGGGGGCGGATGGGGCCATGGGGCGGCGCGAGGCGAGTCTTGCCGAAGATGAGTCGGAGTTGGCGAGGAGCCCTGTCCTCAGCATTGGTGCCATGGAGGACATGTGAGCGGACCAATCATGTCATGATATTCCTGAGCTCTCGGTCCGGGCAGAGGAGGAGCTTCCTCTCATTGGGTAATCTTACAGTGAAATTATTCCACAAGAGAGTGTGTGAAAAATTGACGAGTTTGAGTGTAGTCTGAGACCGAATGACCTCAACCTAGGTACTGCATGTGTCGGTGAGGAGCCGGCCTTGACCACTGTTGAGTTGAGATGACGGCGTTGTAACATAAAAGAAGCTTGAGCAGCGTCTACTCCCGTAGAGCAACGTTTTCGCGAGTATCCGGGAATGCTGTGCGATTCTGAAATTATCCCACAACTCTATCGCATGTGCGTCGATGCTCATTCAAATATATAGTGAACGGTCAGACAACTGACGAAGCATCTCCCTTCCTTCGTAAATCACATTTGACATTCCCGTGCTTGACCTTGCCTCATATCTCACATATCAAGTATACCATAAAATTACTAGCGGTATAGCGCGCAAATGCAAGGTACCCGCAGAAGACCCCTTGTATAAGCTACCTAAGGTAGGTAGATATCCAACCTCGGATGCGGAAGGCAGGTTTTTGGTCCATACCTGCCAATCTCTCTTCATTTGCTAGTTAATTTTAAAACTTGAGCGTTGTCCCTGTTCAAGTGATGGTCAAGATGGTTGTTGGATTATCAAATAAGAAATTAAATGAAATAAAACTGTGAGAGGCGGCTGAATGACGAAATATAGTGAGACGGTGCAAGACTAAAACAGAGACAGCAGTGTAAAGATTATACCAAACCCATGAAGAATTGTATCTGAACCGGATACAAAGTTTTGACGGAGATATAAAAAAAAAATGTGAGAAATAAAAATGCCGTGGATGACCAAATATTTGACAGGGGAAATGAAAAGGCCTGCCGACTAAAATCAGGCCGGCTCCCACCAAACCCTAAACGCCAGAATAAATAATCCCAGATAAGGATGCACATACGATTCCAATGACCTCCGTTACTGTTGTTACTGCTGTTGTTGGCGCTACCTCTCCTCTTCTTGGCGACGCAAACCGTCTTCTTGCCTCTTTTGATTAGCATTTCCTTGGCCGCTGTTGTTTTCGTCCTTTTGGCTCTTTTGCTCTTCCTCCTTCTTCTTTTGTTCCTCTTCCTCTTCCTTCTTCTTCTTCTCTTCTTCTTCTTTCTTCTTCTTCTTCTCTTCCTCTTCCAATCTCTTCTTCTCGTGATCCTCAAAGTTTCCTTGCGGGTTGTCTCCCCACCAGGAGCTCTTCCACATATGCTGCACCAGAGACCCATCATCCTCGGGCTTGCCTGCCTTGCTATGACTCTGACCGGGCGCGAAGGCGTTTACGGGAAGGATGAGAACATCTCCAAGTAGCTTTGGTGACTTCAAGCGCGTAATGTCATGTGCAGTGATGTTCTTGCCGGCCTGCTCCGTAAGAATTTCAAAGACAGCGTCTGTGAAAGCGCCGGGTCCTGTAGTTGCAATGACATCTTCGCTAAACGTCTTGACGCGGTTAAGCGTGGTATTCTGCTTGTCTGCCATGTCCCATAGCGACTTGATCACTCTGTCTACAACTGTCTCGATGATAGGGTGACCCGGCTTGGACATGATTGTCCACTGGCAGAATTGGTAGTTATAACGCCAGCCAGACCACTTTTGACCATCAGGCTCATCGACCTCGATGCCGACAACAATATTCGTATCTTCGGCATACCAGGAGGGAATCCAATCCCGCACGGGCTTGAGGTTCTTGGTGTCGATATCAGAGTAGACGCCGCCATCGCCAAGCAACAGGAGGTAGCGCAAAAAGTCGGAGCGTAGGATAACGCTATGCAGGGAAAGAAAGACTTCGACAATGTCCGGGCGGGTTGCGAGGAAGGTGTCGAGCACATATGTCTCGGCTGCGGCGTCCGTGAGCAGCTCGTAGCGATATTCGGGGTTAAGCTTCTTCCACGATCGCACGTTATCGAGGTCACCGCCCTCAAGCATGGACACGGGAGACTTCCAGCTCTGCCATATTTTCTTAGGGAATGGAACTTCAGAAAGGTCGACGGTCGCGTTGGGCTTCGAGGTGGACTGAGGTGCTGACGGGCACAGAAATCGTGTCGTCGACGGCAGAATGCCCTGATCTCTCTGAAACTGGAACACAAATATGGCAAAGAAAAAGCAGGTCAGCAGCGCTATGATGGCGAAGCGCTTCGGAAACATGGCTGGAATTGTTTCCTAGCGATCGAAGAATCGCGAGGACGAGTAGACGGGCGCGTATCTGAGGAATGTGGCCTGTAGCACTCTTTGCTTCTTTTCCTGGGCAACGCCTACTTTTCTCGAGAGACGCGACGACAAGAGGAAGAGAACGAAGAGCTGGTGTCCGTTACGGAGTAGGTAGATTCCCTAAACCTCTGGAGGCGAGATTGGAGCAAAAGTGGGGACCGATTCGCGAGGGGATCAAGGGTGTAAATACAAGAGACAAAAGGGCCCAGAGACCGGGACGATGAAACCCGAACGTAAGCCCGCCCCAAATAAAAACCGATTCAAAAGAGGGTTTCCAAAACGTCGCGCAAGCAGCGTTAATCTGACTGTCATCAATTTTTGCTCTCCAGGGTACCTTGTCAGGGGGGGACCAACAGGGTCTAGTCGTGGGCTTGAGGGACGGCTTGTCGACGCTTCACGCACGACCCAACCCAACCCTAGCGCTCTTATCCTTCTTTTCCCTCTTCCCCTTCGCTCCCACAAGCACACACGTCGAGCAGATCTTCAAATGTGCGTAAAAGAAAGGTCTTTTTTTTTATTGGCTGGAATATCGACGGTTTCTCTTCAATGTTCGATCGAGTTTGCCAAATTGTGGGGGAATTACAACCCGGGTGGATTGACCGACTAGAACGACCTCTAGCGCCGGGCAGGGTCGTATGGCTCAGCCTGGTTCAAAGTATAGCTTTCCGAGGATTTCCTTGTCCGTCGTTCTAAAGGCTCACTCCGGTAGAAGTAAGAGGAAAAAGAGCGAGACGATGAGCAAAAGATTCAAGCGTGCGGGCTAATGGGCAAAGTAATATAAATTGCCCATAAATATCAAACGGCTAAAAGAGGGCGGCTTCACTTGGCCACCTAACGCTCAAGGTAAGGGCGAGAGAAGGTAAGGATTTGGGGGGCTGTCGATGCCTCCTTCGTTCATGGTTTCAGCTACAGTACCAGACGCGTCGCGAGCCCCGCTCAACATTCCTTTCTCTTTTCGCACCCAAATTGCTATCCTTCCAAACCTTTGACCACATATTATTTATTTGCAAGGAGAGGAAAAAGGAGTCACTAACTTGAGAGGTTGGCCCCAGATATGTTGCTGGACCAGTAATATTGTCAGATTGCTCCTTTGAGCTAACTTTAACCGTCAACCTAGAGATACTGCTAACATGGTACTCGTATTCGCAAGCTTACCACAGAGATCAACACCACTAAAGTCTTTAGGGAGGACCTTAGGTAAAGTTATATATATATATATCATCAGATGACGAGAGACGAATATGCCCTTTCATCATCTACCCCATATCTTGGTTTGTTGAAACCTTTTTGCATCGCTGACCGTCAATTGCGAGTGAGATATTACCCATCTAACTTTCTTCAAGACTCGTAGATTTTGGCGTGGGGGTCACTAAGAAAGTGTTCAAACGTAGCAAACGATCTACCTACCTAGAAGATTAGTAGCGCTCAAATATAACATCCGATAAAGTTTGGAACTAAAGTTTCAGGGCTAAAACTCTCGTTGGAAAAGCAATTGCCAATGGAAACAGTCAGCATCTCCTTTCTCATATGCTGAGTGGTGCACGAATTGAGAGCGAACTCCGCCCGTGCTAATAATTCTTGTCATACCTTTGGTCAGTGGCACTCGTAAGCTCATTTTCACAATGTCAATGTTCATATAAAGTATGTGCGGTAAGCTTTTCGAGGCTTGTCAATATACCAGTTTTAGCCTCAGTACAATGATACTTTGCATGCCGTATGCAGGTACCGCTTGATACCGAGAAACAGCAGGTTGTACAGAAATGGGCGGAACGAATTAATAAGACGATAAGGGAGAATTAAGCCTTCTCCAATATTGCCCGCACATAACTTCTCGGTCCCAGCGTCTGCGGCCATATCAATATCTACCTAGGGTTAAGCGTCTTCTAGGATTGCTCATGATCTGAGGGGCCCGCGTACAGGCTCCTCCAACCTAACACTTTTCCTCAGAATATTGATTCTGAACCAGTCGAGACCTACCTAGTATTTGGACATCAAGGTGTCCTTATGAGCCTGCATAAGGAACATTTGCCGCCTTCAGAAGAATGCCCTGTGCTTTCTCCGATCAGAACAAAAAAAGATTAGAGAACAATCGTTATCGCTGATGCTCTGCGGGGCGTAGCCTTTTACTTCCGTGGCCAAGATGGTCCCTGCAGCGCTCTTGCCCGTTCCAGAAGCGTCATCGCCAATAGGCGCGCCGCGTTAGATCTTGTGCGGACACAGAAGGGGGAGCGCTCTCAGATTTCCTGGGCCCTTGTAACTAACTGATGAAAAGTAGAATACCTACTTAGTCGCAAAAGGTAGTAAAAGGCAGGAGGTAAATAGGGCGAGATACGGAACCACATTAGCTCTGGACGCCGATTCGAAAGGGCCCCAGTAGATCGATCTTTTAGTATTCCTCCTTAAGCTAACCGTCTGCATCGTAAAATATTTCCCTTTCGGACGTTCCACTGCTTCAAAGAAGACCGATTAACAAAGTGAACACAAAGATGAGATCTAGAGGGTTTGCGGAGAAATAAAAGGGCTGCGCAGGGGCATCGGAATGCTCCACTTAGTTGACCAGGACGACAGGGCTAGTGAACCCCTTCGTTAGTTCCAAGTGAAAGATGAGGAACCTCAATGACGCCCAGAGGATGCTGGGTAAGATAGGGCAACCTACACTCAGGGGACCCAACTTATTATCCGTAATAGCACTGCACTGGCCGTGGCACAACTGACTACTGCCTGAATTTCCATGTTTCCTCATCCCGACCGTCAATTAAAGGTCTTAATGGAGTTCATATGCAAACACAGTGTGGGACCCGCCAATAGTCTGCAGGAATCGACATCTGCTGTTGAGCGCACGGGCGCTGAAATGCATCGACATCTGCAAGGCTAGCGCGATTGTTTCAAGGGCGGAGAAAGGGTATAAATCAAGCTCATCCCATATCAAGTCAAAACATCCTGCTAGATAAGCCCTGCAGCGTTATCTGGCTGATTCGATAGAAAGAGGTCATGGTGAGGTTAGCATGTTCTGCTGCAGTCAGATGTAATTTCCATTCTTGGCTGTGCGAAGGCAGGGTTTATAAATGGAATGAAGGGTGACACAAATTGGAAATTGGATGCCAATCACGCAAAGAAATGTCATGGCGGACACGAAACTCCGAGGGGGCTTATTCGCTTGAATCGTGCTTCAAGCCCTGTCGGACACTCACGTATCTCCGTCCTCTGCCATATTGCACCGCTCATGAAGAATCGCTGAAACCAGTGCTGACAATGCACGAAACCTTGGAATTGTCGTGTTGAAACTGGGAGGCTTTTACGACAAGGTGAGTCCGTCGAGTATGATAATATTAGGAGAAATAATTGTCTAGGAATATTGAACGTAAGCTGCTCCGACTCTTATCTCTGATTTGGATGAGAGCGCAGGTAATTGCAATGAGTACGTAGACGACCGTTGTCCACCGAAGAGGAGAGTATGTGATATAGAATAGGAAACGACAAGCGACTAAATTGCTGAAGCCTTGGAAGCAAGCAAGTTTATTCCACATTCTGCACAATCCAAAGAGAAGACTGAATGCGAAAGGCGTACTCTGCTAGTACTGTGCTTACTACTGGGAGACAACAACGATGAGATTGATGCTGATGCTTCTTCAGTGGAGAAAGACGCAGAGTGATTTGACTTAAGTGAACACAATTAACAAGCACTTTTCGCGGCACATATCACATTATGAGCTTCTTAAGGGTAACAGTACGCGATATGATCCAGCTGTTCGTCTCACCTTGTCTTGCTTTTCGAAATTGGACATCCTTCTTCCCTAGACCAGCCAAACCTGTCTTGCATATGATCAACTGCGCTCAAGCAGTCTATAATTGAAGCGACTTGCAGAACATGCCAATTTACTGGGACCACCATCCAGGACTAATCTTCTCGTAGAAAGTGCCAGTAAGAACATCGTTCCGCATCTCTCTGATGATGGTTGACCAAATTTTGGGCTGTACGCATATGATACATTTCGTCTCTTCGCTCTCGCACTTTTCAACTGAAATGTTTTCAGGGAGCCGGGTCATTTGGCTCCATCTTACTAAGAAGCGTGACAGGAAAAGCGACAAAGAGTAACTTTACTTTATTCATGAGAAGGTCCATTATATTGGATTCATGTCTTGTCAATCGACCAAGGCGACGTTGGCGATTTGCCACATGACGCGGGAAAGTATCTGCCATGTCTAGTCCTTTGCAGTCTTCGATGTTGCTGCGTCTAGGGCGAGGACTTCTCGTACTTGATTGAAGGATAGATGGATCCTTCGTCACGAACATTGCGTCAAAATCCATGAGAAGTTTACCATGCTGACACAATATCAAACAATTTTTATGGTGTGGACGTCTATTTGTCTAGGCAATCTCACCCTCTGGCACTTGTATACATGAACTTTGCACGAACCACTTCTACTGAATCGGATGATGCAATATACAAGATTCATGGTAGTGTGGGTATGTAACCTTTTTCTATTGGGTCAAATGCGGACATGGGACACATGATGATATGCCTAAAGAAGAAATAGACGACGGAAACTTCCCACAGGCCTTGGGAGGCGAGAAAGGCTTAGCCAGGTCAGTGACCAGGAAATGAACAAGTCAGTTTGACTTCTTTTTCCCTCAACGATATTGGCTGCCGATGACAATTGTTTGATCGCAATCTCGGGACTAACAGGGCAATGATGAGTCTGCTATAGGACAAGTAAGTGCAAAGCCAAAAGAATCTCTGACAGCGCTAGGGAAGGGACTAATGTCACGGCGGGTGTATGGTAAGATGTGGATGCTGACTTTTTCGGAGACTTTCCTGAAGACAGCCTATCTGTGTCGTCAACTCAAAGAATGGGGCACGCACCAGGCTGGAGGTGGAGCCGGCTTGACAGGGTCAAAGCAACGGCCCCACTCAACAGATTCGAGAGTCGTGATCGACACTCTTACGGAGCTTAGGATTAACTTCAATCCGGACGGTCAAACCCGCAGCGGAAGAACCGTGCCGTCGAGCATCGTTGACCACCAAGTTTCGTCGATAGCCGAAAATCCTACCAAGCAATCTTGTCGGAGGTTTCATCGACGGATAATTCTTGATTGGCATGCACGGTTGTTGTGGCCCATCAGATATTCTGTGACGACCCATAATCTCTTACCTTCTGGGTTGAGGCCTCACAGTTGCCTCTAACTCGGCGCCACGGACGTATAAGGACTCAAACGATTCTCCTGTTTTTTGGGCCTGCAACGTTATCCGAGGTAAAGAGCACATGGGAACGGGCCGGAGTCTCCACTATGAATTCGTCGAATCCCAAAACGAGCTATAGTCTAGATGGTCGATGAAGCGGGTCGAGAGATGATAACGTTCATATGATGACCAAACGATAAGACTGCGGGGTAGGTTTCGTGTGGGGAAAGCGCTATCTTGAAGAGAGGTTGATGCCTTGGTTTGCGAGGTGGAAGCTCGACATCCTTGCAAAATGTCCATGACCTGTCTCAAATTAATTTATCCGAGGAGTGATGGCAGTGCCGATGGAACCATGCTTTCTCCAATCAAATCACCATTGTCGACTTGATTTATCGGATGCCGGTCAGGTTATGAGTCGGTTCGGATAAACATTTCGATGTCAAGTTCCTAGATCCCGTGGGATTAACCAGTCCGGATGATTGAACCCCGGAGCTCGGAGCAAATACGAGGTGGATTGGATAGCAGAAGCTACATGATCCAATCAGTACGCAAAAGAGGTCAGCAACTTTTTGGAATCCAAGCATGTGAGTAAATCCGGGGCGAACGCCGGGGTTGACATGCGACGTGGGGAGAATAATTACTAGCCCTCTTGGTTCATTAGGACGGACCTGCGTGAGGGGTACAATGGCCCCGGATTAACCTAGAGCTAAGAGGACGACCCTGAATTGCCAATCACTGGCTCGTTACTGAGCGATTTCATGCTTGCCCCGGTTGACTTTAAGGTTTGACGATGACCGGCGTTTACGGGCATGCGGAGAATAATAGGTAGTCACCGAAGCCCCCACGCTACTCGGTCAGGATTCGTACGAGGGCCCATGTACACAATATTATCTCGTTGATGCGACGGCTAAAGAAGAAGAAGAAGGCAGGATGACGGAACTGACAAGGTTATCCCAGTTGATCGACGGCTCTTTTCACTCTCTCGGAATGAGATTAATGAATGCGGGGTATGACATCGGCTATAAAGACAGAGGGGTTGCTTTGTAGCATTTGAAGAGAAGGTTTGAGAAAAGAGCGTCGAGGTTCATCAAATTGATCAACGGGAGAGTAGAAACCGGCGTGTTGAGACCAGACAAGTGCAAATCACGGCGCGTGCAACGAAAGATAAGGTAAGTTGAAGTTACGTTTGATAACGAGAACCTTAACGGTCTCCGCTAGAGAGCGAGAGATGACCGACCTGAGACCCAATCCTTCGCAAAAGAGCGTCGAGGGGCACGTCCCCTTAGTGCGAATATCATGCTGGTACCGAGCCCGCGGGAGCTACCTTGCAGCTAACGCCGATTAGGTGCAAATCGTAGGTATCGACAGAGGGGCCGATACTTGAGCTTCCCGAACAAGCATCGGTTCAGGTACGCCCACAAATCGTCCTGGTTCCGACATCCCGCCAAGTCCACCCGCAGCTTAAGCCGTTCGGTACTTTCACTTGTACCTGGCCCCATCCCCCCCCCAATCCATCAATTAAGCTCTTCTATTCGTAAAATTTCCCGCTCTCGTGCGACGACCATCCATTATGTCGCCAATGGATGAGACCCCAAACGCTCAAGAGCTTCCCAAGGAGCCAATGGTTGTGGATGGCGACAAGAAGGACGAGACCATCTCCCCGTCCGATCGTATAGTTGCTACGCATCATGATCGCGCTGTGTGGGAAAAGCGAGAAATTTACGGCCCTCCAGGTATGAGCTTCTCCTACAATTTCATTGTTGACATTCTTGGGGGGTGTGTGTGTTCATTGTTATTTGCTGACAATTATCTAGGCTTCCGAGGCTTGTTCAGTTCGACCTATGTGGCCTTGTGTGCTATTTCCTGTGCCGTTGGAGGTCTGCTCTTTGGATACGAGTATGCATATGACGCCTCCCGAATCATCTCTACCTTTAGCTGACGATCCCTTAGCCAAGGTGTCATTTCGATCATCTTGACCGAGTCTCAGTTTCTCGACCGAATTGGCCGCGTCGCCGACAATGCACCAGGATCAGGTTTCTGGAAAGGATTTCTCACGGCCATGATCGAATTGGGTGCTCTGATCGGTATTTAATCCAATGGCATCACGCGAGACCGTCAGGACGGACACGTGCTCACCGAGTCGCTAGGTTCTTTTAATACGGGCTGGATGGCCGACAAGTTCTCCAGAAAATATACTGTTTTCATTGCAGTCTGCGTCTTTCTTGTCGGTTCGGCACTGCAGACTGGAGCTGTCGATTATGCCATGCTTGTCATCGCCCGACTCATTGGAGGCCTTGGAATTGGAACGTACGTCTTTCCTCCATGTTGAGAGATTCGGATCAATATCGCTGACGGAACTTTACCCGCAGTCTGTCCACTGTCACACCCTTGTATATTTCTGAAATTTCTCCGCCAGAGATTCGAGGCGCGCTTTTGGTCTTGGAAGAACTCTCAATTGTGTCAGGAATTGTCATCGCCTTTTGGATTACATATGGCACCAGATATATTGCCAGTGAATGGGCTTGGAGACTACCATTTCTCATCCAAATCCTTCCAGGAATGTGAGTTTCTCATCCTCGGAGCATTTGTTGCATACCCTGGGCGTTCAGTTGACCAACGTACCAGTTTCCTCGTCGTTGCCGTCGTTTTTCTTCCCTTTTCTCCCCGATGGCTTGTCGCAGAGAAACGCGACACGGATGCTCTGGAAACACTGGCAAAGCTCCGCCAGCAATCCATTTCAGACGCGCGTGTGCAGCAAGAGTGGTATGATATTCGGGCCGAAGTTGCTTTCCACCAGGAGATTAGCCGCGAACGTTACCCGCGGTTTCAAGACGGCAGCCGGTCGAGTCGTATCAAGTTGGAACTTGCCTCTTGGACCGATTGCTTCAAGCGAGGGTGCTGGCGGAGAACACTGGCCGGTACTGGGTTGATGTTTTTCCAACAGGTAAGGACTCCTTCAATCTTTTGGTCATCTCCTCTGCGACGATTACGGGACGTCTAATCGGCATCACTAGTTTGTGGGAATCAATGCTTTAATCTACTATTCGCCAACACTCTTTCAGACCATGGGTCTCGACTATTCGATGCAGCTGGTCATGTCTGGTGTGCTTAATATCACACAACTCGTTGGTGTCGCGAGCACTTTGTGGACCATGGACAAGGTTGGCCGTCGGCCTCTTCTACTCTGGGGCAGCGTCTTGATGACCATTGCGCACATCATCATTGCCGTGCTTGTGGCCCTGTTCTCGGACAATTGGCCGGTGCATCGGCCAGAAGGCTGGGCCAGTGTGGCGCTCCTGCTTCTTTACATGCTCGCGTTTGGCGCCAGCTGGGGCCCGGTGGCGTGGGCGATGCCGGCAGAGATCTTCCCCTCCTCGGTGCGAGCCAAGGGAGTCGCCTTGTCCACGTGCTCCAATTGGCTCAACAACTTTATCATTGTAAGTGCTCCAATGCGATGGCCGGGCATTCTTCACGCAAGCTTCTGACAATTCGCGCTCCCTTGTAGGGTCTCGTTACACCACAACTGATTCAACACACCAATTATGGCACCTACATCTTCTTTGCCGTCTTTTGTTTGCTCTCGGGCGTCTTCACCTACTTTTATGTTCCTGAAACCAACGGTCGCACGCTCGAACAAATGGACCATGTCTTCAAGGACCTGGGCAACGAGGAAGAAGAAGCCCGTCGCCAACGCATCGAAACTCAAATTATGGGACACGAGGCCGCTGGCGCTGTCATTGCTGAAGCGACAGAGCGGTTGAGCAATCACGCCGTTTAAGTTTTAACGACTCATGACCTCTCTCCCTTTTTACGGCCCGACTGATGTGTTTTTTCAACTATCATGATTCATGTCGACGTGTTATGATTGAGGTGCTGCATTTTGATATTTTGATATATCCAACATGCAACAATCTCATATGTTGTTCAACACGGATGAGACGCTCCTTTCGGCGCAAGACCAGGCGTAAGATCAGGCGCTAGGATGATGAAATTTAATTCTTTTCTTTTTGGACTAGTCGATTGGGCTCTGTGGCGATACAGCCCTTTTTTGATGCTCCATCTGTATAATGGACAGTGGATTTGTTGTGCTGGACTGGGTTTATCGTTTGCAGGAAGCATTTTGTTTGGCACTCAGTGTTGCATCATCCCATTGCATTTGGTCAGAAGCATATAACGTGGCATGGTATAGCGTTTGTCGTCGTTCGTTTGGATCTGTTTTGAGGAATCATGGACCGCGCTTAACATTTTTATTATTTTTTCGACTTCTTCGGTATTGGATGGATCGGATGAGACTGGATCCATTTAACCCGTCTGTCTGACCTTTACTACACGGCGGATAGACTTTTCTGTTAGTACGATGGGAAAAGTCGGTTCTTCTGGGCCGTATCCATGGGTGGTATTTTAACTCATTCATTGTACATAATTGTTTCAGGCCGTTAATATTCCACGAGCCTAGATTTACATAATACATAATATAGATGGTATAATATGATGAGATATAAGGTATGCAATAGATGTATTAGAATGGTTAAATTGATTTATGGCCGAGTCTGGAGGTGGAGTCTCGTAGTGTTGATAAGCAAGACTACCGATCGACCCCGCGACGCTCCTTGCTCACTTGAGTCAATCGGAGCGGAGCTGGGGCACCTCCGCTTCACCGCCTGCTCGCCCTTTGCAACGCCAACAACTCACTCAAAACGACACGGTACACGACAGACAAGAGAACAGAAAGACAATACTTGCCGTCGGGTTTGTCGTCCTTTGTCGCTTGAGCCTTCAGTTGGCGCTCCCGTTCCTGACGACTTCACTGCTCGTTTCTTTGGCCGGTGTCACATTCTCCTCTTGTACGACCTTTCGAATGAGCTAGGAACAGGATAATAGAATCCGTGGCTATTCTGTCCGCTGCGCATTTTCTATCCAACAGCCAGCTTCGCAAAATACTTTGCCCTTGCAGAGTATAGTCTCTTCTTATTTACTAAAGACTAGCGCCAGAATCCCTCCCTTGGAAATCAAGACTTTGTGAATCCTAAGGATCTGAAGCACAGAGACGCAATTCGAATCGGGCGAAACTCTGCAGCGACTACTGCAACTTCGAAAGAAGAGCTACACAAGCCGATACGTCACGAAGCGCTCTCCAGGCGCTGATAGTGAGAGCTACGACGGTCCCACAGCACTTGATCTCACTACGACACTCGTTCTTCGTCGAATACATACTAAACCACTCTCGTTTGCGAGTAGAGTCGATCAACAAGAGGGCCAAACATACTCAATCGAGTTAAAGCATCAATTAGCCTGGGAAAGTCCAATTCCAAGGCGAACCACAACGACAGAAGGAATCAATAACAAACAATCTGAGCTTCGAATTTCGAGGCCGATACCAAGGAAGCCCCTCGGGTTGGTTACAATTCCCGAGACGTGTCGTCAGATATACTGCATCTTTGAGCGCGCAACTGTGGCTTAGACCTTTTCTTTCGTGGGAACTGCACTTCTCGTTGCCTTCTTAACAATAGCGACAAAAGATTTGCACTTGGCGCATACGAGTGCATCACATAATCAAGCAAGCAGTGCGTCTGTGTTTTCATCTTGGATCATCTCACACGCGTCATTTGCAAGAGCGTTTGGTTCTAGAATCGACTTCACCATGGCATCCTTTCTTACGGACCTGTGGACCTCCATCTTCACTCCCGGGCCAACGCCTACTCTTCTCGTGGCCACCAATGCAACTTTTGCTGCCCTGCAATCTCTCCTCCTCGTACTCCTCATCTCAACATACAGCATCCATTTTCTGGTTTTATCCTTTCTATCCGGGGGTCTGTGGTGGGCTATTAATTGGTTTGCTGCAGAGCTCAGGGCCGCAAATCAAAAGGAGGAGGAAGCACAGCGGCTGAGAGACTTACGGAGACAAAGGTCTGGAGGGAACAACGGTGCAGATAATGGCGAAGCGGATGATGAAACTGAGAACGATACAGAAGTTGAAGCCGCTGCGAAAAAGGACACAGTCGCTGCTAAAAGTGGCTCCCGTGAAGATACCCCACTCCCGGCCTCTACAGTAGCAGCGCCAAGTTCTGAAGGAGCTGACGAGCCTGTGCGGGTCGACCCCGGCTCTGTCTCTAGCTCAGGATTCCTCTCGGCGTCATTAGATGAAGCAAATCTCAACGCGCTCCGAAAGCGGTTCAGCATCGGGGATCGCTCTGGCGGCGAGTTTAGCACTGATAGCGAGTGGGAGAAGGTGGAGGGTGAGAATGATAGAGAGAGGTAGACTAGATTGACTCTGTTCTTGATACCCGTCTGACCTTGCACACCCTTGCCTGTTGATTACGGTTATATGCTATTGGTAAGATCTTTACGTATTGATATCATTGACAAGTAATATCCTGCTCGTGATATGGAGACTATCAATTTATCATATTGTGATACATATTACGATTACTATGTCTAGCTACAACGAATGGAGTGCCATAACATTGTTTTTGTATCATCGTATCGTATTGAAGGACCTAGGGACGTATGATATGCTGCAATCACCACCAAGAAATAAATACGCAGGCAATCCAGAAGATGAATAACCTTTAAACGTGATATATAATTTTCCTGAAAGAATAATTCTCTTGATTTCATCCTTATACTAACTTCCTGATCCTAGCCCTGATGTTGTTGCTCATGTTTGCTGTCTGGTACTGGTCCACGGTGCACGGAACAAACCCATCAAACTAGCCGCATACGGCAATCGTCACACCTCTGCTTTCCATCGCTCAAGTTCACCAACCGCGAACTGCTCATAATTCTACGACTTTGAGCTCATCACCATCATCACCGTCTCCATTGGCTGGTGTATTTGAGAGAACTTACTCGGTCGCACGAATTGCATCGAAATCGGTCGCTTCATCCAGCGCTGCAGTTCAAGTTCAGCAATCGTTACTTCCAAACGACTGAAGTGAAACTTTACCAGAGCTCAAGCTCGTACAATTGCGCGCTGCAACGTCCACTTGCAGAATACCCGCTTCGTCATAAGCGCTTGAGTCAAATTCATCAACTTGCAGACCTCGAAAATTCTCAGTCCTCTGTCAATCCCTCGCCGGACCTTTTGGACAAGAAACCGTCTGCGGACTTAACCACCTCGTTCGTGGATTCAAACGCGACTTTTGATATAGCGAGAGAAGAGACAAGGAAAAACCGAAAGCACAGCATAAGAAAATACCCGTATCGCCCGCGGAAACAAATTCTCCGAAAAACCGTTTTCAAAGTTTAAAGACATACGTCAAGATGAAGCTCGTTAGGTATGTCGTAGCGCTGTTTCAACGGAAAATATCACATTATACCTTGATTGGAGTATATTCTGGGGGCATTCTGAGGCAGAGTGTTGTTGCGCGGGGCTTGTGGGTTTCTGGCCTGGGTCTATGTCGATGCGTGTACAGGTTGAGTGAATGGAGTATGACGGAGGCACTGGGGGATGGGCTCTACAACCAGTCCAGAGTGCAGTACAAGAGCGCAATAGATGCAGACTTGAAGGAGCGTATTAGCCGGAGCAAGCAAAGGCTGAGCTGCCCTGGTCATGAGCACTTGAGTCTGATGACATTCAAGTCTACACTGCTGGGTGGGAATTACTCGCAGCTTGATTCTAGGATGCGCGTCTAGCTTTGGTGTACTCGCTCTGGATTGCTGGTCCACGTTTACTTGGAAATCAAGATTCGAGGCCTTCTTGACTCTGGACTTACTCAGTCATTTCCACGCCTGTGCCATTCTGCCGCTCGAGACTACTCCCGCTCTTTCTCTTCTGCTCACTTGCACTTCTCTCGAACCTACTTGAACACTGCTCAACGGAACAACCATTGCTAACGATATGTTGTTTCTTGCAGATTTCTCATGAAATGCGCCAACGAGACGGTGACTATTGAATTGAAGAATGGTTAGTCTTCCCCCTATCACTCTTTCCCTGAAAACCCGCTGTATTGGCTCCTCTCCTCCCTGCCCACAGCTAACATGTCCTCTCGTAGGAACCATTCTTCACGGCACCATCGCCTCGGTCACCCCTCAGATGAACACTGCCCTGCGTGCCGTCAAAATGACACCCAAGGGTCGCGACCCCATCTCGCTCGACACCATCAACGTCCGCGGCTCCACCATCCGGTACTATATACTACCGGACTCGCTCCCTCTCGATACGCTGCTTATCGACGACGCGCCCAAGCCTAAGAACAAGGCGCGCAAAGAAGCCGAGCGAGGCGGCGGCGGCGTCGGCGGCGGCCCCCGTGGCGGTCGGGGCGGACCTCGTGGTCGCGGAAGAGGCAGAGGACGAGGACGCGGTGGAAGAGGATTCTAAGCCTGTTACTTTTCAACTCCTTGATTGATGTTGCTGTACCCCTTTTCCTTTTTATCACATCTCTTTATCACACCTTTTCACCTTTCCATCTCCGCCGTATCGCATCATCCTCACCCCTCACTTCCCTTGGCTCCAGGAATTCCTTCTGGCTTGTTCGCTTTTCGCCTCGTCGAGCGACTAGTTTATCTACGTCATTTCTCTTTCCTCCATTTTCATTTTTTTCTTTGTCTTTTCCTTCTCTTTTTTTTTTTTTTCTTTTTGTCTAGAAAATAAGTGGAATTATTTTCCTCTTATCGCTTCAAAATTTCTTTTTATCTATTAGTGCCTCCCCTTTTCGCCCCGTGTCCGAGGCAAGTTTGTCACTCTCGCTTCAAGACTATCTATGGCGAGAAAATTTGTGAGAAGAGAAAAAGAAATAGGAAAGATGGAAAAAAGCGAGATCAGGGTTTTGTATTGTATTCTAGAATTCTTCTCTTCTTCTTTCTCTTTTTTAAATAAAATCTGTTCATTGTGTTTATCATCGTTCACTAGTGTATCTCAGAGATGACTAAACAGGGTTGTGTAGTTAAGGTATGTTTGCATTTGATTTTGTTTCTGGATTTGGATTTCTTGCTTTTAGCCTCTACTGGTATAGCGTTTCTGCTCTCTTTGCGACCATGAGGTGCTTCCATTTCTACTTCCTATGTCTGTCTCGTGGGCCTGTCTCTCTTATGGCGGACTTCGATATGACTCCTATGTCTGCGTGTACGTCTGTGTGCGCGTGCAGTCCGCGTCACATTCACGGCCACTCTAACACTCCCGGTTGTCCATAAGTAGCAAGATAATATACCGCGCTTATGTCGTAGTCTCGTAGTCTCGTAGTCTCGTAGAGCTTAGAATCCGGGTTCGCCACTGACTGACCGCCTGACTGACCGACTGACTGACTGACTGACTGACTGACAGGTGTTTTGGGTATCGGGTCTTGGGGTATCAAATTAAGGGTATACTGATATTTGGTGTTTCAGTTACCCCACGTTGTACGATTTGTACATAATCCTTGGTAATATTGTATCGGCGCGGCTGCGGAAGGACGGAAATAGGGAATAAGACGAAAAGGGGGGCGTTGTAGCGTCTGTCTAGGTAGCTAGATCCCTAATGTCCCATGTTTTCCGTTGCAAGGGCGTATTGCGTATTGCGTATTGTGTTTTGGGTGTGTGATGGAGGACTGAGACAGGAAACGGGAAAGGTCCCTTTTCGATCTCTAATGATGATGAGACGAAAGGATGTCTGGCCGAGATGAGCCGTAAAAAGGTACATGAGGCACATAGAGGAATAAATCAAACGGCTCCTTGACTCAGTCAAGGCCGCCATATCCTCACAATCTGCAGCCGCTCCCACCCCGCAGTCTTGCCGCTAGTCGCAACCGTCTCCGCCGCCCAGCCATTTCCCCACGCGCGGATGCGCGCCTTGACGTCTTCTGGCCTATTCTGTGCGCAGAGCAAGAGATACGCGACGCCGCGCTCCGGATGAAGAATCGTGGGGATCTGCTCGAGCAGGCGGTCAGTCGTTTCCATTCCATCAGCGCCGCCCGCGTAGGAGAGCGACAAGAGGTACGAGTCGCGCTCGAAGATACTGTGCGAGCTGACGCCCTGGTTGGAGCCTGCTGATGTGTCGATGGAGTGCGTGCTAGGCAGGATGGGTAGTTCTTCGGTCGGTACGTAGGGCGGGTTGAATATCAGCATGTCGATTTCGCCGGGGCGTATGGCGGATGTGAGATCGGAGAGGACGGGGGAGAGGAATGCGGCTGATGAGGCGGGAGCAGCGGAAGTAGTAGGGGTTTGAGTGTCGGAGTCGCAAACGTCCTTGATTGCTGTCTGGACGGTGCGTTGTGCGGCCTCGCATGCGAAACGGTTGACGTCTGTCGCGAGTGTGAGGACGTTTGTATGCCCGAATATCGTCTTGGCGTGGGCGGTCACGAATGCGAGGACCACGCCGGAGCCTGTGCCGACTTCTACGACAAGTGGCGCGGGTGTTGCTGCTCCTGATGAAGCTGTAGCCGCAGGAAAACGGTGCTGGAGAAAAGCGGTCTCGCTGGGCGCGGAGAGGGCGTCGAGAAGGAGAAAGGAGTCTTCGGCGGGTTCGTACACATTGTCGAATGAAACGTGAGACGTTGATGGCGTAGGTAGCATTGTCTTGAGTTCCTGTCCCAGAGTCTGCTACTATCTGACCGACAATTGTGTCTCCTGTGTCTCAATTGACTGTGATTATTGTTTCTTGGTGGTTGGTTTGTTTTCATTTGGGCCCTTTTTTTGTGAAATTCGCGGGAACAGATAATATGACGGAGATTGCCGCAGATAGCGCTCCCGCTTCACCGCAGCACGAGAACCAATTAATGAAGCTAATGACATTGTGTTGTTGGATATTATCTGAGGGTAACAACTGACGGTTCCGACCAAACATTTCAGAAATCACAATGAGATTAAGTCCCAGACTGCTTCTGGCAACGCCCACCCCGGCCGGAGTGAGCGCGGGTATCAAGGCGGCCCCAATGGCGCTGCTCCCGCCCATCCCGCTGTACCGCCGCTTGCTCCGCGCTCATCGGCACAAGTTACCGCCAGAGATGCGCCTGCTGGGAGACCAGTACGTGAAGAGCGAGTTCCGAGCACATCGCAGTGTGGATAATCCGGTGCATATTGTATGTTTTATTGATCTCTTGGAGAAGTGAGCCAATTGAGAGGATTTGGGAGCTAACGCGGTGATGTGTGAGTAGATTGGTTTCTTGACGGAGTGGCAGCTCTACGCCCAGCAGCTTGAAGGCGAGGCATGGAAGGATGACAAGCTAGATAAGGCCAAGATTGATAAAATGAGCGGTATGCATGCGTTGATTCATTGCTGGTTTGTTTCGTGTCAGCAAGCACAGCAAAAGGATTGTTTGCTAATGGTTGTGTAAATACAGATCAACAGCTCGGTCAGCTATATGAACTCATGCAATCGATTCGCGATCCGGATACAGGGAAGTCTGGTTCGTGAGTCTGGTTCGTGAGTTTGTCTCGTCTTTGAAACAAATTTGAAAGAAATAGACGTCGTTTGCTGGTATCGCTGCCGCCAAGGCAATTGTGGAGATCAGTACCGTGTGTCGAATTGGATAAAAGTACATGTATAGATACCTATTCATCTGGGGATTTAATTATGTGGGTGTTTGGCGGCATTGGCTTGATAGAGGTTCGTTTTCAGGTACATATTATTCACAAAGGACTGTTTTACAGAAATATATATTGGTTGTCCTTGCAAGTGGAAGACCCGAAATACGGAGCTGGGAGTCTTGATTTCATTTCAATTGCAGAAAATATTTTGATCGCCCCAGGAGTTCGGGATCAACATATTCTGTCACTCGTCGATAGTCTTTCGTGGAGAAAGCAATATACAAGACTGCTCAATATGTGCGAGGTGAAATTCTACAAATCGGAAGAATGCGGTCATGAATGGGCTATTCTCTCTGAGCCTTGCAAGGAGGGCCGCGACTTGCTCAACTGTCCGACAGTCCAGAACAAGTGTCGAAAGATACGGCCACCACGAGGCCCTCCTACGGCTGCTTCCTGCAAAGAGTGTCCATTGCATGGCTTACAAGGAGATTATGACATGAAAAACACCAGAATGGTCAAAAAAACGCGGACAGGCTATCGAATCGGGTTTGGTCCGGGCAAGCGCCAGCCAGGCACAGACTTTGTCTGCTGTGTCATTCAGTGATGCTTGACATGGACCATGTTTCGTATTAATGGAGCTTTGAAGAGCTCCTGGTAGCTTGCATCGCCTGGGGCATTGAGCTAGTCTGATATCGACGTGACTGCGATCAATAGAGCAGCCACTCAGCATGATAAGACCTTTTTCCTCTATGCTACGGTATCAGGTTTACACGACATCTTTGCGTTATCACTTACACTGACTCTTTGATTACGCGACGATCATGCAATTGCACGTTGGCTTGGCTGGCTTGTCAAGCAACGACTAATCTCCCCCGAGTACAATCACGCATACACCTACCAAATGTATCTGGAACAGATATTCGAGCTATTTGCAATGGCGCGAGATATCCTTTTTCTCCGGTAACGGCCGAATAATAATGGGTTTACCTGATTCCGTTTGATCCGGTTGTGATTGAGATTCTCATCGAGTTACGTGCTTGATGGTGGTTAAACTGTCGACCTGGGGCCCGTCACGCAATCGTCTCCTCCAACGATGCAACCACCACCAAGATAGCAATGTAAACACCACAAGAGCGCAGTAATCAACCAACCAATCAATCCCTGCCAATCATTTCTCGGCACTCACTCTAAACATGATCAGATCTTCATCCGGACTATCACCATGTGCGCAATCTGTAAGTTACCCCGCTCTTTTTTCGAGCACCACCATTATCAATACCTTACGGAGTATGGCTGATACAGGTGCCTCGATAGGCCGGGAGTGGTGCAATTGTAGCTTTGTTGCGCAATATCCTTGCTTGTTGACATTTTCGGTACATTTGCTCCGATAGCACGTTTTCTGACTTTCGCTGTTTCAATGCTTCCATTTAAATGCCTGCCCTTTCCCTTTCTTTTGTTCTTTTGCTTTTTTGTTGTACATTCCATATTACTTGCTTCTGATTTTCAAGGCTAAAAAGAAAGCTCATTCAATTCAATCCAATTGATATCTTATTACTTTGATACTTTATTGCCTTTTCCCTGGAGCTATCTTAGCTATACAGCTACCCAGCTACAAAACATGGCAGCTCAAGTTCTGTCCGCTGCTCCTATCCCCTCCATTCACACCCCTCGGCCTATAATTCGGACACCCACGCCTTCCTCATCCAAGCCAAACAGTACTCCTAGTACTCCCTTTACTTCCCGTTTCCCCGACGGCATCAAGACATCCGGCCAGCACGCGCCGCTGTACGACTTGCTGCGTCCGTACGAGCAGTTCCCGAAACACATCACGGGACCTACAGTATGGAAGGCAGAAGACTACAAAGACCAGCCCGGGCGCTGGACGCATCGGTTCACGCCCGAGCAGATTGAAGAGCTGAGCGATGCCGCTGATGCCTTTTTGGCAAACGGTCTCCCCTTGACTGGTATCTCAAAGGTATGCCTTCCTCATCCTACCTTTCTTTCTCTCCCACCCCTTTCCTCTTCTCCCCCAAATTTCTCCAGTTCCCCCTATATACCCTACATATATACCTATACTAAACACCAACGTCGCAGGAAACCTTCCCCCTCCCGCACCTCTCCGCCTTCCTCGAGTCCGTGCGCTCCGAGCTCGTCGACGGCCGGGGCTTCATCCTCTTCAAAGGCTTCCCGACATGGGCCTGGGGCAACCACAAGTCCGCCGTGGCGTACATGGGCCTGGGCACGTACCTAGGCTACTTTGTCAGCCAAAACGGCCGGGGCCACGTGCTCGGCCACGTCAAGGATCTCGGCGAGGACCCGACCCAGATCGATAAAGTGCGCATCTACCGCACCAACGCGCGCCAATTCTTCCACGCCGACGACGCTGATCTCGTCGGGCTGCTGTGCATCGCGCGGGCCCTCGAGGGCGGCGAGTCCGACATTGTCTCCTCCCATCACGTCTTCAACGTCCTGCAGGCCGAGCGGCCCGACGTGGTGCGCACCCTGACGGAGCCTATTTGGTATTTTGACCGCAAGGGCGAAACCTCCCGCGGCCAAGACGACTATATCCGCACAAGTGTGTTTTATCTCGAGAAAGGAGAAAACGGCAGGGTATATACTAAATGGGACCCCTACTACGTCCGGTCCCTCACGCGCTTCTCCGACGCGGGAATCATCCCGCCGCTATCCGCGGCGCAGCAAGAAGCGCTACAAGTCCTCGAGCAAACGTGCCTGCGGCTCGCGCTGCACATGATTCTCGAGGTGGGCGATATCCAGTTCGTGTCGAACAGCCAGGTGCTGCACGCGCGCACGGAATACAAAGACCACCCGCCGACCTCGTCGTTCCCGCGGCGCCACTTGATGCGCCTGTGGCTGGCGACGCCCGAGGGCGAGGGCGGCTGGAAACTGCCGTTCCATGATAGTTTCGAGAAGAAGAGAGGAGGGATCCAGGTGGATGATACGCCGCCGGTTTGTCCGCTGGATGCGGAATAGCCTTTTTTAACCGCTTTATTTTTTATATCATTTCGAGCTTTCGGTTAAGAAGAAAATCATTTTAGGGATATCGGATATTGGGAGCGGGTTGGGTTTTTAGTTTTTTTATTGGGAGTTCTGTTATGGCTGGGTTGGGTTTTACCACGTGCTTGTCACTTGTGTAAAAATATAAGTACATGTCCTTTCATAGACGTGGACAGAAAGTATCATGAAATATATGAAACACATCAAGATTACAACATCGTTATGACATGGAGGGCGAGTGGATGAGTGAAGCCTTTGATAGATGGATATGAATGTGTATGCATTGATGGAGTAAAAGTACACTTCTGTATCACGAGATGTCATGATCACTAAGACGAGGAAAAGTAGAAAGAGATGAGGGCAGGGGAAAATTTTTTGGAATAATTGAGGGGAAAAGATTGAATAATTTAATAAATGATATCATTCTCCAGATTTCCCGGACAAAGAAATATATGATATGAATCGAATGGACAAAAAAGAAATACATGATGGAGATAAAGTGAATAGAGTAATAGCAAACAAGAAATAGAGAAACACCTCCGATAAATAAAAGAACCCATCAGGTCAATACCATTAGAATCATATCATGCCAAACCATTAACCATTTGAAACAGACAACATCAACACACCGACTACTATACAGCGTCTGCAGCACCGGCACCTCGGACTTTCGGTCCCGCCTTGACCAGGGCATCTTTGAGCAGGCGACTGACCTCCTTTCGGCGGGCAATTTTGGCTTGATAGCGTTGTAGATCTTCCGGGTCAAAAGACGCAGCAGCGACGCTTGCGGCGCGATAAGGAGAAGGTGACTGACCAGCATGTGATCCCGAGACAGATCCCATGAATCCAGATTTTCGGAAAGACGAATTTGTCAGGGGTGTCTCTTGCAGCCCAGCAGATCCATTGACAGCACTGCCATTGATGGACGCAGACAATGGGTGCGCTCGAGGTGTACTTCTTGAGCTGTCAGGTGTGTAGAACAGGCCGGTGCCGCTCGTTCGCGGGGTTCCGTACGCGCCTGCGCCAGTACCAGGCGTACGCGGGGTCCGGCAAGCGCCGCGCGATCTGATCGATGAAGAGAGCGGGTGGTACGAGGACTGGGCCTGTGGAGGTGGACTCGACATTCGGCTCCCACCAAACGGAGAAGATTCACGCGAGGATCCAGGCGCACTGCTGTTACTTGTGACCGAAGAGAAACGCAGCTTCCGCATTTGGTTCTCAAGCACGTCAATGTCGCCCGATTTGCGCTCCACCATGCTCGTCATTTTGTTGATGGTGTTCATTACCGCTTCCATGGTGGGCTGAGCTTGCGGGCGGGATGTTGACAATGCGCTACCGGTCATGGAAGGCGAAGGAGTAGCGCGTCCAGCACCCTGAGCGACAACCTTAGCCTTGAGCACGGAAATACCTTCTTCGACTTCAGTAAGAAGTTTTTGGAATTTCTGAAGGTCTCTACGGAGATCATGTTGCTGGACGGCTTGCTCGGCGCTGAGCGGGGCCGATCTGTGCATGGCAAGCTCGTCCGGGTCGGATCGAGCGTCGATGAGTTTCTTGATGTCGTGGTGTTTGGCTCGCAGCCGAACAAGATCTCGTTGCAGCTCGCGGCATGCGTTGAGTTTGCCCTGGACATCGTGGATACGACCTGATTCAAGATCCCTTTCTAGTTTGGTCTCGGTAAGGGTCAGGTCTTCAATCTCGATGAGGCACCAGCCTTCGGCATCCTCGAGGTCATCGCGGCTCCGCCCGCCTTCTTTGTAGTTCTCCGTATGGCCTTTAATAAAAGCTTCCAGCGAACGTGCATTGAGGCCGAGCGTGTCAATCATCGAGTTGATATCTCGGTACACGCGTTCGATTTGGCCGGGAATGCCGGGTTTTTCGACATGTCCAATGTAATCTTGGTGTGCAAGGAAAGGAGAAAGCTCCAAAGCCCCTTGAACGTCAGTCGAGAGTTCTTCCCGGACCTTTTCGTCTTCACGGTCGCTGAGCTCTTGCTCTTCTTCAGCCCTTCTTGCCAGTTCCGCAGTTCTTCTCTCTTCCGCTCTCTTCCGCTCCTCCTGTCTTTGAGCGAGATCGTCCGGAAGAGGGGGTTGCACAACCGTTCTTCGAGGCCCTGTCTTTTGCGACGGCAGTCCAGACGTGCTGAGAGACGCAAAACCCTCAGCCCTTGTCTTGTCATTTTGTATGCTATTCCGGAACGGGCTTGGTGAGCGTGGACTGGCCTCGAGCGGCTTTGTGGGCTGCGCGAGCTTTGGTGGCTGTCCAAAACTTCCAAAGAGTGGCTTAAGTGGTGCTTGTTGCTGCTTTTGCTGCTGCTTCGGCTCTTGGAACCAGCCAGAAGTAGTTGGACTCTCCTCCGATCTGCCATACAAGCTCTGAGAGCTTTGAGCCTGATCATCGATGGGACTGAGATCCTTGCCGACGTCCACACCGCTTCCTTCATCGTCAAAAGGCTCTTCTTCCCTCGATTCCGCCTCAGATTCGCGTCGAGCAGGCGACTCTTCCTCGGGTGACTGAGGCACAGACTCAGCTGTCTCTTGCGGCAGTGGTATATTGTTCGCAGAACTCCTGCGGACGGCTGGTGAAGACGCAAATGGGGAAGACCACGGCACCTCACTCTTTTCAGTAGCTGGTGTTTTAGCCGATCCTGGCGGCAACGAAGGTGACGGTATTGCTCTATCAACGATCGGGGTTTCCGGCTCCTCTGGTTCACGTTTAACCTCTGGCGACGAAGGTACTGAAACTGGCGGGGGTGTCGGCTCCTTGGGAGGCGGTGTTGGCTCCCTTCTCGGTTCTTCCACGGGCTTTTCCGTAGGTGGTTGCTCAATCGAGTCCTTGACAGGTTCCTCGGGCGTTTCCGCCGGCTTCTCCGGCCCCTTCTCTTGTGGTTCCTCTTTTGGCTTCTCAGGCTCCTTTGCGGCTGGCTTGATGAATGAAAAGGGCGCTGAGGGCGTCGAGGGCTGGCCAAATATTGACGTGGGCTTACTACTTTGCACCGTAGCAGGTGTTGTTGACGTTTGTGCCTGCGTACCAAAGAGACCAGTAGTGGCGGGTGGCGCAGTAGGGAGGCCAAAAGTTGGCGCGGCTGGGGCAGCTGCCGGTGTTGTTGGTTCTGGCTCCTTGGGTGCAGGCTCAGCCGGGATGGCATCGCTGACATCTGCATCCATATCCGCTTCTGGGGCTTCGGACTCGGCCGATTTGGCTGTCGCGGCTTCACCAAGCACATTTCCAAACCCTGATCCAAACAAAGAGCCATCAGTTGAGGCAGGCTTTTGTGCGTCATCTTTTGCAGTATCATCTCCCTGGAAGGTTGAACCCAGCTTAAAGCCGCCACCAGATCCAAAAGCGCCGCCAGGCGTTTGGCCTGTCTTGTTACTAGCGCCAAAAGCGCTGTCGTTGGCAGTGGTGCCGGAGAATCCAGTTCCAGAAGTGCTTTGGCCAAAAATGCTGCCACCTGTACCTTGGTTTTGGGCAGCTGCAGCAAAGCCCCCTTTATTCGCAAATGATGCAAAGCCTGAGCCGGCGCTAGAAGCACCACTGCCAAAGATTCCTCCGCTGCCGGCCCCAGTAGAGCTTCCAAAAGGTTTAGGCGCTGAATTTGCACCAAGACCAAAACTGCTGGTCTGTCCAAACGCTGCACCACCTCCACCAGGTGACGTCGTAGATGCGGGAGCGCCCCATGGCGACGGTCGGTTTCCTAATCCTCCGGGGGTGCCAAAAGCGCCGCCCTGCGCAGGTGCCCCAAATGCCGTGGATGAGCCAAAGGTAGGCTTACCAAAACCTGGTGCTGCTGTTGGCGATGCTGTGTTATTGCTTCCCCATGGGCTCGCCTTGGCCCCCAAGCTAGCGGGCGAGCCAAAAGCGCCATTGGTAGCGGGCATGCTCGGAGAGCCAAAGGAAGGCGCAGAAGGTTTCCCAAAAGCTCCTGCGCCGCCAAAAGAAGAACTTGGAGCCGGGCCGCTGCCGAAACTTGACTGTCCAAAAATTGATTTTGTTGGTTGCGGACTGCTAGCCGCAGCGAATGGCGAGGCGCTTGCGGCGGGTTGTGGGGTTGCCTGAGCTGCCGCCTGCTGACCGCCGCCAACGATAGTGAGCTCCGGATATGCTGTTCCTTCCCGTACTGATTCGGAATAAACGAACCACCACGCCGACAGAACACCCTCGTTGTTGAGTACCATGAGCGCTGGCAGCGGTGTCTGTGACTGGTCAATTTCTTCACCGGGAATTGGACGATCAACCTTTTCCTTGGACGAGAGATCTAGAGCAACACCAATAGGAGACGTATCGGATGCCGTTTCCGACATGGGCAACTGCGCTCGTCGTTCATCCTTTGCCATTCCAGTGAGGGTAAAGATGTTGGTAATTTCCCCAGCGGGTAGGTCGCTCGACAGGGGTACACTTGAGCTGGTGAAAAGATTGATATCAGGAGAAGCGGTAGAGGATACGATCAGGACATCTTGAAGGTTCGGAGGGAAATTTTCCATTCGAGCGATGAAGTGGTGCGGCGGAGAACGGGGGAGGCCAAACGGTGGGCACGGGTCGACGAATTTTTGGAAGGCAAAGGATGATCGCTCCTTGTTGCTGGTTACAAGGTTATACGTAGATTCAGGAGTTTCTCCTTCCGGGGACGACGTAGGGGTATGAATCGTAAGGAAAACAGACGTGTCGAGCCAGAAAATGGAAGAAACTATACGTCCAATTAGCCCTTTTCCCTTGATCTTGTTTCTCATTAGTGACATTGCCTTACCGTGTTGATCTCCTTCGAGGGCTGGAGGACGCGGAATCTGTGCCTTTCCGGCGCCATCGGGAGTCATTTGGTAGCATGTACCGTCACCAAGACCAGCGACTAGCTGCTTGCCGCGCTTACTCCACGAGACGCAGCTCACACCACTTTTGAGAACCTGGCCACCCGGGCCGGTGACAAAATTGCGCTCCTTGAGGTTGGCCATCAATAAGTCCCCAGACGTGGTAACCACCGCGAACAGTTCCGCCTTGTCGACCAACGGGTTGGGGGATAACGCGCGAAGCGCGGCACCATTGGTTGGGAGCTCAAACGCGGATTGAGTATCGCCCTGCATCAGTGCCTGAACATCGTAGACTGCTAGACCGCCTCCATTCTCTGCCGATATCACGAGATAATTTTCATCCGCGGAGAAGACGAGCTGCGATACGCGCATGCCCAAGTCAATTTTTAGCTGAGGCGAAAAGGGCTTGACAGCTTCGGAGCCTTCAGCTTTGAACGCTTGCCTAACAGCATCTGTTCCAGCAATGACAATCGCATCAGGTCCAGCAGCAGCTATTAAACCCTTTTTCGAAGCAATACTGAATAAATTCGAGGTTGGAGGAGGAAGTGAATCTTCCGGCCAAGGGGAGGGTAATAAGCGGACTTTGGCGTCGCCTGCTAATGAAAGGAAGCCAAGTCCCTATGTAGACGTCAGAGACAATGCGCATAATTTCTACATGGAAATCAAGAGGGCAATTTTACCTCTGTCAGAATTTCAGCCAGATCTGAGCCGGTTTGAATGGCAGGTCCAGAGGCGCTCCCGGGCATGGAGGCAGCAAAGGGAGAAGCCCCAGGAGAGCTTCCAAAGCTCAAAGCCATTATAGAAGTTGGAGATTGAGGCGGCTGATGTCGAAAAGAATGCGAAATGCTTCGAGCTATCGGAGAAGGAGAGGAGCGAGTATTGTTGACATTGAGCGTTACATGCGGTGAAAAGGAGTGTCGTCTGGGTGTCGTCGGACTCCCACTAAAGAGGTGAAACGTGCGGTTCAGAATCTTGACGACCTAGCTGCTCAAGCAGAGGTCATAATGTGGATGTACGCAGCTCTCGTGGGAGAGGTGGTGATGGAGGAACGGGTGAGTTTTCTTGTTGGTGTTTTTGGCTTCAACTTCAGCAAAGTAACTTAACTTAGTTGACTTGGTTGTTTTGCACTTTTTGGTCGTGCACGTGACCACTGCTGATCTGAGTGTGGTATTACATAACGCGTATTTAGATTTTGTTTAGTATAGTCATTTGTTAGCCATTCTCTATATATATCTTGCTAGCTAGCATAATTTACACAACTTAGGCACAATTCTATACGGAGTAATTGGTAGTAGTACAAAAAGCTCTTTTAACAGAAGAAAACACTAAATATATCTTATTCTAGTAGTCCAAAGGCTTGATTACTTTTTAAGACTATTTAAGAGATAATTCTACCTCTAGAAGAGTTCTTTTAAGAGTTAAGACGGGTAGAAACTTTTTCTAAGGACAAAAAGAAAGTAGAGTTAGGACCTGTACGGTATACCACAGTCATCACACAATACTAGAATTTGTATAGCAAGTAGTGAGGATGATTTTATAGCTTTAGTCCCATTTCATGTCCAATAGCGTTCCTCATGTACATATCATGATATATGAAAGGACTAAATTGACTCTCGTGTAAAACATCTATAATTAATCAATAACAAGCTTTTAAGATGGATAACAAGTATAACACCTCTCATTCATAACGTAATTGCATAAACAAACTCTAGAGATAATCACCTGATAGTTAATTAACCCACCTCAGGAACTATGCCACTCCAAAGTAAATCCAAGTCTCTCGGGCTCATCCGAAGAAAGCAGACGAGGTAGTTCACACTTCTCCAAGTTCTGACAGAATGCTTTTTTCGAAAGGAAATCCTCTGTCAAGTAGGCTTGATCCACATTATAGCTGTTGCTGTTGGGCTCCCTGCCATTGGATTGTTCGGTGTTTGTCACCTTGCCATTCGTCTGGCACACCAATGTCCACCAGTCCCCAAAGCTAGACCATATCCCATTTATGATGCGGCATACAACCATGTGCAATTGAGTGATGAAGGTTGTGTCAGGTGGGGTTCCTTCCTGGTTGGTTCTGTAAGTAAGAAGCGTTGCAGTGTGTGCAGCCAATTCCACAACCGTAGCATATTTGTTGTGCCAGCACTTGTCGATGATATCGTCAATCAGTGGATCACCATCTAGATTTGGAAATTCCATATTTTGCAAGAAGTCCACGACCTTAGGGCCATGCTCCTTAGAATCCTCGGTAAGGCATCGATCTTCATAAACCTCAAAGCCATAGTTTATCAAATAGTACAAGGAACCAAGGGCGAACTGCTCTGTTCTAGGACCCAGGAAGCCGGAAGTCCCACGTTGTCCTTGGTCCGTCTCGTTACCGTTGAGTATTCTTCCATACGGGGCCACACAGGCTTCGAAGTTTGTCCCGATTTCTGCCGCACAATCAAAATCGGACAGTTTCAGCCGGTTGCCATCGAGCAGTATATTTTCAGGCCGTAGGTCACCATGAGCGAGATTGAGCGATTCGAGGAAAGCGACGGCTTGAGCAAGGTCATTAATCCATTCCTTTCGCAGGGACAGAGGCTCCAATTTTTCCACTTTAGTAACTATCCTTGTTTGACAATCCCGAATATGATTGTTTTGTATCCTAGCAGAAAGGGAGACATCTGGTGATGCAATCAATGGACGCACCAGTTAACTGCCAAGTGGGGCCGCACCTCTCATGTACTCAAGGAAGATGCCATTGTCTGAGTAGAAAAAACACTGCACCACAGAGGGACATGGCGGATGTCGCGAGAAGATCTGATAGATTTCGAGTTCCCTATCAAACTGCTCTCTCTCAAACTCTCCGGACTTTGGGACCTTGACCACGATGCAACGGTGGACTTTATAGACGTAGGAGATGGCTCCAAACCCGATCCAACGCACACCAGGAAATTGGCACTGGATAGACATAACAGAACGACGTGAGAAGTGTTATCCTTCAAGAGTAGGTGTGGAAAAGAGCACTCTGTGTTCTAGGAGAGAGGTGAAATAAAGAGGGAGGAGGCCCGGGGAAATGAGGGGTCTCAATCGTCTAATGCATTCTGATTGGCTCAAGCTTTCTAATTGTCGGACCAGCAAAGTCTCATTTGTAGTTGTGCACTTTGAATAGATAGATATCACCAGGCGGACAAGCAACAAGGGTTCTTGAGGAGCTACGAGCCACGACCCTTTACAGTTGGTTTGTGGTACTACATAACAAGTATTTAGATTTTGTTTAGTCATTAGTTAGTCATCCTGTACATATATCTTGCTAGCCAGCATAATTTACACAACTCAGGCACAATTCCACATGAGCTCGGGCCCTCCCTTTGCTCTCATTGGTTCGCGCTGACTGTAGAGCTTCAGGCACCGTCGGCGTCGTCACTTTGGAGAGAGAGAGAGAGTCCTAAGCTACGATTATCATCATCGCCTTTCATCTTCTCCAAAACACATCAACACCATCACCATCGTCGGTTTCTTCTGTCACTTCAGTGGCAGCACGACCTGCAGATTTACCAAACGAAAGGTAAAACTGCACACCAACGCTCCGCTCTCACTCCCCATCTCCGGCGTGCGAGCTTAAACCACCACTTCCACTCATCAACGCCCATTCATATCTATATCTCTCGTACGCCACCATGGTTGGCTTCGACTTCTCCAACCACAACCGGAATCTGGCCCTGCATGCCCGGGGTGTCCCTCTTCCCCAGGCTACTAGCACGGGTACTACCATTGTAGGATGCATATTTGACGGGGGTGTAGTTGTACGTATTCCCAAAAATCTTGAGCCAACCGCGGCTTTAGCTCCCGAATGGTCCATCTCTTGAGCTACAAATAAAAGTTATTCTCAAAGGATCATCTGCTAACACATCATGCCTACAGATTGCCGCCGATACTAGAGCCACGAGCGGTCCCATTGTCGCTGACAAGGTACCTTCTTCTGCCCCACGCATTCACTCCTTCTCCAGAACCCATCTCCCGACGAAAAGACCCATAGAAACTAACAACGCGTTTTCCGAAAAAATAGAACTGCGAGAAGTTGCACTACATTGCTCCACAAATCTGGTGCGCGGGTGCCGGAACCGCCGCCGACACGGAATTCACCACGGCACTCATCTCATCGAACCTGGAATTGCACTCACTCAGCACCGGCCGGAAGCCTCGCGTCATAACATGCATGACGATGCTGAAGCAGCATCTGTTCAGATACCAGGGACATATCGGAGCTTATTTGGTCGTTGCCGGCGTGGATCCCACAGGAGTTGGACTCTTCACCGTGCACGCGCACGGAAGCACTGACAAGCTACCCTACGTGACAATGGGTAGTGGTTCATTGGCAGCCATGTCCGTTTTTGAGACGCAATGGAAGCCGGAGTTGACCCGGGACGAGGCCGTCAAGCTGTGCGCAAACGCCATCCAGGCCGGTATTTGGAACGATCTCGGTTCCGGATCCAACGTCGACGTCTGTGTCATCACCGAGAACAATTCGACCCTACTCCGAAACTACATCACACCCAACGTGCGCGAGAAGAAACAGCGCAACTACCGCTTCCCCAGAGGCACAACGGCCGTGCTTAACGAGAAGGTTATCAAGCGCGAAGATATCAGCAAGTACGTCACTGTGCATGAGCTCAAGGATGATTCGGAAACGGCAGTGGCAGAGAAGATGGAGTTGGATGCTTAGATGTCTTAGACTTGGTCTGAATATGGGTTAGCGAAGCAGTGAGCAATGGGGGTATTCAACTAAATCAGGGCCCCTTTTCAACCTTTTTTTCTCGTCTCGCGGAGAAAGGCAGCGGTGTATCAGACGGGCGTTGGGCTTAGCGTTTGAGTTTGAATCCGAACTTGAACTCGAGCTGAAGTCTGTTATGCGCGATTGAAACACTGCATATTATCATATCATGTCACCGGATGATTTCGTCTGTACTGTACTTTATTTCTTCTTTTTTCTATTTTTCATTTCCAATTTCCATACAAGCTTTCCTTGTTTCCTTTTAACCTACCTCGCAATAGAAGGTAAACATTTGTGCCCTTAATGTGTCTTCCCTCTCTACCTCTCTTTCTCCATGAATCTCTGCCGCTTCAAAAAATTGAATCGTGAATCACGTGTAATCCGAAGCCTGGAGTATGAAGCATGAAGCACAATAACCACATTATATACACAGGGTCGTAGTACCAGTATTATTATTCGTTCATTCATTCATTTATCTCGTTCATTTAACGTATTCCGTCATCGGGATGGTTTCAGCAGTCAGGACGGCTTACTTCCGAGAACCTCTTCCTCCCCGGGCCAATTCCCCTCTCCCGAAAATCCAAACCCCGTTCGTCGTCGAAACTTGCTTCGTTCCCAAATACATTTCCCTCTCCACACCCAGACGGCATGGTCCAATTTATCCGCGACCTCTTGTCCCTCGAGGTCCCTTACTTTTTGCAGGATCCAGCGCACCTTCTCCATGCCCACGTGATTGCCTTCTTGCAGAGCGCGTGTGATGCCGGCATGTGCCAAGGCGCGCGACATTTCGTGCGTCATGCCAGCGCCGTGGCGGTGTAGGTACGTGTAGCAGCGGAGAATATTGCGGAGGGCGACGCGCGGAGTAAGATGCGGAGCGTGAGCGAATGCTGTGGCGAGGGAGTGCAGCAGGGCGATGCGGGATTTGGAGAGGGAAGGAAGGGTTGGAGTAGGAGTCGGTGAAAGGGACGAATGTGGATATGATTTTGGAGAGGCGGATAATGAAGAAGTGGAAGAAGAGAAAAGAGAAGTCTGTTGATGAGATGGATTTCGATGTAATAGTTTGAATATCTTGGTAGCGGGGAAAGAAGGGAGATGGACAAGTGCGATCGCAAGGTCTTTGCAGCCTTCGAGCTGCAGACTCCAATGCAAGTGGAAGAGGTCAAGAGCTATTCGAGGATGAGATTTGCTCCAGTATCGGATTTCCGCGCCGATTGACTTTGGATCAATGGAGATTTCGCTCTGCGCAAGAAGCTGGACAGTTCGTCGCAATGCGTCTGGTTGTTTAAGGAGTCGAAAAATGCGGAAGAGGTCCCGGAGAGTGTCGGTGCTGAGTCGTTTGTGCTTGTGAAGGGTTGAAATGAGGTGAAAGTAGATTTGGTCCTTCGGAAAAGAAGGCGGCAAGTTTGCAAAGTCATCCAAGATGTGAGCAGTTGAGGGAGAATATTTCCATGATTTTGATTTGCTCCAGTACGAAAGCAGAAATGTGCATATTTGTCTCTCATTGGCGGAACTCAGGTGAGGCGCAATTGACTTAAAGTTGTCCGCATCGAGGACTTTCCCAAGGAGAGCGCAGTAGTCAGGGAGGAAAACGTCTCTATCTCCAGAGATGTGTTGCAACGTCGCTAACCACGAAAATAGAGCTGCTGAAGAGTCGGTCTTTTGTTCTTCAAAGCCTCGAGTACTGGACTTCAAAGCTCTTGTGGTCGCACTTATAATTGATTCGGAGAGACAGGATTGTAATGTGATTAAAAAATCTGACATATCGGGGATAGAGGATGTCTGTTGCTGCGCATTGGTAGCGAATTGTTTTGCCCATGCGCTCATAAAGGAAGAGATGCCCATTTCAATGCCCCTCAGCTGCTTCTTCGAAGCGGACCCGATAATGCTCTTGGCAAGGGACGTTGACAGACTAGATATCGGTAATTTTGAAAGCTGAACAAGCATGGTATCGAATGTTTGGGAAGACAAATCATGAGGCAAGAGCACTGGGCTGGTAGCAATGCTCTCCCATAAAGATTGATAAAACTCTACAAGCTCCGTCGGGCCAGTTCGGACATGTTCAGGAATCTCTCTCCATAAGACTCTCACTTCTTTCTCCATCATGTGTCCTTGGACTAAGGCCTGCTTAGCCATTCGGAGAATAAACGTGAATGTTCCTGGATCAGAACTCTTCTGATTCAAAGAAGATACAATGCGCACCAAATTGCATGCAGCAGGATTGTTGAGATAATGATCACCCAGAAACTCCTCCAATTCTTCATGACTTCTGGCTGTCAACAAGAAATTCTCACAGATAGATCGGCTATATGCAGGATTCTGTCTTTCAGCAAAGTCAATTTGATGCATGTTGCGTCGCAGCTCTTCTATCCTCATATCAGGAATAAGGCGGCCCTTAAACCGTAATAAGATTTCATTCCGTTGCTGTGGCGCTCCGCTTCTTATAGCAGACCCAAGGCCTCTTAAAATCGGTTTGCGAGGCTTCGCTGTAGGCTCGATTACAGGCGGACTATAGTCGGTCAACCAAGAAGGAAGAGGCGATTGTTTCTCTGGTTTGAATTAGATTTGACTCGACTGGGTTCAATAATCTTGGCGGAGCTTTACATACCCAGCGTCGCAGGAACTGGTCTAGCCGAAGGCAAGCTTGGAGCTTCCCATTTCCATCCCTGTCGACCAGATAACTCTGTCATGCCAAGTATTGGTGGACAATCCACAGGAGACGATCCTATAGCTACAGCAATATTTGCTATTCGTCTCCTCGCCAGCCTCCTTCGTGCCTCCATTGGACCCGGGACATTGCTGCTATATCTTTTCCGACATGAGCACCCAATGCCAACAAATCGGTGCAACACATTATTCAGCAACTCGTCACCTATCCATACGTAGTCTGGAGGTGAAACGAATTTTTGCTGCACCGCCTGGCGGTACGCAGCTGGTCGGGCAAACATGAAAGCGTGAGAGCTTGGGCAAGCATTCGGAATCGTATCGCGCAAGGCAGCTTCTCGTTATATATATTAGATATATTTGGAGTACTCAAGTCGCAGCCATGAGATAAGACCATTAAATTGTCAACTGACGTCGTGAAAGCTGTCAAAATGACATGAAGCTGGTGTCAGGATGAATGGGGATAGTGTGTTGACCAGCAGCTGTTGCGGGAGTAGCCGCCCCAAAGCGGAGAAGGGCAACTCTCTCCCCATCCGATTTCCCCACGCCAACCGGCTCGCCCCATTTTGTGGGGAGAGAGACCCACACTGCCGAGCTTTAGTCTGACAACGGGGTTCGACTAACAGCGCAACAGTTAACTACAAAAGTGTTCAGGTCGAGTTAAAAATAATGTCTAGTTTACACACTATCTGATTCTTTTCTAAATTATGTGATTAATTGTATAGCTCCATTGATTGTGCCTTTTCATCTCGACAATGGGCTCTCTGCTTCTCATACGAGACCTTGGCTGGCCCCTCGATGAGTGCATGTTGTCCAGAGTGGTTATTTTCTTCCCAACGAGAAATTTGGAATCTCCTTGCTATCGCGTCCTGCTCAGAGTAGCTTAATCCAGGACGTCATCGCGAAGCGCGAACAGTTGCTTGATGACATCCTCCGACTTGCTCCTAATCCCGTCGTGGTAGATGGCATTCGTGATATACTGCTTGCAATTGCCAATCTTGGAGGCCGTTTCTCGAGACAAATCAAAGTCCACGTACATGTCATCGACAAAGACTACTGCATAGACTGGTACAGTGTTCTTACGCAATTGATTCTCATCGTAAAGGAACGGCCAGTCCATCTTTTCAGCAATTAGGTTAGCAGCCTCCTTGAGAGGCACCAGTTGGGCATAATCATCGAACATCCCAGGAAAGATCTATACATTGGAATGAAATATTAGTAATCTCATCTTCGCAAATGAGACCCTTGACTGACCATTTCACCTGTGAAGAAGAAAGGCTCTTCTTTCAGTTCTTCGCTTCGAAATTGGGGAAATTCAGTAGCTATGCGGCTTGCAGACCACTCTGAGGCCATTCTTGTTTTGCGTCAGCGGAGCAAATTCAATGGCGGGATGATAAAGGCATACCCTTGACAGTAGATGCTCTCATGGAGAATAGAATACAAGACATTTTGGTCGAAATGGAAGTAACCGTCAATCGTAGTCAGGGTGGATACAGTCAGAAACCCGAGATTTTCAAGCTCGTAATACGCACGGAGCACAATCTCTGAAGGCCTCGTTAGTGAGACTTTCTCCCAAGGGATGGATGCTCTCACCATGTACAACATCTATGCCGCCTGTTTACCGTCAGAAAATGATATACGCTATATTTGTGTTTCTTTTAAGACTTACCATGAGTGCCAAACGCAAGACCAAACTGCCGAAACCTCAAGACAGAGAGATGTCCACCAGAAGGTAGCTTTGGCGAGTGATCGGCGAAGTATTGCACAAGTCTTTTCACCCTCTCGATGTCTTCTGGATATTTTTTATAATATGCCTGATTGCGTTGAATGACCTTTTCTGGTATGTGTCAATGACAGGTTCCGTGACTAGTTAAAGAAAGGGCGCCATACTATATGTGTGTCTGTAGACGTCATCCGGCTGTCTGACCAGCGGCGGAAGTCCACCGCAAGTGAAAACTGCACGCATAAAGTTAGAAATGCTCGGAAGCAATAAAACGAGTCACAATTAACCTTCTCTCAGAGACGCCGGGCTATGCAATCAATCAACATCTTGGCGGTTCATCAGTTCCACAGGAAACTTACTATTTGGAAAGGTAACAAATGGCGCAGAAACCTCCGAAGCTTTGACTCATAAGACTCCATTGCTTTTTACCCTTTGGATAGTAAGCCGTGAGAACCTCTCGAATAGCTTCACAGTCGGCAACTTTGAGGGCTGTTAGCTATCATTTGAAGCTCAAATGAGTTGTGCCTCACCTATGTTGTCCGCCCGGAAAAACTTTAGGTAATTGGCTTGCTCTTGTGCATTTCCTTTTTGTGCAAGCGTCGCTGCACTTATCGGGCTGCTTAAGCCAGTGCCACGCTGGTCGAGAAACAGGATCTACGCGTTTTTACAGATCCCAAATTGTCAGTCTCTTTGTTGGGGACATATCATAATTGAACTTTTCGCCGTACGAACCTGATAGCCTTTGTCCAGTATGGGCTTGACAAAGGAATAGTAGTTTTGAGGGGAGCTACATTCGAAGCCGGGGCCACCTTGATCAATGAGCTTTTACCAAAGATCTTCATCTCATACTGCATTCAAGGACTGTCCTACCTTGTAAATACACCACTGCACTCGTTTACATCAGCTAGAGAACCTAGATGGATTCATGCAAGGAAAAGTGTTCAGGTAGATCATACTCCATGGCAATTGCTTTTCTTTCTCGTCCTTTAGATCTGCATTTACCTCAGCAAGCCTCACGCTTCTTGCAAAAAGCTGCAAAGTGCCGTCTTTAGGCCGCGCATAATCCTTAGGAACACTGAAGAAAAGCTCCGAAATCTTCAACTTTCCTGAAAGTACGTGCACCCATTAGCGCAAATCACCATGATATGGGTCGCGCAAACTACCTGGCGCAGTGTATGGACCAAAAGTCCTCAAGAGCTTTGCAGATGCCATATTGGGATTGATCTGAGACGATATGAAGCACAGACGGGAACTAGTTGTTTACATGCAGTTGGACTGGCGTTGGTTTGTATGTACCGTCAGTAGTGCGGGGAATCGACTGTGTGATGTCGGCAGCAACTTTAGACGGGTATCTCGGGTATAACTTCCGTATAGAAATTATGCAAACTCGTGCACTCTAATGTCGACACTATCAAAATCCCCAAGGTTCTTTCTCTCCAATGATCACGGGAAGCAGCCTGAACAGAGCCGATTAAATTTGGGCATAGATCAATTTGCTTGTTTGGAAAATAAATTCTGCCCCTGATAATTCCAAATTATGGGTAAAAAGGACAAAAAGTCAAAGGTAGACAAAAAGGCCAGGGTCGCCGAAAAGCAGAGTAAAAAGGCGGCCCAGAAAGAGAAGAAGGCCAGCAAAAAGGGTCCCGCGGGTGACGATAGTGATGCTGAAGATGTTGATCTGGACGCTGTCCTTGCACAATATGCGGAGCAGGTAAGGCGATTCCTTGCCATCAAGAAAGCGGGTTATTGTCGCATATCTCGTGTTTTCCCCATGGGTTGCTATCGCTCGTTTGAACTGTTGTTTTGATTTTTCGTGTATAAATTCTTTTCAAATTTTGCTTTTCTGTCAATTTTGATTCAAAAAATTTGTACAGCCTGCTGATATGTCTATAGCAAGCACAATTTCTGAAAGTCACGGAAGTGGGATGTGAACCGCCCCCGTCAAGATCTTCAGCTACCCTGATCGGGTCCCCTTCAAACAGTAATGAACTCTTTCTTTTTGGTGGCGAGTACTTCAATGGAGCTCTGGCAAAATTTTTCAATGACCTCTATGTCTATATAATAGACAAGGATGAGTGGCGACAAATCACCAGTCCTAACAGTCCTCTTCCCCGAAGCGGTCACGCTTGGTGTCGAGGCGGCAATACCGGAGGAATCTATCTTTTCGGCGGAGAATTCTCTTCTCCAAAGCAGGGAACCTTCTATCACTACAATGACTTCTGGAGGTTAGAGCCATCAACTCGAGAATGGACTCGAATTGAGACCAAAGGCAAAGGCCCGCCAGCGCGGAGCGGCCACCGAATGACGTACTATAAAAACTACATCATCCTCTTCGGTGGCTTCCAGGACACTTCTCAGCAGACCAAATACCTCAATGATCTCTGGATTTATGACTGCTCGACCTTCACATGGCATAACCCTATTCTTCCCCAAGCAGCCCAAAAGCCCGATGCAAGGTCATCCTTTTCCTTCCTGCCCCACGATCAAGGCGCTGTTATTTATGGCGGTTATTCTCGAATAAAGCTCAATACGACGGCAGGAAGACAGACCAAAGGCGGCGGCGGTATGGCGCAACGGTCTATCCTGAAACCTGTTATTCACCAAGACACTTGGTTCTTGCGCATTGTCCAGCCTGGGTCCGACGCACCTGCAAATGCCCCTCCGACCATCCGCTGGGAACGGCGCAAGCGGCCGGCTAACCCACCAAACCCGCCCCGAGCGGGTGTCACCATGGCCCACCACAAAGGCAGAGGTATTCTTTTTGGCGGCGTGTATGATGTCGAAGAAAGCGAAGAAGGCATCGACAGCGAGTTCTTCAACACCCTGTTCGCTTGGAACGTCGAGCGAAACCGATTCTTCCAGCTAACAATCCGCCGTCCTCGTAGCCCGCCAAAGAAGCAGCAGGCCGCTGATCGGGGAGGCAGACGTGGTCGTGGAAAGGCCGACGAAGAGGAGCTTCTTCGAAACCTGGCTGCCTTGGAAGCAAAGCTTTCCATAGATGACGCTGAATCGGTCAAAATTAGCAAGACTCCGGACGAGGATGAGGATGATGAGCCAGCGAAGCCGCAGAAAAACGTTCTCATGGAACTTCCCCACCCCAGATTCAACACTGCAATGGCGGTACAGGACGACGTTCTCTATCTCTTCGGCGGAACCTTTGAAAAGGGCGACCGGGAATATACATTCGATGAGATGTGGGCTGTCGATCTTGGAAAGCTTGATGGCGTTACGGAACTTTTCAAGCGCGAGCTGGAGAACTGGGAGGGCAGCGAGGACGAGGAAAGCGAGGAGGAAGATGAAGATGAAGAAGAAAGCGGCGATGAGTCCGACGCTGAGGCAGAGGCAGCAGCAGCAGAGGCCAGCACACGAGCGACATCGCTTGATTCTGAAGAAACCGCTGCCGCTGCTGCAAAAGCAAGCAAAGGCAAAGACGCCGAGGCGGCTGCCTCATCAGAGGACCCTGCAAACGCAACTGAGGATGCGACTGCCTCGTCCGCTCTTGCACAAGCTGACGGTCTGCCGTATCCAAGACCCTTTGAGTCTCTACGTGATTTCTTCGCCCGCTCATCGACACAGTGGCAAGACGTGTTGTTGGCGAAGCTTGAAAAAGCAGGTGTTGCTCCGGAAGCGAGGTCTATTAAGGAAATCAGGAAGCAGGCTTTCGAAATGGCAGAGGAAAAGTGGTGGGATTGCAGAGAGGAAATTCGTGCCCTTGAGGATGAGCAGGAGGAGGCTGGTATTGGGGAAGTTGTTGCTCTCGAGGAGCGTGGGAGCGGTGGTGGAGGAGGTGCTGGTCGACGCCGGTAGATGGGTTAGGATCTTGATCCGGTGTTACAATATTTACATTCATGTAAAAGAATATAGACCATAATGAAGCAAAAAGAATAGTAAATAGTTGAGGGTCCGTCCAGTATATACAAGTTTCTAGTTGGGAGTTTAAAAAAAGCGTCAAATCTATTATGCGTTGCTTCTCAACCCCATGAAAAAGCATCACGAGCGTCCTACGGGAGGAATTAAAAAGTAAAAAGTGATGAACGATGTGGGGTGGCAAAAGAGTTCGGAGACCCCGGCTTTGCAGAAGACGGTTCAGGCAACCTACATCTCTTACCCCGTTTTACCTCGAGCCTTGTCGCGGTGACCAAGGGATGGAGCAAAGGTCGCATAGGGCCAGAGGAAACTAATCCTCAGTGCCCATCCTCACGCCCCGCTCAAGCGAGAAGAATTTAATCCTCAGTGCCCCCTTGCGCCGCCCGGATTCGAACTCGAGATAGAAACATTCAGGGACATACTGATGCACCACATGCGGAATTGAGGAAACCATCAACCCTTCGGCCATCGACCCTTCGGCCATCGACCCTTCCGGTTAACTAAGGTACTTATTAAATCAAATATATGGATGCAGGTGAGTGAATGGATTCGGTAGCGGGAGCCTCGGAGGTACGGGAAAGGATACCACCGAGGTGAGTTTGCCCCGGGGGCTTTGGATATTCACCGCTGGCCCTGGATGCCCGGGAGGCCATGTCGTGTGTTAGTATGCAATCCGCGGAGAGAGCCACCAACCCCTTCCCCATAGCCTTTTGGTAACCTCGCAGCATCTAACTCTGAGTCCTCGAGACATCGGCCAAAACGTTCCTCACGAGCTCAAAGTCCCGTTGGACATCCACTCGCCAGGTCGAAATAGCAATGCGAGTTGCCGGCGAGCCTCCCCAGCTGGTCCCAGAAACGTACATCTTTGACGTATCCTTGATCTTCTGCACGAGAATTCGGTTTAGCTCAGGATCTTTGGCACGGAAGAGAACTATAATATATATCTTCGACAAGAGCTCGGTTTCTGAAACAGGCACGCCTTGATCAGGAAGCAGCTCATAGTCCTCTGAGTCGTGAATCCATCCTGCAATTTCGCGGGCAAGGCGGATTTGACGCTGCAACATATCCTTGTATCCTATCCGTCCATAGGCTAGGAGTGTGGCAAGTACCGGGAGTGCGCGGAAACGCCTCGAGTTCTCGATACCGATGTTCAGCGGAGATGGAATGGAGCTGGAGAAGGGATCGTCGGGGGACTTGGGGCCGGTATTGGAGCTGAGATATGCTGCGTTTGGATTTCTAAAGACGGACTCCGCAAGGGAAAGATGGCGAGTGAAGAAGAATCCGCAGTCATAAGGCTAACATTGAATTAGTTTTCGGAATGTGAATGGCCATCAAAGCGAATAATGTCTGAAGAAGAGCACAGCGGAGGATGCTTACCACATTAAGCAGTTTATGTCCGTCACCAGTTATAGAATCTGCCAGCTCAAGGCCCTCGCAGCCGCGCATTACGTGTTCGAACTCGACTGAGTCTAGGATTCGGCCAAAGAGACCAAATGCTGGAAACCAACAGGAAGCGTCAGCATATCCCTTGATAGACTTGGCAGAAGGGCTCAGAGAATAACGTACCGCCATCGACATGGATCCAAGCACCGTATCTATCACAAAGAGCACGAATATACTGCATATTCTGCAGTCCATTCGTGGCAAAATGACCAGTGTTGACTTCTCCACAAGATATGGCGACAATGGTAATATACTCCGGGTCCGCAATACACGTCTCCAATTTAGACATGTCGAATTCGACGGATCCTTCGACGCTGATGTTTTTGACAGCAAGGCGGCCGAGGCCGACGATACTTGCTGCCTTTGACAGAGAAGAATGCGGAGTTGTTGTAAGGATCTGGATTCTGCGATTCAGTCGGCTGGCGACCTCTATGAAGCCGTGCTCTGCCACGCTAATTTCAGAGCCCTTTAAGACATGGGACACAACAAAGTCCCTCCCGCAGGCGAGACCAAGCACATTGCTTGCTGTTGCTCCTGTGGTGAAGGTCCGACCAACCCATGTCTTTTCGTCGAGATGGAATAGTTGCAGGAGCAGCCGAAGAGCCGTGTCTTCTACCACCGTTGCAATTGTTTCCTTGGGCAGATGCACCTGTACATTCTGGTCAAAGTCTGTGACAATATGGTCTGCGATTAATGCTGCCGGTGTCACTCCCCCTGTCACAAAACCATAATAATTTGGTGATTGGCTGTTGGCGCTCAGTGCAGGGACGAGTTCTTGGAGTATATATTTCGAAGTGCTTTCCACCCCGAGACCGTCGTCACGGAGAGCTGTGGGTAATGTTGCAATTGCCTGCTTCATTAGATCTCCATCAGGCAGAACTCGCCTTCCGTGAATCTCATGCCGAGTATGGGCACCATGACGAAGAAGATCTGTGTAAAGTTCCCCAGAGATATCTTCCATGGTGAATAGAAATGGAGGGCTATTGGTGATCAAGGAATCGACTCCAAACGAGAAGCAAGATTAAGCAATATCATGTATTAAATGAGACTTGCAAATGCTCTACAATTCCCACATCTTGACGAATTGCAACCCTATAATCAGCAAATATGAATGGGAAAATGCTGACAATACTTCAAGAATAAATTAAACAGAATTTACTCCGTAAAATAAAGAAAATTCAAAGGAAAAATCTAATGAAGGATTTGTGAAAGATATTATGGAGCTATCTATAGTGCACGCAGAAAAAAATAGAAAATACGGTATAAACGGACGCTGTTGTCAAAGATGATGTTGAGTCCGTCCCACGTTTGTCATAGGGCGTGAGGTTGTCGGCGGCTAAACGTCGGGATCATCCTAACATCACGTGATACCGCGACTCACCACCATGAACCTCTCAATTTATCCGCGATGGACGACGCGTTAGGCGAATGATAATGATCACGCAGCATCGCGACTAACATTGAAGATATGATCGATATTTTATCACCGCTTACACCCGGCCATGGTACGACTTAATGACGAAGAATAATTTACGGGAGCACATTTCTTGGTTGCTGGGGGCAAAACCATACCTGCCGCCCCAAATCGGACCGCTTCCGCCTTTGATAGACTCGATCTCGACAGACATCGCAGAGCCAATTGTACTTGAAGAGACCCTGTTTTATCCGCGACTAGAGCAAACAAACACGAAAGATGACTTTTTGGATCTCGACGCGTTTGATGCTGGACCTGAAGCAGGACTCACGCCCCCGCAATCACGAGAAACCTCGCGTTTCCCACCACCGATAAACGCGGAGGAAATATCTATTGGTGCTCGCAACTCTGCTAACATGGCTCGACTTCGTTCCGCTCCGAACTCTTCTACTAAGCCCCGTCTTGTTAGTCGAATACTCTCGCCGGCCCACGCAGCTCCTACGAGAAGTACTCTCTCTGGAAAACCGGACTTTCACCAATATATCGAGGGTGAGTAATGGATGCCACTGTATCAGAATGGACACCGTAATACTAAACAAGAGCCTAAGGAACACCTTCTAATCGAGCGTCAAAATCAGTCTCATCTCTTAATGCCAAACCAGTGGATTCTCGGTCCAACCATCAATTGCTCACCCCGAGTCTCTCGTCCGCACATTCAGCAGCGTTCTATGTGGACTCAATTGATCTTACGGGCGATGCTGATACGCAAACCGCTTCTTCAGATACAGTTGAAGCTTTTGGGGAGTCTAGGGCGATATGGAGAGAAGACTCCGCTTCGAGACAGGAGCCTTTGGTCAAAAGAGGAACAAAGAGGAAGAGCGAGGAATTCGAGAACGATACAGATCGAAGATCTACCTCGCGCGAACCCTCAGCGGGGTTCATAGCCATAGAGGCATTTCCAGAAGAAGCACCACAAACATTCTCAGAAAATCCTCCACGATCCCCGTCTCGAAACGCGTCTGATTCAACGGGTCTGCCTAGAGACTCCGATTCCTCGAGAACTTGGGGTAAAGGCGAATCTGGGAAGGAAATGCACGATGATACGGCAATCGGGAAAAGAAAACGAAAATCACTCAGCTCGATTTCTCCTTCGCCAAGTTCGAAGGTGACTAGTATATCGGAAATGCCTTCAACAAGATCACCAGCTAAACAACACCAACCAACGCACAGTCGCTCTAGGATGTCACAAGAAGATCCTGAGGCCTCAGACCCACCAACTTCGATACGTATGCCGCAAACTGCTCCTAGGATTAATGCCGGAACAAAAAGGCGCCTGAAGCCAGTGATCGAGGACTCTGAGGATGAAGAGGACGAACTTGCAAGGGATGATATGGAAGTAGATGATAAACACGAGATCGCGTCACGTTTAACTTCGCCGGAGAAACCACGGCATACGACTACGGATGCTGACCGTCGAAAGCAGTGGTCCCAATCCAAAAATGAAAGTCAAATCGCAACTATTGGGGAGCTTGGAAACACTCATGTGAAGGGATCACCCAGAAAGTCAACGCGCAACGATCCAGTTGCTCCAATAGAAGACAGTAACGGCCCTTCGCCGTTTTATGAGGATTCGCCTACGAAGGCAAAGATGGTCCAGCCTTCCAGCGCTCAGTCCAATTGTGTTTCCTCTGCCCCAATATCTGAAGAAGAGAGAGCTTCCGTTCAACGATTTCTCAAGGTTCCGGCGACAAAAGTCGAAGAGGTTCTCAGTAAAACCCAATGGGAGCTTCGTGCAAACTCTGAAGCAATTTTTCAATATTTGTCCGAAGAAGGCGCCGAAGCGCCGGTCCAACTTACGGAACAGGGGAAATATCTGAGGAGCAAAAGTCAGTCACTCAAGGAATTGCTGGAAGTCAGGAATGAGTATATATCCTTGTTGGAGAAGAAGGAGAAACTTAAAGCCAGGGTCATTGAAGCGCTTGAGGAAGGACTAGAAACATCAGAATATCAAGGAGTTCTCGAAGAGAGTCGCTCAGCAACACAAACGCTCAAAAGGCTTGACGCAAAGGTTTTTTGGCTTCTGAAACAAGCCTCATTCACCAGTTGCGGCTCGGACCGAGCAACACAACCGCGAGAGGAGCAGGATTTGCGAGGAAGCGTCATGGTGCAATCCACGCAAGCCCCTTCCCAAACTTTTCAGACAACACCGCTTTCCAATCCCAACGAAGGATTTATACAAACACAGCTTGTTCATCAGACCCAAGTGCCAGTCTCGAACGAGCTGTCAGTATCACAGCGAGTAGGAGCGCCAAGCGTCACGTCAAACAACATTTTAGGTTCTCGTCCAATAGTACGAGAGAAGCCGAGCGCAGGCCAAATTCCCGCAATGCCAACTGCCAGAGGAATATCAGCTAGCTTGGGCGGTGATGATTGGAATGACGAGGAGGAGGAGGCTATGTTGCCCAAGCCTAGTTTCAGAGATGACATGAGAAGAGCAGGAGGGTCTCATTTCCATGCCAGTAATGGATCCCTAACTACTACCCAGCTGGGCCAGACTATTCCCGGAAAGGCGGCGAACGATGAGTATGAATTTGATGATGCTGTTTTTCAGGACGACGAAGAAGCTCTCTTTAGTAGGAATATGGGTCCTTCGGCGTTTGACAGGATGGAGGATGATGAGTTTTGTCATGATGATGATAATGACATGTTGGAGGTTGCCGAAAATTTGGAATATGAGCACTCGTTCCAATCGAGGGATCAAGATTCTTTCACCTCACGTCAAGCACTGGCAGAAACATCCGGCAACATAAAGACGCCGAGGAAAGGCAAGGACACTGAAAGGCGCCGTGAAGTGAGCCAGACTTGCGAGAGTGCAAGCACCCCTGACATGATGCAGCACCCGTGGTCCAAAGAGGTCAAAGCAGCAATGAAGGAACGCTTCCATTTGCGAGGTTTTCGACACAATCAGCTTGAGGCAATCAATGCAACGCTTGGTGGGAGGGATGTGTTTGTCCTCATGCCAACTGGAGGCGGCAAGTCGCTATGCTATCAGCTACCCTCCATTGTCAAGTCAGGCCGGACTCGTGGAGTGACTGTTGTGATATCGCCTCTTCTCAGTCTCATGCAGGATCAAGTTGAGCATCTCCAGAAGCTAAAGATCCAGGCGTTTTTCATCAACGGTGAGGTCAGTGCTCAGCGTCGCAGGCTGATTCAAGAAACCCTCCGGGAACCGAATGTTGAGCAGTTCATACAGTTGCTCTATGTGACGCCGGAAATGCTGAGCAAGAGCCAAGCTATGACAAATGCCTTCAGAAGTCTTTACAACCGAAAAAAACTAGCTCGTTTCGTCATTGATGAAGCACATTGCGTGAGCCAATGGGGCCATGATTTTCGTCCAGACTACAAGTTGCTGGGAGAAGTCCGATTGGACTTCCCTGAGGTGCCAGTGATGGCTCTGACGGCGACTGCTACGGAAAATGTCAAGGTAGACGTTATCCACAATCTTGGGATGGACGGATGCGAAGTGTTCACGCAAAGCTTCAACCGACCGAACCTGACCTATGAGGTGCGACCGAAAGCGAAAGCAACCGAAGTACTTGACAGCATTGCCGAAACAATTCAGAACTACCAGGGGCAGTCTGGAATCATTTATTGTCTTTCACGGAAGAATTGCGAAAGGATTGCGGCTAAACTGTGCCAGGAGTATGGTGTTAAGGCTTGCCATTATCATGCGGGAATGGAAAATAGCGAGCGAACAGAAATACAAAAGCAATGGCAGAATGGAGAGTACGATGTTATCGTTGCCACAATTGCATTCGGAATGGGAATTGATAAGCCCGACGTTCGTTTTGTCATTCATCATACCATTCCCAAGAGTCTCGAGGGATATTATCAGGAAACGGGCCGTGCTGGTCGAGATGGGAAGCGCTCGGGCTGCTATCTGTATTACGGGTATCAGGATACGATGGGGATTAGAAAAATGATTGATGATGGAGATGGAAGCGAGGAACAAAAGGAGCGCCAACACAAAATGCTCCGCAATGTCGTTCAATTTTGCGAGAACAAGTCTGATTGCCGCCGCGTACAGGTCTTGGCCTACTTTAATGAGTCATTCAGGAAGGAAGACTGTCACAATGGATGTGACAACTGCAATTCCAAGAGCGTTTTTGAGACTCATGACTACACTGAATATGCTTCAAAAGCACTGAAGTTGGTGCGCCGATTTGGCCGGCAAAGAGTCACACTATTACAATGTGTGGACGTATTTCGTGGCAGCAAAACTAAAAAGATCTTGGGCTCTGCGCAGTCAAGGTTTCCTGAGTATGGAGCAGGTTCGAAGTTGGAACGGGGCGAAGCTGAACGTCTGTTTTATCGTTTATTGAGCGAAGGTGCGCTAGAGGAGGTGAACGTGATGAACAGAAAGAAGTTTGCGACGCAGTATATACAGGTAAGCTTATCTGATTCCTCTTGAGTATGCAAGGAATGTGCTCACGAATCATGCAAATAGCCTGGAGGAAATTATATGGATTTCATGACGGGAAGAAGGCGAGTTAAAATTCAAGTTCGCGTGTCCCCTCGCAAAACGAAAGAATCATCGAATTCAACTAGGACCACCAAGAAAAATACTGGGGTGGAAGCATCACGTCATGAGTATCCCCAATCAACAAATGTGTCTTCTCCGATACAGCAAGCCGCATCCCGGCGAAAAGTCAAGCAATACCGTTACGAAGAGAAAGGTGATGCCCAACTCCACCGTAACGGCTATGCGCGTGATGAGTTTGTGGTCTCTGATAATGATCCTGGAGGCGCCGAGAGCACCGATAGCGATGATGGATTCGAGCCAATTCGTATTGCTGGGAGATCAAGGAAAGCGCCGAACAAGGAACTTGGACCGCCTATCACCACCGATGAAAAGCTTACCAGTCTCAACGCCATGCATGTGCTCGTGCTCGAAGATTTTATGCACCATGCAAAATTGGTCAGTAATAAGGTGAGTAAAATATCACGACAATATAAAATGTTGGGATATAGATTCTCACACGCATGACTCTATAGATTATTGTGGACAAAGGACTTCGCTCTCAACCATTTAGCGACACCATATTGCGAGAAATGGCAATCAATTTCCCCAAAAGTATGTACTTGATGTAAGGGCCTCTGAATTTACATAAACTGACTCTGTGTCCTACAGATAAGGAAGAACTGCTTGAAATTCCGGGCATTGACCCGGAAAAGGTCAGGTTCTACGGGGAAACATTCTTGAAGCTGGTCTCGAGCGCCGAGAACCGATATACGACGCTGATGCGAGAGAACGAGGACCGCACGGCAGATCCAAACCAGGCCAATGTAATTGATATCAGCAGCGACGAGGGGGACGGCTTTGCTGCTGGCGCCTTTGGAGAGGTCGACGAATTCGGTGATCTCGATCCATCGCAAGAGCAACGCAGTTCATATTTTCAATCCGTGCCCGAAGTTGATGCTTTTAATGCCCAGTGTACGTTTGAGTGCAATCTTCAAAGCCTTTCCTAAAGTCTGACACCGTTGCTGACTTCCTTCTCTGAATACAGTCACTCAATTAGAGCCACCCGCTCAAACTTCCCGCTCCGAGCCCGCGGGTCAAACCTCTGGACCCTCTCGAGCTTTTAGCGACAAAGTAAATAGCCGGAGCCGATCAAAAAGTGGAACGGGCTCCGGCGGGAAGAGAGGCTCCTCCCGAGCTGGAGGTAGCGGAAATAAGAGCCAAAGCCAAAGTAGAGTGACAAAACGGTCAACAGGCTCGAGAACAAGCGGCGGCAAATCAGCAAGCGCCTCGAGCTCCAAACAAAGTGGCGGTCGACAAGCTACTCTGACTGGCGGTCGAGGAATCGGCATGATGCCGATTTAGCTATCTCGCCCGTCGTATGATTGTGTTCTCTTTGAATTGTTTTTTAAATCTGCATGAGCGAATATCTTTCCCAAGCATTCTTCTCTTTCTTGATGGCCTTGTCTTTTTCTATTTACTTTTCATCAATCTGCATGATATCATATGGCGTTTGGGACGGCGTTGTAGTGTAATATGCAAGGGGACACAAGAGAAACACGGAACCGGCGCTTGCAAGGCGACAAATATTTACTCTCTATGGTCTCGCCTCTAGATGATTTGTCCTCGCGCTGATACTCCCTGAGGGCAGATATATGAGGGGGTCTTCTTTCAGCTTGTTGCTAGCCTGTTTTATCTTAGGATGAGTTCTGTTTTTTTTTTTCTTTCTTTCTGGTCGGTAGAATCGGTGTTGGCATCCTCACATTGTATATCGGCTCTGGCGCTTACCTTTTCGTTGGCATTTTTCATTTCCTTTGCTGCCATCTCTCTTTTGAACTAGTACGTTGTATAAGTCATGTCATGACAGAACCACTTTTATCTCTTCATCCGCAAGACTCCAACGCAACGTCATGACATCTTTAGATTATAGGACTATCATTTTCACTATCGCCATCTTTTCGTGCCTAGTTGCGTCAAACAAGCATCATGCATTTATTTACTATTATTTTTCTTTTTTCTCTTTTCAATCAAAAGAGATATATACAGGTTCATTATCACGACTCCCGGTCGTCAGAAAGATATGCACATCCAAAACACATAGAAACCCTTTCCTTCCCTCCCCCTCCCCATCCTTCCCCCTCCCTTTCCTTCCCTTCCCCCTTCCCCCGCACTCTACTCCCTATAAATCTCAAAGTTTCCACACGCACTAATATTACCAAAATACCAACTATGCGCATCGAGATCCAGCCCCGGCGGCTCGCCCGTATTTCCACTAAGATTCACATCGCCCGTCAAGACCTCAATCACGCCGGGCGTCACGGGCACCTCGTTCCCCGTGGTTATCCAATACTCGGGACTGATATGCACAAAGCCCAGCAGGAGCGGCGGCAGGCGGGGCACCGGATCGTCGTAGTGCGTTACCCTGTAATTGCCCGCGCCGGGGTTATTCGTGATATAGTCGCTCAGCGGCGCGGGCGCGATCCGCGGCGAGCCGAACGTGTATAGTGCCGCGTTGTACCCGGCTTTGCGCAGCTCGGCGGCGGCGAAGTCTGCAATCGCGCCGCCCAGGCTATGGCCCGTGACGACGACTTGGTAGGACGGGTGTGCGGAAGCGGCGGCCTCGACTGCCGCGAGGACGCCAGACCGCGCTTCGACCCAGGATGTCCAGAAGCCTTGGTCCGCGGAGCAGCCGGCGCAGATGTCGGTGGTGACGAGCGGGAAGTCGGCGTCCGCGAGGAAGTTCCGGATGGAGTTGGACCCGCGGAAGGAGACGACGATGAGGGAGTGCGTGGAGTCGATGGCGACGAAGCCGGTTACGTCTGTTAGGAGGGAGCTGGATGTGTGTTAGGGTGGGATAGAAAGGCGGGTGGGGGAGGGAAAAGAGAGGGAGGGACAAAAAGGCGGAAGGATAAGAAAAGTTGAAGAGTGGGAGAAAGAGGGGTAGAGGGAAAGAGGTGGGAGAGAGTGGGACAAAAGAAGAGGAGGAGGGGTACTTTTGAAACTCAAGAGAGGTAACGGTATTGGATGCCTCTACGAGGGGACAGTTGCCCGGCGGACAAGTGACTTTGTTGCCGGGAGAGTTGTTGTTGTTGGCACAGTACGCCGCGGCGGCGTATTGCTCAAACAGGTTAAATTTGTTGAAGAGGTCTTGGCTGATTGCTGTTAAGCGGTCTGGTTAGTTAATCTGTCTCGTTCAATGAGCGGTAGAGCTCTCTTCGAATTGAGACGGAATCAGGGGGTTTCAGCAATGGGCAGAGGAAAAAGAGGTGATCGGAGTATTATCAATGTCGGATAGAGAGTTAAGAGTAGATCAATGAAAAAGCAATGAGAGAGAGAGAGAGAGGGAGGGAGAGCAAGGCGAATTGACGTCAGAGGGAGACTGGCGCAGTAATAAGTCCATGGCAAAACGTCCCTTATAGCAAGAAATAAGAATGATAGAGAGACAAATATGAAGGGACAATTGGTTTTGGAGGGCATTCGTCCATTCGAAAATCACAGAATAAGCAAAGACAAGAAATCGAAAAAGAGGTGTGATGCAGCAAAGATGGGATTGATATATTTGTGAGTTGAATCGATCCGAAAAAAAAAAAAAAAACGAATAAAAGAATAAAAGAATAAAAAAAGAAAAAAAGAAAAAAGTTGATGCTATCGTTGACGCCATATCAAATGAAACTAATCAAACATACATCCTAAGGAATAGGAAGAAAGAAAGGAGAGGATAAGGGAATCTATTGCTTACAGCGAGTTTCCAATGGTGCGGCTTGAACTGAGACGACGCCAATTGCAAGCGCAATGGACAGCAAATTCCACGAAACCATATTGAAACAAACGGTTGTATGTTTCCAAGGGGAGCAGTAAAGGCAGAGGACTGCGACAGCAACTGGAAAGATTGACAAGACGTCAAATAGAGCAAGCAACTCAACTATTTCCACAAGAAATAGGCACAGCAAAGCTGCCTGCGCAATACCGATATTTTGCACAGGAGTGCTTGAGATCGCTGCTGGGCTCAGTCAAAACGAAATTCCTACCGCAAAGGCTGCCATGCTAGCTTTATATCCGCATCATGTCTCGCTGCCTTTTTCCGGCCATCCGCCTCCTCATCGTCTCCCGAGGCGGGGTGCTCTCAGCAAAGAGCATTTGGCATTTGACTCCTCATTTCCTCATCTCCTCACATATCCACATCTGCCCGATTGAGTGAGCCTAGCGGCTGGACCCGAGGCCGAGATATAATTATTTGCCGTCCCGTCAAGCCATGCCGCTGGCTTAGCAAGGGTTTGATTTGGAAACGGCCCTAGCTTCTGACATGTCCACTTCAAGGAATCAGATCTCGAACCATGAGGGCGGCGCTAAGCCTCGAGGCAGAAGATGCGAAGAACATTTGCCGTGACATTTGAAGAGTCTTGCAGCAAGCTCAAGCTAGCGCTAAAGAAAGGGAAAACCAAGCCATTCGTGCTGATTGGACTGCCAAAAGAGGAAAAAAGGAAAGAAGCCAAGTGCATCCAGGAACGAAGCAGACGCCTCAGACCACAAAGAAACGCGGGGTAAAAGGGATGGAAGGCGAGGAAGCGCAAGGGCGGAATCATGCGGAATAGGAGTAGGTCAGGCGTTCCACGGAAAGGATAGATTCGTTTCCCGGTCTGGCCGGAGGTAGATCCTGAACGGGAACAGGAACAGGAATGAGGAAAACATGGCGGTGTGTTTGTGTAGTGTGTGCGCCTCCGGGAATCAGCCGATGCCGAGGGATGAGCCAGTCGTTGCAGAATACCGCAACGTTGTGGTTGCGCGTCTTAACCCAGAAGCTTAAATTGGGGTGATGCACTTTGCGTTAGTGGCCCCTGATGGTGCCCTATAGGAGCTATTGTGCAAAGGTGCGCTGTCCAGTGATACACTGACCATGAAAGGGCTTTAAAGAACCAAATATGACTGTAGCATCACGGTCATGCGATGAATTAGCGCTCAATGTGGATGCATTTGGGAGATATTGCAAGCCCCAAGAGCACGATGAAAGTAACATCGTCCACTGTTTAATTCAGGAGAACAGATTGAAGCAGATGACCAATGAGACGCGAGAATCGGCATATCGTAGAATCCCGGCATCAAGAAAAGAGAAAGTCATGGTCTGGACGATCTATCGATTTCGGGATCGGCGGTATGCACTGACGGATGCCTGACCAGAATGGGAAAATTGACAAAATGCCACATGAACCTTGCGTGGACCACTTGTACTTGGGTATGAAAGGCTGGACAACTAGGGTCTGGTGACGAATCCACATACAAATAATGTTGCGACGCGCCCGCCGAGTCCAATAGAATTTGAAAAGACATGTATGCCGATTTCATGGCTTTCGTTTGTAGATCGTTAGTGCAAATCAAGCACAAGCCACCGTAACCATCACATGGGTTGGTAGGGGTCAGGGATTGGCCAATAAGGCATGACATATAAGGCACTGCAGTAAATCCCGGGTGATGGTTGTACCATCGTATACTGTAGATACAAGTTGGACGCACTCGACGTACTCGACAGATTCATGCCTTCTTTCGGTATCAGTATTTCTTTCTCTCGGCCAGTAAGACCCCAATGCTGTCTTCCCTCTAATCACGCATTGACGGACACCCTACTGTATCGTAGAATCAGAAGCTCAGATAGCCATCACTATGACTCTAAACACCGAGTTCGTCTTGAAGTCGTTCTCTCTGCCAAGCGACAACGTGGCAAAAGACGTTTTGGCCTTCCGCAATGCGAAGGACAATAGAGTCGCCCTGTCAGATATATCTGGCAGAGACGAATATGTGACCTCGTATTCATTTTTGCCCCCTCGGCTTCAGATTTAGTTTGAAGTGGTGGAGGCGGTCGAATTGCAAAATAATACGATGGCCTCTTCATTCAGTATGAGGATGACCAGCATCAATAACATTCGGTCGCTAGAAATTGCTTGTTGTAGAAGCACAGTTGCTTCTGCAGCTGGGCTTTGACGGCTTAACTGTTGGAGAGGGTCAATATGAAGGTTCAGTTAACAGCAATCTCCACGCGCGGATAAATTGCCGAGGATCTGCAAGTCACAGGGCGGCCCCGCTGCCGGGCGGTATCTTTCCGCCATGGCAACCTTCTCCGCCGGATGATTTACTGAAGATGGAAGGCCATAAATCGCTGAAACCATAGCGTCTTACATGATTTCGTGCGCGTTGTTGCAGCCTGATGCATCGCGGACTGAAAAAGGTGTACCTCTGTCCCGGCAAAAATATATGACCCCGCTCACTGCCTGGCACCTAGTTCCTTGGCGAAGCTGACAGCTATTGGCAGGGATTCCCTTGGGAAGGTTAATTCGACATTTGATAGTATCATTTTATCGGATATACATGGCGCAGGAAAATATCCAATATTATGTGGCTGAAATGCTTGAGAAGAGCACCGACATTGTCCGATGAGGAGCATGACTAGTTTGCTCAAGTGATCGGATTTCGGCAACCATCACGGTTCTGCAAGAATCTATCAACATGGTAGGAGGACAATTCATTGTTCAGGGCGAAGAGCGAAGAGCATTTCGACTGCATCAAAATCCATTCAGGGACTTTTATAGGTTGAATTCACTTGACGAGGAAGTGGATTTCGGGGAGAATTGATTTTCTGAAAGAATAGAATTATATCCTAGTCTGGTATCCCAGAATGGGACCATGACGGGTGATAGTGATCTTGAGAAAGTCATCGCTTGTATGGCATTCTATATGGGTATCAATATTGCTGAATGTTGAGTTTGCCATGGCGTGATTTCTGCTTTGATAATCTAACCAGAGGATCTTCCTTTTGTGCGAACCAACCAAAACCTTTACCTAAACGCCCCATTAACTTAAAACATACAAGCCGTGCGAGAATCACAACCATGATTACTTGTATTCTCGCAAGAAAAGGTTGCGGCTCCAACCATCCTCTTCGACAACAACAGTTCGAACGAGACGGTAACCCCGTAGCTTGGGCCAAACAATGGCCCAGATGAGCCAGTAGATGGCACCGGCACCGAAGATAGCAAAGCCGACGACGCAGTGCAAGTAGTACGGCAAAGTCTTGTAAATGTTTTGACCATCCTGAGGAGGTACAAAGGGTGCAAGGACGAGATAGAGGTTACTGAGGAGGAAGAAGATGGTGACTGGAAGGGTGGCCTTGATTGGAGGACTCCAGTTGAATTTGTCCTTGTTGAAGCATATATAGGCCAGGCCAGCAGCAACAAAACAGTTGACAACAGCGAGCGGGTAAGAGATGACGTTGAGGATAAAATTGTAAGCATCTCCAGGAGGCGGTGCCAACATGATGATCACCGAGACGACCCAGTGCTCAAACAGACCAGCCAGCGGAGCGTTAAAGGGCTTGTTAGACGCCCAGAGCCTTGACCAAGGTAGGATACCCTCACGACCGAGTTCTTGGACCAGCCGACCTTGTGAGAAAATGACACTCAAGACGTTTCCAAAGGCGGAGAGCGCAATAAAAACCGACAGAGCCTGCTCGGCGCGAGGCCCAAAGACGTTTCTGAAGAAGGAAGCAGCGAGCACGCGTCCCGAGCTCAGAATTTCGTCCTTGGGAACGGCAGCAAAATAAGCAATGTTGCAGAGCATGTAGAAAATGCCGACAACAGTCAGTGCGAGCGGCCCGGCAATCTTGATTGTCCGAACAGGGTTTCGCATCTCGCTCATTGCGTAATTGGCATTGCTGTAGCCGATAAAACTCCAGATGACATTATACAGAGCCGTAACGACACCATAAGCAGACCCAGTGGTGCCTTCAAAAGCATTATCGAAGTTGTGGGGATTCTCAATGTGCATATGACCTCCAAGGGCAGCAAAGCCAGAAATGATGATGATAACCATGATCAATAGCTTGATGATGCCAAGGAAGTTTTGAAGCCGCAGACCCCAATTAAGAGCCAAGCCGTGGATCAAGAAAGCAGTTGTAATACAAGCCAGGCCGATACCTCGCTGGTTCCAGCGATTGACCTCAACCTGGGCAGCGTTGAGAATATACTCGCCAAAGATGACCGAATTGGATCCAGCCCAGCCTAAAAAAGAGATATGAGTATAGATTCTGGGAAGAAAACTAGACAAATATTGAACAGTCTTGGAAGCTTCTTACCAAGAAGAATGACATATCCGGTGTATACTCCAGTGGCTAAGAACTTTGGCCGCCGATAGACAAACTCGAGATAGTTCTTTTCGCCTCCATTCCGGGGCAATGCAGTTCCGAATTCCAGATACACGGCCATGCCGGCCGCAGCAAACAGGAATCCAAACACCCACATGAAGAGGGACAAGCCGACGCTTCCACTGAGCGAGAAGATGCTGCTAGGTGTGGAAAAGATGCCAGCCCCAATCATCCGGTTGAAAATGAGGAACACTGCCGAGGTCAGGCCAATCTTTCTTCTGGAATCACTTGTTTGATAGGCGTTCTCGCCCTCCTGGACGGCATCCTCGACTCCAGCACCATCCTTCTCCTGGCTTGTTGCAGAAGTGGCATACAGTTGGACTGGAATGTTGTCCTTGGGTTCGATGTTTGTAGCCGACATATTGCTATGATTATCCGGGTAAAATGACCACCATATATTGGCAAAAACAATCACACAGTTGCAATGAAGCACGGCATGAGATTAAAATTGACAGAGACATCTTTCGCATTTTAAAACTTTTTGTAAATCCTTCCAGGTCCTTTGCAAACTTGAAATGATTCACGATTTCCATGACGAAGAGAAATTGCGCCATTGAAGCCATTGTATTTTGAAGCAGCCAAAGGGATAAAATTTAGGTAACGCATTGGACGTTTTGGGCAGGAGACACGGCTTGACGTCGAATGATTAAAGTTGATAGGGTTAGTGTCTCCTGTCACTCCCTTTGGGCGTCGCGGTGTTAATGGCGTGCTCGCTTGCGCTTCTTCCCGCCACGAACTTTTGCTTCTAGAATTGTCACCTTGATGCCTCGAGTCGTCAACCCCAAGGGAGGAACAACTGCCAAGCTTCGGATGATCGTCCATTTTCATCAGATCATTTTCCTCTTGCGCCATTCCTAAAACGCGCAAAATTTCATGTGTTTGCCGAGCGAAAGACAGGGGAAACGCTGATCATTTCAAAGTTATGCCGATGCTAACCGAAACCGCGCTTCATTATACTGAGAGGATGCCTCATTGTTTGTCCTTACAAAGGGTAGGATATTATAAGCCGAAAATGCAAACAGCGCCGTCAAATGTAGCAAAAGAAGATCGACTGCTAAAGAGCCCAAGCCGCGCCTTTTGGAAATGAAAACCTGGAATCTCCCAATTCAAGTGATTCATCCTGACTCCACCCATGCAGAACTTGAAAACTCGAGAGAAAAGCGGAACGCATTACGAAACAATGGTGCGCTCGTTGAAAATATCTGCAAGCAGATCCTCGATGCAGGTCTGCACATCCGGTGGACCCATGTGATAGGTGCTTTCAAATTCGTAAATGCTCAATTGGCGGAAAAAGGGCCGCAGAACCTTCGCAAGAAGGTCGTCTTTCGGCATGTCTTCGAAGCTGCTCGATTTTAAAAGCGGTCGTCGACTGTCACGAATTGAATGACTTGACCCGATACTCGCATGGCCAGCATGCGCATTGGAAGTTGATGTCGAATCAAGCTCCTCGGAGACCTCATCAACGAGACCAGTGGCATGCCAGTTCTCCGGGCGATAAACAGCATCAATCGTATCAGTGATGAACAAAAATTCGTGAAGCTGAAACTCGTCTGGCGCAATAGTAAGGAGGGTATCAAGAAGCTTGCAAGCCTGTAGGAGAGAGAAGCTATTGTACGTATCAGACTGTTCACCCGGAAACGCAGACGAGATTGCGTCTCTCAGTTCTGAGTTGATGAGAGGCCAAAGCGAAGCCAAGTGCACGGCCGAGTTTTTAAGGACGATCGCACGGATCACCATGAAGACTTCGGCACGCGTTGTAGAGGATGGTGATGATGCGGCAGTGGCGGTCATGAGTTCAGCCAACTTCTCCTCCAAGCTTGGCAAGTTAACGACAAAATTATCATCCTGATTTGCAACAAGCAGAGCTGCTATTCGCCGAAGATTTAGCTGCGCCTTGCGATCAGCTTCTTGGCGGGCCGAAGACGCCCCGACTCCAAACATTATACCGGCTGCAGTAGGTGCGGAGATACCTCTGAGTAGTTCTGTCAGACGATCCTGATCACCAAGAGTCCACTGCCGGAGGAGTGACAGCCAATGGCTCTGTACATAGGGCAAAGGGGTCGAGAAATAACGAGGATCATTGAAAGCATCCGCAACATCCTTTCTCCAACTTTTTGACGCATTTGCCAGTTTTGATAGCTGGTAAAGTAGATCCAGCACACATTTGGTGACAGTAAAAGGGAACGTCTTGGCCCTAAATATCGGCGCGATGACATTCGTGGAGATAATTGAGGCTACTGTGGCTATTCGATCCGGTTCAACCACGACCTTGGGTAAATGGGGCATAGTGGTTGATAATATTCCAATCACATCATCGTATCGCGCTGCCTTCTTCTCAGCGGATTGTTCAGAGCCTTCCTTGGTCGCAGCCACGGTTTCTGTCATAATTGGCGGCGGAGAATCTTGGGAAATTGATACAGGCTTAGTCGCGAAGGTTGCAGAAAGAAGGCGGACGAACAGTTCCTGTACGTTCATCAGTTAAACCATTAGCTTCGACGACAAGCGCTTACTTACTCCTAACTCTTTCCGCATCTTGCGCTGTTCTCCAAAATTTGTTTCATCCACTTTTTCACCAAGGATACTCATGAATTCTAGCAGCCTAGGAAGGGTGTGCCGATGTGGGAAAGGGTTCGAGAGGACATCCCGCAGGAACGTTACACAGTCTGCCCATATCTCGTCCATTGCGTCCTCTTCTAGAGAACGGGCGTAATCGACAAGAAAATCGACCATATCAGGACCTGACAAATTTGATGTGAGACTAGATTTGCGAAGGGGGTCGAGGGCACCAGGGTTCGTCCTGCTGTAAATGGCATTGAAGATTGCGGGAATCGTGTTTTTCGGCCGTGAGCCGTCCAGGACATGGAGCAGCTGAATAATTCGAGAATTATTAGCGTTGCCTGCTGCTACTCTTGAATCGCGCCAGATGACTACAAGCGTCTCCAAACATTCAAGCTCCTCGGCCGAGAAGAGGTGTTCTAAAATTCTTCTCGCGCGGTTACGCACTCTCAATGAGGTAAATGCGAATGATGCTGGAGGGTTGAGAATATCAGCGGAGCCTTCCGACGTCACATTCTCCCACGACCATATCTCGTAGCATATTCGGACGCTGTCTTGAAATGAGAGTACTATCGTTAAACGATCATTAGTGGACGCACTGCGTGCTTGGTTTGCCTCACTCGTAAAGACACCAGATACCATATTTCCAAAAAAGCCCTGCTGCTGGTCCGGGCTTTTGACATTGACACTTTTTGCCTCGTCAATCACCAATCGTTGGTGGGCTGTTGCCAGAACTTGTTCCAAGCCATTCAAAAAGGCAATCACTGCGGAGTCCGGTGAAAATTCCTGGACGGCTCTCTTGTTTCTGAAGCTAGCTTTCAGCACCTGGAACGTATTATTGGCTTGGGCACAGAGACACCCCACTAGAGGTAATAGAACTTGATAGATCGTGTCCGTAAAAAGCGGGATACATGCTGCAAGAAAGTTTACCCAGTTATCCAGAATCAACCGCCCTGACGGCGACGAGAGTCCTTTCTGAATGCATCCTATGAGGTCTCGACACAGGTCAGGGTCGATGGATCGTGGTGAGGGCATGTCAATTTGCTCTGCAGAGGTGGACAATCGTGACAGCCTCCTCTCTTCTTTTGACACGGACTTACGTTGTGTCACATGTTCGTTGGACGTGGAGGTGAGGAATCTTAGTTTTAATGCAGCCAGAAGGGCGTCCATGAGCGATTTCTGAAGGAACGTTTCTTCGCCATCAAGAACGGAGAGGAGTCTCCCCATCAGAAATTGCTCGACTTCAAGCTGATCAAAAACGCTGGGCCCACTAGGGCCAAGCATGAGTTGCTCCAATACCGCTACCGTTGAGCTAAAAATCTCGGATCCTCTTGCTTGCTTTTTCTTGTCTTTTACCGGCTCGTAGTCTTCGAGGATCTGAACACAAGTCTGGACAATAACTGTCTGCAGATTGATACCACTTGCTTGGGCTGTTGACATGAAATAGTTAGAGAGAGTATATACGAGATATGCTAATCAATGATATGGCACTTACTTGCAGAATCTTTTCCTTGTCCGGCTTCAACCGCCCCTGATATGAATCTATGGTTCAAAGCCTGAGAAGCATTTTCGGGAGCCAGTCTTAATACCTTTAGCAATGTGTCTAAATAGTATAGAGAAGTTTCGAAATCACACTGCGCTCCAAACTCGCCCTCGCCTAAACCTGAGCTGGCGATCGTCGACCGCTCCGCCCAAGTTGTCTGGAGCTTTGAGAGGATGAGCACAAGAATTCTTAGGAAAGTTAGTCCGGTTATTTCGAGATCAGGTAGAACTGTCGAACGAGATCGAGATACTTTACTTACTTGTCGATGCTAAGGAGCGTTTGGAGCCAACTCCTGACGAACATGAAATTCCCAATTTCTTTCTCGGAAAGACCATCCAGGAGCAGGAACAATGGCCGAGTGAGCATTGTCTCAAAATTTCCCGCTGCTACTCTGCTTGGTCGCCGATCACCTTCAGACGCAGTTGCAGGAAGCGCCTGCCCACTTTCGGGTTGTACTTGTACGCTGTGAGTCCAAAGTACCGCAAATCTGTTGGCGGTGTTCATGTCATGCTCTTCGTAAGCTTCAGCCTTTGAGCCGTGTATCACGAGCCGAGAAATAACTGCCTCAACCTGACGCTCCATCGGAGTCAGAGATTCGAGATGCCAAAGACATCGAACGGTCTCAACGTGGTATTTCGGTTGGGCCGGAGACAGCAGATCCCACGCTCGTTGCACAAGTGGATCCACCAGCTTGGTGATTTGGCCTTCCAAGTCATGGCCGGGATTACCAGATGACAAAAGAGCTGAGGTGACGGTTATTAGAGCAGAGAAGATTGAGTACGACAGGTCAATGTCTGAAATATCATTTGATGATTGCAAAGCGAATTGGAATGCTTCAAAAAGCTCATTCCGATCGATCGACTCTGGCCGGGGGAGTTTGTTTAACATTGCCACAAAGAGCTTTGTTCGGTACTCGATAGATGAAGCTGACTGCGAGCGAAGACCCCGAGACAATGACCCGGAGACCTCATATAGAAGCAACTCGCCAACCTCCTTTGCTGGGAAAGGCGGGTTTGAAATGTCGAGATTTCCTTGTGCCTGAACATAGAATCGTCTAATCTTCCCTAACAGCTCGCCAGGCTTGGAGATAGACGGCTGGCTTGGTCGTCGAGGAGTAGTGGACAGTTCAGTAGCAGTACTTACGAGAAAGGCCCGCTTCGGAATCATTTCCATTAGATGGTTGGCGATACTCAAAGCTTGGCTTAGAATCCGCTCTTCAGAATCGGAATTCCCTGATGATTGTTTCACATCTCGCGACCTGACCAATGCTAATAGGGCAAGAGTCACCAAAGGCATATGAACGATCAGCATCTCTTCTTCCCTGATGTTGAAGTGATTAACAATAAAGTCCACAAGATCAAGCTTTTCTTGTCTTATACGAGCGTTCAATGAGGTATCATTCAAGGCAGCTGTAACCAGACCAAAAATCTCGCCCCATATCAAGCCACTTTCCACACCGTCGAAAAAAACACTAGCACTTCTGAGTACTTCAGAAAAATTATCATATGAGGTTGCAATATGCTCATAGGATCGAACATTCTCCAGCGCAGGGAGAAAGATTGCTGGTATCAGCAGCTCGCCAACTTCCCAGCGATCCATTAGAGACAAGCATATTTTGAAAGGTCGAGCTCTTTCCCCAGGCGCTTTTATTGGACGATCGACAAGTGCCCTGAGGCTCCGAATCAGCGGCTGAAGCCCGAACTTTTTCAAATAGTGGGCGTGATCAGGTCTGATATTAGTATCGCCAGACGACGGCGTATCAGGTACACGGTCATTCTCCGAGGTAGAGGATGATTCAGGTCCTAGGAGCCAGACCCATAATCGCCGATTCAAGCTCATGTCTCTGCGAGCGACCACGCCCGCCGCAGCCCCAACTAGTTTCTCCAGGTCTGCCGGGTTTGCCTTGCTTTGCAAAACCGATGAATCTAGCGGCAGATGTGTTACCAGTAAGTCCAGGAACCCTCTTTGGATGAGGATATTTTCGTCGGATAAGCCTGTTATGAAGCATCTGATCAAAAGGCCTGGCTCCGGGGACACAACATCTTCTACTGATGAAGGGCTTTCTACAGAGTCGACCCCATTTCCTTCAATGGATGTGTCCGACTGCACTGATCCGCGACGAGGGTCGACTCCGAGTTTCGGTAGCCGTCTGGCAAGAAAGGCCAGTGCACCTTGCCTCCTGCTTGGGCCCGTAATAGACGATAAGAAGAAGCATTGCCAGAAGTATGAATCGCCAGTTCCGTAGATCTTGTCCAACGTGATCGTCTCCTTGTCTCTGAGGGCATCTCGGAACCCGTCTAGAATTCGAAATGTGCGCTCAAAATCTTCGCTGGTCTCTTCTTCTAAGCCAGGAAGCAGGGAGAGAATGATTGCTTTCAGGGCAGGACGGAGGGCAGTTTTATCAAGTCTAAGTACGTGTTCTTCCAGGAGCGATAGAAACGCGGGCCGAACGGAAAGAGAGGCGAATGACAAGGTCGGAGTCAATCCTGGAAGATACTGGGGCAGGTCGCGGGCTAGGTGTTCTCTCTGCAGTTTGCGCAGCATTAGTGACATTCCACTAGTGGTAAGTCCTGCAGAGTCTTGTACATACGCCAATTGTGGAGAATATGAATGCGTAGACGTCTAGAGCTTTTTGATGCACGCCGGACGGCAGGGAAGGGTTCATGCATTGTGCCAGGCGCTTAGCAACAATCGTCTTATGAGGAATTACGGTGATATTAGGAGGATGTGTTTGCAGAGCCTAAAGTTCAATGCATCAGCTTCTGTCAAGTTAGGAGGGACTAGTTGATGCTGACTTTGAGCAGGCGGCCTAGGAATGAAATGTAGTCTGCCCATTCTTGCAAAGCAGTCTCAAATAATGCTAACACACGAGCTACATTGGAGGCATATCTTCGATATGATTTGTCCTTTTTGAGTTCCTCTAAAGACGCACGAGCAAGTCAATTGCTGTCCAATTCTTTTGAAAGTTTCTGAATAAATAAGAATTGTAACGTACCCTCTTCAACTCTGGACTGAGCCAGATGGTTTATAGGGGAGGATCGACCAGAGCTTGCTGGGGAGACAGACCGTGGTCTGAAGCCAGGCTCGAGACTCATCGCGTCTCACAATTCAAGAGTCGACACTCGTTACATCTAGAACTAATTGACAGCAGTTTGCATATCGTTATATCCTTTCTGGGGAGCTTCACGCGTCAGTGTGGCTGTTCATGTTGTGGTCACTTGTCCTTCGCGGTTTTAGTTGTCCTCGTCTGCCGTACTAATCTATCAAGATAACCGTCATAGTTTCTTCCCCAGATCTCCCCTGTCGAACCACAACAAAGTGCTCAGTACCTTCGAATAGAGGACGTGAGTCCGAGCGACTTGCTCTGCTAAGAGAGGGGATACATGGCCTAATGGAGGAGTCTAAAGAAAGCCAGAAAGAGTCTGGTCAAGCCGGCAATGGACAGCCATCCCCGGAGAGCTCCAAGCCGAGGACGCCAGAGCAGGAAGCTAGAATACCAGGTAATGGGGGAAATGGCAGCTCTGGGACAAATGTTGAGGGGCGTGAAGAGGCACAAGACAATGCTTTAGTTGCAGAGACAATTTCACGTACGGTTCACAGCAAAGATTCATCTGAAATTGACCGAGAGTCATCTGCCGAGACCCCTCCACCATTACCTCCCCGGCCAGTAAATCTGGAATCAACTGATGCGCAGAATACCTTGCATCTGTCTGGAAAGCAAGCCCGGCCCAAGTTACAATCACATCCGACGACTGCAGTGTCATTAACCGACATTAGCACGCAGGTAAACAATGAAGGAATTCGGGAGACGTATCCCAGCACCACTGGAGGCCTTACTTCCCCGCTGTCAGTCGCCAGTCAATTCAACAATCGGTTCGGGAGTCCAAAGAGCAGTGAAACAGAAGATACTGCTAGCATCAAGAGCTATGTCCCTACATTGGAGACGGGCGGAGATGTGGAAAGTCTACTTGGAGAGGTCCTGGGGAATGGGCAGCAAGACCCCGCCTGGAGGTTTATGACCGCTCAGGGCGAGAACCAGAACGCTGCCGATGAACTTCTGCCCGAAGATGCAGCGTTTGAGAAGGATTTTCAGAAGGAGTTCAAAGAGCTTGAAGCGATCAATGCAGAGGGCACAAATGAAGGTGGGTTTTACCGTCTACTGCGTTGCGATGGATCCGTACTTATAGTTTATCATAGAGGCTGTTCTAGACGCATGGACATCACGAATGAAGCATTTTCTCATCTTATCTGCTGCCGGCAAACCCATTTATAGTCGACATGGAGACGATAACATTACATCGGGCTACATTGGAATCATACAGACGATCATTTCCTTTTACCAAAACGCAGACGACACGCTGAAAAGCTTCACCGCGGGTGATGTTAAATTTGTTGTGCTCTCAAAGACTTCATTGTATCTAGTCGCTATCAGCCGGCTGGGAGAAAGCGATGGACAGCTCCGAGCGCAATTGGAAGCGCTTTATATGCAGATTTTGTCGACATTGACACTTCCACGGCTGCAAACCATATTTTCAAACCGGCCTTCTTCTGATCTGCGGAGGCCGCTTTCGGGCACGGAGCCATTGCTCTCTGCTTTGGCCGATACTTTTACTCGTGGCTCTCCGCCAACACTCTTATCCGCACTCGAATGTCTGAGACTCCGAAAATCGCATCGACAAGTGATTGACCAGACATTGCTCAAAACGCGGACCGAGAATCTCTTGTACGGATTAATTGTGGCAGGTGGACGGCTCGTCAGTGTCGTTCGGCCCAAGAAGCATTCTCTCCATCCTAGCGATCTGCAGCTGATTTTCAACATGCTCTTTGAGACAGAAGGGGTAAAGACTGCTGGCGGTGAGAATTGGATACCCCTTTGTCTGCCAGGCTTCAACAATACTGGATTTTTGTACATGTACGTGAGCTTCTTGAGCGCAAAGGAAGACGAGAACGAGGATGAGAGTCAAAGGCCAAGCACATCGTCTTCCTTCAACAAGGAAGAAGAGGTAGCTGTTTTGCTCATCAGTCCCAAAAAGGAGAGTTTCTACGAAATGCAGCAAATGCGTGATGACGTTGTTGAGGTGAGTGTTCCTTTCGAATTCTATACCTGATGGACGACAGTCCATTTACTTGTCAATCTAGCAACTTCAAAAGAATGGCAGCATGGACTTGATCAAGGCAGCCGTCCGTCGAGGACGACCTCATGTGACCGATGTGGTCCCAGGCACTGTACTGCGTCACTTTTTGTACAAGTCAAAAGCAAATGTTCAATTTGCTATGCCATCATTTGAGCCGCATTTCAAAGGCTTAGTCGCTCGACGAAAGTATGTTTCTTTGAATGGTTTAAGAACTTGATGCTTACGCGACTTGTAGGCTTTTATCGATATATCATACATTACATGCCAATGTGCATTCCAAAATCTCCCATCTCAAAGTCCATTACTGCGTCAGCCGGGACTCGATTTCACTCGCGTGGACAACACCTCTTTTTGAGCTGTACTGTGTTGCCGGCCCGTCTGCGAGTCGCGGTGCTCTCGCGCAAAGCGCAAACAAGGTTGTCCAATGGGCTCGAAAGGAGGAGGAGCGAATATTTATCATCGGAGGAGCTGTACGTACTTTTCAAAGATTTTTGTCAATTCTTCCTCTTGGTCCTCTGTTATTTTGCCCTTTACTTCCTGATCTTCCTTTCATCTTCACTCGCTAATCACTTGCAGGTATTCTAACATCTTTCGTCCTTACTAATTTCATCGCGCACATTCGCATCCTGCGTTGTGTTGCATATATCTCGGCAAACCAGGCGTTTGGCAGGCGGGCGGTTCTCCTGGCTTTTATATCCCATGGCACGTTTGTCATTTGTTTTTTTTTTTTTTTTTTTTTTTTTTTTTTTTTTTTTTTTTTTTTTATTTTTTTTTTCTTATATATGCATTGGTCATCTGTCGCATATCATCGCATCTTTCTCCTACTTCTCACACAAGTATTGCTCAGTTATATTCTCAATCTGGCACAGATAGACTTTCTACAAGAATATATATCTTTTTACCAGTGTATTGTATTTATGTTTGTATTCGTATATTGACAGCCAAATTCCACCCAAGTATCTCGTCTGATTAATCCTCTTCTCTCTTGGCTCAGAAGTCTTCCAGTTTGTAAACCTCATACGCCACCTCTTCATACGGATGCGCGCTACGAACACGTTAGCATATCTCTCCATATCAGCGGATTGTAATAGAATGCGTGATGCGTGACGCATGATGTCAGTTGCAAGTGTAAGTGTCATATCCAGCAATTCCCCAATGCTGTTCAATCGTCCCTCTAGAATGACAAACAAACGCGCCAAACCAAATTACTTTTTCTTATCTTTTTTTTTTCCTTTTCTTTCCTTTTTCTTTTTATTTCCTTCTCTCTTTTTTACTGTTTCTCTTTTCTTTTCTTTTTCTCCTTCTTTTTTCACGACATTGAGATGTAAATTCAGAATAGAAGAATCGAATAAATGAATGAACGAATGAATGAAGAAAAGAAGTGCAGAAAGAAAAAAGGGGGAGAGAGAGAACGAATGAATGAAACTATTAAAAAAAAAAAAAGAAACAAAAAAGTGATTGGGCGAATAGGACTATTATACTCATACCTCTTCAACGCATCAACCGCCTGACGAACCACATCCGTCCCCACACACAGCGTCTCGACACGCATCTCCTCGACTTTCTCCAGTACGCCGCGCGCCCCGATATTCGGATTCGCCGTGTCGCCCGGCATGAACTGCCCGATGCCCGGGATCTCGAAGCAGACCTGCGTGTAGTTCCCCGGACCAGGGTACCGGCCTGCACCGGCACTAAAGATGGCGGCTTTGCATGCTGCCAGGCTGGTATGTGGGACGGTGAAGACGAGCTTGTATTTTGCGACTGCTGCGGCTGCGGCAGTTGCAGAGCTGGCGAGTTTGGCGGCGGATGGAGCGGACATTATTTTTTTTGTGGTCCCCTTTGTCTTTCGTTGTTTTTCGTTGTTTTCGCTGCGGATAGTGATATTGTGAGAGCGGTTGGAGTGGTTGTTGTATTGTTTTGTTGTGTTGGAGGTGTAGTTATGTAGAGACGGTAGGTAGGTAGGTAGGTAGGTAGACGGATAGATGGTGGTTGGGTAAGTAGGTAGGGTTGTAGGTAGGTAGGTAGGTAGGTAGGTAGGTAGGCAGGCACAATATCTGACAAGAATGCAAATATGAGGTTCGACAACAGGATATCTCACGGGCTCGAGTCCTTGACGTGGGTTTAAATACAATTACATGAGTCACCTACAAAGACTACAACAAGCGCGGAAGATCCTGTTAGGGTCTTGGGTCTTGGGTCTTGGGTCTCGTCTTACGTATCAAAAATGAAAAATCTGAAGAGATAAAGTGCAAGTCTTGATCGCTATGGGAAAGATTTGACGTACAGTGTGTTACGGCGTCGTATATAACTCGGGGTGGATATGGAAACAATTACGGGCGGGTATAGAAATAGATAAGACGAGAGAATCTTGATCCCTATGGGAAGGATTTAACGTTCCGCTGCCCCTCTGTACTCCCGAGGCCCGCTAACAGTAACGTGGATCTCTAGAGTTAAGGTATGGTTCGTAACGAGAACATAGGCAGCGATAACGGCTGATCGCTATGGGAAAGAATTAACGTTTAGTGGGCCTAATTTACGGCACACGACTAAAGTGCCCCGCTGTTATGGCTCTGAAAGGGGGGAATATGGGTATAAGATAAGAAGTTATCGCTATGGGAAGGATTTAACGTTGAGGGGTACTTTGGATGGGGACCTACACTATGGGAATGTCCCCAACTGGAGCAGGGTCATTTGGAGTTGCTGTGCCTTGATATGTCCAGCTGCTAACGGGCTGGGCTCACTCGTACCTGGGCCTGCTAAATAGAACAAAGGGCGAAACGAAAAGGCGAGGCAAACGGTAGATACAAAGTAACGTCCGTCCATCGCTAAAGAATGGTGGACATGCGCGTTTTTCAGGTATAGTATTACTTGAAACTTCACTGGAATGAAAGCCACAGTTGAAGCCGAGCTACGAGGAGGTACAATTTTCCAGTTATGTCATAACTGTATGATAACATGATATTGTCAAATGTGGATAAGTCAGTTAAAAGGTGAGATTAAAGCAAAGACAACGCTACATAAATGAAAAAGAAGATGAAAAAGAAAAGTAAAATTAAATTAAAAAGGAGATTGGAAAGAGAGAGAGCGGGGGGAAAGAAGAAAAGAAGAAAAGAAGAAAAGGAGAAACAAGGGTGAATATAACTGGTAAAGTAAGCCAATGCTAAACTTGTGTCTTGAAAACGCCAGCTCAGAATAATATGACAGCATAAGAAAATACTATAGTCACAGTACTCTAGAAGGAGAATTTTCGAAGTGATTGTAAGAAAGTGGTATAGTGATATGATATAACCAAGGTGTAGCATGTCTAGCTATCTACATGCGCCGCTATTGCTCTAGCTATCTAAATATATTCTAGTCTAATAGTACAGATATATCATGCTCTTATGAGTCGGAAATCTTGTCTGACGCTTGTCTCCATACCATGCAAACAAGAATATCAAAGGAAAGAATAAAAGTAAAGAATAAAAGAAAATAATAAAATAATAAAATAAAAGAAAGGAATGATGATAAATTGAGAATAAAATGAGAATCAAAAACAAAAAAAAATGATAAACTGAGAATAAAAAGAGCATAAAAGGACTAAACGCCTTGCGCATTGGAAATAATCATGCGAGCAACACCCAACATGCAACATGCTAAATCAGTCTCCAATGCAAGGATTTACTACGCCAGAGCCTCACCGACCCAGTCCATCTGCACGCCACTGACGCCCCGCGCATAGCTCTTATTCGTAAACACAAACTCATTATACATGATAGCTTCGACCTTCTTCCCGAAAAGGCCCGAGGAGGGATGGATCGCGACCGTCTGGTTTCCGATAATCGTCTTGTACGAGCCATCGGGCATCATGCGGGCCGTGTTGTGGGAGAAGCCCTTGAGGAAGCAGCGGAGAATGAGACCCGCGCGCTCGGGGGTCACGGCATACGTGCGAGAATCATAGGCGACAATGTCGTCGGCGGAAATGGGCAAATGTGTGGTTTGGGCGCGGAGTTGTTTGCGTACGTCCTTGACGATGACGTTAGTATAGACTTGACAATTGAGCGTGAAAACTAGAAATGGTGAAAGAAGAAGAAGAAGAAGAAGATAAAGAAGAAGGGGGTGAAATGGGTCCCCGCGCTCTCTATTCGCGCCTGAAAAAGAGGGCAAAGAAATAAACGGGAGAGAAAAGAGCTTTGGAAATACAAGGACAAAACGAATATAAGAACAACTTACCATGACAGCTTGCATGGCTCGATGAGAGACAAAATGGCGTTCAGACCAGGCCTTTCGATCCGAATTCTCACCCGCATACGCCTGCACTGTGGCGAGCAAGGTCAAATGGTCGCCTTCGCGCCGAGAAATGTCTCTCCGAGCCGTCTCGGCCTCTTCCTTCTTCTCCTCCGACGTGAGATTCAAAAACACATTTTCCACGCTCAGTGCCGAAATGATATCAATCGCTTCCAAGAGACAATCCATGTCTGGGTTTGCCGCAGCCAGAAGGACCCTTCCGAGAGACGGCGTCAGCGGGAGTTTCGCGATTTTCAAACCAACCTCGCTGATGGCGCCGTCGTCCTGAAGCGCGCCCAGCTGGTAGAGTTGCAAAAGAGCCTTTTCCAGTGCCTCTCGCGGTGGGCGGTCCAGGAACGGGAAATTGATGATATCGTCGATGCCACGAGCCTTCATGGTGAGAATCGCTTGGCTAATGTCGCATCGAAGAATTTCAGGGGTGTTAGCCTGTGCGAGCTGCAGGTAGTCCTTTTCTGTATATAGTCTGTAGCATTGTCCGGGTGCTTCACGGCCTGCACGACCTTTTCGTTGAATCGCGGCGGATTTAGACAAAGGTTTGACCAGCAACGAGTCCAAACCGAGCCGGTTCCGGAATTGCTTGATTTTCACTTTGCCGCAGTCGATGACGTACCGCACGCCGGAGACGGTGACGGACGTTTCGGCAATGTTGGTGGCAAGAATGACTTTGCGGGTCTTGGGAGGAGTAGGTTGGAACACGCGCTGCTGAGCAGCTTGAGGGAGCGCGGCAAACAGCGGAAGCACGAGGAGCTGTTAAAATATTATTAGATACACATGAAACATGGGTCGGAAGGAAAATGGGAGAAGAAAACATACCTTGGGCAATTCAGGACTCATTCCCGAGGCGTACTCTCGGACAAGTTGCTCTAGATTCTCGACTGTATCTTGGCCAGTGAGGAAGACTAGAATGTCGCCCGGAAGAGGCTCCTTATAGTGAATTTGGAATATCGAATGTAGTGCGGCATCGACAAAATCTTGCACAGGCTCAGGGGTATAAAAGATCTTGACGGGAAACTGCCGACCTTCGATGAAACACACGGAAATGTGAGGAGACCCGAATTTGACCGGGTCGAATTCCGTAAATGGAGCGGACTCATCTCCCTCTGGGTTTCCGTTTTTGTGTTTCTTTACGAGGGCATTAGATTTGGAATCAGTGTTTGGCCCAGGCTTGGACACGGTGCCGTTGGGTGTTCCATAAGCCTTCTTTGAAGCTTTGTTGTCGTCCGACGATATTCCCGACCATTCAGTTTCCTCTTCGTCTTTCTTGATTGCCTTTTGCCCCTTTCCATTCACAGCAGCAGTCGGCTGCTTAAATCCTGCATCGAAAAACTTCAATAGACCCTCCATATCAGCAGTGGCACTCATGACCACCACCTTCAACGGTATTCCACCACGTCCCTCATTCTTGCCTGAGACCATCTTTTGCAAAAATCCCGCGACCAGATCCACGTTGACGCCTCGCTCGTGAATTTCATCCACCACAACAGCGCTGTACTGTCTCAGCCACGGGTCCCGTAACATTTCTTGCAAGAGCATTCCTTCGGTGAGAAACTTGATCTTGGTATTCCGTGAAATCGAGTTGTCGAATCGCACCGAATATCCAACTGTGCTTGCTGGTGATGAGTTTCCCAAGGGCGTGCCCATCTCCTCCGCTACACGACGTGCCAGCGAAATAGCCGCCACTCGTCGCGGCTGCGTAATAGCAATGCACCCTCCCACCGAGAGATCTTCAATCGGGCCTTTGCCATCCTTTGCCACCTTGACCATCTGCGGCCTGCACCAGGGTTCGGTAGACAGGAATTGAGGCACTTGCGTACTCTTTCCGCTACCCGTTTCACCGACCAGCAACATGACATTCTTCTTCGCCAGCGACTGGCGGATTTCGCTCTGATGCGCCCAAATCGGAAGATCCTTGCGCTTGGAGAGTAACGCATTGGCTTTTGCTTTTAGCGACGAATTGACCGGAGATCCATTTCTTCCTTTGCCATTGTTGTTCAGGCGCTCGGACTTGCCATTGAGCTCTTTGCCTGAATGTCCTTGGTGCCGTCTTTGTCCTTCTCTGTCATTGTCTTCACGCTTTACTTGATGCCGCTTTTGTCCGTCTCGATCATTATCTTCCCTCTTCCGCTTCTTATTTAGTACTTGCGATTGCTGTTGCTGTTGCTGCGAACTCTTCTCCCCATTCAGCTGCGGCGAATGCGGCTGTGGCTGCGTCTGTTGTTGAAACTTTTCAAACTTTTCTGCCTTCTTCTGCTTCTCCTGCTTCTCCTGCTTCTCTTTCTTCTCTTCCAGCGCCTTGTTTATATTAGTCGTTGCCGGGGCACGGTCATTGAAACCCTCGTCGTCAAATTTGAAATGTCCCTTTGGCGCCATGACAGTATACTGTATATTGATACGGTGGAGTTTCTGGTCCAATTCTTCAATCCAGCTTTTTGGTCCAGCTTCTCACTCCAGTATCTCAGTCCGGCTTCTCAGTCTCCTTCCTCGCTCCAGTATTCCAAGAAAACAATATCCCAACCCAGCAGACCGGTATCGTTGCGAAATTTCTAAAACTTTGCCCGACTCAGCTGCGCCGTGCTCTTAAAATAGATCGCTCAAACAATGCAACCTATTACCGCCCACGGCCAATTTTGGCAGTACGGTTTGCCCGGGAAAAAGGGAAAGGAGGAAACCGGTGCAACGGTGAAAGTCAAGCAGTGCTGGTGAGAATCGCAAGGGAAACTTTCCTCCCGACTTTCTCAACTTTTGCCGACCCTGCGCCGCGAAAACGGACAAACGCCCTTCACCGCCCTCGGCTACGGCTCGGGACTTGCCCTTTTTTTCCATCTTCCATCTTATCTTATCAAAAGCAGCGATCAATTGAGTGTTTACAGTCTGGATACTCACGTATGGTATAGAAATAAATCCGCAGTTCTACGGGGGAAACATAATCGAAATATATCACGTCGGGTCTTGCTGGACCAGGGAGTCTTCGATGATTTGAATTGCCACGTATGCTTGACGTGCAAAAATATAAAGTATTGACTGTTGGAGAAAGACTAATTGCAATATTCACGGGAATATAGGGGTGAAGGCAGTTTTTATAAACACGTATGAATATGACGAAGCATCCCATAGAAGGATCGCAAATAAAATGCGCTCTGAAAGTATTTAAATTGAATTTGACGTGTGCCTCCCGGGATGGTGGAGGGTTCTGTAGCTTCTTTTGGATATATACCTTTTCTGAAGAGGATAATAATAATGATACTAATAATGATAATAATATATTCCGAAAAAAAAAAAAAAAAAAAAAAAAAGGCTTAAAAGCCACAAATAAATCCAAAACGAAGAAAACTCGCCCAAACCAACTAAATCAAGATGGTATCCAAATACTCCAATCCATTACATATCAACTTTGTAACGCCTAAAAACGCAACTCCACATATAGCAGAGTTCATACCACAGAAGGCTGCGGAAACAATCGATCCCACTCATCCCAATCGATATCCAGCATGAGTTCGTCCGGCGACGAGGAGTTGGTAGACCGGGACTCAATAGTCGGCGGCGCCGATGGCTGCGGGGGTGGTGCGAAGAAGTACTGATAATTCTGTGCAATGGGTTTCTGCCCACTGGGAATGGCAGTAGGACTATATGCCAAACTTCCACCAGCATCGAAAGTCCTGCTCCTTTGACTTGTAACGCCAGGACCGTTATCAGACAAATTCGCGCTCGGACTAGTCACGGTCGCACCATGAGCAGCTGGGGTGTAAGGGGAGTCAGGATTCGGGACGTTTGTGTAGTTGGCGCCAAAATCAGGTTGCTGAACTGATTGATCGGCATAAGAGACAAAACCGAGGGGAGTGTATGCCGCTGGCGGCTTCACTGGTTGGCGGGATACGTCTGAAATTGGTGATGGAAAAGCAGAGGCGGGAGGAGGTAATTGCGTGGGTCGTTGTGGTGAGGACGGGCTCTTCGCCTCAACCTCTTTTGCTTTTCCTTCACTCTCCTTCTGATGTCGCTGCTGCGCAGCATAAGAGACATCTAATCGATTTTGAACACTTGCGACGTGTGCCGGTGATTGATTCGGAAGAAAGGTTGAGAAGGGTAGATTGAACCAAGATAAATTGGACGGAGAAGATGCTTGTGCTGGTTGGGAAGGATCACCCAGAGTACCCATATTTATACCTGTCACGCCTGCACTTGTCTCAAGTACGTCTTTTGCGGCTTCTTCTTGTTCATGTCGTTGCGACACGCGTGCAACCCTTGAGCCGACTTCACCCTCCAGATTTGCAGGCGCCCGCATCTTGCGAAGTTCACGATATACGTCAGTTCTGTCGCGGATTTCGGTCAACATCCTTCGCGCCTTCACCTCGCGGGGGAGATCAGAAGAAAGTTCAAATGTGTAGTCGAGGACCTTCCAAACTCTATCTGCGAGAGGCTGATTGGGATAAAAGTAGATTTCTATGAGCAGAAACAAGCCCGAGTGAAATTGCTGGCAAGTCCTTGAGAACCAGAGCCAAGGTCGAAGCTCAGGGGACGTTTCAATTTCAATGGCGGCTTCGAGCTGTTCCACAGCACACGAAATAGCCACCTGTCGTAGTCGATCTGGGATTTTCTTGTGCGGAGAAGCCATGAAACGGTGTAAGATCATGAGGAAATTTCTGTTAAAGTGTATCTGAAAGACGAGCCGCGCGTAACGGTGTAATGGAACGGTGTCGTCGAGCATGGTAAGGAATTTCTCTTGCATAGTACGACGGAAATTGTCAACTTTTCCAAGGAGATGGAGGAGAGTAATTTCCTTGCGCTCTAATCTTGGGCGCTCAAACCAAATCATCCGGTGGGTTTCATGGCATTCGAAGCGAACCCGGGCAAAGGTCATGTCAGTCCAAAACGGCGCATCTTCTGTAGGAGGAGAAGAGGATCCAAAAGCTGTGTCGTCGACATTGAGCGGGAATTTAGTATCGAAATCGTCACGCCGGATTGACGGTCGTGGACCGTGGGCGTCGCAGGACCGAATATCGAGATAGCACAGTTGATACCAGATGAGCCGGCGGACGTGCGTTTCAAGAGGAGACAGGCCGTAGTTGGTTCCGTCGCGATGGAGACCCATGCATTGTGCAATCCTGATAGCTGCTGCCACGAGAACGGCATGGGTACGAGAGAGTTGATCCCGACAGATAGGAATCTTTCCATGTAAGCAACCCGAATGACGCTTAATACCAGGAGGGATGTAAGAAGTGGTAGCCTACAAGATACATGACAAATGCCTGCAAAGTTTCAATCTTGGATGTGCGGAGAAAATTTGCCCGCGCCAGAGCAGACTCGGTGCCCAGTAAAAAGTTCTCTGTCAGCCGGGCTTTGTTCACGCCGAATTCGGAAAATGAGGTTTCCTCTGGCATGCTGACAATGGCAGAGAACATGGCCGCAAAGACAAGCGCTTGCAGTGATGCCGTAGGTTCAATGCCTAATGAGACCTGAGCCCAAAAGCTACGGTACTGCCGCTCAAACGTCGGTCGATGCACAACTCGAGCGATATAATGGACAGAATCAAAATACTGCCCAATCAGCCGGTCTGCGGCTGACCTTGAGGGGAGATAGTCCATCAAAGCGCTCCGCTCTGGAATGCCGCCGAAAAGAAAGCCTGGAGAGGGCTCGAGATACATCGGTGGAGGTTCCAAGGAGCGGCGGAGATCTTCTTTGTAGAATAAGGATCGAAATCCAGAGGACGAAAGAGGTGTATATTCCAATCCATCATCTGTGTGCTTCAATGCCATATCGATCTAAAAAAATTATATAGTCAGCGACAAAGCTGTATGGCGACATAACGCCCTGTGACGACGTGCCTCCTCTGCAAATTTCGGCCGGAAGAATCCTCCAATGCGCTCTGTCAGCCTGACTTTTCCCAGTTGAATTCCCAAGTCCATTAACACATCGTCCGCATCATCATCATAGACAGCATCCTCGATAGCGTTTGGGGTTGCTACTAGATGCTGCTCATCCAGCGAGTCTGAGTCATCTCCAGCTGCCGGTAGAAAAGATAAGTCCTCCTGTTCAACGTTTCTATCAGTGGTCCTTGCAGGAGAATCATCCTCTCTTGTGACATTACTGGCGGCATCTCGAGCGAGACCCAGTTCCAAATCACCCATTTTCTCTTTTACTTCTTTGAGCTTGAGCTGGGCCACAGCATCGGTAGCTGGTGCAAGGAAGACGCAGTCTCGATTGGCCTTTGTGCAATTGACACATGGCTGTGACCGATTGCAGCGAAGCTTGCGGCGACGACACTCGAGACATGATGTTATCATGCGATTTCGGCGACGGATCCGCGGAGGATGTGCAGCGGCAGCTGCAGGAGCAGTGTTGCCCACCAGGGACGTGGTGATAGGTGCTGGACCCTCCGCGCCAGGGGTAAAGTCGTCGGAGCTTTTGTTCCGTGCAGAAGCAGTCGCCATTATTCCTTTCCCATACGCGCCCTGGCAACCCGTCGGCTTTGTTGGCCCTCCTATCGCTCGATTCGACGCTTGGCAGACAAATGTTCTGGAGATACGGCCGTAAGGTGTAACCGCTATACTAAATGTCTGATATGTGCTTAATTCTCGAGCTACTGCCGACCAGTTAGTCCAAAAGACATGGATTAGGATTCCAGGAGCTCCAGATCATTGCTCACTTTAGAAAACGCGCACATGGAGCACAATCTGGCGCGCAGAATATGTTGACAGATACTGAAGTTGCTGGGGGTTTCGAAGCTATAGATTACGACGGGATAAGCTGATTGGCGAGGTTTTCTTTTGTACACTTTGCGACGCTCCTTCAACATTAATTCTCATAGATGACCTTGAGCATTAGCTCTACATCAATTGCTGCAGCATATAAATACCATGACCCTCTCATTCCAAAAGTGATATTGCTAATGTTATTACCAGGGCGATATCATGGCACGAGACGAAGTTGAGAAGCTCAGCTAGCTAAAGGCAATATCTCCGCACAGATCAACAGCATGCTAAGGATCAATTCAGACAGAACATTTCCTATTCTCAGAGTGTATAATTCATCTTTAAAACCTCCTCTGTCAACTTTCACCTTTTTTCTTTCTCTTTACAGTTATATCCACAATGTATACATCTCAGACGCCGTTTGCATCCAACTGTGCTGAACTCACCCCACATCGGGAATATCGGGACCTAAATTCGCACGTGCGGAGTGGGGGAATGCTCCTCCGATACTGATAACTCCATAGTGACGTGAGCTTCGCAGAGCTAGAAAGAAGATCAACAAATGACGACAAATGTTAACACTGTTGCCTCAACTCTAGATTACACGTTACATTTACACTTGGCTTATTTATATCATCTTAAATCCCGTCAACTTGATTCCAATACATCTGAATTCTATTAATTCCATTTCCTTTCAATTCAATCAATTCAACCTCACCCACAAAACCCCACCGAAACCCAAACCATCCACCGTAATCCTGAAAGCCTTCAAAGGGAATAAGGGTAAAAAAATGTCCGAAACCACCGAAATTGCCTTCGTGTCCTTCCAACCGGGCGTCAGTGTCGAAGATGTTTCGAGCCCCGCCGGCCGCATCTGGCAAGACATGTTCAACAACACGCTCGACATCCAGGGCAGCCGGAGCGCATACTGGGGACGAGTTGTGGAGAACCCCAGCGCCGCCATTCTTCTAGTCAGTAAGTCTAAATCCCCCTTGTTCTCCCACCTACGCTCCGCCTCCGTCCGCACCGCCTCACAATTATAACCCCTTCAAAAAACAAAACTTTCATATTTGAATTAGGCAGGAAAAAGAAAGGGACTTTAAAAAAAAATTTAAACTAATACGTCAAAAAAACACAGACTGGGACTCCCTCTCCTCGCACACCTCGTTCCAAAACACGCCCGAATATGCGCCTCAGATCCGCGCAGTGACCTCGCTGCTATCCTCCTCTCCACTTCTCTACCACATCACACTCGACCAAAAGGCGCTGTCGCGAGCATTGAGCAAGACAAACAGCTTCGTGACGGAGATTGCAACATGGTATTTCCCTCCGACAATCACGGAGACACAACAGTCCGAATTTGAAAAGCACGTTGCGGATCTTTGCGTTGAGGCGGCGAAGATTGACGGATTCGTGCCCGGCGGGACGGCAAGCGGCTGGGGGCTTGAGGAGATCAAGAACCCCAAGACACCAGAGGGCGAAGAAGCGCAGGATGTCAAGAGTTATACGCTCTTCTGTGCGTGGGAGAATGTGGATGCGCATATGAGGTTCCGCGACACCGAAGGGTTTAAGCGCACGATTGCGCCGCTGAGAGAGAAGAGCGCGGCGGTGGAGATGCGGCATGTGGCGTTTGGTGAGGCGCTGAGGCAGGGCGCAGAGGGACGACCGTTGGGATCTTGAGTTCATACGAGTATAAAGACATAGGAGTTACCAATATAGACTGGGGGGGGGGGGGAAATGGGGACCAGATGATTGCTAGAAGTTACGTGTATGGAGCAAAACAATAACAATAATGACATACATCTAGCCCAATCTAAATAATTGGATTTCCAAAATGATATGATAGATCAAATGCAGCTGGATTTTCCCTTGTACCTGTCCTTGTCCTTTTCCTTGTCCTTTTTCTTGCTTTTGCCTCCGTCTTTCTTGAGCACCACGACTAAATCTCTGAGAAACTCTGGATGCCAACTACCCTTTTGCGTCGATAGCAGTGTTTCCGTCTTCATGCGCGCAAAAAGCGCCACCACCGCTCGACGCATCTCGGACTGCGGATGGGTTGATTCGTACAACAATTTTGTATCTGCCGGCGTGGGCGCGGTATTCGTCGCCGCCGCACGCTTCTCTAGCCGACGTATGAGCTGAGATTGGAGGCTCGAAGCAAGCAGTCGATCCGCGAGAGCGTAGAGGCGCAAGAGAAGAAAAAATGCCGGCCGATCCGCATCTACCTCTGGATGGTACAGCTGGTCAGTGTACAGCCATGTGGCGAAATAGTCAAACGTGTCGACGTCTTCGCCGGGCAAGACGACGGATCTGGTGAGCGCTTCGCGAAAAGCGGCGCGAGTTTGGGCCCGGGGTTTAATTGCTGGACAGCCATCACCGTTGTTATCGACATCGTCGGGTGAATATCCGCCGCTGAGAGCGGCGCGGAAAAAGTCAGATTCTTGTTGGAGAAGCTTTGCATGAAGGCGAAAAATGTGTTCTCGGGGCCCCACTTTGATGGTAATGACTTCGTTGAGATCTTTGAATGGGATTCTAAAGCATTCATTCCAAATGAGTAAAAGAAAAGTGATAACTTGTCAGGTACTCTGAATCAGAGGGCTGGAGCATGTGATTTTTTTTTTCAGGAGCATGGAGGTGTATTTGTTGTTTAAGTATTTGGTTTTTGGGAAACGGCATACCTGAAAGAAATACAGGGTGAACAATAATCATCATCAGTATACGCGCGCTCAAAGGTATTTTGCTTCTCAGGATTCTCATAGCCGTACGCATAGTCGGCTTCTTCTTCTTCTTGCTTCATACTGGCGAGATTTTGGTTATCGTATGATCTCTTCAAAGGGTTCATAGGTAGCTCTCAGAGGGGGCTGCTGCGGCTTGCAATATTAGGAACGATAGAACAACATAACAAGTGGACAAGTTCCCACGACCGGATGGGCAAGGTGCGAGATGAGTGTGAATAAATACGTAGCCGTGTCGTTAGGTAGAGTTATCAACCTGGATACATCCCGAAGCCACTGCGGGCATCGAATGAACGAGACAGGTATGCTCAGGAACTTACCAGATTACCCTTCTTCCTTCCAGAAATGCCGATATGGTTTATTGTTGGCGGTCAGACTCTATACCAAACATGGATTTTGCCAGTAGTATCATTGTTTCAATCGTGCATGCGCTATCCTCTCGACAAAGAATTTGAATGCGCATATTTCTGAACCGAAGAGAAAAGAACTGTCAAGCATTTGGAACGATCTGGTTGAAGATTTACCTACCAAGTATGCCAAGATTGGCGGGAGCAGTATTCCTTGTCTCTATCCATTTCAGCAGCAAATAAATTACGGCTCCTCGTGAGGTATAAGGTAGGAGAAGCTGAGAGCAAATTGGCGTTGCAAATTCTTCATGCAAGGTAGATGAGGCAGCGGGGCAGAGACAGTGTCAAGGGAGAAAGTTCTGTCGTGTCATGAAATTATGTAAAATACAGAAGATCTTGTTGGGAAAAACAGAGTCCATTTTTAGGGTCGCAAACTTCGCCTCCAGTCCGAAATTGAAATGGAAAGAAGAAAAGAGGAGAATCCATAAAACACAACACCGAAAAAGAAAAGAGAGCAAACCTCAAAGAAGTCGCAGAGATCCCATAAGTTACACGCGGTGCTTTTCGCTTTCTGTAGGAGACAAGAAGGTTAGTGGCAACGTCAGAGGCAGACATTATTCTTTTAGAATTAACTCACCAAGCCTAGAATAGAGCATATAAAGAGCCATCTGGTTGCATTCCTGGGTTCCAGTAATGGTGACCAGACGCTCATTGCTGTTGTCCTGTGGCTCATTGATCTTAATCACACTACCACTCAATTGTCGAATCTCATTAATCTTGGCACCACCCTTGCCAATGATTGCACCAACCATATCGTTGGGAATGAAGATTTGCTGTGTAAGCGGCTGTCCAGGCATCATGCCTGTCATGGGGTTGGCACCGCCGGCAGCAGCAGCGGCAGGTCCAGCGTGAGCAGAAGCAGCCGTAGCCATGTGTGCAGCAGCATGGGGCTGGTGCGGGCCTGCACCAGCGTAGCCTACCTGGGGAGAGCCGCCGTAGTGAAGAGGCGCAGCAGCAGCCTGCTGAGGAGCCTGGCCGTGAATGTAGGGCATACCATACGCGTTAGCAGGAGTGCGAGCAGCAGCGTGGCCTGCATGACGCTTGAATGTGTCCGGATGACCATAGTGACCGCCTGCAGGTTGCGGGACATAGGGGACAACCTGCATGCCACCAGGGACGACACCGGCAGGCCCACCGCTGCGAGTGGCATAAGCAGAAGCGGCGGGGCCACCAAAGCGTTCAGTAAGCTGTTCAACAAGGGTGCTGGCTACATAGTATGTAGCAATGTGAACGGCATCAGCGACACCAAGAACAACCAGCGAGCGCTCAGTAGAGAGAGGAAGGCAAGAGTCAGAAGCATTCAGACGAGCTCCAGAAGCTTCCTGAATCTCTCGGATGCGAACACCCTGCTTGCCAATAATGGAACCAATGAGAATGTGCGGGATGAGCAAACGCAGGGGATAAGTCTTTGACTGGGGCGTCGAAGGAGCCTCGAGGGCCTCGTTGTTCAGGGTGCGAATGATAAGACCGAATGCCTGTCAATTAAATTAGCATCTGTGCAAAAATTTCCCTTCCAAAGTATAAAGGGCCATCGTACCTTGGCAACGGCGTCTACAGGACCGCTGACGGTCAGAATGCGCTCAACGGCGCCTCGAGAGTAGTCGCTGACGGTGCACTTGGCACCAGACATGCGGCGAATTTGAGTTACATTTTCACCGCCCTTACCAATGACGGTGGCAGCCTCGGCGCTGGAAATGACGGCACGAACATGGATCCAATTGGTTTCGTCCTGCGTAGTTTGCGTAGCAGTAGGAGGAACAGCTACCTGTCCAGTGGCGGAGGCCGTAGTGGATTGAATAGGCTGGGTGTCTTGGGTAGACGCAGCGCCGAGCTGCTCAGTCGTAGCAGTCGCATCAGGCGCCGTTACATTTTCCGTTGTTCCGTTCTCAGCAGCGGGAGGGGCGAATGCGCCGTCACCTTGGTTCGCCTCATCGGCCGCTGGGACAGGCTCGGGAGCTTGATTGCCCTCAGCTTCTTCGCCCTTGACAACCTTATCAAGAGCCGGGCGCTTGGCTTCTGGCTGGTCGGTTGGGCCGGATGGGGACGAAGGGTCCTCTAGAGGCCGCTTCTGGGAAGGAGCAGCTGTCTGAGTTGGCGAAGCAGACATGATTCCTAGAAATTCAATTCTCCTGTTTTCGGGTTCACTTGGTGATGCTTTGGAAAAAAGAGTTTTGCAGCAGCTGCAAATAGAATGACTTGTTATTCTTGCTCGATTGTCTTTATGTACACCAGGTGCTTTCGAAAGAAAACGTGCTGGTGCTGGTGCAGGCGGCCGACAGGAGAGGTAATAAAGCGGTGCTCGGACGCGTTATGGGATTTTCTTGCTTGATTTGAAGATGGACGGTGTGCGGGAGAATGTCGAAAACGGAGAGCAAGAAGTGCTGTGACTTTGACTTATGCAAGAGTAACAGTGCTGTGGGCCAAGGGAGGTGATGTCGCAAGAGCTGAGCTCCTGAGCCAGAGAGGCAAATGGAGGAGAAAAGAGTGCTGAGGGAGCGTATGAGGATAGCGGAGGGACAAGGCACGCAGATTCCGCGTGCAAAAAAACAAATTGATGGATTATTGAAAAGATGAGATGAGAGTAGATCAGTGAAGGCGAAGAAAAGGATTGTTTTCAGTCTCAACGCCTGTTACACCCAAACCTTGGTTTTCCTTCGCCTGTGAATGCAACCCACGGGATCGATTCGATTGGGAAGGGAAGGGCAAAAAGAAGGTGGGCAGAAGAAGAGGATGAAGTGGCGACTCGGAACAAGCCCTTCGAAGAATTGAGGGAAGGATCGCAATGGAGGATGCGAGGGATGAGGTTGTTGAGGATGATGACCTCGCGCGTGTGTGTGAGACGATGATGCTGATGGGCAAGGGAGAGCAGGAGAGGCGAGAGCGAGAGCAAAGGGAGGAGTGAGCAAGCGCTAATCCAAACAGAGTTTAGGGTATTTCTCACTTAAGTTGAGGGGAAACACGGGGAAAGGACAAGAGGAAAGGGAAGGAACGACGACGAAAGTATTATGATAAATCTCTCCTCATCAATGCATATCAAAGTCACTGCTCAGGAAAAATTGTCATTTGAGCACTAATAGTGAAAGAAACGGATACGTCTGAGCATTGTTTGTTTGACTTGACACCTGAACTGCATCGCTCTAGTCTACCCGTCGTTTCAGAAGCTCCGTGCATTGTAAACTTAGCAGTAGTTATCTATTGTAGCTGTGTAAAGCCCACCAAAGCTTCACAATAATTCCGTGTCTCAGCGACGACGCGTCTCACTTTGAACAACCCGCTAATGCTGCGACTTTCCGAATCATACCAACGTTAAAAGAAGGGCAGCATGAACCCTACTATCCCAATTGATCAGATACTTGAAAATCTGCAGAGGTTTGAAAAGCAGACCCAAGTCGAAAGGGCTCGCCATGGGGACGTGGAGCCAAGTCTTGAAGCTGCTTATGAAGCGCGTCTAGAGCGAATTGTAAAGGAGCTGAGAGACCAAGTGAAAGAGCAAGAGTCTGCGCTAGAAGAGGTAGGTGATTTCGGCCCGCATCCTTGGAATAGATATCACGAATCTCTAAACGGGATGATTTTATATAGCTTCGAGCGTCTGTTCGAGAACCTGCGGCATTGACGCAGCCATCGCCCGACCCAAAAATTCGTCTGAAGCAGTTCCGGACCCTCGCATCGGCCTACACTTCCCTGACTCAAGCAGAGGATGTCCTTCCTGCAGCTGACTCACCACTTCCTGCTCTTCTAGCGATACGAAATGCGCAGCGCCAGATCGTGGAGACCAAGGAATCAATCCACCTTGTCCACGATGAACTGACAAAGGCACGCAAGCGATTGGAACAGGAGGAGTCAGATCTTCGAGATACCCGTTTGATGCACACACATCTCGAGCAGCGGCTTGAAAAGTTGCGAGCCGGGCAGGAGGAACAGGAGCAGAGGTCCCCTGAAGAGATCTTCGAAGATCTGGTTCAAGAGAAGCAAGCAAAAATAGCAGCCTATGAGAGCGAGACGAAGAGGCTAGTCAAAGCTTTCAATGACTTTATTGAGAGTCATCTAGCTGCGATGCTCGCTGCTGAGGAGCTGGGTGGTCCTATTGTCGGCGAGCTTGGGGCAGTGGACGAGGATATGCTCGCGGCAGGGTTCACTTCCAAAGGCAAAACAAAGAAGTTGAAGACGAAACCAGCGCAAGATTCACTAAGGCAACAGAGAATCGACCAGATTTGGGGTCGTCAAGATGCAGACGAGGAGGATAACGAAGATGGTCTACGAACAGAAAAGGACGCAGCCGGGGCAGAGATACGAACATTGACTGAAGATTTGCTCAACGCCTTGGCCGGATCAAACACATCGCCTTACGTAGAGCTTCCCAGAGATTCGGCCGCTGCTAGATTCCTTGTGCGCTCGAAGATTGCCCAGTACCACCCCAAAGACGCTCGAAGGCTACGCCTAATCGATTTTGCAAAAGAGCTTGACGACTGAATGACTATACAAACGCTATTTAACCCTGCGATGCAGCAAACAAGAATGAGAATGCTCATGCAAAACTCCAATCACCCATGCAAATCTGTTTGTACAATGCCTAGCATTTCAGCTGGATGCCTTGCCGCAACTCCGCTTCCCGGACCTCAAACATGACCTGTACGCCAACAAACAACGCCGCGCATGCTGCAACGAAAAACAAAAGGCCTAAATGTGTCAATTCAGATAGCTCAGACATGAGAAAAAAGGTGTTTCGAGCAAACCGTACCTGAATAACTTCCAATGATCCCATGCACAAGATCTTTGAGTCCATCTAAGCCGACAGCGAAGCCGACAAGATTTGCCGCCATCATCATCAAAATATTGCCGACTGCACCGATGCCGCAAATCACTCGATACATTTCCTTGCGGTTCTGCCATTTCCGCGGTGGGAAAAGGAAACGGGCCAGGATCTCAGGCAGGATGAAAAGCGTGATCAGCCACCCCCACATCAAAAGTTTGAGGTTGATGTCGTGCCAGAGCGCGACAAAAGTGAAGACCACAAGAGAATTAACAATAGTCCGCACCGTTCCCCACGGCCCACGTGTGGCACTACCACCCAATGGGATATAAATGTACCGCACAATCCATTTATTATAGCTGCGATGCCATGCTCTCCAGAAGGCCAAAGCTGACGGGTTGTTGGACATGCATCGCACCATATTCTCCGGTGGGTCAATGCCATCTACCAAAGCCCAGAATCGAAAGAACCGCCAAGGTAGCAGGAGCTTGAGCCAAATGATGTGCAGGTTAAAATACCCTAACATGCTCAACTGGAATGGGGTGTAAACTTCCCACGCCGGCTGCGATTTTGATATGGCGACCGCGTAAATAAAATGGAGCATAAACTCCATCGTCAAAAGAGCGAGAAAGAATCGAATACCATATAGAACAGTCCGGCTTGTGGTGATGCTCGGTGCTGGATACCTCAATTGCGCAATAAAGTCATTAAACGTCAAGATGGGGCCTGCAAGATAGAGCGGAGAGTAGAGGGTATATGCGATGTAGTTGATCCAGCAAAAGTCTTGCGGCTTGGCCGGAATCGCAATGCGGTCTCGTTCAGAGAGATTGCTAGGGTCGAGTTGTTTCTTCTTATAAGCGTTAATGACATATATACTATCCTCTCGTCGAAAACCATTCTTTGCTGGAAATCATGCTTACCTCAATCGGGCTCCCGCCTTTAAGATCTAGACTCCAATAATAGTCTAAGTTGAAACTGATCAAACGCAATACTGTAATATTGAACAAAACCTCCCATCGAGGGATCAGACCACCGTAGCTGTCAAGCCAAGCCCCCCAGTTATCAGATCGAGCAGGGTCCGCTGGCGACGCAGGAGCAAACCAGGAGACGATATGTGAAAATCTATAGCCCTCACATAGTTCATTGGCGAAAAGAATGCTTATATTGAATACCCAGGTCGTAACCGGAATATACTCTTTTGGAAGTCGCTTTGCGATGCCGAAATTGATAGCAAGGATGACGAGAACCTTGAATGCGGAGAATCCGTGTAACGCGCATAAGAATATGCCGGCAAATATAACATCAAATCTGATTCGTTGCTCCAATCTCGCATCGGCCGCAGTCGAGAGGGTTATAGGATCAATTCCGTTCTGGCTAGTAGAACCGGGTTCAGCGAGTTTGACGGCATTGGCATTGCCTTTCACGGGATTGAAATAATTATATAGTCGCCGAAGAAAAGGATGTACTGTGAGAACAATGAGGAGATATGGGACGTTTGAACGAAAACTAGCATATTGTAGATCGGAATTATCCTGGGAAATTGTCGTTAATGCAATTCTGCACAGAGGCAATGTTCGTAAGCAGCATACCACTTTGCGGCCTAAGATCCAACCAGGGGATAGAAGATGCTTGTATTTCGGATAATTAGGGTCCGATTCTAATAAGGTATTCAGTAATCTTTATGGGAAAGAAATATAGATAATAGTGGCCTACTTACCCTTCGATACATCGTACGTCACCTTAAACATCATCGGGACCACGATAATGAATACAATGTAATAAACGTAAAATTCGGGTGTTCGCCATCTGGAAGGCGATGATCCTTCAGGTATGACTTGCGCTGAAGCATTTCTGCAAATTGCGGGCTTCGAGCTATCCTGATCCTGTACATGTCGCGTGAACTCGAGACGTTCGTCGGCATTAAGCGCAGCTATTTTCGAGGGCGTTTTTGAAGAGGTGGTAAATCTGGTGTCGAGCGTGTCGAGAGAGTACAGCCTCTTTAGAAACAGAAGCCAACTCATGGTTGCAACTTTGGTCGAACCATATGAACCAAATTTGTCACAAGTGAACGTGGGGACAACTACTATTTTGGCCGGAGGTTGAAGATCAGGGGAAGCAGGGTCCGACACCCCCCCGGTTATCGCCGCGTAAGAGCTTAAATTATGCATTTTCACAACTAATCTTTTATGCATCGTTCTGCGTTTATGCTCTCCACCAACCACCATTACTTACCTTGACTTGCAGGTACAGTGGAGCCGCAACGCCGCCAAGAGCTCGCGATCAAGTTCAAGTTCCATTCTACTAGAGCTCACTTCAACCGATTTCCTGGAGAAGCTCATCTTGAAATTACTTTGATCGTCCAGGTTTCTTTTCGCCGCGCCGAACGAGCAGCTGTTCAATTATGGCTGCAGCTCAAAGTTCCTCCATCCCTCCCTCCAACGTGGAGTACGGAGGAGGTACGTAGTGCACAGGCATATGGATCGCATACCGTTCGATTCGCTGACTTTTGATATTGCAGATGAAATCTCTGCCATCGTCCTTGATCCCGGTTACTCGAGCATGCGAGCCGGCTTCGCGGGAGAGGATGTACCTAAAGCCGTCGTGCCCTCGGACTATGGTATCCTAGGTTCAGGTTCCGAGGAAAAGTACCTGTTCGGCGACAACTCGATACACACACCTCTTCCGGGCCTTTCTATCAAAAACCCTATGTCCAAGGATGGCACCGTCGAGGACTGGGACACTGCGACCAAGGTTTGGGAGCATGCGATCACTTCCCGTCTGACAAGCGGCAAAGCAGGCGATCCCGCGACAAATGGCTTGAACGACCCGAGCAATGAGGATGGAGACGCGAAGATGGAAACCGCAGACGAAGGAGAGAAGCCGTTGGAGGAGAACCCTCTACTGATGACCGAGACGGGATGGAATCCGGCCAAGTCGAGAGAAAAGGCAATTGAGCTTGCCATGGAGAATTGGGGCTGCCCTGCCTTTTGGCTCGCTCGGAACGGTGTCCTATCTGCGTATGTTGGACTTTCAGCTGCCTAATATTCTGGGTCAATGCGCTTACATTCTTAATACAGCTTCGCCGCGGGTCGGGCATCGGCACTCGTTATTGATCTCGGAGCATCCAACGTCTCCGTCACACCTGTCCACGACGGATTAGTTCTGAAGAAGGGTACGCACCGCCTTAGACTCGAATCTTTTGGAGGGGAAAGATGGTTAACATTATACAGGCGTTACGCGCTCTCCTCTCGCTGGAAACTTTGTGTCCGATCAATTGCGCCTCTTATTCTCGAGCTCGCAACCTCAGATCCCCTTGACACCGCACTACCTCGTATCATCCAAGCAGCCTGTGGACGCTGGCTCACCCGCACAAGCTACCTACAAGACCTTTGCCAACCCGCCCGACGCCAGCTTCCGACGACTTCAAGAAGATCGCGTTCTTACAGAATTCAAAGAATCCGTCGTGCAAGTGTGGGGTGGGCCTGGCCGATTGAGCTCCGGCGCACAGGGCACTACCAACGAAGACGTCGTCAAAACATGGCCTGGTCGCCCATTCGAGATGCCTGATGGATGGAACCAGGTCTTTGGCGCAGAACGGTTCAAGGCCGTCGAGGGCATTTTCGATGCCAAGGCCGCACTCAGTGTATGTTCCTCAAGCCCAACCCGTCCTTTACATCCCAACATGAAGCAAAATCGAAGAAAAAGGCTAACTGTTTTGTGATTTCTTCCAATTTCCAGGACGCCGACCATCCCGCTCCTACCCAAAACCAGACCCTCCCGGCCCTGATTCAAGCCTCCCTCAACAATGTCGACGTAGATATCCGACCCCATCTTCTCGGCAACGTCGTCGTCACCGGCGGCACATCACTCCTCTACGGTCTCACCGACCGTCTCAATAGCGAACTCCAGCAACTCTACCCCGCCGTGCGCGTGCGTATCCAAGCTCCCGGAAATACGTCCGAGCGACGCTTCGCTTCATGGATCGGCGGTAGTATCGTCGCCAGCTTGGGTACCTTTCACCAGGTATGTCATTTGCCTGTGCCTTCGCCTTTGCTCTTCTT